AGGCGTTCATCTGGGCGTGTTCCAAAGCGCTTGAGACAGGATGAGGATTTTGTATATCTTTAATAGAAACAAGAACCACATAAGCTATTCATAAGGAAATCAGTCAATCCTCGCTTTTTCGGTAGAAATCAACAGACACCAAACAAAGAATTATTCTTTACTCCTACCTCAGAATTATATAAAATTAAATATCATTTGAAAGCAGAATACTCAAAAATACAGGCGACTTCTACATAAATTATGCATACCTTGGGTCTAAGATGTTTTGCTTGTTTGCAGGACCGCAGGACCGCACCAAACCGCAGTGGTGCGGTCCCTAAAAATGTAGGACCGCCCAGCGGTCTCAAGGTCTGGGACCAAAGACCGCGCGGTGCGGTCTAATGCGGTCTTGGGTGCGGTCTTTCCGGTCCCGTGCAGAGGCCTAGCTGGGAGTATATCCTTGGCGTCACGTGTGGGTTTACCGGGTCCTTGCATTTGGGGTGTAATCTGGGTGCTGGTAAAGTAGTGGCCGTTTCCTGCGTCGCGCTAACCGTCAGATGGAGTAAGCGGGTATTGATTGTGACGGTTAGCCGTAGGCCGTTTCTGGCTCCTGCCCATAGTGTCTGCCTTGGGGCCCTGCCGGGGCTCGCCCAAGTATACCGAAACGCACGTGACAACGCTAATCCCTAGCGTCCGTAGGATGATTGGCTCTCCGGCGTCCTCAAATAACTGCGGCCCCCGCGCCTCTTGAGGTCCGTAACACCGCCCTACCTAAGTCCGATTATCCGATACTAAATATATAAAATAGCTAACTTTGAATATAAATAACTCGATAATTAGGGGGATAAAATTAAATAGATTATAGTTTTGAAAACCATATATATCGCTCTATATTCTAGTGCCGTAAAATCTTTAGAAAACCTATAACGTTATGTTACATTAAGGTCACGATTTACTATATAGAATCTGCTCCGGATACCCGGTAGACATAGGAAGCTATCTAGGAATAGGAGGGTATCGAGGCGGATATATAGTAACTTTAGTTACCCCGTTATATGCCACGACGTATTCAAGGACTAGCGATTTACACTAATAGGTTACTATACACTGTCACCCCGGACTACGAGTATATATATCGAAGTAAGGAGAGTAATCGCAAATATTAGCGTACAGACTAATATATGTAAGGTATAAGGATAAAGATAAGAAGGGAAAGGGAAGAAGAGGAATATAAGTTAATATAAAAGTTGATAATTTAGCTCATGCCTAGGAAATACCCATAAATCAAATCTATCCTTTAATTTGCTGATATTCGAACCCGTTCCCCGATTCCAAAAAGAAATGAAAAATCAGAAAAAAAAAAAAAGGAAAGGAGAGAAAAAGAAAAAAAGAAAGTTCTAAATCTCCCTCCCATACGGCTTCCCCTTATTCCTCCCCTCCTTAGTCAAAGGCAGTTTATCACAATATCTGAAACTATCAACTTGAATATAACATGGGTTGAACCTCTCATAGATAAGTCCCTGTTTATTACCCTCCACAGAGGCTAACCAGCGGTTCACATCCTCTTCAATGGCTTCCGTGGCACGGCGTTTAAACCATTCATTTTGTCCCTGGTGGCTTTCTTTGTTGACTTTCGTGTATATGGCTGTCTTGAATACCTCTGTAGTCCCAGTTGAGCTAGCCCCAGTTAAGCCGTCTACTTTCTTCCAAGGGCCAGAGTAGGTGTACGCGTAGTAGAAGAAGCCTGTTCCGCCGTGGGGCATTGTTGTTCTTGGGTCTGGCTTAGTTGTTTGGTCGATTTGTTGATATGGTTGTTACGTAGAGGGCTGTATGGGGACGAGAGGTTGGGGACGAGAGGATGCGCAAGGCTTCGTAGACAACTGGTGAACTTCCGTTTGCTAGCAGGCCTAAGGCCTCTCGGGGAGGGGGTTGAAAGCGATTTCCCCAGAGGATAGTTTTTTCTCTTTTTCTTCTCCTCTCTAGCTTTAGTTGCTTCGTTGAATGCACCTTCAAGATTCAGTCTTTTATCTTGGCTGTAACAATGGTATAGAGATGGAGAGTTGGGGGTTATAGGGTTGGTTATGGAGAAAATTTGAACTCCTCGGTCCTTGAACCAGAGACTTCCAAGGCTTGATTCCGTGTGAAATCAGTAGGTGTAGCAAAAGAAGAAGACACACTATTGAGCAAGTGTCAAGGTTTCAAGGTTGATGAGAATCAGAAGACGGTATTCAACATTTGAGCCAAAGTGGAAAATGCTGGGGATTTTGTACCCCTGTGATTTATAGGTGAGGGGTAATTACAAGGCTGTCTTTAGAGCGCTATAGCCGCTGGAAGTAATGAGGCTGTGAAGGCGCTGCGCCCAGACACGTCAGAGCTCCAACTCAACCTTGGAACTCAAAGACCTAAGATGACAACCTTCCAATATTGGAAGACGATGTCTTCCCATGCCTTGTGGGCCAATATATCTATTAGCACAAAGTCGGTGGGATAGCCCATCCATTCTTTGCACTCTGACAGAGGCATATGGCAGCCAATATATCCAGCACGCTGGATAGTCAATTTTCGGAGAAGTTTTGGCACGGAGTGGTCAAATCCAAAGCGCCTGGGCTTACCGCTCGCGTCATGCGAGTGGCCTGCATACCTAGCTTCGATACATGTTTGCCCCAGCCCAGTTCAAAATCTTACAGTCTCGTAAACTCCCACTATCTCTCGATGTGGCAGTGTATCGCCACTCACTCACTCCTATTCCACAGACAGGGGTGAGAGAATCAGGGTATAAAACACTCGATCTTTTCCGTACTATAGAGAATTAGACAACTTTACACTCGGTTCTCTCGATATAAACACGCCGGGTTATCCACATCGCATCGGACTAGATAGCTTACTTAGTCAAGTACAAGAAGTATTTCGAGACTGATTATGGTGCCACTGCATTAAGGACATACTGTACTGTTCGGCGTAAGTTCTGGGAATGCCAGAAGTGGTGTGCTTGCACAGTCAGTCCCCTTTTGTTTACGTAGTTTGTATGAAGTACATTCTGAAAACCCTGGCTAAGTACACAAACCTACTGTACCAGGCCTGAAATCTTGCTGAGCTGGCAATCGAGACTGTGTGTCAGTGCCAAGAGTGTAGTTTTTCCAGAATGAACGCTATAATCCAATAACTATCCACTGCCGCGCAGCTGGGAAGGTCAGTGCGGCGCTCGGGTGACGGCGGGAGATTTTCACTCAGCTTATCACCCTGTCTATAGCGCACTCACCCTTATCAGCCCCGATCGCGCGACCGTAAAGCGGCGCTCGCCCCTTTCTGTAAGAATACTAGTTGTCTGGATAGTGTCAAGATATGTAGGATTGGTATAGACTAGTATGCATATGGACGAATGAGAACTATCGGAATCATACAGAGAAGGTTGATTTATTGAAGAAAGGAAAAGGACTCGAACGAATGGGAAAAGGGGCAGGTTGAGCTGTCCCATGGCGGTGTAACCAGGTATTCAAGTGACCATACCGATGGTCAAGGGTTACCCGCATATTACATACAAATACATAGGAAATCTGGGATGGAAGTGACCAATCCGAGGTCACTGTAATGAATCTCTCCACTTTTCCACGACAGATAGTAACCAGTTGGTCAGGCAAGGCAGAAAAGCACCAAGTCAGATTGCTGGCAAGACTGTTTCTTAAGGAGCTTCGTGCCCCGCTCCCCATAGTCCTAATTTATATACAGTCTTGTGCGAGAGGGGTAGCCAGAGGTTGGACGCCTAAACATATTCCGGTCGTGCCCCGGGGGGGGGGGGGGGGTCTCATAGTTAAGAGAGTGGGGCTGGGGGGCGGTGTTATAAAACACCTGACATGAGGTTATTTACACTTCGGTGCCTCAGGCTTCTCGCTGATGGATCGGCGGCCTTGCGGCAGCTATCCGCTGGCACCTCGTTATCACATCCCAGCGATCTCATGCAGGGGAGCTCCCTGTAGAGGCCACACATTCTGCCCCGCTACCCCTCCATGTTCAAGGATGGAACTCCTTCCTGTTTTGGACGACGAGCCTGTATATAAATCGACTCTCCATGAGGAGGCTTCACGCTCCTCAAGAAACAGTCTCTGAGAAATCTGACCTGGTGCGTTTCTTCTACCTGATTGACAGGCCTTCTACCCTGCAAGTAGATAATACCTTTACACGATCTCACGATGTTATAAATACTGTCTATTTTCTATAGCTAGTTAAATCAAGTTCAATCATTCTGATGAAGATAGAGCATTCTTCTATCATAAGTTGACTTCCGATTCTGAGCCGAATCGTACGACCTGACCTATACGATTCTTTGCCGGATCGTATATTCGACCGATCATGTATAATCGCTTGCTTGTGCACGCACAAGGATTTATGCCGACCCTGTAAATCCGACAGTAACTGTAGAAGCTAAAGGTTAAACTAGAGATATATTAGATATGACCTTAGAATCCCTGAAATTTTCAAGTTCATCGTATAAGGGAAAGGGCGGGCAGTCAGGTCAGGAAAAGTGCCATCAGTGAGGGTGGCCGGCGTGTGGCTTCTGCTCAATCAGTTCTCGGGTGGGTGACGCCGCTTTTGATTCGCGTCACCCGGCTCACCCAGGGTGAGTGCGCTTTAGACGGGGTGAGCAGGAGGGTGAGCATTCAGCTCGGTAACCTTTTATATTCAAGCCAGTATCACGGAACCGATTATAGTCACGCGAACATCTTGAATTATCATCTTATCTGTTGCAAATGGCTCTCAGCAGCCCTGTTATACACCTTAGTCCGGAGGGTATAGTAACTATATAAGAATAATACAAAACCCTTCCAGGGTAGAATTAAACGTCAAAGTTATTCCCCCTCTCTAAGCAAATTCTCCTTGGAAGTTTCTACATAACAAAGGATATTATAGGCAACTAACCTAGGGCTAGGCCTCGTAGCTTTCCTATGAAGACATTGAAATATGCCTAGTCCCCACTTCCCATCGCAACTGCCCTAGTCTCCTCGGCTGAGTCTTCTTTATCGCGCCTATCCGGCGTGTTCTAGGGTCCACAATGAGTCTTCCTCATCGTCAGGCCGTTCCACATTTCTGGCATTGGGGATCGTTTCCTCAACCCCCTTGATCTCCTTGATATTCGACAAGCCTGACTTGTAAAATGCCATCAAGGCATCAATCTGCGCATCCCACTTCTCACAGTGCCCCCTCTCATATCCCCGAATGCAAAGGTATTCCAGACTCTTAGGTAGACCATCCCGTAGCATGAGTGGTTCCCTTTTCTCGTCCGTCTCGCCAAACCCCTTCGCAAAATACAGCAGGAACCCGATTCCTAGGCTCAATCGTTTCAAAGCGCGAAAATCTTTCAGCGAGCCACTATTTCCCCAAAAGGACCGGATGAACTGTTGCTTCTCATCCTCTTCGTCCCTGTAGAGGTCCGTTGCCCTTCCGTCGATTTCCTGGTCGATAAGACCCTCCTGTTCATAAGAGGCGCCTAAGTAGTACATACATGACTCGGCGTCGACATCTAGAACTTCTAGTGTGTCTTTGTGGGGGCATATTGATTTGATGAATGTTTTGACATTGAACAAGGAGTACGATCCATCCAAGACGCCTCGGCCGCCGATGGTATACTGGAATTCTCGCAAAGCCTTGCTGGATTGGATAATACAGGCAAGGTAGGGCGTCCCAAGGGCGCAGTGGTTAAGATGGATTTTGCTGATATTGGATGATCTCGGCACTAGGCGCGAGATGTCATTTTCGTCTTCTCCGAGTGCATCCGTGCCCATCGATTCTATAGACGGGAGGTGGTCGAAGAGTGTCATGCAGTCAATGAAGTCGATGTGGATGTAGAAGCGCTCGTCATCAACTAGGCTCGCTTCGTCGACTATCATATACACCTTGCGAAGATTCTGGAGATATGGGGTGTTGGCCGGGTCCGCATTGGCCCGACGCAGAAGCCGATCGAGGGGATAGTCGACATGCGAATCTCGAGGCCATTTCTCGGCGTCCAGGTAGAATCGGTAATACGATTGGAAGGGCTGTGTCATCGCTAAAGCCTCCAGACCAGGCGACACCGAGATAAGAATTGCCGCCAATGCTTGCGAGATGAAGGTTCCCAGGACCCGACGGGGGCTGTTCGTCTCTTTAGCATTCAGCCGAGGAAGAAGAGGGAATATTTAAAATGTGGATGGCTTCCTTACCTGCTTCCATCTCGATAATAGCTCTTGATGCTATTTGCACCCTGCGTGGTGTTTTGCATGAGCATGTTGATCATAGCGCTTTCTTGGGGACCGACAAAGCCCGCCCTCTGCACAGCCGCGCGGATGAGATTCATTTCGCCCGCGCTGAGGTCGCGCTGCTCTTCCTTCCCTACATAGGAGATCTCGCTGCTGGGCCTCCAGTATTGCTCAATTTCGCGCACATAATGGCCTAGACTGCGCTGCCTGAGGATCTCCATCAGCAAACCAAAGGTCTCGTTAATGCTGGTGTCATTGGGATAGACACGTATCCGGTAAAACCGCTCGCGCGTTTTCATGTCGCATAGGGAGTGTAGTGCACGGCATGACTGCGATAGGGCGGCCAGATCGCGGATTGAGGGGACGTAGAAAACAATTCGAGTAATGATCTCAGGAGGCATGGACAGGAATGCCATCTTGTGGAATTCCTCGCCGGTGGGGTTTTCTCCTGGCTTGGGGAGTCGCAGGTTCGTTTTTAAGCCGCGGGTTCGCGCCCCGCTACACGGACTAGTCTAGACACCCATTGGTTGCCTGAGAAGACTTAGCCTTCGAGAACAGGAAAATTAACCATCATGATTCTAGAGAATATATATATATATATACCGCGAGAATTGTTGGAGGAAACCAGAGATAGGTGGCAGGGGATAGTGCAGCCTATATCCGGCCCTGGGAGAGGCAGAGGTAGAGGCAGGGGGCAGCCAGCAAGAGCATAATCACAGATGAAGCATATCTCATAAAACTAGCTATCGTAGCACTTCTTATAATTCTTCTCTCATATCTGATTTGGTACGAGCAATCCACGAATACTTAATGCTCTCTTATTTAAATTTGGAATTTGCGCCAGATTTTCAAGGGTTTGAGTTAAGGAAGCTGAGCAAAATCTTTTTCATACCCCGTCGTTATCTGAACAATTCACATCTTTAGCAAGATCTAGGGCATGAGCCATATACATAGAGCCCTAAAAAAGCAATATTCTCAAGAGTGTTACTTCACCGGGTGGGTGTTTAGACACTAATTTTGAGCATATTGCATAAAGTCTGGATGGCACAAATGCACCGACGAAGAACCTGGGCATAAGGACAACAGAAATTGTAGAGGGTAATGAAACGCTTTTGGCATAAGTGGCCTACAGAACATTGCTATTTAGGCGAGGATATAGGCTACTGATTATATGGAAGCTCAGTGTCGCAATTTCATATTCAATGTATTGGCCTGATACAGTTCATTGGTGTCGAGGAAGAGCATGGCAGAACCGGAAGGGTGGGTGAATGATCGGGGACCCATACTAGCAGCATTGGGATGGAATTTGCGAACCCCCGAATTGTTGGAGGTACTCGATTCGATCCAGACGCAGATAGGTGTGGGTACCTGGAAGACCTAGGTATTCACCTTCGATAACTTCGTAGTAAACATGAACGAGGACATAAACTATACGAAGCCCTCGGTATTCCCTGGCTTGTGCCCTAAACCCGTGAAAGACGTGTCTCTGGATTTGACGGGAAAACCTTTGAGTGTGGTGCTGGTGTAACCACAATCCAACATTCTCATTTCTTGAGGAGGACAACACGAAGCACGCAAATTCCCTTACTCCCTGCAACCTCGCGTGTCTATTAATGATCAACAGCCCGGTCAGGTACTGGAACTGGCATCACAGTGTCTGTCAAGAAAGCAATTCCTTTACCGAGGATGCTTGGATGGACCGATGCGTGGTGTACTCGGAAGAGAGATGGAAGAACAGCCGGGATCGGCTAACAAGCACACCACCGGGTACAAAGCTCGAGGGTGTGGAGTGGCTAAGGTGTTGTCAACTTGGGCCAGTCGTTGAATTCACTTCGTTGCTAGGACCTAGATATGGCTAATATTGTTTTCTTTTAGCTACGAAGAAACTTTGCCAGTTCTGTACGGGACAAATGTATTCATCCCACGCAGTGGAATTGACTCTTTGTTTATCGTTTCGAGAGTTTTGTCGCCTGGTTGTCTAAGCCTTATCCAATCCATGGATATACTATTCGAACTTTGGGGTGCCTTGAACGAGCCACAGGAAGAGGTAAGAAGCAGCTGGACACCCGTCTACCCTGCATTTTTTGGACTCTTTGGGCAATTTCTCTCCAACCTCCACTCATTACGACTGACAATTCGAATGCCCTCACTACAACATGAGACTGTTTCTCCCAGCGACATGAATGAATTTATGGCGCATTGGGACTGACTTGCTTCGAGTCGAACATGGAAAAGGCTACAGCTTTGCGTTTCTGTCGACTGGTACCTAATTTTGCTAGAGCAGGCGGAAACTAAGAATCGGTGGGAGCTCACCCAAACCTGGTGGCAAGACAGGATCATGAATTATTCTTGTGGCTTCTAAACATCTCAGACCGGCCGCCAGCCATACTAGCTAATAGTCGTTGCCGGAACTGGGGTACCGCTGGTGATGGTGGTAATGGGCCCTGCGATTCTAATACACATAAATACAGACGCCTGTAGACCTGCGCAATTTGTGCTTACGCTTTTATCTGCAAATCTGTGACCAGAGAGTGTACTTGAGAATGGATATGTAAATGCTGACTCGAAGGATAAAGCGGGTACACCCTTGTCCAGAGCGGGAATAATCTCCAAGTATTACTAGAATATACTGCCTCCCTCCCTTCGCTTCGCTCTTCTTTCCCATCTCTTCCTTCGTTTCTCATCCCGCTTGCTCCCCCCAAATTCTTCGCCAGCAACCCCGTCGGCTGGCAAACCAGCCCTATACCTTAACGCCTGCTCACGATAATATTGATGCCTCTGCTCCTGTTGAATCCGTTGCATGACGAGATTTGCCCCAACTTGCCCTTCGATCATACCCATGACGGGATCTCCCCCTGTTTCAGCGCCAATGAATGCGCCGGCGCCCATACCGATCATGTTTGCTTGATGCATTTGGGACGAAGCTGCTGGCCCAGTACCCGGTGCATATTGTGCCATGGCACCTCGTATTTCAGCATTCGACGCATCGGTAATGCGTGGTGGTTGCTCTAGCTGGTGATGCTGATCGACAGAGTTGGAGACGCGTTCTTGCGGGCAGGACTGCGGGATTTGACAGTTCGTTTCTTTTTTATTGTGATCTGGCCGAGGGCTATTAGAGGAGTCGTGACGACGGAACATAGATGTGAAGAAAGACATTGTGAGTTTTTTGCGGCCCTAGAAATTCAGATCACGCCCTCCTTTGAGGTTTTAAAGTCTTTGCTCTTCTTGAGCAAGGTGCTGGTTTGTAACTAGTTAATTTAACATAAGCAGTCCAAAATTAGTAACACGGGACAATCGACTCAAATGAACCAATGGATTCTTTCAGTGGAATGTGTGTGCAGGCGAATACGAGAAAGTGTGTCTGATAATAACGAAGGTAAATATAGTGCCCATTAGATAATTGGTCAAGTGGGGCTTCGAGCTAACCGTCCTAGACCTAGCTGTTCCGTCAAATATGGGTAATAAAACCCTGGAAGATGTAATTTTCTAGATATTTAGGCGTTTCAATATGTATATATTACGATCTTTCGATAGCGGCGGAACCCTACTTACACAATTGCTTAGTAGGCACTGTAGTTAGTTACACCCTAACACTTACTCTCAGTGACTAGTAGGCACCACGTAGCATCAAGGTATTTCAAAGATAGAAAGGAAGATAGACGAAACTATTACGCGGAGCCTGCTAGTCACAATGAGTAAGTGCGTCGAGGATAAATACCTTTCCTGAATTGTGAACAGGGACTACTCCTATTTATAGCTAACTAAGACTAACAAGTCCCCAAATACGAACCCGGTGTGCTTCCTGACTCTCACAGATCTATATACGGCTAACTAAGTTCAGCGCTACTCTGGACTACATAATATGGGCAGCTGGCAACAGCGCGAATCAGCATCCAACAAGGGCCTGACATCGATGTGATTGACCATAACGAGAGATCACCATTGGCCTGGTCTGCGCAGAATGGGCACGAGGCAGTAACTAAGATGTTACTGGAGACTGGGAAGGTGCGTGTAGACTCGGAGGACTTTGGCGGCCGGACACCATTATCCTGGGCTGCAGTAAATGGGCATGAGGCGGTAGTGCAGCTGCTCGAAAAGGCACAATATCCACCATCTTAGAAATGCCAGATCTAGACTACCTCTTGCTTTGAGCGAGCAGGTTAAAGATTCTCACATCTTTGCCGTGTCTCAAGTATGGGATGAACGACAGAAATCATGGACGCCCAGAGACATATCCTTGATATTTGTCCAGTCCGTATTGTAACCAAAGGAGTGGATACGGACATTCTGCAAATCGGGCTCCCGAGGGAGCCATGCCTTAGGCCACGACTGACGTAGATCTCCTTTATTGCACCATCTCTTGCCTGATCCTCCTCTCAATCCGTGAATAAAGATGAGGTCCAACAGGGGTTTAGGTGGTAAGTACAGAAGATTCAACCCGTATGGACCCCAAGAATCCTCCTCTGTTGTCGGCACAGATCTGTTTGGAGAGATGGAAAATTTTCTCGAGGCTCTAGACACGGATACGGCTCTAGCGGTTGACGCTGAGAGGAAGAAAGAAACCTTCGGGGAGGCTTGGTCTTCCAACGTGTCTCCTATATTACTCGCAGGCTAACCGCCACGGCTATTAGGAGCATATCGACGATTGTAATCGAGCAACAGGGTCAACTACACTCTGGAATGGACGAAATATAGCGTGCTAGGTATAGTATCTGCCCGTGGGGTGTTAGGTTTGAGAACACATCGGGTACTGACCCAACCTTCTCTGCACTATGAGCCAGAGACCAGAAAGAACGAGACCGGGGGGCAGGACGCACCCATCTGCAAGGCTCGCGCGTGCATTTCACCTCGACGGACGCGGACAAGGGCCAGATAGACAGCCTCCTCTACTAAGTCTTTCCTTTGATTTGACTTTAATTTTGCTTAAACCCCATTCCACGTGATTCACGTGGGAAGCAACAAAGTTGAGAACTCGGTTCCGAAAGAGTTTGGATCGCCCTGGGTTCCTAGGTTATGGGGCTCTCACGGGAATCCCGTGGTGGATCATCCGGATTTTCGTCCCGCCCCGTCCCGCCACGTCGGCGAATCACCCGGGTAGATAGTGGGGTTCTACTTTTTTAGGATTAGGAGATCTTGGCGGTCTTAGTCACCCTTGATTGAGGCTAAGAACGAGGCTCTCTGGGGAAACAGACTCCTGGCACCATCATCCTCACCCCCTCAACCATGAATCAGTTGAGCGATCGCGGGTTCACCCCACGAGCGCTGGTGGCCGGCCTCCTGGTCGGCATCCTAATCAACTTTTCCAACACCTACTACGGTCTCCGGGTCGGCTCGGGCAGTCAAATGTCCATGATCTCCGCCTTGTTGGGTTTCATCACATTCAAACTGTTCTCTCGACATCTCGGGAGATCCTTCACCCTCCAGGAGAATGTCCTGGTAATCAGCGCCGCCACGGCCACGGGGTGTATGACATTCACGGCTGGCTTTATCAATATCATCCCAGCCCTAGAATACCTCATCGGTCCCGAGGAGAATGGCCCGATCAACATCCCCACGAGCAGCTTGCTCCTGTGGTCCATTGGCCTTTGCTTCTTTGGAACTATCTTTGCTGCACTGCTGCGGGAGCAATTTATCGTCCGAGAGAAATTACCGTGGCCCGGACCAAAAGCCACCGCGCAACTCCTGCATACTTTACACCACAAGTCACAGCCCTTGCCGGGTGGTTCTGACGACTTTCCGTCATCCGACGAGGCCACTGACGGAGATGTTTTCCGTCCCGCGCCAGAGGAACAGCCTCTGATGGCACAGACGAATGATATCCGATGGGAGACGGGCATGAGACGCCTGATCCAAGGCGCGATGATCTCGGGCATCGTGGTGAGAACCCCCTATCCCCGCATGCACAATGTTCCTGTTGGAAACTCGTATCGCTGATGCACTCTAGACCATTGCCATGTTCTTTGTTCCTGTTCTCCACGATCTACCCATCCTGGGGCCCCACATGGCCAACGAATGGCTCTGGACCATGGATCTGTCTCCCGGGTTTTTCGGTGGCGGCATCATCACCGGCACGGCCATTCCCCTGCACATGTTATTCGGGTCCATTGTCGGCTGGGGGATTCTGTCCCCATATGCCAAACACAAGGGTTGGGCACCCGGCAACACTGATGACTGGGAGACTGGATCGCGCGGGTGGATCATATGGGTCAGCCTGGCGGCGTTGCTGGCGGACGCTTCCGTTAAGCTTTTGTGGTTCCTTATCCGCCCGCTCTGGTGGAGCTCCTCCATCTCCACCGGTGATCTTCGTCCAACGAGAGCTGAGGCGGTGGGCGAGGATGTAGAGCCCACGCAGAATCTTCTGGTAGAGCAAGACGATCGGTTGCCTGATTGGCATCCCTCGGCTCGACACATAGATCTGTCGGCACAACGCGATGTGCGACCGCGCGTATTATGGCTGGGGTTCTTGCTCGCTGTGTTGATTTGTATCTTCTCGGGCTACCTTACCTTTGGGGAGTATATCACCTGGTACTATACACTGTTGGCCATAGCCCTATCGCTTCCGATGGCAGCGGTAGGAATCAGATGTCTTGCAGAAACGGACTACAACCCTGGAAGTGCTTTGGGTAAGGATAACCTTCGGAATGGCTGTGAATTAGCTCGCTGACTTATCTATGACAGTCTCCCAGTTGGTCTTTGCGACGTTGATCCCCCACTCTAATCCTAATGGCATCATCATGAACCTTCTCGCGGCGGCAATTTCCCAAGCTGGCTCCAACCAGTCGGGCGAGCTGGCCTATGATCTCAAGATTGGAAGCCTCACCGGATCGCGGCCAGAAGTACAAACCTACGGGCAGATCATCGGCTCGATCTTCGGTGCCTTGATCGCATGCAGTATATACAAGCTCTACGCCTCCCAATACCCTATTCCCGGCCCGCTTTTCCGAGTCCCGGCTTCATTTTTGGTCCTGAGCACGGCGAGACTGCTCATGGGCCAAGGACTCCCGGAAGGTATCACCCCCTTTGTCATCGCAGCCGCGATCCTCTCCGCGGCCGTCACTATTTTTAAGATGCGGTATGAAAACAGGTGGTGGCAGTGCTTTATCCCCAGCGGCGTTTCCTTCGCTATTGGTATGTCGATGGCTCCCAGCCCCCCTCGAAATTGTTCGATACTGACGTCGTTGTCCAGGTATCTATAATTTGCCGTCATATACAATCACTCGTGCCCTCGGGGGTCTGTTTTACTGGTTTTACAAACGAAGAAATGGAGGACGGGCTGGCAACATCGTCATCCTGGCAAGTGGGCTCGTCCTGGGCGAATCCATTGCCAGCATTGCCACTGTTGCCCTCTCTGCCGCGCGCGCTTCGTAAAACTTTATTACATGAAATGATTAACGTGATCTTTATATAAGGGGTGTATACAGTCAGACTACCCTCACAATGCTACCAATTTGCATCATGGTCGCTTGATCTGTAAATGAGGCTCTATCCCTAGATGCATTTCCACCTTTCCCGATGATATTGGATTTCCGAAAGCCCCTAGATTAAACTGGCAATGAAGCCGATACTGAATATGAGGCTCCGTTGAAAAGCTGGCTTGGCATAAAGGCGCCACCCGTGGGGCACTATGATCCTGCAGGGGAGCTGTCTATACCAAAGATGCTTAGCCTCAATACCGTATGGAAACATAGAAAGTCCCCGAGTGAAAATGTATTTAAGCTCGGAAACATCCTCCAAGTTGATCCACCCCGCCAGTTGCCTTTACACCCCCACCGCCCCGGCTTCCCTTCCCTTTTAATCAACTATGTCTTCCAAAGACCTCGAGCTTCTCAAAAAGTTCTTCGCTCAGAATTATGGCGTAAAATTTATCCGCCTGCACTGGGTCGATTACTCCGGGGTTCTGCGCACTCGAATCATCCCCAGAGCACGATCCATCCGTCTGGCCGCAGGTAGCGACACATACCACCTCGCCCAGAACTGCATGATATGCCCCATTTCCACCTCTCCGCGATGCTTCCCCTTAGAAGTGGAAGACTGGACGCTCTATCCAGACTGGACATCGCTGATGCTCTGCGATTTCGCGCCCACCCACGCCTCAGTGATGTGCGCCACCGGGCACAATGGTACCACCACCAGGAACCCAAACCCAGAGCACCTCGCCCGATGTCCCAGGACCCTCCTCCAGACGGTCTTACACAATTTCTACGCCGACTACCCCCGGTTCCAAGACGGTCTACTGCTCGGGTTCGAAATCGAGTTCGTCTTGTTGGACGAGTCGTCGAATCTTGCGAGTTCCCTGGACCGCATGGTCGGGTACTCCCTAACGGCGGGGATACGCGCAGAGAATCTGGCCATCCTCGAAGAGATCGTGACTGCGCTGGAGTTCGCCGGGGTAGAGATCTATCATCTCCACACGGAGACGACGGATCAGTTGGAGATTGCCCTGTCGCCGATGGCACCAGTGCGGGCGGTTGACGCGCTGATGATGGCGCAGGAGACTATTCGTACGATCTGTATCCGGCATGGAAGACGGGCGTGTATGGCTCCCCGTCCGACGCTTCTGAGCTCCGGACCGCTGAATGGGTGTCACGTTCATCTGTCGTTGAATCCGGCTTCTAGCCCGAATTCGCTGATGAATGTGACGGAAGAGGGGCAGATCATGGAGGACCAGGAAGAACAGGCGAACAGTGCGGACTATGCATCCTTTCTCTCGGGGATCCTGCGCAAGACCAAGGCACTCTGCGCCTTTGGTCTCGCCAACTACGACAGCTACTGTCGGGTCCTGGGGGATTGCGCAGGGGAATGGATCGGCTGGGGAACCCACAACCGCGAGTTCCCTGTGCGCGGAATGCGGCCGAACAGGTGGGAGATTCGCTGCTTGGATACCACGGCAAACGTGTACCTATTTGTGGCTGCGCTGGTCGCGTCCGGCATGGATGGCATGAAACAGACAACCCCTCTGACGATCACCGACTGCCCGCTTGCGCCGCAGCTGTATAGCCCCGAGGAGGCTGAGCGACGGCTCCGTGAATACGGTATCACGGAGCGGATGCCCAAGTCTCTCGAGGTGGCCCTGAAATGTGTGCAGGAGGATGAGGAGCTACGTGGATGGGTCGGTGAAGAGCTCTTCGCGCAGTATCGCCGCGTGAAGGATATTGAGATCCAGCATTTCTCGGGCATGAGCGATGAAGCGCGCAGGCAGAAGTTTCTGGATTACTTCTAGACTTACATCGTCTATCCAGCTAGCTAAGGGCGAATGCAGGTAGTCCATATTAAGGAATTAATTGTGGTAACAATAATGAATGCACATGAAACATGCTCAGATCGACCAAAAACAAACCAAGTCATCAAAGTCCTCCATCTCAAGGTCTTTCTTACCTGACTTATCCAGCAAGATCTGCTTTCGGAGTGCGACTGCCCGCTCGACCAGTCGCTTACCTTCCTCAACATTCTGCTTGCCTCCCATCGACTGCAGATGCGTCCCGCGGAGGAAGGACGAGCGTGCGGACTCGTTTCGAAACCACTGCCGGTCTCCCCAGATGCCGAGCGCGCGATCGAGATATTCCCTGCTCGTTTACCACGTCAGCACACCGTGTACGAGCCCGCAACCCGGGTTTAGAAAGCATTTACTGTGCGAGATCATCTTGTCCAAATCGGATATGGTACTCTGCGAGCTTGTGACAGGCATCAGCGGTGCGGTGGTTGAACAGCCCCAGCGTGGCTTCGTATTGTTTCAGACACTCCGAGTGCAGGTAGAACACCTCATCCCACAGACTCTTCGCCTCGGCGTCCATCCCCCGCGCCTCGAGTTGCTTCGCCCGGCTGGCTTTCACATTCCCCAGCGCCTGGAGCACTCTACCGGTCCTGATTGACCAGGAAGAAAGGGACGAGTTAGCGAATTGTGACAACCCGGATCAAACACACCCAACCATTCACCCGTGGGGAGGGGGGAAGATGTACTTGTACGAAACCCGATCCAACTTCCCATGCCGCTCCTCGCGCTGCTGTAGTAGATCCGTCAGCACCTGATCCGCCGTCTCGTGCTGCCCCTGTACCCAATACGCCAGGCCGAGGTTACACGACGGGAATCCAAACTCGTCGACGTCAACTTCCAGCCCCTTCAGCATCTCCACACACTGCTTGAAGTACTCCGTGGCGAGAGCGAACTTCCGAATCATCATGTACGCGATGCCCATCTGGCTGTGGGCGAATGCGAGGCGCAGATCGGGGGTCTTTTTCCGTACCGATTCGGCCTTACGCAGAGCCAGACAGAGGATGTTGTGCTCGAGACAGCCTTCCGCATCGTTGGTTTCGTTGCATAGCGCCCCCATGGTGAGATGCATGTCGCTGATGAGTGGCTCGCTGGTGATGTTCCCGCGTTCGCATAGGTCAAGAGCGAGTTGGAGATACATCTTGCCCTCGTGGGAGAAGCCCCGTTCGTGGAGGTAGACCGCTGCTTCGTTCAAGAGCGTCGGGAAGATGGGATCGATCTCGAAGTTCCCCCAGTCTGTGGCATGCTCGTTGTAAATCTGGTAGAACCGTTCCAGATGCGGGAACAGCTTCTCGCAGATGGCCCATCGCTCGCTCGCCTGACTGCAGAGATCTCCCGGCGGCCACGCCTTGGTGAGCAACGCCAGGACTTGCCGGAAGGTCTCGTACCGCGTCCGTTTGTCCATGCGTGCCCGCACCTCGGCCTGGATGACCCGATGGATCCAGAGCTCCTTCTTGTCGATGTTCCGCTTGATGATCGACGAACCAAGGAGTTCGTACCGGGCGCTCTCGAAATCCGGCGCCGTCCACACTCGACCCTCTCCGTCGTCACCACCGTCCTCAGGCCTTCCCAGTCGTCGCGCACCCAGATAGATCTCCTCCTGGACGCGATCTGGGTTCATGAACGCCAGCGATTTCAGCAACCTGGTGGAATGCTTTCCGAGCCCTTCGAAGCTGTACGCCGTTGCTAGCGTGTGGCCGTATCGGTTATCCTGCATGGGGTTCCCAATTGTGCGCACATCGGCATATCGCGCATCTGACGCATATAGCTCGACGTACTCGCTGATGGTCAGGTGCCGACGGCGGATAAATCCGGCCATTTGCGTCATGGCCAGCGGTAGCCCGTCGAGCTGTGTCGCGACCTTCACGGAGGCTTGGTGCTCTTCCCTATCCGGGGTTTCGTCGGTGCCTTTGGTCAGCCGTCGGAGAAGATACGCCGCGTCCCCAGTCGGGAGGGGTTCGAGATCGATTCCCTGTCCGTTGGAGAAGAAGTGGGTTTTAGCGAAGGGGTCCCGGCTGGTGATCAGGATGGAGCCGTTTCCATAGTAGGGGATGTAGTCGGCGATGATATCAAGGGTGTCCGCATTGTCGAAGATCAGCAGCCAAGAGTAATTGGTCTGGCTGGGGTCACCCGTCCTGTTCGGCGTTTTGGACGGGTTGTTCAGCCATGCTTTCACGATGGCGCGGCTGGACTCCAAATCCTGCGCTTCTTCCGGGCTTTCGAGTCCCAGCTTGATGGAAATGCCAGCGAAGTCGGAGATGAGTTGCGAGACGCCGCCCGCTTCGAGCCAGAAGACCGCGCCGAATGCGTCCTGGCGGGTGTAGGCGTATTCGATTGCGAGGTCGGTTTTGCCCACCCCGCCCATGCCACAGAGGGAGAAGACGCGACTGGTTTGGGCATCACCCGTGTCTGTGGGCGGGGGGCGTGGAAGGAGGTATTTGTCCATTCGTGAGAAGACCCCTGTTCGACCGATGAAGTCGGCATTACGCGAGTAGCTCGCCAGGGAGAAACAGGGGAGTCGGCACGTCCGCGACTGGAGGAGGCGGTCCGAGTTGGACGGGACGTGGCGGAGGCGACGAGGGAGTCGTTGGCTGGTTCGAATGGATTCGCTGGACGAGCCGATAGTGCGCACATCGCCGTGGAGTGATGCTCCTCGAATCCTTTCGGGAGGTTCGATATCGGCCAGATTTAACGGATTGAGCGGGTCATAACCTGAACTGCTGGGCTCATCCGAAGGTCTTCTGCTTGCTGTGTTGCGGGGGGGTCAGTAAGTGACCTACGTCCTAAGGACTGCGGGGGCAGAGCGAAACGTACTGGAGATAGCCTCGAGTAAGGAACGGAGGAACTCTCGCGCGGAGTAGGTTTGGTCTCGAAGCTTCGAGAGGTTGCATAGTTCCATATGCGAGAGGTGCACGCCCAGAAAATGCTCTATCTGAGCGGAAACTGTGGCCGTCTCCTTGTCCACTAGGACCTGGGGCATATCAATCGTCAGTGAGCGGTGGGCTGCACAGGGGAGGAATATGTCGGACCTTCTTCTTGCCTTTGAAGGGCCAATACACACCGGTCCGTTGATAGTGTGTTTCGTATACGGAGAGGACGGGGATCGTAGCGATCTGTTGAAAGGTTGCGGCCAGGTTAGCGAGCTGGAAGACGTCCTTTGCTGGTAGTCGGGACGAGCGTCTCTGCATGGCGAATTTGGCGCAATTATGCAGGACTCGGTTGTGACGGAGCAGGGTGTCATCGTCGTTGGTGCCGCAATGTGGCGTGCCCAGGAACAAGATCCCAGAGAGGCAGTCCACGACAAGCTTGAATCGTTTGTCATGGATGTTTTGATGCGTTAATAGCAGTGCCTGTTGATCTCGTCAACTCCAGCCCGAGGCCCGTCACGGAGGCCTCTCCTACCTTCTTCAGCAGAACCCCTCCTAGAGAATGTGCAATGAAGATAATCGGCCGTTCGGGAAACTGCCCAGAGGATGTTAATTCGTGGTTCATAAGGCTATATCTGGGCCAGGACTCTGGTACCTCCGTAGAGAGTCGCGCGACATCTTCCGCCAGATCATTTCCGGCCGCGAGGAACTTCTCCCACGAGAAGACGTCTTCCTCATCAAATGCCGGCCGGTGGATATAGATATGCAATCGGGAGAGCGCGTCCACGGCGAGCGCCGCGCTTTCAAGCTCATTGCGCAACCCCCACTTGCGAACTGGAGGCGTCTGGTATCCCGGGACCGATATTACACTGCCATGTTACCCATGAGCACGACGCGTTTCGTCGGGGATGGGTAGACCGGCCACATACCTGGTTTGAACCATGCTTCCGTCATTGGGATCGGGACGCAGCTGGACCACACTGCTCAAATTAAGAGAAGAGTGGCCGGTGGTCGGGGTCGTAGTCGTCAGAGAGCTGCCGCCTACAGTTTCTTGGCCTGGTCCATCTGCGTCCTCCTCTTGATGCTTCATTGGCGAATATCTGCCCATAATATCCAGAGGGTCATCAGAGAATAGGACGGGCAAAAGGGCGAGACCCTGTACAACCAGAGGAAATGTTGGTAATTACCCCTCGACATCGTGAGGGTTCCTCCTGAGCCGCAGCTCCATGTGTACCATGTATGTGTACCATGTATATGTACCATGTATCTGTACCATGTACGTACATAGCCTCGTTTGAATGCAGGCCCAATAGGACCGAAACGGGTGTCAGTGCGCCCTCGGGAGGATGCACGAGCATGCAAGATATCACAAGACGGCGCCATGCAAGGATCCGGACGGGATGAGCGCCTCAAGCGACTGGGAGGCAAACCCGGGTGATGGGCAGAAGGATGATCGTACGGAAACTTCCCCTCTTCTCCAAGCCATCTGGACATGGCAGAGCCGCATCAAGAATGGTATTTCAGGTCTCAGTGGAAGCGCCCACAAGGCAGAATCTTTCTTGTGTCACTGATGCGAGTACCCTTACCGTTATTTTCAGCTCCCTCTAAGTACAAACGCCCACGCGAAAAACAAGATTAGCTCCCAGTTATGGAGCCTGCATCGAAGATCCAACCATGGAAGGCTCTTTCGCCAGAGGGTCTGAAGGAAGACCAGAAGCCAGATATCGCTGCTAGGAACCTTGACGAGAACGATCAAGGTGGTGGCTTTGGCGCTTCGGTAAGCAAGCCTGCCGACCGCCAGATTGGCTACCAGGGCTGGAAAGCGGAAGCCTCAACCGAATCCAAGGTACGATGAGACATGATACCCGAGAGAGTTTGCCGTCTGACTATGACAGTGATGGGAGATGCCGCTTGGGTCACTGAGGGGACGAGGATATGATTTTCAACCAACTAAGAGAGGACTACTCTCTCGTCATTCTTTTATTGCGTTGGGGATGTGAATTCTGTTTGCACCGGCTGGGGAAAGCCATGGTGGTCACTGGAATTAGTTTGCCACGAAGCTACTTTTGTACTTGGACGTCCATGTTGTAATTACCTAGGTAGCGGTCCTAACTGATGACCAATTACGAGAGTCCTTTGAATGATGCTTATCGAACCACCATATCTTCATGAAAAAAATTTGATTTCAACATTATGATTCACCACAAAAAAACTAGCTAAATCATGCTACCGCTTCCCTGCTATGCCTCACGAAGCCCAAGGCTTGGACTCCGGATATTCAATGTCAGCGTACATTACCAGCAGACGAACATCTATGCTCTCTCTTCGAGGGATTGTCTTGAGATCCTGCCCTGGGAGAGGGAATGCACCATGCGAACAGGCTAACAGAATCAGTTATCATCTGAACCAAGGTTTGGAGGATACGAAGCGACGTACGGTGGTTATACCGCTTGTCCGAATCAACGGCCTTGAAAACAAGTACCTCATCGGGTTGCTGATCCGGCAGCCAGTACCATGTCTGATTCGAACTGTAATGTAGCATTAGATTTTCGGCGACGTAGTTGGGGTAGATAATGTCAGAGGGCTCAAAGTCTGCTGGGTCGATACTGGAAGCATCGCAGAGAGCAAGAGGCCAGTCCCGGACGGGAACGGAAAGAGGCTTCCAGACACTGTATATGGGGGGGGTTCTATCAGCCACCTGGCAGTAATACGTATCTCACCTAGAGTAGAGAGAATACTGACGTTATGACCTGGAATCGGGAGTTTGTTATCCTCGCCGCATCGTCTCCATATAAGTCGCCGATGATGCTTTTAGACGCTTCCAGAGTGACGTCTATCGTAGCGGTCAGTATTGATACGTACCTAACAAACGGACTATTCACATTCATACCGGCATGCAGCATCAGACTTGGCTGCGGTTTGGGGTGTGGCTTTCCACCAAAGGCTGGAAACTCCGGATCTTTCAGTCGCAACTGTGATAATATATCCCCATAAGTACTGGGTAAACGCCTTCTCCCAGGCCAAAACATACCTGGGAATCCAAGGCTCGAACCTCGTGGGCGCCTAGTTTCTCCTTCAGGTGGAGTTCAAGCTCTTTGAAGTACTTGTCCCGTACGACGTCCTCGTCCATGAAATCCTCGTAGGTCATTTCTGTGGCGAGCCTATGCACTTCGAAGCCCTGCGTGTCAATGGAGAGGGTGGAAACAAGGGGTCGCATGCTTCGCACGCAGACAGTCTGGATATCATGCTTGACGTTGTGGAGGGGGAAGATTTGTTTCGGAAAATAGTGGAAGTTATATGGCTTGACCGTGTCATATAATTCGCTGCGCTCTAGAAAGTGCAATGGGACATCTGGGTGGGTATGAGCCCCCTACTTCGTGTACCCGAAGACTGGAAGCAGCACTCACACTGATCTGAATGATCCATATTGTGTTTTGGCTATAGCAGAATAGCAAGTGAAGAGTAGGTTTCAGTGGTTAGCAGCGAGACTGTGGGAGTGTTCTTTGAATATAATGTAGCAATAGCATCAGCTACACGATCTACTGACGGAGGATTGCTATGCTTACGTCTATATACAGTGCTTACTAAATAATCGTTTAACTGACTCTTCGAGCTAACCTCTTAGATCTTAGCTATTCTGTCAAATATGGGTAATGAAACCCCGGAAAATGCAATTTGCTAGACATTTAGGCATTTCAATAATACGTTACGATTTTTTATAGCGGCGGGAAGTGGGCCTAAACAATTATTTGGTGGGCACTAAAGCGTAGGCTTAGCGGGCAAACGCCTAATTTGCCCCACCTCTGGCATGGACCCCTCCCGTTTCTAGGATGTCCAAGCCACAGAACTCTGGTGTGGACTGCACGGCTGCCGGTTGTTAGCGTCCGTCCCTCACCCTCGGTCCTAAATCCGCTATGACTGGCCACATCTTTATCCCCAGCATCCTTGACCATGTCGGAAACAGTCACACCGATACAGAAGGGACGTTCATTGGATCAAAGAGTCGACCAGGGTCCCGCTGTCTATCATAATAATACCATCTTGTATTGCCTGTGTTTTGTTTGCTAGCCACGTCATCTTTGCATCCGGAGCGGGGTACCTAGTGATGGCTCGACTTATTACCCTCTGATATAGCTGGCTTGGCATGTACAGGTACCTAATCAGCCTCAATTTGAACTTTCCGAAGGTTAAACACGCCCACGCACCGATCCTGGCCAGCCCCCCGGCTCCCTTTGGGTGAAGTGCTGGACCTCCTTCCCCCCTTCCCCCCTGTGCAGCAGCTTGTTGGTTACACTTTCCCATCTCCTTTCACTACTTAGGCATGCGTCTTAAACGAGGGCAGCACACGATGCAAATCCGCCAAAGCTCGCGACTCAACCCTGCGCCACTCACTATGGCTTCCCCCTATTCTGCGGAGAACAAGGCTCATTCGGTCCAGATGGAAGTGCAGGTCACCATCGACGGGGTGGATTATCTTCTTATCCCCAACGGCAATAACTTCCTTTCCTTGGAGGACGACGGTGGTGTGACACCTGCATTGGTGTATGTGACGAACCCCGGACAAAGGATCTCTTCCAGCATTCTGGAAGAGTTTAAGGAAACCGTCCTCGACAAGGACGACGTGTTCCAGCCTGAATTCTTCCGCAATGTGCTGTTCTACGGCCATCCTAAGGCCGATCTGGAAGTAGATCCGGATATCCAGAGCCAGCTGAAGTCGCAATGGGGGACTATCTGGCATGATTTTGTCGAGGGAGATTTTGATGCCGATGTCCGGCCCGGACCTTATGTTTTTACGCAAGGAACAACCTGGCAGCCATGGAGAATATACCGTGATACTCATGGCGCGTTCATGAATACCTTTAAGCCCGCACCGGACTCTACAGGAAGATAAGTGCTTAGGACTCGGGGGGGTGTATAAAAGCCTAATCTTATTGTGCGTATACATTAGTGACACTGGATACGCCACAAGCCGGACTCGGCGGACGAGTTGTCGTGCCGTCACGATGTTACTTTAAACCTTCGCCCGAACGGCCGCTGGATGGAGCCCGAATTAGTGTCAAAGACAACATCGATATCGCCGGACACAAAACCACTCTCTGCAATCGGGCATGGCAGGAGCTGTATCCCGCTCGGTCCGAACACGCCGCTTGTGTGCAGACCATGATCGATGCTGGGGCCGTCATTGTGGGGAAGGTCAAGCTACAAGCCATGATCATGAGAGAAGAACCTCTGGAGGCGGTTGAGTTCACGGCCCCGTTTAACCCCCGTGGCGATGGATACCAGGTTCCGTCGGGGAGCAGTCACGGAAGTGCGGTCAGCATTGGTGCCTACGATTGGCTGGACTTTTCCTTCGGATCGGATAGTTTGTCTCTCCTGATCTTTGCACATGGTGGCTTTCAACTGACATAGAGTCAGCTAATGGCAGCGGCCGCAAGCCGGCGCAATATAACGGCTGCTTTTCTATCCGCCCATCCACAGGGATTATGGATACCTCCGGCGTTGTGGGACAGTTCCCGTGTGTATACTGATATGCTGACGGGGACGGAGGGTACCGATACTAACTGGCTATCTAGCCTCTTCGACATGCCGGTCTTCTTTGGCCGTGATCTTGGAAGATTCTCCGAGTTCATCTCCACGTGGTACGGGAAATCACCGGACCTCCGCCAAGTGTCTAATGCGAGTTAATCCTATGGAGTCAAGGTCTATGTGCCTGGACTAACACCTTGATAGTTCTCTCTGCGCATTCTTTATCCCCAGGACTACCTTCCAACCACAAACCCTGCACAGACCAGACTCATCGACAAGTTTGTCAAGGGCTTAGAAAAGGCGTATCGGGTGAAGAAGGAAAGCATTTCCCTGGCGGAATTGTGGAAGGAGGAACATCCAGCCGGGGAAGCTAATACAGATCTTGCAGAGTATCTGCGATTGGTAAGTCTTTCCTACTGCCATTGACCAGTCGAGATAAGATTTAAACCTGTGTAGACGGGTGGATACCCCTATTATTATGATTCGTACAAAGATCTAGAACAGTTCCGAGTCGAGTACGAAAAAAAGTACAACAAACCGCCGTTCATCCACCGGGCCATGCAGTGGCAGTGGTGAGTATCCTCCAACTCGCCGCGTTATGGCATTACATCATGATCTTAGACTGAAATTCTCCTGCACCAGGGACGTCTCGCGGAAGATCTCTCTGAGCGAGCGAGACATGTACTGGGACCGTTCGGAGAAATATCGAGAATGGCTTCTTTCAAGTGTCTTCAATGCCAAGGACCACAACGAAGTCACCGTCATGATCTTCCCCATTGAGGCCGGAAGACCTAACTACCGAGATTCAGAGTTACCGTTTGTCCTCCCCCATATTGCCCCCGGAGTCCCTATTGATATTAACATCCCGGGTAGTCCTATGGGTATCCTCAGCGGTTATGCATCGCTGAATATGTCGCCGATGATGCGGGCCCCTGAATTGACCGCTATAGGTGAGTCGATCCGCCCCAACAGGTCCTGGAATCAAGTCTTTGACACACAGCGTAATATAGTGGGCGAGTCGAATTATGTATCGAATGTGACCAAACGCGAAGAGCCGTTTCCCATTGCTGTATCTGTGATCGGAGCACCTGGTATGTGTCTTCCTGAAACTTAGGATCGTGTCGATACGGCAATGAATTGCTGAACCACCGCGTATAGGAACCGACTTGATCCTTGCAGATATCGTTCGGAAGGGAATGGAGGCTGCGGAAATCCCGACTACGGTGAAAACTGGGCGTTTCGTACACGATTGAAAATTGCTTTGGGCTATATCTGGGATAGTTTGGGTCAATTAGGAGTAGTTAGTAGTGGCAATCCTTCAACTACGTATCTATCACTCGTACTGGCTCTGTCTTGGCGGCGCCTAAGAATGATTCATTTCTACGAGTAAACAGAAATGCCCTTGTTAAGTCTGGGAGTAACAGGATCTCTTCGCGCCCAAAAAAAGCGGTCTTAGCGATGTCTAAGCCTCCTTTGGATTCCTACTGCACCTGATTCAGACCAGTACAGCGCCGCTAGCGATCCTTCAGCCTGAAAGTCGAGGCTGATGACAGGAGGTGATTTGCCGCCCCTGTTCCTCAGCTGTTTGCCTTGTTCCCTTCCCCCGTAGGTAGAAGGGGCATTTAATGGTTCGTATTCCCCCGCCAGATGGTTCATAGCTAGGGTACAGACCGTGGCATACATTACTACGAGGTCGTAAACTATCACTCCAATGGTTCCACATCAAGGTACTCGCCGGAAGGTCACCTTCCCTTCTCTAAATAGATTCTAACGCAGCCTATCGAGCAGGTCCCTCATTCCGACAAGCCGTCGAACGCCTGCACCAGCAGTCCAGCGACAAATCTGTATATCCACGGCCGGATCTCTATAGCCTGGGCCAGTACTTGAAGTCGTCGCCTAATCCCTCAAAATTTCCGAATGCGACGACCAGTGGCTATTTGACACCCTCCCGCTCTTCCGAGGGAGACAAGACATCGAGCTTCGCGGTCGTCCATGATTTAAACGGGGGCACCGCAACGAGCTTTGGACCGTCGCCATCTGAGCTGGCGCAGTTTGCGAATCGCCCGTTAACCCCCAACCCGGCGATCCTTTTCCTCCGAGGCCACGCCTCCCCCAATGGCTGAACTGCGTTGGTGATAAATATGACATTAACCCGGAGCTGTTTCACCGTCATATGCAATTCCCTCCGTTCGCCCTGGGCGATCGAGACTTGTATGCGTCGCCCGCGTTGCCCTCATCGTCCACGCGGGTCTTTCAACTGACTATCTCCACGATCTGCGACCGAAACGTGACCGGTACCCCCTACGAGCCCGAAGATCTGGAAGACGCCCGTCGCAGTGAGGTAGCGGCTCTGGAGGCATACTTTCGACGGCTTCGTAGCGAAGCGCAGGTCACGGATTCCTGGGTGCGCAACTGCCTCCTCTTCAGTAACCGCGAATATATTCTCGAGCAAACCATCTCGATCGAAGTGGGCCCCTCGCAGGGCGACCCCTGGCGCGCGGTCGTCTGGCTCGACAATGGGACGGACCTCGCGCGAAGCGTCGAAGGACCCTGGAGTCCCCGTCCCAATACCCGGTCCTGGGAGACCTTCTTCTATCCCATCATCGTGCACCAGGCCAACAGCTCCAGTGGCACGCCTGCGCCCGTCCGCGGGCGCTCCTCCTCGTCATCCTCGACGGTGCGGTCCTCGTCCGCACCCAGGCTGGAAGACCCGTCCATCTCCCCGCCAGTCCCCAGCAACGCTGCAGCAGGCACATCGTGGAAGGCGGCGCAGAATATCTGCCTGCTTCCCTTTTACTACGGGGCGAAACTGGACCGCGAGACCGCCACCCAGGACGCCGTCTACGCCCTCAGCGAGGTCTTCCAGTTCGCCGCGTCCTCCGAGCTCCAGTTCCTCAACTTCATCCACAAGCGCATCGATCACGAGCTCTCGTTCATCGGCCAACATACCGTCATCCGAAATAACTCGGTCTCCCTGGTGAACCTCCGCTACATCAAGAAACACCTGGACTCGCACGCTCAGCGCCTCGCGGATGTTGTAACCATCCTGCGCAACCGAGACTCGCTGGACTGGCCATGTGCCCCCGGGTCGCAGAAAGCACAGCATACAGCTCGTCTGCTCCTCACGGACTTCGATTACCTCCTCGCCCGGGCGGAGGCCTTGGCCCGAGCGTGCGAGCACGGGATGGACACGCTCGGGAACAGTTCCGTACTGGAGGAGGCGAGACGCTCGACGGAAAATGCGGCGCGCGTTCACAAGCTGACGGTTATCGCGACTATTTTCATTCCGCTGTCATTTGCCTGTTCGCTATGGGGGATGAACTTCAAAGAGTTTGGTACTGGGAACCAGCCATTGTGGCTATTCCCCGTTACGGCCGCTCCGGTGCTCGTAATTGCTGCTGTGATATATTGCTATGATTTGATATTGTTCTGGTATAAGCAGGCAAAGCACTATGTGTACAAAAACGATATGGGCTGAGGCGGCTGATTCCGGCCCTGTCGGCACAGACTTTAATTCCAAGAGTATCTCTCAACCGTACCGTTGCGATGCTACGCCTTATACGGACTCGGATTTTTTTGAGTATCTTGCAGAACGTGCTAGAGTACGCGCTAAGTAAGTCAGTCACTGAGTGTTGAGCTCCCCCATTTGTAGGTTGGGTTAAAGGTGAACCGTGAAGTAAAGACCAACTGAAAGTAGTAATCAAGTAAGAATGTACGATTAATCGCGAAGAACTAAATGTATAATGCGAAATAAGTGTCTTTATATATCTAGCCCTTCGTGGTGTAGTCTATAGTCAAGTCTTAATAATGACCACTCAGTCAAAAATTGGTGAATTTGTTATCAAAATGTATAGTTCATGTAACCGGCCCCTTTCATAAATTACTATTTATTACGGACCCTCGTTATTAGTAATTTATGAAAGGGGCCAGTTATCCCGCTAATGAGTTATCTCATTTAGCTTCTAGTGACAGCTAGACTCAGGTAACCTAGCATAGGACCTTGAGAGGAAGGCCTTACTGACGGTATTTCCTCCACAGATTCACTCTCGGCAAGAAATACCCGAGTCTTCTTTCATGGAGGTCCCAGAGGCATGCGACACGGGGTTAATATCAGCGGGGGCACTTTCAGTTTTTGGTGTGGACCGTCTTTAGCTTCTTTCGTGGAGGCATACATAAATTGTCCTTGGTAGTAAGCAGATGTTAGTGAAATGGCATCATGTATATATTTCAAGAAGAAGAATTTTTGGGTCGACTTACTGGGTCAGGCTTGGTCTCAGAAGCCTTCGCCGGAGCTAGACTCTTCACGGGCATCTGTGTGGGGCCTTTCCCTTTCTCAACGAATAGTTCATCGATATTTTTGAAGGATATCTGTCCGAATAGAGAGTCTTCAGGTTCCGTGCGTACGAGATGACGAAAGTTAGGGTTGTCCATGATGGAAGCGGATGGACTCCAGGCAGAAGCTGATTTTGGGAGTTCGGGGGAAGAAACGCGGTTGGATAAAAGTCGTGAAAAGATTAGCGGTCATGAAGCAGAAGACAGATGCCCAAAATATTTAGGAATTTTCAACCGTAAGGTCCATGTCGGACTGTGAGGCGAAGATCAAGGCTTGAAGATATGAATGGAAGTTGCAGCTTCGCTCGCAGATGGGAGATCCCGTTTCGAAAATCGTTGCAAAAATACTATAGCCCAGTGTATTTGAGGGCGACACACATACCCTTTTATCTTCTCTATTTTCTTTTCAATCAAGCTTAAATGTTGGTCAGACTTGTTTGACCGAGTCATCTTATTTTGATCGGCCTCTTGCGGTAAATTCCACGTGGCTACTCTAGATATATATCTCGAGGTCAAGAGTCGACATACGAGCGTTCTAGACGGAAGGTGCCGGTTTAACAAAGACTCGACAATATAACACGGTTTCACCACACCTTAATTTAGGGTAAATATACACTGGTGTGGATACTTGGATATAGAGATCAACTAGAGCTCTGAAATTGGGAATAGACTCTCTTGGCGGGGTTGGCGACGAGAGAAGCCTAAACTAAGATGGAAGGCTAAAGTACGTTTCAAATATACAAAGACTGTAATTATAGAATGCCTTGAAAATCCTATATAAAAGGCTACGTGATCGTGGCTTCCGGTGCGTGTTGTGATATTCCTTCAGTCAACACCGCTACCGAGCGACCACCATTAGTAGACAAGTTGCGCTAGCCCATATAGGCGAGTTCCTTCCCCAATCTGGATTTATTGCCGCAGCATCTTGGTAGGAATTCAAATACGAGGTATTGTAAGGTACAATAAAATCAAGGCGAGACAAGCGAGATATATCCATCAAAACCCACCGCGTCTGCACAAACGATCTTTATCCAGTACCTACGTGAGTGTGAGTTGAAATCCTTACGGCGTAGTATAGATTAAAAGCCTCGTAAATGTTCCAAACTCTCAACAAGTCACAACCCGGAGAGCTCTAGCATAGGCCTAAGTCTTCGTTCTACGATCGAAGTATACCTATATGATCCAGGAACTACGCTGTATGAAGTTAGAGAACTTTCAACTACCACCAATCCATTATACAACGACCTCTGGATGCAAGAGATGGAGAGCTGGAATGTCAACAGGATGTATCAAACTTTTCAGTCCAGGTAAAAATAAAAGGATTTATCATAAATGAAAAAGCCAGCAAAACATTAAAGTTGACTAGGGACAAACCCTTGTTTTGGGTCGCCAGGCTAGTCGCATTGCCTTTATTGTCTTACCAATATACCATTGCCTTCTTTTTTTACTCCTTATTATTATCCTCTCAAAGATAGAAACATTCTGATTCTCAAATTAAACATGGCAATGGGCTTGGAGAAAGCGGCGTTAGGTGGAAGTGGCTAGGCGCCACGGCCCAAACATCATGATTGTATTTGTCCATCATTTCTCCCTCAATTTTCTTATTTTAATTCTTCAATTTGTTCAGAATTGTCTATATTGGCTCCTGATCTGATACATCTCCGAATCCTCTCAATCCTAAGCAGATTATTTGAACCCTTTCCTGACGCCCCTTGCTAGCCGGCCTCGACCCAAACCGATATCCGCACCCTCAGGGCCTCAAAAACGCTGGATAAAAATTAGTGAGCATCCATTTTATGATTTGGTAACTTCAGACACATGATCAGAAAAGAAGTAAAATAGGCTTTACGAGCGATTGGATGTGAAGGACTCAAAGGGATGTATTCAGGGACGGGAATGTGTAAGGAGCTGGAATGCGAGAAGCTCTCTCTCGTGGCAGATGGATTCGACGCTCTTTGACTGGCTAGTTTTCGGAATACTTCCGTTACTATTGGTCAGTTCAAAAAGCTTGGAGCCGGACAACTCTGTGGCTCCAGTGGAATGAAGTTCAGGTGAGTGGTTTAGTCATCTATTCAGAATTTCTGTTCTTTTGCGTCGCTTATTCTTGACCGAACATGAAAGTAAAGCTCCTCAAAAGCCACAGTATGAAGTGGCAATCTGCTGGGCAAATAGAAGAGCTGGATCTAATTCCTCTACAGTTAGTCTCCATGGTTACAAATTCCTACACTAAGGGGCCGGCCCGACCTTGACTGTAGTGTGCATTCTATAGTGATTGTTGTTGATCAACAACACTATTATCCGGGAGCTCAACGTCTATTCTCAACATCTGTAACTACACTCTCCTTAGATATAAAAGGCTCTATCTTTTGGGCACTCGAATATGTTCCCCATCGCCAATTCAGTCGACAACATTCGCCAACCCGGAACTCCGCCATCTTTCCTTTTCTAATCTTGACATTGAGATTCAATTGCTGTCTCTCATTAAGCTTCGCAATTACATTTCAGAACCACATTCATTTAAAACATCGTCTGAGATGAAGACAGTCATTTGGCTCTCGTTTTTCGGTGTCGGTGCGCTCGCGCATCCATCGGGTCTGGTGAGTGTCCAAAATTCTTGATGACTACGTGAACATGAACCAATCTAAACGAATTTAGTGGTGGGGCACTGATGAGTGCTACCCAAGCCCGGAGAATACCGACAATCAGTGCTTGGAGCCTCAGAAGACTGGTTTTGACTGGTCTGACCTGGGCAACGGAGACTATTGGAGCTACGAGGGCTTCAATTTCGTTGGCTTCACCCCCAACGATGCCTGTGGATCTTCCGGGGTAAGTCGGCCGAGACTAGGTCATTATATGCACAATGTTAACATCAATAATAGGGCAAGTGCATCGAGGGAAGGCTTTCCCGCGACGATGACTATGCTATCAGAGTGGAAGCGACCCAGGCGCCGTTCTCCGTCAGCAACCTCCATCTCTCTACCTCGCGGGACACCCCGGTCATCCTCAACTACCAGATGGCAGATGGCTCTATCTGTCGCCAGCATGCTTTGGGTTCGACTAGCGGAGCTGATATTACCAACGAGCAGTGTGGTAACGCTGTTGCCGTGGAGTTCACCTTGCCCGAGGACAGCCAGTTCGGCGAATGTGATATGAGCATCCATCGTATGGACTTTGACTGTTCTACCGGAACAAAGCCTCCCACGGAGATTCCTCCTCACTCGTCGCATACTCATCCAGAGTCTACTCCTACTCCTTCAACGTGCACCTCAGGTACAACCACGGTGCCCACCGAGTCTTGGACCAAATCGACAGTGTGGACCTCCGAGACAAGCAGAGTGACGGTGCCCACGGTGCCCACCGAGTCTTGGACCACTTCGACAGTTTGGACCACCGAGGAGATCACAGTTACATCTTGCGCACCCACAGTTACTGACTGCCCTGCGCACTCTACTACCGTGGTTACTTCCACATATGTTGCATCTACTACCGTGTGTCCGCCTCGTCCAACAACTGATCGCATAACCGAAACTCCTCCAAGCCCGACCAACCCAACCAGCCCTACTAGCTCCAGCCCGCCAGTTGTCCCTGCTCCATGCCCTGAGATTGTCCCCAAGTGCTTAAACACTTGGCTCTCTGTCCCCAAGTGTGACTCCAACAGTGATGCTGCCTGCTTCTGCCCGTCTTCTGAGTTCACTGAGAAGGTCACGACCTGTATTCATTCTTGGGGCACGTCTGAGAAGGAGGTCGATTCTGCACTCTCCTACTTTGCAGGTATCTGTGCGCCTTACGTCCCCAAGAACCCAGAGATTATCGACATTGTGCCACCCAGCAACACTCCCACGGATGAGGTTCCCCATCGTACCGTCACTGCCCCGGCTCCTGGTGTGACTGCGCCGCCACAGGATATTACCCCAGCCCCCACCGCGCCCAAGACCCCTTGCACCACCATGTCTTGGTCCTCGCGCACTGTTACCGCGCCTTTGGTTGAATTCAGCACTATTCCCGTTGGCACCACCTCTACCGTTGCCTTGGTGCCTGGTACCATGACCGACACCCACCCGACGACCAGCCATCGTACTTGTTCAACATCGACGACTTCCACTTCAACTTTCTCTACTTCCACTAGCTCCAAGACCACCACCTGCATTACCCATGCCCACAAACCCACGGCGACCATTCCCCTTTCTAATGGCGGATCACGGGTATCGTTCCCAAGCATGTGGGCCTTTGGTATGGTCTTTGCTGTGATGTGGCTCAAGTAGATCATTTTTCCTTAAACTTCTTCTATATACTTGACTTGGTTCGAATAATAGTCAAATATAAGACAAGCTTTTTGCATGGGATGTGTTTCAAAAGTTCAACTAGTGTAAAGGTGGATGCCGGCGACTTGGCCCGAGATTTGATTCGACTGCAGCGCTCCGATCTCTGTCTCAGATCTATTCCACTTACTAAAATGCCTAGAAAACTAAAACCATACTAGCACCGGGTATAAACAGTGAACTATCATCACATAGTTCATTTAGTAATGAAGTGCCGGACCTTCCCCAGACTCGCTCGGCAAGTGGAGATCGGGAGGGGCAAATAACTCGACGTCTCCCGCTTCATTCAGAATCTAAGCGTACGGTTCTCTCCTAAACTCAGCATCTATGGAGAATCACACCGATAGTCCTCGAAAAAGGATCCGTCTTTCCTTTGCGTGCAATTACTGCCGCTCAAAAAAGACCCGCTGCGACGAAGAACAGCCATGTCGAAATTGTCGTCAGGCGGGGGTAGAATGCATCACCACAGACAAGAGACGCGCTGGAGCGCTCGTATCTAGCAGACGACGCACCGTCACCGCAGAATCACCATCTCAACAAGCAATTCCAAGGACACCAGACTCTCATCTTTCAACCGCCACTCCCTCTGCTAGTCAAGACCGCCCGCGACTATGGAGCCAGTGCTGGGGACGCGAAGGCTGGAAAACCGGTCGTCTCCCAATGATGCCGCGATTCGTCGGAGCCAGTACGGTGGAACTCATGACTGAATGGCTCGATATGGCCTTTTATCGTCTCCAGGGATCAAAGACCCATGCTCTATCCCCACAGGTGAATCAGGAATTTGCAGCCGAGGTTCCCGACAAAGCCCCTGAATTGCCTTCGCTGGAGGAAGTGCAGGCTTGTATGAACAACTTCTCGGATACTCTCGGCCAGCTTTTTCCTTTCCTTGACCGGAGCGTTACGGAGGCGCTATTCACAACCGAAGAGCTGGCATCTACGGTACACCCATGTCGACCCTCAGGCGTGTCCCAGCGGGCACTGATCTATTTGACGGTCACGGCCGGAATGATGGCCATGCCCGCATCGGAAGGCTCACAAAGTCTAATTTCGTCCTACATTGCATATTGCAATTCATTGCTAGGCCATATTGTTGCCACACGCTCCCTCAAATCAGTACAGGCTATCCTTCTCTTTGCAATGGTCCTTCGCAGCTGTGACAAAATAGCCTGGGCTTGGGATATTCTCACAATGGGCGTATCGATGGCCCAATCCATCGGTATTAATCAAGCCCGATCTCCGAGCTCAACTCCTGCTGGCCCAGCAGATAACCAAGGATTCAAAACGTGGTGGTCCATGTATGTCTTTGAAAAGATCCTGTCATTTGAACTAGGCCGTCCTTCCATGGTATGGGATCGCGATTTGTCGGGGACGCTTGCGGCATCTGTTCTACCCGAAGCTCAAGATGACTCGGATCAGCAATTTTGGCAGGCATCTACCAGTCTTTCAAATATGCTTCATGAATTGCAGGAGCGATCAGCAAAGGCATGGAGGCGGGAAGCTTGGTTGCCTCAAACGGTTGAGCAGGCAATTGAAGAGAAGCTTCAAACTGGAGGGGAACTTTTAGTTTTACTTTGTGAATGGCAGCAGAACTTGCCAGATAGTCTAAAGTACGTGAAAATTACCTGCAAATCGTGTCGAGAAATCAGCTAACAGATCTCCTTTCAACTTAGACTCCGGTCTACGGCCATCCCCAGTTCTTGTAATGGAGCTCGATCAGCGTTCCTCGCCTACTATTATAACCTCGGGTAAGATTCGGACGCTGTTCTCCTTTGGCAAAGTTGGCTAACCTCCGGAAATATAGTGTGATTTTGGTACATCGTTCAACTCTTCTAGTTGACCCAAATGAATTACGTGAAGTGGTCGAGAGGTTTGCACCGGACAAACCATGGCGTCAACGCCTTCTCAGCGGACCTTCCGTGATTACCGAGGCAGCTCGGGAAATGATCAAGCTTTTTGTTCCACTCGTTGACTCTGGAATTCCCAATTATCTCACGTTGATGACCTCTCCACTTGCTGCAGTATACGCTCTTGCAGTTTCCATCGTTCGGGAGCAAAAGTCACTACTCGTTCGATCCGATTTTGAGGTGTGTCGGTGTGTCTATATTAGATAAAATTTGCTAACTGTTCCGCTAGTTGATGAAAGCTGGTATGCAAATCAGCCGACAGCACTACCGAAAGCATGGCACGGTGAACAACTTCGACGATATATTGCTTGACCTGGAAGGATACATCTCCCACCTTCTCGAGGCACCAATGCCAACCCGACTCGAATTGACGAGCTTGAGTTCTGCGAATCCACTTCTCAACGACTCCCTGCTAGACGACTCATTACCATTTACGTCCCTTGCAGCACAGTGGGGACCCTCCGCTCTTGACTGGGCAGGTTGGGATTGGAATGATTTGAGTCATTTATTTCAACATAGTGAATGAACAATTTATTCCGACAATAAATACATGAATCCGTCAGTAAAGATCTCTCTTCAATTTTCCCCGCTCGTCCAAAGCTTAAGCCATCTGCTCGAGGTAAGGAATACCAGTCAACTTGAAACCCCGATCAGAGAGCTGCACCGGCTCACGAGGAGAAGAGCGCTGGTATGGGTCTGCCTCTCCGTTCCTGTACACCGGGAGGTCAACAACGTGCATCGCGTTGGGCCAGTGGGTGGTCATCTTGGTCTCCTCAAAGGCCTTCTTCTTGATGAGGAGTTGCTCCTTAGTAGCATCTGCGACGGGCATGAAGCAGGTGTACACGCAGAAGCGCGGCTGGTTTGTCTCGGAGGAGACATTGTAGTGAGGAGTGCGAGAGTCCCCTGCATAAGTCTTGTTAGCTTCATAGATGATGAGAAAATGCTAGAATGTAAACTTACAAAGGAGAAGGTCACCGGGTTCAGCCTCAATCTTGATCCACTCGCATCCCTTCTTCTCCAACCACTTTAGGCCCTTCTCTGTGAAGCCATACCACTCCTTGGTCCTGAAAGCATAGTTAGCATCAGTAATACCTCTTGAGCAATAGTGCCGGTAAAACTTACCAAGACCAAATCTTCTCCTCCTCATTCTTGAATTCCTCATGGAACTCTTCACTCAACAAATGCGCCCCCTTGCATACAATCAAGCCACCATCCTTCGGCCCGTTAGGAAGCAAGTTGACCAGACCCTGCAGGCAGCGGAATCCAGGCTTCTCAGGGTCCTGATCCTGGTGGGGCCAAGGCTTGTTTGGCTGAATGTCCTTGCGGTTGGGGAATCCAATACCAATGGAGTCGAAAGAGACGATAAGGTCCGGGGTATCATAGACCTTCTCGAAAGCCTCGATGACGTTGGGCTCTTGGCGCACGCCCCAAGTAAAGGATTCGTGAGAGACGGCGTATCCCAAGCACATACCCTTCTCGTTGATATCGGGAAGGTGGTCTTTGTGAATAGTCGAGGGATCATCTCTCTTGAAACCGAGGTTGCTATTCAGTCTTGGTTAGCACGCGATAAAGACACCACAGGGGGTATGAACGTACAAGCCCTCCAGCCACTCATAGATACCATCGGCATACTTCAGCGCCCGCTCGCGGGGAACGGCGCCCTTGACAACGGCAAAGCCATTTTGCAGCAGGTCATCACGGAAGTCTCCATACTTCACATCCGTGCCCTTAGAAAACAATCGTCCCGAAGGGGCGGTAGTCACGGTTTCCGTTGTCGAGCCCATTTTGCAATTGTTCACATGAAACTTGTTTGGTAGAATAGAGTTTTTTTCTGAGAAAGTCCAAACCTTTATACTTTGTTGACCACTTTACCCCATGATCCGAGTTGGACACACGATCCAAGAACCTGGGGACTCCGGTCCGGCTGGCCGGTTCGGCTCGGCTGGGGTCGCTTGGTGGGGCGAGGAGCTACACAAAATGATGCATTGACCTCGGCCATTGCGATCAGACGAATGATAGCGCCTGGATAGCAATCGAGGTTTGAGGCTTTGTTTCTGTTCGTCGGCTATACACTCGACTGCATCACCCTGCCTTGTTGTCTGCCCCAACACGCCCACATCCCGGGGTTCACCAAGGTCTACACTGAAAGTGGCGACTAGCGAATCCCCCTCTGAATCAAAGCTTGACACTTGAAATATGATCATGTTGAATAGAAGAGGTACTGTTGATTTCGCAATTGCAAGTGGCACGGACATTATGGGGCCTGGGGGCACTGGGCTACAGAGATGCTATTACTATGTTCTTCGTTATCTATGTAGTTTGCAACGGGCTTTAGGATCCGGCTACTGGCACGATAAATTAAGTCTAGTTCGGTTGGCATAGTCTCTGTCGAGAAGTCTGAATCTAGCCCACAGGAAAAGTCTAGATAGATACGCTTTAACTTACACCCTTTCAAACGATTTTTCCTAAACGTCTTTTATACTATCTACTATGACAACTTTAGGATTTTCTCTCGAGCTAATTCGTGGGTTATTATGAACAAACGCGTCAAATTTTTAGCTAGAGAATAGTACAGAGAGTGGAGCTGCACGTTTACCCCGTACTCATTTAAACTACATCTTGTGGACTTCAGGGATAGAAAAATAAAAAATTAATTCACAAAAACAAAAAACTATGGCATGCACTCAGTCATTCCTCAGTTCACCTTGTCATCAACACCGCACCACTTCTGAGCAAACCGTCTGATCCGAGGTCCCAAGAAGAACACCGGGACAGCGATAAGTGCAAATACAGCACAAATGACCACCTCGACAATCATGGTACCATCATAACCAAGGGTATGAACAGCAGGCAACGTAGCATAGCTGAGACCGAAGGAAATGAAACCTCTTCCAGCACAGATCACAACCAAGAACGGCGCAGCGCGGGTCGGGAAGCTATCCACGGCATAGGTAATACCAACGATGTTTGCGCCCAAGAAAGCGAAGAAACTAGCGTTGTAGCCAATGACGACCGCTGCCGCACTCCATTTCTCCGGGTTTTCAGCAGCCTGTCCGTAAATAATTCCACAGACGATGCCGACAATGGCGGGGATGATGATAACTGGCAGACGGTATTCAGGCTTGTAGAGGCCACCATTGCGACGACTGAAGAACTTGATCACGAGATCACTGCCGTAACCCAAGAGGGGCAAGAAGACGAGACAGCAAGCGATTTGTCCAGCTTGAACGTAGCCCAGGGCTTCAAAGGCAAAGGAGTACGGAGGACCCATCAGGATGGTTGAGAAGGTGGAGGCCTGGAAGACGTAAACACCGAGGTGGGCACCGTTCAGCAAGAGAAGCCAAAAGATGGTTGGGATAAGGAAGCCCTGCAAGATTTGCTTGTAGAAAGTCGGGATATCACGCAGACGGGGCTTCACAACGATGGGTTTGATGTCATCAATCCAGCGGCGAGGGGCGTACTGTTCGCCTCCATCGGTACCAGGCGCGCCAGAGATCTTGGAATCAGGCAGCGACTCCCCACGCATGGCCTCCTCTGATCGCTCAAAGTGAGACTCCGAGACGAAGATCACCGACAACACGAAGATGGCCGCGTTCATGATAGTGAAGAACCCGTACCACCATCTCCATCCCCAAGCACTGACCATGTAGGTGGAAATGACGAAGAATACGCCGGCAGCAACGTTTTGGATAAAGATAAACCAGGCAATCTTTCTTCCACGCTCGTGCAGGAAGTGAATCTCCTGGACAATCATTGGACTCAACGCTTCACTCTGACCGGCGGCAAGAGACATGATATTCCGACCAGCGATATGGCTTCCCAAACTCTGCGAGCATTGGCACCAAATGCCAGCGGCGATGAGCAGGAGCATCGATGCAAGGAAAACAGGTCGACGACCACAGGTAAAAGCGAAGGGCATAGCAATGAGGTTTCCAATACCCATGAACAGTGTCGGATAGGTCATGAGGTCGCTCGCGCGGGCTTCTTGTCCGGGGTAGGAAGCTTCGACAACGGTGAAGATAGATCCCATTCCAGAGGCAAGTACAACAGCTGTACAGCTGTAGGCGGAGACGAGGACAAGCAAGACCCATTTGCGCCATGCGGGCAGGTTCAATGGATCTTGGAGACGTGAGCGCTGAACGCATGCTTCATGGCTGGACTATAACATACCTCTAGGATCGGCCGATGGTGTCGGGATCAGCACCACCTCACCTCCACGCAAGAGCTCAACTTGTCCATCTCCAGGATGTCCAGACATCGAAGTGTCATGGGCAATTTCGACATGGGAGATGTCGGACTTGTCCATGTTGAGAAATTGGATTGAGCAGATTTGGAAGATTCAGGAGTCAGGCAGCGTCACCGTCGCACACGCAGAAACTATATGCATGGCAGCTCCAAGCGCATTTATAGCTCAATTGACTGGGACATAGCTACCCTTGTCTTCGCTTTTTCCTCGCTTCGATTAACCCCGTATCCTGGGGTACGTCCGCCCCACTCCAAATCCGGGGGCCCGGTTGATTCCCCAGTGCCCGCAATCCGAAGCGAAGCGAACCGAGCCGGGAAGTGGGCGAATCAGACGTTTCGAAACACTTTATTATGCGCAGTATCCTCGACGCAATTGTTGTGAATTGTGAAAAAAACAAAGCAAGGTTGTTCAAACGTTTCTTTTCCTTTCATAATGACTGTCAAATTCAATGTCGATGTGCCTTGTCAGGAGCTGAAGGCGCCGGAGGTTGGCCATGGAGGTTATCAAGAACTCAACCCACGTACCGAGATTCTCTCAAGCGGTAGTGTGACTGCACCTGGACGACGAGCTCTGTCTTGCGACATCCTCGTGGAACACGATGTTGCTATCCCCATGAGAGACGGGTGCAAGCTCTATGCCGACATCTATCGACCCACAACGGCCCGAGAGAGATCCGTCCCCGCAATTCTCTGCTGGAGTCCGTTCGGAAAGAAATTCAACGGCATTGACTCATTGAAGCTCATGACGCCTTGGAATCTCGGTATTCCCGATGGAACATTGAGTGGACTGGAGAAATTCGAAGCTCCTGATCCTGCTGAATGGGTGGATCGCGGATATGCCTTGATCAACGTTGACTCCCGCGGTGCTTTTGATTCTGAAGGCGTGATGGCTATCATGGGAACGCAAGAAGCCGAGGATGGATACGACACTATTGAATGGCTCGCTAAGCTCCAATGGTGCAACGGAAACGTCGGTATGGCTGGCAATTCCCATCTGGCGATTATCCAATGGTTTGTTGCAGCTTTGCAGCCCCCATCACTCAAGGCTATTGCCCCTTGGGAAGGCTGTGGTGACCTGTACCGTGAGCAATTTGCGCGCGGTGGAATCTATGGCGGAGATTTGTTCGACCACCTCATTATCAAGTACATGCTGCGCGGCCGCAATGGCATGGAGAGTTTCCGCAAGATGTTTGACCAACACCCTCTTGCCAATGACTGGTGGAACGACAAGAGACCCGACATGAAGAAGATCAACATCCCCACATATATCACTGGCACTTACACCAACACCATGCACGGCATGGGCGCCATCAGAGGCTGGCTCGAGGTTAACTCGCCGAATAAGTGGCTTCGTTGGCACCCATACCAGGAGTGGTATGACCTCTGGGGCAACCAAGAGGGACAGGAGGAGCTGTTGTCTTTCTTCGATCGGTACTTGAAGGGTATTGAGAATGACTGGGAGTCAACGCCGCGAGTGCGCATGTCTGTCCTGAGATATGGAGAGAAGCAGCCTTTGGCCGAGGTGGTTGAAGAAGACTTCCCCCTCCCACGCACCAACTACCGCAAGGCATACTTGACTTCCAACGGAGCTTTGAGCCTAGATCATCCGGTACCCAGTTCTGGATCGGTCTCGTACAACTCGGAGGATGCAAAGGACCGGGTGACTTTCACATATAAGTTCACTGAGCGAACGCAGATCGTCGGAATGCCCAAGGCTGTTCTGTGGATGCGCAACGACGACTTTAACGACATGGACGTGTTCCTCGTCTTGAACAAGCTGTCCGCTTCGGGAGAGCGGTTACTCAACCTCAACATCCCCTGGACCAACCTCCCAGTCGAGAAGATTGCCGATATCCCCGCGGACAAGCGCACCGAGGTCATTCTGTACCAGGGACCCACGGGTATCCTGCGAGCATCAAACCGGGATATTGACCCATCACGCTCAATGCATGAGAACTGGCCCTACTACACGCACGAGAAGGAAGAAAAGATTGAGCCGGGCACCGTGGTGCGTCTGGAGATCGGTATCTGGTGCATGGGTATCGAGTTCGAGGAAGGGGAGAGCCTAGAGCTTTCTGTGAGTGGAAGTTACCAAGGATTCTCGAACTTCGGAACAAGCGAACATACCCAGAACAAGGGGAAACACTGGGTTCACGCCGGAGGGGAGTACGATAGCCACCTGGTGCTGCCATTTGTATAGAGGCTTCTTGGACGATGTGTTTCTGTCCACGTATGATATTAGTAAGAAATTAAATAGAGTCAAATTACATGAAGTTTTTTTCAATACCATGGTTGTGTCAAATGTGTAGCCAGGGTAGTCCAAAGTGAAGTATCTTTCGTGGTCCCTTACTCTGGTGTATTGTAAGTCCCATATGAGCAGGGGAGAGGGCGGGAGGGACAAGAGCCATAGAACGGTCTGGGCAGGCTTATATCCCTGGATGTAAGGGATGCAGAAGTTCCGAGGTCATCAAGGGATTGAATTTAGATGGCCTCCTGAATTTTTCGATTTCCCTTGTATCCTCCTTTCTCTCCCAATCCTCGCCCTTGTCTTAACTTTTAAGCCTCGAATCTTAACGATAATTAAGCTACATCCCTGTCCCAGAATCGGACTAGCCGGTGGGGCATCCCGCATTTAGATGGGCCTGGCCCGTGGAATCGGACGCCGCTTAGTCAGGATTGACCTAAGGCATAGTTAGTTAGTTACTTATCAGTAGGAGTTCAGGAATCTACAAATCTATCACCGTCGGGAGCACTGTCAAGCTTGTATGATTTACGTGTAAAGCACGGGCTTACCAGTTGACTTGAACTTCCACTGTGCCCATGAGTTAGTGTGGTTTAACATGGACACAACATAAAAGTGTGATAATACAGCGGGTTTACTCGAAGAACTTGATGGACTACTTGGGGTCTCTATAAGAAAACCACAAAGTAAGACGTTGGTATGATCGGGATCCATGAAAATGAAACATTAGTTGCATGAATGTAAAAAGAAGAAGGTGTTCCAATGCCAGCGTCCCGGATCATTGCCCCGAAACAGGCATTTGCAAACACACAACCAAAACGAAAATACCGAATCCAGTGTCGTAGCATCATTTGTCGTGTCATCGTAACCGAAAAAATAGCATTCACTACCATTGCACATAAATGCCAAATCACTTTAGCGGAATCCGCCACTCGGGAAAAACCTCGGCCCCGCATATCCATGGGCGATGATGCTCTGAATATCGATGTTGCCATCACTCCGAGGGCTCCAAAGTTTGATGAGAATGAACCGTCCGGAACTAGAGTAGATGTCAGTAACAGGAAATCAAGCGACAAACCCAAGCGTTCACATACGGAGGTGGATCAAACTTAATGCTGACCATGCTCTTCTCTCGCTCAATGAAGAACCGCGCATGGGGTTTCAACACTTCAAAAGTTGGCGAGACTCCGCTGGACCCTGCCGGAGCAGAAGATGGAGGGGGAATCGGGTTAACTAGGCTGGCCGGGCGACGTCTCTGCGTGGCTTGGAGGCGTTGTAGCTCGATGCGGCGTCGATGGACGTTACTCAGATTATTATCGTCGAGATCCTCGTCCTCACTGATACTGTCCTCGCTCTCCGAGCAGAGATCATCGTCTTCTTGAACTTGCTCCAGTTCAGCAACCGACGGGCGGTCCTCGTCTTCCCGTTCCATGAACAGATTGTCTTCTGGATATTCATCGTACTCGGTAGTGATGCGGAAATCGGCCTGTGGATCGTTTGCAGCCCGGCTGGCATTGTCGTTCTCCGATAATGCCTGCGAAGCAGGTCCCATGAGCACGGTTCGATCGAGAGATTGCAGCGGAGATCGAAAAGAGTTCAGGTATTCCTGGGATGGCTGTAAACCTGATCGGCGATTGCGACGGCGGCGGCGATGACTGGAGTATTGGATTTGATACTGGGCAGTGCGGGCAAGTAATTCATCGGACGTCATAGACACAAATACCATGCCTTCTTGAATTCTGCGATCGGTGGTGTCAGCAAAGTTCTAGTAAGTAGTAGACCACACGACATTAACATACGGTGAATCAAATCCGGTCCGCGGAGCTTTGATAACGATCTTCTTCAGGCAGAAAGGGGCCTCACCACGGTGCTGAAGAACAATATTGCAGCGATCGGATTTGGTGCAGTAGACTGACTGGTCATTCCGAAGAACATTATCCGGGAATGAACTATCTCCATCAGGATCGTAGATTCCCCCATCACAGCTGGCAATCTCCATCTTCAGAGGCCCGGGAACTACCTGGCCATTATGGCCATAGTTGAAACCTCGGAAGCCTTCTCGGTTATCATCCGCATCAAGCTTCCGTCGCTTCAACCGTCCACGGCCATCGCGGCCCGAGGAAGCAGAAGATGACTGTGGCATGAGGGGCGGGATGGGGATCGGGTCGGTGATATTGCTACTGCCTCGCAGGTCAGGACGGAACGAGCGACGACGAAGGCTTCTGCTGCTTGTTGTTGGGCGCGAAGGGTCTTGATAAGGATTTGTCCGGGCGGGACTTTGGGCATTGATGCCAAACTCGGCCCGCACTTGATCCCACAGCGTTCTGTGGCTCGACCTCAGAGATGCAAAATCGATCTGCGGGGGGCGTGGGATGTTGAAAGAAACCGGCTCTTCAGAATGAGGCTCACTGGAGCTGGTGCGATCCCGGATCTGGTCGAGATTATGCTCTTCGATTTCCCTATCCAAGGTTTCCAAAGCACGAGAGGTTTCGTCGGCGTTTGAACGGTTCCTTCCGGAATGAAGGAGACTCCGTAGGTAATGTAAACGGGCTCCGGTAGATGGCCTAGCAGTCTCAGCGGCTCGTGGATTCTCTCGAGGCGTCCCACCAGTCTGGTCCATATGTTCTTCGGATATCCTAAGCAGCTCGGACAGCGACTCCGTTGTTTCACCGCTTCCCACGTTCTCTATTAAACGAACCCAAGGTGACGAATTTGTGTCGGTAGTAGGCCGATTTTGCTGGGCATTCAAGGTGTCAATCAGGTCTTGGGTGTGTGGATATCGTTCACGGAATGACTGTTGACTGAGTTGACCGTCAAACAGACGAGGGGGTCGGGGCCAGAGTGAGGCAGGAGGATAGTCGTAGTTTCCAGAGTTTCTCAAGTTGCTCGAGTTGCCTGGATTTCCTGGGTCCCCTGGTGGATTCCCAGAATTTCCTGACTATTCGATCATCAATCAACGGTGTTCGTGGGGCTCGCAGAGATCGGGCACGAAACAAAGCACTTCGAAACATACCATCCTGGTGGGTTAGTCCGGGCGGATACCGCTTGGGAGTACCGGATTACCTTGGCGATCGGAGGGTTTTCCAAAAGGAAGAGAGACGGAGTCTCACGGAGTCAAGAAGGAGTAATCAGAGATACGCCCTGCAAAGGGCCAGCCAAAATCAAGAGCAGGATAGGTGTATCTCACTCAGATATGTGATGTGTTCGAGGGGAAAGCAGATGGCGCTTGCTACGTCTATGGTTATCGCATCCACGTGATCGCGGATTAGATCATACGTTTGTGGGGAGAGCTTGAGCTTCTTTCTTTCTATTCCCGTCAACAACCTCAAAATGGCGGAAGCAGAGAACGGTCAGGCCATCAGCGCAGGTAAGACTGACTAGGGCAGACTTTTTGATGAGTGCGAAATAGCGTCAAGATCTCAGATACTAATCGAGTTCTACTCTAGATGAGATTGCGCTCTATGACCGACAGATCCGGTTATGGGGAGTGCAAGCGCAGGAGAAGTGAGTCTCTCAAGCACGGCCAATCTGTCTAGAAAACATCTAATACAATCTCTAGAATTCGATCTGCGAACATCCTCCTTATCACCGTCAAGGCCCTCGCCAACGAAGTTGCCAAGAACCTGGTCCTAGCGGGCATCGGCTCGCTCACTATCATCGACCATGAACCCGTTACAGAGACCGATTTGGATGCACATTTCTTCCTAGAAGAAGCGCATAGAAATGAGGATATTATCAAGCAGGGAAAGAACGTAAATTGCCCTCTCCACAAGTATATCCATGACGGTTCCAATCTAATGAAATCCAACCCTAGCGCGCCGAAGTTGCCGGTCCTCAAATTCACCGAATGAACCCTCGTGTCAAACTCCACATAGATACCTCCGACGTGCGCAGCAAGGATCCCGCATTCTTTGCCCAATTCGACGTCACAATCGCAACCGAGCTAGACTTCGCTACGAATACCACCATCAACGCGGCATGCCGTATCGCCAACAGACCCTTTTACGCAGCCGGCCTGCACGGGTTCTACGGCTATGTCTTTGCCGATCTGATCTCACACGACTTTGTGATCGAGCGGGAGAAGTCGAACGGGCCCACGCAGCACCAGGAGACGCTCACGAGGAGCATCGTGAGTGTGACGACCAAGAAAGAGAGTGAGAAGGGTGAGAAGGGGAACAAGGGAAAGGTAATCGAGCTGGTTACCAAGCGCGAGATTTATTCTCCCCTGCAGTTGGCCAACACCTCCCCATTGCCGGAGGAATATACCAGACTTCCCCGGCGCCGGAAACAAGTCACGCCTCTGCTGAGCTGCCTTCGTGCGCTTTGGGAATTCGAGAAGATTTCCAACGGCAGACGGCCCAGCTTCGCGCATCAGGATTTGGAGGTGTTCACAAAGCTTGCGCGGGAGAGCCACCAAGAGTTAAAGCTGGATTTGGCCACGCTGGATTCCTCGTTCCTGCGCCAGTTCCTGCAGAACCTCGGCTGTGAACTTAGCCCAGTAGCAGCCTTCCTCGGTGGTGCCTTGGCTCAAGACGTGATCAACGTGTTATCTGCCCGTGAGCATCCACTACAGAACATGCTGCTGTTCGATGGCGAGAAGTCCATCGGCCCTATCTACCCATTGCACCCATTCTTCCCGCCAGAGCTGGACGTCGGTTCTCTAGCTGCAGTCCCACCGGTAGCTAACCCGATTGTATTGGACCCCACCACGACGACCAATCTTGCGAGTCATCCAGCTCCCAACTCTGCTGTCAATCTTACGATCAACCACACAGCCAATCCTTGATCTCACATCAGATATGTTCTCTTTTGGATACACGGGACAAGAGAGCTTTTTTCTGGTTTGGCGTACTATGGAATGATACACTGGGATTCAATGGGTTTGACGATTTTCTTTGGAACTTTGATTCCTCGGATAGATGATTGCATGTCTTTCAATGTACGATATCTTGCGGAATGCACTAGTTTATTACTGTTACAGATCTTCGGTGTCGGCTGTTCTCCTGAATTCCAACAAAATAGGATAATTCTCGACGCAAAAGAGACGGTTTGGGAATATTATCTCTCCCGAGTCAGTCTCAATCGTGATCTGGCTGTTGACAGTGAGTTGGAGAGCCTCTTGGTAAATATCAGTCCTTACATTCACTCATGAGGATCAGCAGGCTGGCTCTATACCATCCCTTGTTCCTTGTATATGACCTATCTCTGTGATGCATTGAATACGGGTAGGCTAATCAAAGCTACTTCGGGAGATAAATCCTAGGTTCACTAGCGACGTTGGTCCGCCAGTATTTACTCAACCACATACACGTATTCCGGTTCAAGATCTTGTGGATCCTCCATACTGCAATAAGTCTTTCTCGTGCAGTAAGATGAAGGAATCGGCCATATAAAGGAGGATATGTAACCCAAAGAAGAGAATACTAGAATATCTTATATTCATAACCTAGTTAACAGGATCATTGACTAGTCTATTATCTACTATCTAAAGCTGTACCTTTCTAAAATGACAACATTCTTCATACAAGTCAGTTCATTAAGATCAAGATCGAGGAGAGAATTGCTGATCTTGTGTAACAATGCTCAAGTAACTCCACGGCGAGTCTATATAGTCATTCCCTGCACTTATGTTCTGTCTCTGCATATCATGCAGATGTGGATTCAGCATATAGAAACCAATCACAGGAATTCAGTGAAATATTCCGATAGTTCAACAGAACTTTATTAACACCGAGAGCTCATCCGACTAGCATTCAAAACATACATTCAGGCGTAATCAATATGCTGCTGACGAACTCGAATAACCCCCCGCTACACGCCTCTTGAGTAATCGAGCAACCCACTTCCCACGCAAGTATTCCTCCTTAAGAAGCATTTCTACATCTACCTCCGCATATTCCACCGCCTATCTCACCACTCTACTAGACTTCGATGTGCTAACTACCAAAACGCATTTCACACCCATAGCTCCACATCCATCACGGCCTCTGTATGCACCTCGAAAAGCCCAATCATAACGAAATAAGTCACTCTACGTCACGCACGGCAGATTCATTACCACATACAGCCCTCAACACCCGGGAAAGGTATACGATTGGTATAATGCTATCCAAAGAGAGGGGGAAAGGGGTTTTATTATCGAATCGTCATAGATGGGTTAGGGGTATAAGTATCCGATTCCCATACTCATAACCTTAGTCTACCTCTAGCTCTATCTCTACCAACCTACTAATTATACTCCCACTCTCCCTAACCCAAACAACATCTAAGCTATACGCTTTCCGTCCTTCAAAAATGCGAGCATCAGCCGGAGACAGAATCACAGTTCGATCGAAAGTAGTAGGTCAGTAAATCTTGGGGAAGGCCCTTAGACCAATGCTAACTTTAGAAAGGCCAACCCGATAAAATCGGCGAAATCATCGAAGTTAAGGGTCCGGATGGGAACCCGCCGTATCTTGTGAGTCAAATTGTGCATAATCGGGATTTAGTGTTAGGATTGGTAGTATATGGTACTAACGTGTCGTCAAATCAAGGTGCGGTTCGATGATGGACATGAGAGTTTGATCTTCCCTGGGCCGGATGATATAATTGGATGAGTCAGTCATTCGAGATGAACTGGGATGCTACTCTTGTATCAGACTTGCTCTAATAAGTCAATACATCGATCGATGAACTGCCCTCCAGTTCCATATACAAGAAACCAACCCTAAGATAAAGGATTGAGAATATAAACAAGAAACAATATGTTCAATTCCATTAGCAACATATACTAGTGCAAACAGCACCCAAGAGTCCAACCGACCAACGCCTAGAAAATCATGCATATGATATGGCCCGTAACCCAGAATAACAAGTCACAGGATTACCCAACAGTAATGATAAGGAGACAAGTTCAAGACCGAGAAGCCTCTTTAGCACCCATCTCCTCGTCAGTCGTCTTTTTAGGTCGCATCGAGGAACCAGCTTCGTCCTCGTCATCACTCATCAGGCCCTCCAATTCAAAAGCCTCGGCGTCAGAAATGCGCTGGGCATCTGCGGTCCTCGTGCGGCCGTTCATGTAGTTGCCATTAGCGTTGGCGTACTTGTGAGCCTCTTCTTCTTCTTCCTCCTCGGGGGCACCCTCGGGCCAGGCGTGGACGGCGTAGATGTGAAGGAGGATGTTGACAACTAGAGCGGATTAGTAAGGATCAAATGGCGGGTGTTAGGAAAGGGACATACAGAGGAAGAGGATAAAGGCGATGCTATACAAGATCAAGATGTACGAGACGTGCATGATACCCGCCTGGCTGAGCAACTCCATCTGCTCCTCCGTGGCACCCATGAACAAGAAGCCAGAGGCATAGAGCAAGAAAGGCGTGAGGTACTGGAAGCTGTTCGGGTCGGCACCGCTAATGCTGACATTAGGCTTGTCACGCAGGACGAACGAGATCTCGATGATACGAGTCAGAGCTGCAGCCATCAGAGTGTATCCAAAGATACTATGGACCATAGTACTGATCATCAAAGTCTGGGTGTGCGCCGACATCGCATATCCAGTCAGACCGATAACGATAGCAGGAATCAAGTTCCTCTTGGGCCGGCCATTACGGCTACGGCTCAACCACATGCCCAGTAGACCGGCACACCACCAGACGATACCCATAGTGGTATGCTGGAGATCATTGTGGACCCAGGGACCGCCCCAGCGGTGTTCAGTAAAGGTATTGACGCAGCCCCACGCAGCGATAATCAACGAGTCGAAGAATTCTTGGCTCCGGCCCGTGCGGCGAAGCCAGTACTGACCCACCAGCAACAGAATAGTCAAGCAAATACCATAAGCAATGAAAGCACTGCCCATGATAAAATGCGCCAGACACTGTCCCATATGATCACCCTGGCAGAAGCCCAGGGCCGCAATACCACCAAACAGCATCTGCGTCCAGCTCACAATCGGCATGATCTTGCCGACGATACCGTGTGCGAGAACGAAGATCCATCGGATCCGACCCTGGCCTGCCTTTTCCAGATGTAACTTCAGGTAGAATCCAAGCACGACCTGCACGACCAGGAGCAGCATGAGCCAGTTTGCGAACGAGGCGTGGGCGTTTTTGCCGAATTGGCGACCTTTGTGAGCGTGACCGAGGAAGTAAGCCAGCACGGCGATGATGGTGCCGACGATTTGAACGGGGACGTGCCAGCGCGAACGGACAATCTAGAAGAAGCAGTAGATGTTAGAAAATATTCGCAGCGTATCAAACTCAAGAGCAACAACATACACCAAGAACCATTCCCAACGGGAAAATAATACCAAAGGCAGTACCCATAAGAATCATATGCGTCCATAACGTGGAATCCTATAATCAATAACCACATCAGCAAACCCATTCATCAAAAGTCGTTATCCGTCGCAACCGGGTAACCCGAGTATAAGCCACGTACAATGGGTTCCAACGAGATAGCCTCGCCCTCCGGAACAGCCTCATGGCCACCATGGGCAAGCGCCAGACCAGCAAGCAGCAGCAGGCCCCAAAGGGACCCTTGTCGCGAGAGGGTCATGATGGCGGGGGGTTTGTTGGTGATAAGGTGGGCGAGGGAACGAAGAAGGGGAAGGGTTTTGAAGGGGCGAGCGTCTCGAAAAGGGAACCTCCACCAGTCAGGCAACGTCGATCTTTTGCCAATCCGGCGCATCCGATTACGCCGGTAACGACAACTTGAACAACTGTGCTTCTCTTCCCAGGGTCAGCGACAGGATATCCTGATATCAGAGTGATTATCTGATTGAAGGCGTCTGCTTGTCTTTGACTTTCTTTTCTCGCGATCACATTTCATTCAAATCCGGTTCCTGGCCGACTCGAGGACTCGATTATTCAGCGGCAGTGGTGATTGGCGGGTTACAGTTATACAACAGCCATCCCGGACGAGACCCACTCAACACGCGCGAACTACAAAAGAAACAAGCTCGTTAGAGAAACAAATTGAGTTCTACATCAGAATGGCAGACCACTCAACAGAGCAGCGTCTAGTAAGTGTCCAACCTGAGTATCACAGTCACACCAACTAATCAAACCCTACCCAGGCCACGCTCCGCGCCTCAATAACCACTCTCCAAACCCAACAAGCCCAGCTAGAAGCTGAGATATCAGAAATCAAGACCCAACTCAAGTACGTTCACAACAACACCAACCTCCCCTACACACCCCTTTAATCCCTATGTCCTGTGTTGTATGTCAAGCTAACCATCCCAGAAACGACCCCTCGGAAACAGTGAAACGGCACATCCGTCTCTTACACGAGTACAATGAGATCAAAGATATCGCCCAGGGGTTGATGGGTCTTATTGCCGAAGCACGGGGTGTGCGACACGTTGATGTGCAGCGGGAGTATGGTGTTAAGGAGCAGGATTGATATTATTTTGCGATGCATGAACTTAGGAACTGTGGGTTGGATGATGGAAGGCTGGAAGACGACTTACCTATCTGGCGATGGAGATGATCCGCGCGTTATGAATTATGATGAGCATGTAGTGAAAAAAGCGATATGAGTTATGGTTCCTCGCATATCTATCATCACTTGAGTGATATTCACGATTGATCCAAGTCAATCCGCAGAGAATAATGAAGGTACCTCTACCAACTCACACCATTCTACCATAGACCACCACATTACAATCATCAACACCAACTACTTCCCTCAAACAAAAAATCAATCTAATAAACAGATCCCATTTTTATTTTATTTCACTTTAATAGCTCAAAAGCAAGTATCCAACCCAAACTCCACCAGTAAATTCTATCAGCCAGATAACGGCAAAGCAGAACCATGGAGGACCAGAAACAGGAAGGAGGAAATATGAAATATGAAGATGAGAAGGGTGATTATTTCAATTCATACAGTGACAGGAGATGGATATGGATATGGAGTATCAGAGATGAGAATGAGGACGAGAATGGAGGGAATAAGAAATAGGATCAAGGTAGGAGATGATCAGTAGAGGTAAGATGATTAGACAAGGGTATTGAAGATGATAAACCACGAGGGGGAAAAAAGTGGTCTTTTGAGAAAAAGAGACGGGGTATGGCATGGCAAATATGCATCGCGCATAGCACAAAAAATGCAAAAATAAAATCACAAGAAAAATAAAAAGTCGGTCAAACCAAGTCTTGCAAAGCCCGCAATTAATGCGTCTTACCAAGACTCTGCAAATTAACCAACTCATAATAACGACCCTTATTCCTCAACAGCTCCGTATGCGTACCACTCTCCACAATCTTACCCTGATCAAAGACATAAATAATATCCGCTTTCTGGATAGTACTCAATCGATGAGCAACGGCAATCGTAGTCCGGCCCTTCGCCGCCGCATCAAGCGCAGCCTGAACGACCTTCTCAGACTCCGAGTCCAAGGCAGAGGTAGCCTCGTCGAGAAGCAGGATCTTCGGGTTTCGCAGAAGCGCGCGGGCAATGGCGACACGCTGCTTTTGGCCACCGGATAACATGCCGCCCTTGGAGCCGACGACGGTGTTGAAGCCTTCGGGGAGGGACATGATGAAGTCGTAGATGTTGGCGTCCTTGCAGGCTTTGACGAGTTCGGCTTCGGGGATATCGTCCTGGTCGATGCCAAGCAGGATGTTATCCTTAATGGTACCTTGGTAGAGGGTGGGTTCCTGGCTGACGAGGGCGAGGTGGCTGCGGTACGAGTTGACGTTCAAATCGGCGATGTTGTGGCCGTCGACGAAGACACCGCCGGAGAGGGCGTCGTAGAAGCGCTCCAAAAGGGCGATGGTAGTACTCTTACCGCATCCACTAGGTCCGACGAGCGCGATGTACTGACCGGGCTTGACGCTGAGGTTCAGGCCGCGGAGGACGGGTTGCTCGGGACGGGTAGGGTAGCGGAAGTGGACGTCGCGGAACTCGATTTCTCCATCGATGTGGTCAACAGTGGTACCCTCCTCGGACCAGGTGTCGATAGTCGGGCGACGGTCGAACAGCTTGCGGAACTCGTACGCAGCGTTCTTAGCCTTGCCCATGTCGGGAGAGAACGAGAAGACGGTACCGGCAGACTGGGCGCCGAACAGGATTTCACTGAAGCAGACGAAGAAGCGGAAGGTATCGTATTCGCCGTGACCAAGCAGGGTACCACCGTACCAGAAGCCAAGAGCAACACAGAAGAAGACCAGAGCCTGGGAGGCGGCGTAAAGAGTGGACGACTTGATGACGGAGATCAAGCTGACGCGAGCCTGTGACTCGAGCTGATCGTGGTAGACATCCCAGACATCGGTCTCGCGGGTGAGAGAGGCAACAGTGCGGATGGCAGAGGTAGCCTCGCAGGCATAGCTGGCAGAGCCCTCGTAGGCGAGCTTGGAGCGGGCCTGGAAAGCAGCGAGCATGTAGAAACGGTAGAAACCACAGCCGAGAAGAACGGGAACGACACTGATGCAGACAAGAGCCAGCTTCCAGCCGAAAGAGAGGGAGATGACGATGGCGGCAATCAGGGTGGTGGAGGTCATCAGAATTGTACCCAGGGTCTGTCCACTGATACCGGAAAGATGCTTGGTCTCAGTGGAAAGGAACGAGGTCAAAGCACCGGTGCTGTTCTCCTCGCGATCGAAGAAGTTGATATCCTGACGGAGCATAACACGGAAAGCCTTGCTGCGAGCCTTGCGGATGAGACGCTCAGAGCAGAACGCAAAGGCAATACCATGAGTCGAGAAAGTGATAAACTGGACAATACCGACGACCAGGAACATCAATGACCAGAAGTTGGCATCGGATCGGAGCTTGGCGTACTCAGACTTGGGCAGAGACAGAGCGCTGATAGCCTTGGCGTAGAGGAAAGCCTGGGTGGGCTGACCACCACCAGCGAGACAAGAGAAGATCAAACCGAGAACCAGGTACTTCCACTCCTCCCTGTTGAATGAGGCGATAAACTTGATCAGAGTCCAGAGCGAGTACTTGGCCTTCGGGTCGGGGCCCTTCTTTGAGAGGATCACGCTGGAGACAGACTTGCGGGTCTCTGCACGGCGGACATCCTCGGGGAACAGCACCCCAGCCTCTTCATCCTTGCGAGCGCTCGAGGCACTGGCCACGGACTTGACACGGGCAATGCTCTGCTTGTCCAAAGCCTCATCCGAGTCGTCCTCCACATCCTCATCAGCAAGAGCATCAGCCTCCTTCTCCTCGTTGATGCGCTGGGCCTCGACGAGCTTGGAGTAAGGGCCCGCAGTCTCAATCAGGGCGTCGTGAGTACCCTGCTCAACAATCTGGCCGTTGACAAAGACGACGATGTTGTGAGCAGTCTTGATAGTGGAAAGGCGATGAGCGATGACGATGGTGGTACGGCCCTCGGCGGCACGGTCCAGAGCAGCCTGCACCACACCCTCAGACTTGGTATCCAGGGCAGAGGTAGCCTCATCCAGCAGGAGAATCTTGGGGTCCGAAACGACGGCACGGGCAATAGCAATGCGCTGCTTCTGACCACCAGACAGCAGGAAACCACGCTGGCCGACGTTGGTCTCGTATTTCTCAGGCAGGGACATGATGAATTCGTGGGCATTGGCCATCTTGGCAGCGTTCTCGATAAGTTCACGGATGCGTTCCTCGGGCTCGTTCTCAAGGCGGGTGCCGATCAGACCGTGACGGATGTTCTTGTAGATGGTAGTACCGAAAAGAACGGGCTCCTGCTGGACAAGGGAGATCTGCTGACGCAGCCAGCGCAGGTTCAAAGTCTGAATATCGTGGCCGTCCAAGTAAACGGTACCACCGACGGGCAAGTAGAAACGCTCAACCAGACCGACAACGGTAGACTTGCCAGAACCCGAAGGTCCAACCAGGGCGGTAGTCTTGCCAGCAGGCATCGATAGGGAAACGTCCTGCATGACGGTGACTTCGGGGCGGGAGGGGTAGATGTGCTTGACATTGCGGAACTCGATTTCACCCTCGGCGTGATCGGGGATGATACCCTCGTCCGAAGTAGGATCAACGGGCGAGACACGGTCAATGGTGCTGAAGATCTTGGCAGCAGCAGCCACGGCATTGGTGAATGCCTGAGCGTTGGGAGCGACGTTACCCAAACTGAACGAACCGATAAGAATGGCCATGAGAATAGTCAAGACCTGGCCGACATTGACCTTGCCCTCGACCAAGTATCGCGAGCCCATCCAGAAGCCCAGACCGTAGTTCAGGAACATGACACCGAACATACCACCAACCATGACACCCAGGGCCATCTGCAGGCGCGTACCCCACCGTTCGGCAGTGCGCAAGTGCACCTCGTACTGCTTGGCCAGCTTGTCCTGGGTACCAAAGGCAGTGGCATTGCGAATGGAACTGATGACTTCTTCCGCAACGGTACCACCGGCACCGTAACTCTCCAGAGACAGTTTGCTGTACTTAACGATGAACCGGGATCCACCACCCATAATGAGAAGCAGCGCGACAATGGTCGAGGTACAGATACCAGCCAGAGGGGCATACTTGACGTAGGCAACGATGAAAGCAGTGACAAAGGTTGCGGCGGCGGTCAAAGTCAGACCGACCTTTTCAGAGACACCATCCTGGATCAGGTTGGTGTCAGCGGTGATACGGGTAGTGACTTCACCGGCGCCCAGCTTATCAAAGTAGGCAATGTTCTGGCGGAGGATAGCTTCGAGGTACTGCTCGCGAATCTTCTGGGTGACGTGCTCGCCAGTGTAGATGAAACCGACAGTGCTAATGTAAACGGTGACAAACTCGCCGATACCGAGGTAAACGAAATACAGGACATTCTTCGTTAGTTCGTGGTAAAAATCGTGGTAGGTCATTGTCCCCAATTGGATGCCCTGGAAGGCAGTAGTCAAGGAACCGAAGAGAATCTGTAACACAAAACGTTAATTCTAGATCTGAATTGATTTCTCTATACGACATCAATTTCAGGGCAAAACTCACCGTGAAGAGCGGCATAGCAGCACCCGCAGCAATAGCGCAGAGACCGCTAACCACCAAAATCAAGATATCCATCCTAGAGGCATAGCGATACAGGCCAAAGAATGAGATCTTGACCACCGGAGCATCGAGCTGCTTCTTCAGGATATCCTTCTCATGCTGAGGCAAATGCGCAAAGATCGCATCGTCATCCAAGGACAGCGCGGTTTTGCTTCCATTCTCCTTGGCGGTTCCGGACAACGTCGAACCAGAGTCGTAGTTCTTCTCCGCAACCTTTTCTTGCGAGGATGAGATCTGTTCACCAGCCATCACCTGGTCGGGGACTTTTTCCACCGCAGTGGCCCCCTCTTCCGGTTGCTGCATAGCGGGGGGAAGTATCGCGCGTGGTGACGCAAGTTCGTGGTTGCGGTTGTCGCAAGATTGAGAACAGTCGTCGCTTGGGTCCCACTTTTAGTTCCTAATTCGGGGGGGATGAACCAAGCCTCAGCTTTCAGGAATGTAGGCCCCGAACGGGGTGACGATTTGAGTTGTGGGTGGAAATACGATCGCAACGAGACTGAGAATGGAATGCGCGCAGGATCGATAGAAAGATGAAAGGAGCTTGGCTCAGTATTGTCGCGCGAGCGGGGGAGTATGGAAATGAGAGATATGCGTAGGTCGTAGGAAAAGGGAAGAGAAAAGAGAAAGTTGAAGAAATGGCAGGATTAACAGGGTGGTGATGAATTAATAGGAAAGAGTTGAGGACGAGCTATCGAAAGCTGTCGAGGAAAGAGAGTGAGGCGATAATCTATGAAGGTGATTGTCGAAGATCAAGAAAAAAGAAACGGATGAAACGAGCGGGCGAATAAGAATGTATTTAATAAGGCGACAGCACCAGGCAGATGATTCTTATTGTTCTAGCAATGACCACAGCGTAGTCCGTACTCAGTCTAGTTGGGCTCGCTAACTAAAATCAGGAAACGTCTAGATTTTCTAACACATAAATCAGCCAAAAATCGGGTTTCAAGAATGGAGACCGAGTTGGCAAAAGTGGGCCGGAGTCTGGAGTCTCCGGCAAAACCTTGTGCACGAGGCCCTGCAAGCGATACGGAAGATTATGTACAGTAGTGCTCATAATATTCTGGCATTCTAACTGGTCGGCTGATTTGCTTATACTTCCTTCCGAAGGTGGGGGAAATCAGAATATACTGTACTTACATGTCTACTCCTGAGTTTCTGAATAGCTTCTTCTACAGTATGGAGTACTGTGCGAGATACAAGATGCTTTCTGATCCTACATTTCATTCTAACCCACAATTCCCGTCATCCATACACATCTAAGCATAATTCTACCATCTTATCGTAGCCTCGTCAGCACAATCCCGAGCCGCCACTACTGCAGCATCCTCCGGTCGGAGTATGTAAATACATCCTGCAGAGTCTAAACCAGGGTATCACAAAGAATACAAGGTGGCCTAATTTGTCGGACCCTCCCCGATCAATTCCTTCGGGAAATAGAACATCCCGATCATGGACTTTCGGCCTGAAGCAATCTCCATATCTTCTCTATAGTCATCCATGAGCACTACGGGCATGATAGAACCCGAATATCTCTATTAATATCACCTCTCATCCCTCATTCTTCCATAAACCCAAAACCACTCGTAATGACAGGCCCATGACGCAGCGAATGCATTGCATGCATCCAAATGCGACACTACCAGCAACCCCGGAACATGCGTGAGCCGAATACGAAGCTTCCATAAGTGGACCTGGGGCCCTGACTCATTTTGACGCGGCCGGATCCATCAGCGAGGATGCCTAGGAGTAATTACTGCGACTCAGGAGTTACTAGTTACAGTAATTATACTGTCGTTTTGATAAAATCTAATTTTCGATCCTCCGACTCCATCTCCGTTTCTCCAAAACCCGACCCCGAGCTTTTCTGCCTTGCGGTTCTTGCGTATACTCGACTCCGCTACAGGGACTATTCCACGACTATTCCAACGCCAACCCCATAGAAAATATCCCGATCGCTGCCTGACTCGATCTTCAATCTTCAAGCGAGTAATCCACCGACATCACCGTGTACACGTTGAGGCGATCCGCCAGTCAGGGGAGGACGATCGGGCGACGTCCACTCCTGGTCCGTCCATTTCGTCCGGTCGGGAGTCGGCGAAATTTTATACCCGGATACCGATCGTCTACTAAACGAACCGACGAACCAGGGTTGACTCCTTGACTCCTTTCTTTGGTGTCTGATAATCTCATTCTCCTTTTTTATGGGCCGCACTCTATACCGGTTTGGGAAAGCGCTGCGATATACAGAAATTGTGAAAACTTAAGAATTACATACTCTATACGGTGTAGTGTGGGCGGTTCCTACATCTCCCGTTGATACGAAGGAATCCCTGTGATTTTATGAGACCAGATAACTCGTCTGCAATCCATCTGTTATGCTTATGCAGCATACCCAGCAGAATTAACATGGTCGCCTGGGTTCCATGATGCATGTCAGAGCGTATCTCTAGGCCACCATAGATCCACTGTGGGAATACTAGCAACGTTCAATTTCGCAAGCTCGAGGTGGCGGTCTCCAAATTGGGCAAGAGGAGGATTGGAATCTAGTCACCTTGTGGAAGCCTCAGGCAGAGGTATGTTTTAGTTTCCAGGAGTTGCGTGTCTATCATCTCCGCAAGGCTCAACAGTAATGCAATTATGTATGGCTCATCACTCCCGATACGTATTCTATGTACGTGCTTACAGTAAGAGCCGCCATCCTCGACGTCAACAATGATCATGATCTGTCCGTTGTGAACCTTATTCTTGCTCACAGATTCAGAAGCACGGATCGCTTTCTGGCCACATGGTCATGACGAGGTGACTCGTGCGATATCCAGGCAGCAGATGACTTCGTTTGCCACAAATACGGTCAATCAATAACTTTCTACTCGACAAGCATGGATGTCGTTGTATGGATTGCTATGAAGGACCAGGGTTTACTTGCCAGTGGCAAGCTGCCATCCATAACAAAGCAATCAATGATTAGTTTCTGTACTGTAGTTGTGGCCTTGGTGCCTTAATATCTTTTATGCCTGAGGCATCAACAAATCTCCCAAAACCATGCCTCAGGCCCCACTGCCAACACATCACCTGACCGAACCGAAGCGAAGCCAAGCCCTGCCGCACACAAATCATCCGCCTCCCGAACGACGACATCTTCTCCCATCAAACCAGCTCGCCGTCGCGACCAAGCCTTCAAGATGCCGGTCAGTATTCACCACTATGACCCTCGAACCTATCCCAGTGCTATCTCTCGGCCCTCTCGCCCATATTCTCGTCGTCCAGAATTTTTGAACCGGCAACTAACCCTTCATTTTTCCAACATACAGAGCCACAAGACTTTCCGCACCAAGCAAAAGCTTGCCAAAGCTCAGCGTCAGAACCGCCCCATCCCTCAGTGGATTCGTCTGCGCACCGGCAACACCATCAGGTAAATTGCGCCCTCTGCAATCAAAAACACACATGATACCCCGAGCCATCCCGCAAAAAAAAGAATCGACAAGATACCCGCACAAATTCGCACCCAAGCCCGATCGAAATTTCGCACCACACACTTGAAACAACCAAAATAACTGACAACCCACCCTCAAACAGATACAACGCTAAGCGGCGACACTGGCGCAAGACCCGTCTGGGCATCTAAACTCGTCCCGGACAGCACCCACCCGGTCCTCCTACACGATCCCAATCCCGGACCAACGATGTTGTGTGTTTCGATATCCTAACGACGCAATACCACCCACCCCCACCAACCACCTTATCCGACAATCTTGAACGCGCTAGTTTAATACCAGAAACTACGTTCAAGCCCGCAACTCTCCGTCCAACTCGGATTCAATCCCTCGACCGACACGAGCGTGATTTGTCTACAATACGTTCGTGTCGCACTCGATATCGTTTTCTTTTTCCCGACCCCCTGTTTTCCGAATGGGAATAACGACCTACCCCGAGTCTTGTCCAATTTTTTTTCGACGACGGTTGCGTGAAATGCTTTTGATGAATTTTTAAAACTCTTATGTGTGATGGGTGGTTACTAGGTGGGGCTGAGGGGGAATTTTCTTCTTCGCGGCTCGGTGGTTGAGATGGTGGGGAGGTTTTTTATTTCCTACCTACAAAAATCTGATGGAATTGAATTGACGTCCCTTTTGTCTTGCAATGGTGTTCTTGCTCTGGTCGTGTCTGTGGCGTAGGTGGGGTTCGCTCTCGTAGGATGGAGCTGATATCACGAATGATTTGGGGTGTGGGATGCATTCCAGCGCTTACCTTGATCGATGCCTGTACACGGGGTCAATGGTCAGGCTTGGATACTCGAGTGGACCCATCGCACTAGAGATGTAGAACTGGTTTGGATGTAGGTCTGGGAAAGTGATCATCAAGGCTGGCTAGCATATAATCCATGCCACTCAACGAGTCCTCCGAGCTCGATATCGAGGGCAATGCACATTATCTGCCTGTTATGACTTCTTGACTTCTCCATTCTAGGCTACTAATTGTCTGTGATGTCTCAATTCCCACGAGATCTGATGTCGACCTTGTATGAGTATTCTATCTTCCTTCGTCGATATTCCCCGGCTATCGGGCTACGTGCACAGTCAATTATCATGCAGATTCCCGCAAATGGCTCTGGTCTTAAACAGTGTAGACGATAATCTTGACACCTCGAGCTGCGATGGGATACCAAATCTCTGCCAATTTATCTCTATAAAATGACACAGGTCTGAGCAATGAGATATGAAAATCGACGTTTGACCAGGTGTACCTGCTTGGAGTGGTCTGGAACCTAACTCGTGCTCTTAATTCCATCTGATATGTCGTGACTCCGCACACCATCTCTATTTTCCGTTCTGGAAGCTTGAATAATCAAATCGGAAGGTCCACGTTGGAGCATTTCCAAGTCACAGACACCTATCCTGCAAAGACAAGGCTTAAACACCAAATCAATATCCAACCTATATCTCCTCCTCGCGAAAAGTCTGGCCTCCTTTAGGAAAATCGACAACTCATCCTCAGTATTACCCTTTTTATCATCAGCATGTATCCTCTCAAGCGAATGTTTCAGAATTCCTTACACCCAGCATAACCAATAATCCACTTAGTTCGACCAGCCGTGTAATCCGTTCACGGACCAAGTCCAATGCTTCGACCCAGTGAAAGAAGTTCTCCGTTAGAAATGAAAGGACATTGTTTATCTCGGCTGTGGGGTCCTCGCTCTGCCCCAAATGGTACACCCAGTGGTTACAGGCATATCGTACTTCCAGTGGTATGTTCTGTCGTGAAGCTTGGGGGTGGTGACATTTGGGTTTCACTGTACTATCGCTGCCCAAACCGCAGAGGCTTTTCCTGAGTTTCTTGCGCATGATATCTATACACTGGAGGAATATTCGCCGATGTCGATGTGGGGTATCCACGCGGAATTTCGTTTTGGAGCGTATCAGAAAATCTCGGAAGGATAGATGCATGATTCTCACTGGCAGGTCTTGATCATCTAGCACATGGAGAACAGACGAGAAGGACTCTAGCCGGTTGCTGATGACATCCGCTGGAATATCAAGTAGCTCAGCGAGAGTTTTGACAGGAAGAGGTTCAACTAGGAGGACGATAGTTCCAATGATATCCTGGAATTCATGCAAAAGCCTCTCCGAGTCCTCCTCATCTTGACCAGCGAGAAGTCGCTCCAAGATGGGCAGGTATGTATTTTCCATTTTCATGGCGTACTTTTCTTGATTATTGAGGACTTCGGCAAGACGTACCGTTGGCTGCCACTTATTATCACCGATGAATCGGCATAGTGTGGCCGCAGAAATGAACAACGGGACTGACATAGTGACGAGCGTTTGAAGATCTTCCTCCCGAGGCCAAGACAGAGGTAGGCGTCGCGAGGCCCTGATCTTTGTGAATTGGTCCTTCAGAAATAATGCAATATCCTGTCCAGTTGAGTCCTTGGAGATCATTTCATGCAGGACAAAATCCTGAAAACTTCGATCTGATATTTCTGAAAAGGCCTGGCGAATAGGTAACTCGGGCCTACTCGTGACGAAAATTCGTATGTTCAGATTGCTTGCATCTCGCAACAAAGGCAGACAGCGCAATATAGTCTGAACATCCTGCTCATTCCCACACTCGTCCAGGGCATCAATCACAACAACTGCAGTGGAAAGTTCCGGCCTCTGCGGCGCCAAACCTCGAAGTGGTTGGTATAGCAGTTTATCAAACTGCTCACTCAAAGACTTGGACGTAATACCAGGATTTACCTTCATCGCTGATCGGATCCGATCTCCCAACTCCGGATACCTAAGCATCAATTGCTTGGTAAGAGAGGGAAAGAACTTGATCGCATTCCCCCGATCAGCTTCACCCCATTTAAAGAAGAAACTTGCACCAAGCAAGTTACTGTTCTTGAATATCGCAGCCACGGTGCGGGAAATAGTTGATTTTCCAGTCCCAGCCATCCCATTCAACCAGAAGATGCATTTGCCGTGTGGAGAACGAGCCCAGGTTGTAACTTCATCGAGTAGAGCGGTCCTCGTGCCTGGAAGACATTCATCTTCGTACTGGTCTTTGTAGGAACCATATTCAGCCTCAGGTACACCGGAGAGCTCGCTCAACGGATCTGTTTCGCATTCAGTGCATATTCATTCGACAGGACGGGTGCATCAGCTACCTAGAGCTTCGACCAGGATAGACCCATGGTTAACTCCAACCTGGAAACCTGAGTTTGAGCCACCAAATGATACTCGAGGCTCCATGACCGTGGTCACACAGAGCCTTCAAGGCAAGAGCCCGAAATGCCATAGTATCGTAAACGCGGGGCATCAGTTGGTGAAAGTGTTGGCCTAGCCGCACTATCAGGTGACTTCTTGACTTCTTGCATTGTACCCCTACGTATACCCCTATCCAAAGGTTGTCTCGTTGAGGGAAAATTTTTAATTCTATATATTGCCCAGGGCAGTCTGGATGTTTCGGTGTTGTAAGGAGAGATTTCCACTTGGATAGGGTTTATATGGACATGGTGTGGTGTGGAGTATATATAGTATATATCTTGACGGGCTGAGCCTGCTTGCGCGACGGACTTTTCACCACTCATCCATCAGATTCCTAACCGATTTGGGAATCTTGTAGATCAATTGATAATTAATTATTGAGACCATTTATCAGCTCGAGTACTTCTTACAACTTTTGTTTATTTCGAAAGGCACTGGTCTACCGGGGATTATTTGTGATTATGTCAGCATCATGAAATTCGTCAACAAGACCTAACTCGCAAAAAGCGGCGGAAACCGTTTCCGGCTTTGCAGCCTTAGGCTTCCATATCATGCGCCTCTACTTTACCTATTTCGGCCAGTTTCCAGAACGAGCAATCGCTCATACAAATAATAAGCAATTATATCCTCACACACTCTAGGTGTAGTTTTGCATTTAGACTTGGGAGTTATTGTAAGCCCAATAGTTAGTAATCTGACATAATTCTGCTTCGCTGAATAAATCGACCTCAGCAGGTTCTCAAAAATATCCGCATTTCACTGTATATAACGTGTCGGGTTTGACTAAGTACAGGTACCCAGTGCAGCGAGACGCGTCTACACAGTCGAAGCGGACTATTCCAATCATACCGATGTTGAAGCAGTAGAGAGTGGTCTACTTATACTCTTATTCTGAGCATACTCTAGTTCATCCTGTCTGTCTTAAGCCAAGTCAAGATTCAACTCTAGCAAGTAGAAATCCGAAGCATTTTTGTGAACAATCTCGAGGAAAGAGAAAGGAATTCATTCAGCCTAACCCAGTCCCAAAATTCAAGTACACGCGGTACAAGAAACAAGCAAACTAAGAACGCCATCTCGGAGCAATGTGTAAGGAACAAAGAAAACAAACGGGGGGAGCAACCCGAATGACCAAGGTCCTCTATCTAGCCCAGGACCTGGTTAAGGTATTTCAATGCCCCGGGGGATTCCCCGTTGTGTAACCGGTCAAACTAGACGTGGTCCGATGGGGCGGGGTGTGTGTATCATCGATGATTTTCCGGCAAAGAGAAATATCAGGGCGTTGCAAGGGTGTAGGAGACGTAAAAGCAAGTCGTAAATACGAAGGGGGAACTATTTTAGCGACTGTAGAGGGGGCTTGATTAGCAAAAGACTCGAACAAAGCAATGCGACGCTCAATGAAACACTGGGTGTAACTTACTCCTCGGCCCACTCGTTCTCACGGCGGATCTGGTCTTCCTCCTCGGGGGTGAAGTCATTCTGGATGTTGAACGTCTTGCGGATCTCCTCGGGGGACTTGCCCTTGATCATGTTGGCGACGGTCTTGCAGCCAACATCAAGGAGAGCCTTGATGTCGAGGTAGTTGGCAGCCTATGAATCGCATTAGTCAGAACTCGGAATGGAAAACTAAAAATGATCCACGGAGCATGTCCCGCTGAGGAACGTATGCTGTCAACTTACCAGGATGATCTCGAACAGCATCTCCTGGTCAACCTGCATGAACTTCTGGTCCCACTCATCAATGTCGGTGGTCTTGCGGCGGTTATCATCGTCATCGGTGGCGCTCTGGGGGTCGTTCTTGTGGTGCTCACACCACTCGATGACCTTCTTGAGAACGGCCTCATTGACCTACAGTGTGATGGTCAGCGTTAAGTCTTCCACAAATGCACTATCCGGTAAAATGGACGCGGCAGAGGAAATACTGACGTTGGGGATGGGGATGGCCTCGCCAGAGTCACCAAGATCCTCCAGCATGTTCTTGATCAGAACGGAGCGCTCGGCGACGACACGGTCTGTTTTTCCTGGTCAGTGACTGCGGGGTTAGGCGTGGCGCGGGGCGAAGAGTGCCCTCGCGCTCTTGACTTGACTTACCGACAGAGACATCAACGCCGTCGCTGCTGGTAAGGGTGATTTGGGAGGACATTTTGAGTGACGGGTATATGTGGGTAGGAGAGAAATCGGAAAGGCGCAACCTAAGAGGGAGTGAAGAGTGGTTAGATTGAGGCATGGTTGGTGGCGAGAACCGGGGAGACGCGCGAGATCGAGTAGTCGAAGGAAAATAAAAGCAGGGCAATATGAAGGAGATACTCACCTATTTCGAGAGAACACGGAGTTGAGGGGCAGAAGTGGGAGAGAAGAGAATGGGAGATGGGAAGATGAGGCGGGGAGGCTTAAGAGGAGGTGAGGTTCGGCGGTTTAGTCAGTCCGGCGGCTCTGCAGCCCCCACAGTCTTGCTTTGGCGACGGGTGCCTGGATTAAGTGAACGATGAGTAAATGTTCGATTTAGGATTAGCTGTTCAAGTGTGAAGGGTGAAGACGGTAAAGTTCTACGGTCTTCGATATGATTCTTAGAGGTTGTTTGTAGTGAAATCTAAATAGGCAGTATGAAGCATCCTTTGTATGGGCCCTTTGATTATGCCTAATCGAGGAATCTAGGGGTCCTAGTATACTACTACCTTTAGCTGGGGGCTAGAAGTAATCATCATCTTTGTCCTGGTCATAGAAATATAGTTTTAGGTTTAATTCGGCCATAGAGAACACCTCCGAATCCTAAAGAACAGAGCCTATACCTAATAGAGTCGATAGCCAGTGGTTTACATCTTTCAACTAGTGCATTTCTGAACTATCACACCCAAATCCGATAGATCGCCTAACATATTAGGACAGGAGGTACACAGTACAGCCAAGTCTTAGTGGTCTAGCTCGAGTCATAATTTTAAACCAAACTATCTCCCACTAGACTTATAATAAAGGGAGTAAAACCATAACCACTTTCAGCTGGACCTATGGGAGTTAGTGAACAACTAGCCTTGTCCGTCTCCCAATATTCTGCCGCCAGATCGCGCCAGTGATATCATCGTCAACTTCAACGCGTCTTTTCTTACATTTTCCCTTTCTTTTGAAAAATCCCCCCCTCCAAGAGCCTAATTCTTTCCCTTCCACTTTCCTATCCTTTTCTAGACTTCATCCTTTTTGTTCTCCCGCTGCTCCTTCTGCAGCATGTCCCGCCCCTGAATCATGTGGAGACGAACCTATCTACTCTTACTACTCATCCGTGTTTACTTTGCGCTCTCGCCAAGCTATCTACATCCCGATGAGAACTTCCAGGGTCCAGAGGTCTATGCCGGTATGTTGACAGTCCAAAGATGGGATTTCCCTTATTCTCTAGCACCATTCATCCCTTGCGACACTCGAGGAATTCCATCGCACCGCTGAAAATTATTTGCGACCGGCTGTCGCGGATCTTGCGATGCGCCCGGTCCCGCCATCTCCCTACTCCCAACAAAACATGCCACAACTTCGTCCAGCTTGATGGTCATTATACTATTTCTATCAAATAACTAATCAGATTATCTCTGCTAGGCCGCATCTTTGGCTACCCTTCCAAACTCCCTTGGGAATTCACCGTCGACCACCCCATCCGCAGCGTCTTCCCACTATGGCCCACCTACGAGGTTCCCATGAGCCTGTTGCACTGGTTCTACACGGAATACGGCACTGGCAACCCACCACCACAACTAGTATACTATGCCTTACGAGGAGGAATGTTCATGCTGAGCTTTGTGCTGGAGGACTGGGCGATCTATGAACTGGTGCCATCCCCGCGCCACCGCCGTGCGACGGTTGTCCTGGTGGCCTCGTCGTACGTCACCTGGACATATCAGACGCACACCTTTTCCAACTCTCTGGAAACACTACTGGTAGCCTGGGGCTTGGTTTTGATTCGGCGCATACTCGAGAACAAGGTTCGTGCCGTTTGGCGCCTGTGGGGAAGATCACTACTAGTGGTGTGTATTCGTGGTGGGCACTTAACTAACTGGTGTCGGCAGCAACGCTCGTCCTTCTTCTCCTACGCTGTTCTCTCGTTCATCGCAGTGGCCGGTGTCTTTAATCGAATTACCTTCCCTGCTTTCCTTCTCATCCCAGGTCTACAATTGTTGCCATACTTTCAGCGCAAGTAAGTGTCTTCGATCTACTCCCCGCCCACCCCCAAACTATACAAATCATACTAACCCACAAACAAGACCAAGCTCTCTAGTAGCAATCATCGGCTTCGGCGCTCTCTTCTCCTCAATAGCAATCTACGCAGACACCCTCTTCTACCGACCCTCATCGACCTTCCTCTCCGCCATCCGCAACCCAATCATCACCCCATTAAACAACCTTCTCTACAACAGTGACACCACCAACCTAGCCACCCACGGCCTCCACCCACACCACCAACACTTCACGGCAAACCTCCTCCAACTCCTCGGCCCAGTCTACATCGTCATGATCGTCTCCCTCTTCCGCACCCTACAAATACCCACCTGGCTCCGCAATGCGCGCGCCATCTCCGCCCTCTCCGCAACTCTCCTCCTCTCCATCTTCCCCCACCAAGAACCACGCTTCCTAATCCCCTGTGTGCCCCTACTCCTCAGCTGTATCCGCGTGCACCGCTCCCGCATCTTCCTGGCTGCATGGATCATCTTCAACGCTATAATGGGCTTCCTAATGGGCGTCTACCATCAAGGCGGCATCGTCCCCGCCCAACTCGCCATGCGCAACATAGTCGCAACCAACACCGTCGCACAAGGCATAAAAACAAACCCAGACGCATCAGTCTTCTGGTGGAAAACCTACTCCCCACCACAATGGCTCCTCGGCGCAGATAACAGCTCCACGTCCGCGATCACCACCTTCGACCTAATGGGTATCCCAGGCGTAGACCTGATCCAGCGACTAGACCAATCCGTTCCACGCTGCGGCACCGTATCACCAGTCTACCTCGTCGCGCCGACATCAGCGACCTTCCTGGACGAGTACGCCGCGACGGGGATGCCACGAACACCAGATCTCCAACTGTACCGTCTCTGGACGTACCGCAAGCATCTGAATCTGGATGATCTGGACTTTGGCGATGACGGGATCGTCCCGACGCTGACGCGGGTGATTGGGCGGCGTGGGTTGGGTGTTTGGTCTGTGCGGCGGGCTTGCAAATAAGGGGCGTTTTCCTTTGAGATACACCATATATCCTTCTGTTCTTACAGCTTTTTTCTCTTTGTTACTTACATTGGGTGGTTGGTCGGGTCATGGTCATGGTCATGGTTGGGGATTGGGGTTGGGGTTGGACTGGTTGGGTTGGGTCGGGGATTGTGAGATATGACTATCGTATAATAAAATTAGCAGACACTGGGATTCTCTTGTCAAGTACTTGAGATTCGTTCGTTGGGTGTGATGCACTTTCTCTATGACCTTCTCTGTCACTATTATACCCCGAGATATACTACACTGTTATTGACGCTGCGCGACTCGGATAAGCTGTCCTTTTCTACAAATACATTCCGAAATTGTATGACTCTGCCAATTTTAACCCAATAGTTAATCAATAACACGCCTTCCAATCAATATAAAATAGTAGAGTACATACCTACTGTATGTACTGTACTGTACTGTACGACTGATCAAGTGGGGGAGTGGGGCATCCAATGATCCACTCCAAGCCTGTCGCAACGAGGACGCGTGATATTGATTGGCATCGACACCGAGTACATACTCCCCGTATATCCCGGTTTATCTAGGAGTCTTTAAGTAGGTACTATTCTACGGAAGGCAGAGAATAGGGTTTGTTATGCTATAACAAGGTTACAACTATGACAGCATCCACCTGCTATATCTAATGAAGGTCGTAACCTTCTCCAAGTTCTAACTGACAATTCTCTCGGCCATAGTTAGGGAGCAGTTCATGTACCTCGTTGTGGGTAGGTATAATGGGGATATCCCGACAAGAGGTAACCCTACAACAAACACAAGAACAACAGATCCTTCAAACTAGATCCCGTTTGATGCTCCTTCATATATACCCTCTCACTGCCAGTATCTCGTTCCTTCAAGCTTCTCTTCTCCATTATACCTTCATATTTCTATATCATACCTCCATGGCAGCTCACTGTCCTCCTTTATACAAGGCTCACTAAGACTAGTTTGCCTCATTAACCACGTTCTCCGTACTTATATACACACTGTTCCCACCCCTCCAGCATACCCAAGAAGCAGAGTCAACTCACGACTTCAAAAGCAATCGAAAAGAAGGATAACTATCTTCCCTCGTGGTCATGGGGGATAGGAACCACGCAGATCCACCTTACTCTTCACCGTCTTCACAAAAAAGGCGGGGTGATTCGGGAGTCTCTGGATCGGCATGCGAGGACTTCTGGGACACCGAATAATTCAAACCGTGGAGTTGTGGGCATAGCTTCCTCCATGTACAGCATCCTGTCCGTCTATGGATCGAAGTCGTAATCCATATCGCAGTCTGGCCTTGCGAGCTCCGTTGACCAAAATCAGTTGATGAACTCGTACTCGGTATCTCTCTTTTTGTCACTGGTTCGTCGAGGAAAAGCCTAGTCTTGAAAGACTGAGTGTTATTCGTGTTTCTTTTTTTTTTTTCAAACATGGAGTCTGGTAAGTATCTACTTTAACCCCCATTCAGCTGTGGTATTCTTGTTTAACAATGACTAATTCCTTCGTAGAACGGTCATATCCAGAAGACCTCTGAATCTGCTTCCTGATACAGAATTCGGTGGACAGATCCATCACAGATACTAGGAGAGCCATCTATCTACACCGTGCTCGTGGCAAAATGCCATGACGAGAATAACTTCTGGATGAACATTCCCCGACAGCACGTTTACCGGTGCTCGCCAAGGTCCAGCGTTGGGAAGCACGTGAAAAGGGTGCATGAACCGTTGTTGTCCGCCGAGAATCAAGCTTGATACTAAGACTGGACCTCATGATCATGAAAACTGCCACTTTGCTTCAGAAACCTGACAATCTCGTGGAGGGTTCAAGCTGGCCATCACCATCTCACGGAGAGGGAGCTAGATACTGATTTCTTTGTTTCTGGATAACCGACGTGTGGAGTGGCAATGGTTTAGTTTAAGCCCTTGACATAATTTATACAAGGCAGGTCGTATCTAATACCTATTGCTCAATATTCTATGAAGATAGTACGCGTCTAGCCAGCATGAAGAGAAAAAAATATTATCTATACCATAACCCCTTTTAATAACCGTACATACTTAGCAGATGTTCCAGTATTCATAGGCTACTTCCACCTACAGCCTCCGATAATCCACACGACTACTCTGACAGACAGGTATTATTAAAAGCCTCGAAGGTTAACCTTTATCAGTTCGTAAAACTAAGAATGTAGAATGTATACGTGTACTTCTCCCTTTTAGAAATGGTCACTGGAACTAAGTTACCTACGTCCCGAGATCCCGGGTACAGTAAACAGGGGGTGGTCAGCGCACGGGACTTGATTCGCATGACTGCACCAGCTGGACGGCGGGTGGCGGATTGACGCTAGCTTGAATAACCGGGATACCGATACTAGATACAGTCAAATCTCCATATTCCCATTTGTTGCAGCTATAAGTGGATAATGTGAAGACCACGGTAATTCTGATCTACATCTACTCTCATACCGTCTACCAAGCTCACTAATTCAGCGAAAACGTCCCATTTTGCCCATTAAGTAAGTACATGACAAGTTGTTTCGGGAGGAGGAGAAGGTGAAGAGAGAAAGAGAAGCAAGAGTCCACGCTTGAACTGGTCAGGGTATAGAACTGCAGAACTTCGCGGACTCAGCAAGCTGGATTCAACTCGGGTGAGTGCCGCAAGATCTCAGCCACTTCACCGAGATGAGTTCAAGAAGGGGAAGATGAAGGGAAAGGGGGGGGGGAACTGGAGAGTTGTGTGGGACATTTCTGCCAAATACTGGATGATCGACAGTAGCATGATTGGTATTCATCAGAACGTAAGAAAAGGAGAAGAAAAACATCGAGAGAGAACCGGCCACGTTTACTCCTCGTCATCATCCGGCTGGTCAAACAGGAAGTTGGCGGCCAGCTCCTCGTTCTTGTCGCAGGCAAAGTAGGCCTGGATGACGGAATCCCGAGGGAAGCCCAGACGGCACAGCTGTAGAGAAAGAAGTCAGTCAAATGTACATCCAAGACAAATATTATAGTCCAAACATACACGCTCAATAGCATCGCGCTCCTCCTCCGTAACCGAAATCGCCTGGGTGCCAGGAGGCAGAGCCTCGTCATCCTCACCAAGGTCCTCGGCAAGCAACTGAAGGAACTGTTCAGAGTTTTGCCCAATGATCTGAGCAATCTGAGGGTTACCAGCGGCAACCTGTTGCAGGATAGGCTCGAGCATCTGGGGTTGCTGCTGAACCAGTTGACGGAGCTGCTGGAAGTGGGGGTTGCTGCGAAGGAAATCCAAGTTTGCGTCACCACCAGCCGCACCGGCACCTCCAGAACGAGCACCGCGACCACCGCCCTCGCCAGCCTGAGCAGCAGCCTCGAACATATTGAAGGGCTCCTCTCCACCAAGGGCACCGGCGGCGGGAGACTCGGCATGGATCTCGGTCTGCTCCTGCTGTTGTTGTTGTTGCTGCTGCTGCTGTTCACGTTGGGCGCTCTCGGGGATACCCTGGAGTGAGAATACATCGTTAGAATGGGAAGTATCTGGGGGTGTCCGGGAAAGTAGCTTACGGTCAAGAGATATTCGATAGCACGGTCAGGGTTGAAGAAAGCGGCGCGCATGGCCCGCTCTACCATGGGTCTCTCGAATCCCATAGCTTCCATCTGCTGCATGGCACCCTCGGCGGCACCGCCCATGGCCAGGGCAGAGGGATCACCAAAGGCAGCCGCATCGGTTGCTTGTGTGGTAGCACCGCCAGTTGGGGATGGGGTGGCCGGTACGGCGGGCGTGGAACGAGTGGCGGGAGCGGGGGCAGCAGGAGCGGGAGCAGCGGGCGTAGCAACGGGAGCTCTGGCAGCGGGGGTTGAGGGAACCGAAGAAGCAGCGGAGGAGGGGGCAGCCTTGGGTTGCTTTTGAGATGGGTTAGTATGAAAGAAGGGAAATGTTGAAGAAGACAACGTCCTCCTTGGGAAATTTGCTTGGTGGAGGGAAGCCAGTATTTCTTTTTCGTACCTTGGCGGGCAAGCAGACTAGGAAATCCTTCTCTTGAATGTTGTAGAACTCGACAGTCTTGTCATCTTGCAGAATCTTGCCTGTAAATAGATAAAAAAAATAATTAGCGGAGATGTACTTGGAAAATCGAGCTGTTCCTGGGTAGACAGAGACTGCGAGGCAAACGAGCAGTACCTCCTCACGCCTCCGCAACCCAGCAGCCTCTTCGGACATCCAAAATCACATACCAGAGTAGATAACCTTCATCCGTTCCGCGCCATAATCGGGCTTTTCTTGAGAAATCTTCTCCTTAACCTGTCGGACCTATAACAGTCGCAAAAAAGAAAAGCCAGGTCAGCCCCGCACCAGGTGGCGTCGAGTAAGAACATTGCAAGAGCATCGAAAGTAAAAGTTGGAACATACGGTTTCGGAGGGCTCGACATCGATCACGAACTTCTCTTGCTTGAGATCCTGTACGACGAAGAAGAAACTGCTGTCAGCACGTTCATGGCGGGTAGGATGCCTAGATGGCGGGCTGGAAGGGACGGACCTTGAAGGTAAGCTTCATTTTGGCGGCACCAGGAGATGTGGAGGGTAGAGACTAGGATGGGGAGGGTGGATAAGAGAGAGACCGGGATCAAAGATGGTCTTGAGGAGAGGGGGGTTGGAACAAGATGGTCAAAGTCGATGATCAAGAGTCGAAGGTCGAAAGAAGTTGAGAGGGGCGCAAAGAAGTGACGATGAGGGCCAATGCCCGAGGTGGTGCCTGAGGCGGGAATGGCTTCACCGCCCCACCTTTGGGTCACGGGGAATTGCATAGTTATGGAGAACTATAGAGTTGGACAACATGGGAAAGCTTGGAGATTAAGATGAGATAAATACGTCCTAACTAACTTACATGATCTGTCATGACTGTCAGCCTGTCAGGACTGTCCTGATCTTGCCTGTGCGTCTGGACTCGTGACGGGCACCCCGTTGGCAATGGTAAACCTCGGGGCCAAACCAGAGACAAGCCACAGTTCGAAGCTCATAAAGTGACACAGCCCTGTGGCTGAGCATGAAATGCAGCTTCTCAATTGCTGTCTCGATTGATGCCAAGGTTGATATTCCAAATCTCAAAGCTCTTCTCGGTTGCGTCGAGCACAGACAGTCTCCACCATCTAGAGTGGGAAATTACGGTACGGCACATTCTTAGTAATCGCATACCAATAGAACAGACCGTCTACAAAGCCGCTTTCTTATGAATGCCATCGATTCCAGGCCAGTTTCCCTTTCTCAGTGAAATTGGCCATTAACCATATAAGCAGAGTAGTGAAATGAAAAAAGAATACGTGGGAGATATTGACAGAAATAAAATATGAGCAAAAAGATGAAATCAATTTGGTTTAAGATCGCGACTCTCTTGATGGCTAGAAAAATAAAACCGGCAGAATCAGGTATGCTGGTCTGGCCGCGATTCCCACCATCCATGTCAACAAGGTCTCGCTTATGAGGAATCAACCCACATAAACCCTGAACAAAAGTCTGAATTGACAAATCATGCAGGAAAATATTATGGCAAGTCTGATCCTTTCTCCAGGATCATGCAAGTAAAACCCGAACTCAATTGTCCTTCTCGATCGTCGATCGACGGGGTCAAGCCCATTGTATACCTTCCCAGGGACCTGGTCAGTATACAAGAACTGATCGACTGATCGAGCCTATCGGAGCCAATCCCCCGGGCCGCAACTCTGTTCACTTCAATAGATCCATAACCCCAGTAATTGATATGATTCACGCTGACCAACGATATCTCTAGACCGACTCTTCTTTCAGGGGGAAGCCCGGAAGATTGTGGTGAGTGTCGAGTGACAGCTCACATTCAGCCGCATCGGAGATCGGGAGGGGCAATCCGCTTTGATGAACCCAGCAGACCGTCGGGAAAGCCGCTGGATGGATCATATAGATAGTACGGGAGCTAGCGGGTTGGATTGACCGAACTATGGAAAAGAAAATTTCCCAATCACCTGGTTTGGCCCTGTCAAGTCTGGGGTAGTGATATCCCATAGGCTCGGAGGATTTCCAAGACGGTGGCGATGTATAACAAGACTGATTGCGATATATCAATTCGGTACCAGAAATGTAATTAGAGTAGCATCCACTAAACGACACTACCCTAGTCACTCTACTAGTAGTAGTCTAGTACTATCCCACCCAGTATCCTCCCCGCAGACTCTAACCAACATGCCGGGTAGATGGGTCAGATCCTCGTCTCCCGAGAAATGACAGGTTGGACCGGACTTGCAGAAGTGTGCATCGGGATATGCTCGATATACTTTGACGCCACGCTTTCGACGATGCTTTCGCCCCGTCCCGCTCCACGCGAACTGCAGTCGTCAATATCATAAATATGAGCCATTGCCCTCGTCCTGCAGGGGGTGAAGTTTCTCCTGGACAACGACAAAGTGTTCTCTCTAGTTCTCTGACCCTCCGGTCTTTCAGAACTCTTCCCATCCACCCAACGTGGACACATTCTTTCCAAGGCCGTCGTGCAGGCCAGAATCAGGTTACTGAGCCAATATCTCGGTGACAATCATTCTTTATACTTTGTTATCTGATTATCTTTCTGATTCTGGATCATCCTGTTCTGCACGCTACCACGTTCTTTTCTATATCTACAGTACTACCCCATTCATTCCTTCATCATGTCTTCTGCAATGCTTGTATACTCCCTCGCTGGAGCTGCAGTTCTATCTGCAATCATCGTCACAATCCTCAACGGCCTTGCCTACGCCGAACTGCAATCATTACCCTCACATACTACGACAACCGGACTAGCTCCAGTCCTCATCAGCATCTTGACGAGCATCACCCTGCTAGTTCTCAGCCTTCTCATCCACAAAGATGTCCGCAGTGACATCCCCTGGTCGACATGGAAACTCGGCATCTTCTACTTCACCGGAGTATATCTCCTCACCAGCACCGTCTCCGTCGCTGGGACAATCGCCTCGAACGATCTATACCACTCAGTCCACCAAGGAAACATTTTCATTGCCCGGTCCATCTTCTGGGCTCTTTCTATCCTTACTCAAAGCCTCTACTACGGCTTCATCCTGGTGACTCTAGCCCAGCGCAAACCATGCCAAGATTGGCCACGCTCCTACGCACAGGAACTCAAAACGCTCTCCGAGAGCCCGGAACCAGTCCGCTCGCCAGCACGAACACTCTGTGATCCATACCCAGAGCTTCAACAATTCGATACGAGACGCTCTTCCCTACGCAAGTATCCCCGTCGTTCCCACCGTTTCTCGGGCGGTACCCTCTGCGTCGAGAGAACACGTACAAAGCACGAGTCCTTTGATACGAGTTCATCATCCACACTCTCTTCGCCTTCGCCTTCGCCCTCGCCAACAGCAGAGCACATGCCCACACAGTCACAGACACAAATGCAACCACAATCACCAACGCAACCCCAAAACGACCCCTTCGCAGACCGCGACACCCGCCCCCTCCTCCTCCGCGGCTCCAGTTTCAGAAGCATGCCCAGTCTCCGCCGCGAAGCAAACATCCAACTCTCCCTCGATAGCCTGGTCCAACCATCCCCAACATCCTCAACCTTCGCCCTGGACTCCCCATCAGCATCATCACTAACTCTCCCGGAGACATACGCATTCTACGCCCCCAATCACTCCCAAGTCCAAGCACACGGATTCGCATCTACATCTCTACCCCCTCCCCCCACTCCCCTCACCCACATTCCCACCCCGCGAACAAAACATCCACCCCCTCTTCCGCTCCACGAGTCCCTGCCCGAGTCCCACGCCACTACCTGGTAGCACGGTGAAAGCATCCCCGTCCGCGGGCCAGACAATTACCCAAAAGACGTTGACGCGGATGCGGTCTGCGCGGGAATTGAGACACCTGCGGAAGGAAGATTCGCCCGGTGCTGGGATGTGGATGGGGATGGGTCGGGCGGGGTATGTGAGGAGGAGTATTACGCAGTATGAGAAGAGGGGGGATTTGAATGAGTTGCCTGAGGAGAGGTGATTACACCTGTATAGGATGGAGATTGAGGTTGAGAGTATGGTTTGATTTGATTGAGCTATTTGCGTTCTTTTCTTTCTCTTTTGGTCTGTCTTGCGCGTTTTCTTTAACTTGTCTTGTTGGTATTTTGCGATATGGGATATGATTGTGATTTGGATGGATATGGGATTGATGATTGATGTATAAATGGGTTGGATCTTGTTCGTTTGAGTCTTTGTACAGGAGTAAATGCAATTGGAATGGAGTGATGCAATTGATCGTTACCTTTTTTTCCCCTGGACGTGAATATGCCAAGTAGCATGTAGCGGAGAGACCATCATAGCGATGCCTTAGTAGATGGAGTAGTCTGGATAGTTATCTCTTCTACTGCACAAAAATAATCAATTGTGAATACCGCTTCCTATCTATCATATTATTCCACCAGTACTGAGTCTACAGACTATCCCTGTAATTTCCTCCATCTCCGTAATCTAAATTGCGAGTGCCGAGAAAGGGATAGCCGCTGGATTGGCATACGAGTTCTTGCCACGCGATCAATCCAAGAAGAGAATACTAATACTCGAGTATTTACAGTATTACAGATTGATATTCCCCCAGATCACTCCTGTATAGCTTGACCTAAGCCGGGGACTAGGAATGCAGAAAATGGCCGCGTTCGGTATTCCCCCAAAGTGGGTCGGGCCGTTTATTTTTTTTTTCGAGGCAGACGCTGGCAAGGTAGATACAGTAAGCGCCTGGAGGGAAGATTTAAGAGTAGGCAATGAAGTTGAAAATTAAGATAATGTTTGAATAGAAAGTGTAGCCTTGGAATGTTATTGTTTGTTTTCTTGCCTAGGACTCTAATGCTGCCTCCAGCTGAGATGGCTGACTAGCAAGGCCCATGACGGTTATAAACGCGCGGGAAATCCAACTCGGATCGCTTTTTCTCCCCTTCGTAGACCAGATCCTCATCAACCATCTCCTCCAGTTGATCTTCTCTTCAACTCTTCTCGTCAACTCTCAACACTTCTGATCTTTTTTTTTTTTCCATCTCCCATCTCTTCTCGATTTACTACTCTCCCATCTCCATTCCATCAATCCCGAGCTCCTCGAGTTCCAGTCAGAATCCTCCGACGACGGTCAACTGGCCAGTGAACTCTCACTGGTCCGGACTCTTGGACCCGGCGAGAGTAGATCCTCTCCCGCGACTTCCAAGCACTTTGGTTCCTTTCCTTCACTTTCTTCATCCTCGACAATCCCATTCCCCTTCCACCCCTGGTAAGTTACAACTTCTTTTTTTTCTCTCTCCCTCTACCCGTGTTCTTCTCCATTCTCCTCCATCTCTTCATCCCCCCCCCCCGGGTCAATTCCCGTCACCCCTGGGGTCCGAGCCAAGTACTGTGGATCGTTCTGTAGCCACCGGGGCTGGCTATGCTTCCTTCATGCTTCATGCTTCATGCTTCCTGCTCCATCTTATAAAAGATCCTCCCCATCTTTAATCCAACCTCCCCCTCCCTGCTCTCTACACTCCTTCATCCATCTACTTCTTTACTCTGCACTTGTCTCTCCCTCACTCTCCTTCTCCATACACCCTCTTCCCATCCACGAGCATCCAAGTGATAATCTCGTCGCGTGTCGTCCATCTCACCTCGTCGACACAAGTCCTGCTTCATCAACATCCTCAATCCTCTTCCTTCTCTTTTTTCTTTCTTCCTTTCTCCCATCTCTCCTCAGCTTGTTTTCCTCCAACTCTCAATCCCCCGGATTCTGACCTTTCCCCATTTTCTTTTTTCTTCCCCCCCCAATCCAACTCCCTCCTGTCATCCTTTGACCATCCTCTCTCACTACACTACCCTCCTTCTCATCCTTGTCTACATCATCCAACGAAAAAACCCTCTTCAACTCAACAGTTTTGACTAACTCTCCCTTCAAGACCCTCGCGATGGTGGGCAGACGAGGAAAGCGAGGCGCCGCTGCGGCTAATGCCAGCCCTGCGACGCGATCTTCACGCAATCCACCCAGTAAGTGAACCATCCCCTCCCCCAGTCCGGTTTCATCACGATGGTATTCAGTTCCAACCCAGTTCTACCTCGACACGTTTATCTCGACGTGTTTACTTTTGTTTTGATTTTTTTTTATTTTACATTGCTTCTCACTCTAGTCCCCAACTACTCGCTCTTCTTTTATTCATTTACTAATTCATCTTTTAGCTACTGTACAAGCACCCCGTGCTCGTGGCCGCGGCCGTGGCAGAGGTCGCTGGGCCAATCACTGGGCCAACCGCATCCTTCCTGGCCGCTCGACCAACGCTGGTCGTGTCGATGACCAAGGGGAGTCGCCCAAGCGCTCCCACATTCTCAAGTTCAAGTTGCCCTCCCTCCGGAAGTTGGGTCTAGGATCCTCTTCCACCAATGCAACTTCCTCGGATCAGGCCGACGCCTTTACCGCGCCAGCCGGCACTCCTATGGGCTCGCAGAACCCCGAGACCCCTCGTACTCGCCGCTCCAAGCGCGCCATGGCAGTTCCTGAATCCTCCCGTACCACTCGCCAGTCTGCTCGTCTCAAGCCCTCGGAAGAGATGGCCACTGAAGAAGCCACTCCCAGCAAGTTGGCTGATGGCGTCGATGCCGATGCTGAAGCTGATGCCGACGACGATGTCGATGTCGATGCGGATGCCGACGCAACAGAGGTTGAGGATGGCAGCTCCTCACCTGAACAGCCAGACCAAGACGACGTGGACTACACTCCTAAACTCCGCCTCCGCCTTAGCCCCCCCAAGCCTCCCACTCAAAAGCTATCCCTCACATTCTCCAACCACACCACAGATCCCGACCAACCCAAGGCATCTACAGAGACCGTCGCCATACCTGAATCATCAGAGTCGTCACCGAAAGACTCTCAGGACAATTATGACGAGCCTCACGCCTTGCTCCCCCACACCTCACTCTCACCCCGACTCTCCCGAAAGCGCAAGTCCACCGAAATGAAGGACGAGCCGCAAGAGTTCGAGTCTGCCGAGATGCCCGAGCCGACTGGCACAGCCACGAAGAAGCTCAAGCTCGAAGACCCCGACTCCATCCATGCCATCACCCTTCAAAATGGCAATGGCAACACAGCCGAGTCCGCGCAAGAGTCCACTCCAGAGGACAGCGCAGTCCCTTCCGCCGAGAACCTCGACTCCGCAGTTGCGGCCTCTATTGAGGACCCAACTGATAGTGGGCGAGGTCGCGGTCGTGGACGAGGACGTGCCCGTGGTCGAGGTAGTCGTGGTGGTGCCGGTAGCCGTGGCGGTGCCCTTGCTCCAACCCGTGGAGCAGGCGTACGCGGCCGTGGTGGCCGTGGTCGAGGACGTGGGCGTTGGTCAGCCGCAGCAGCCATCCGTCGTGGTGGCAAGCGGATTGAAGACGAGATCTGGGATAGCGAGAGCCGGCGCCGGACGCCTTCTCCAGTGCCCACCACACAGCCGATTAAGGATCGTGCTGAAGAGTTGGCGGCACTGTTCAAGAAGGTGGGCCAGGCACAACAGCTGGCTCTGAGTGTGTTGGCAGAACGCTCCATGCAGAAGATTGCGCGAGACCAGAACGCGCACATGGAGTGCCCCGAGTACGATCAGTTGATGCGCGAGCTGGGTGAGTACCAACGCAAGGCACTCACCCGATGCCGCGATCAATATGATCTGAAAGTGGAAGCTGCCGAGAGGGTTTACTTGGGGAACCTGGCTATCGTGGAGATGCGGACCCAAGAACGCCTCGAGAACATCCAAGATGAGATGTTCTACGCTGCCCGAGGCAAGTACATGGAGTTGGTGGCGGGCCGTCGTGCTGCCGAAGATGACGAGCACACAGAGGTGAGTTAGAGATCTATTCCGCTGAGAAGTGATATCACATTTGAACTGAATACTAATGAAATCTGATTTATAGACGGACGGATCGGACGCCGAGGCTGAAGAGCCTCGCTACCTCTTCCGCATTGGCAAAGCCGGCCTGCGAGAAGTGGAGCGTGGCTTCTTCGCCGAAGCAGTTCGGGAGCCCGACGGTGCGGCTGCTCTGGAGCGAGGGGAGCAAGAATGGGAGGACTTTGTCATGAAAGTCCGTCTCGGGGAGGACTTGAACCCCCAAATGCAAGCCCTCGACTCCTCCATCGAGGCATCCACGGATTCCATCAACCGGACCGTGGAGTCCCTCCTCCAGGCAGCCCGCGTCGTGGCTGAAGAATCCGACGTCCCGCGCAGTTACGACGGCGCCGCAGACGTCGCCAAGGCCCTCTCCGTCTTGGCCGAGACCGCGCTCTCGGACCTTCACCCCTCCGCGGCCTCATCCTCCCATTACCCCCAGATGCGACCTGATCCCCATCTGGCGGGAGGACACCGCGCCCTTCTTCCCCAGCCACAGGGGGTAAATGTGGCACAACCTGCACCTCCGGGCATGACCCATGGCCCAACGGACCCGCGATCCTTCATTCTCCCGCGGCCAACGCCAACCCAGCAGCCGCGTCGCCTTCTCCCCGCGCGGTCGCCCTTGGGCATGGGTCTGCCCGACCCCTTCGCCATGACCGGACCCCCGCAGCTTCCACCGCCGCCGGGGTCGAATTTCCACCGGTTGCCGCTGCCTTCTTGGCCTCCGGGTCCTCCCCAGCAGGGTGGACAGCAGCCCGGGCCCGGTCATGGTCCGGGAAGTACAGGGTCTCACGGTGGCCCCGGTCCCCACGGGGGACCACCGTCCTTGTACTTCCCTCCGCCACCTCCACGGCGGTATTGAGGTGAGGTTGTTGTTTTTGTGTGGAGGAGAAAAGTTTGTGTTTGTGCTCCGGTGATGGAGCTGGGCAGAAATGCCCATGTATGAGTATTTTCCTTGGTTCGTGGTTCGTGGTTTCGTTGTCGCTCGCCGTTCGTTGCCCGCTGCGGCAGGGCTGGTTTGGTTTTTGGTTTTTGTTTCTTGTTGTTTCTTTTCTTGTTCCTTGTTTTCTTCTTCTTTTTTTTGTTAGATTCCCATCTTCATACCCGTGTACGATTCATACCCTGTTTACAATTGTTTGAGCGACGGCGTTAATATGATGTCTCTTTTCATTGCAAGTTGCAGTTTTGAGATTGGTTTGGGTTCTTTGTAGATCTGTAGATGTGTAATTTGCTATGTTTTTCTTGGTATGTGTAGATGATAGATGTGTCTATTGGATAGTAGTTTGTTGTGATTTACAAGGGCTTAGGAATGGATTGGAGTATAAGGGGAGACAATAAACTTGTATCTTTGTGGATGGGGTGTAGTATCATATAGGGGCGTAGCTAGAAAGAGTAGAGTATAGCACTAGTCGATCTATGGTGGCTAAGGTTTGATATGCCAGTGTTAATATGGTACTACTACTAAGTGGCAGAAAATTGACAGTGGCGATGCTCAGTAATCCAGAATCATAATCTGTAATCCACAGTCTTCCATAATCAGTTTCTACTTCGTATAATAATCAATAGACTACTGCGCCTCAATACTATCATGACTCTAATGCAGCCCGTCAACATGAGACAGGATGAGTCAGTGATAGACTCGATGTACCAGATACATACTTTTAGTATGTAACATACTGGTAAATACAAGTATTGAGTACTTCTTCCCTCGACTCATCTTGGACTCCACCGGTGGAGTCGAGTCCAAACGGCCCGCTGATTGGAGCTTTTGCTTTCTGCAAAATCCCAACTTCAGGCTGTACAGAGCACAATCAAATAGAAAGCGTTTAGTTTTGCTCGAGATTATAATATAAGATATTCCCATCATAAATCCTCCATCTTCATCTCCAACTAAAAAAAAAGCAACTCGAATCTACTAAAAAGTTCTTAGTATTTCCCTTTCTACCCGCTCACTTTCTCTTCTCACCTTCCGTCTCCACCGCATCCGAGCTTTTTTGCGTCGACTTTCTTTCCCTACGACTCTTCTCTCACCTTTCCCTCTCACACGATACCCTCCCCCATCACCACCGGACAACCCAACACCATGGCTGTCCGCGCCCAATTCGAGAATTCAAACGAGTACGTCCCCCCTCTCCTCCTGTCCTGTCAACCCCTCCCCTCCCTTCCCCTCTTCTTCCCTTCCCCTCCAACCCCTCCCCAAGAAACAACCCTCTAACTTTTCCTTTCCCCTCCAGAGTCGGCGTCTTCGCCCGCCTAACAAACTCCTATGCCATCGTCGCAGTCGGCGCCTCGGAGAACTTCTACTCCGTCTTCGAATCCGAACTCCAAGACGTCATCCCAATCTGCCACGCTACTATCGCCGGCACCCGCATCGTCGGCCGTCTGACAGTCGGCAACAAGAACGGTCTGCTAGTGCCCACAACGACTACGGACCAGGAGCTACAGCATTTGCGGAATACCCTCCCCGATGCGGTCAAGATCCAGCGGATAGAGGAGAGACTGAGTGCGCTGGGGAATGTCATTTGCTGTAACGATCACGTTGCCCTCGTGCATCCTGATTTGGAGAGGGAGACGGAGGAGATGTAAGACACCGCACCCACTACCAGGATTGGATTTAACCCTTTTCTTTCGAAAAGGGTTGGTTGTCCTTTGGAAGAAGAAATTTTTTTTTTTTTTTTACTTATACTGACTGGCGTGTCTTGCGTGTAGTATCGCCGACGTCCTCGGCGTCGAAGTCTTCCGCCAAACAGTCGCCGACAACGTCCTGACAGGCTCGTACATGGCACTCTCCAACCAAGGCGGTCTCGTGCACCCGAAAACCTCCATCCGCGACCAGGACGAGCTCTCCTCGCTCCTGCAGGTTCCCCTCGTCGCTGGTTCCGTGAACCGCGGCTCGCCCGTCGTCGGCGCTGGTATGGTCGTTAATGACTGGCTGGCTGTGACGGGTCTGGACACGACGGCTACCGAGCTGAGTGTTGTGGAGAGCGTTTTCCGTCTCGGTGAGATGGCGCCTGGTGGTACCGGTGCGGGTGTTAATAAGGAGAGTATTGTGGAGAGTTTCTACTAGAGGGGGAAAAGTTTTTGATGGGGATTTGGGGGGGGTCTTGGTTTTTTACATATGGAGATCTTTTACTCTGACTATTACTCTTTGACCCCCTGATGCTTGATCCTGATGCTTGACACTTGACATTGACACTCGCCGGGTGGAGTTGTGACTCTTTTTTTTTTCGTTCCTTTTTTTTTGGTTACTTAGGTCCGGCAATGATGATTGATGACCATTTCTCTCTCTGGATTTGATGTAGATTGTGAATTGCTCGTACTTGGAAACTGCATCCTTGAGGTATGGATATGATACACTCGAGTGGAACAGGGTATAGCACCGAGTACCATGGTCATGGTGGAGTGTACTGTGGTATCTCTCTCTCTCTATGGTCTAGTAGATATCAATTCAGATTGAGTAGGTATACTAGATTTAATAGGTATCCGTTGATGGATTGTATTTCTCGGCGTAGTAAACGATAGCATAAGACTTATAACTCTAAGACAGGTGGAGTAGGGTATATCTGAGGCAAACCTTGACTCTGTTTTACTTCTATTTCAAACACAGACACACGTTGTAATGCTATACCCGAACATTCTTAATAGAATGGAATCTAGGAAGGATGTGAATGAATGCATCGAGTAGAATCAAATACACCCCCTAAGCTCGAACCTAGAATCAAGACCAAGACCAAGTCTACATAACCAACCAACCTACTACCCACACCCTCCCAAGTCCTCCCTCCATACTCTCCCGAGGTACATAGGTACGTAGACTATACGTATATACTCCACAAACAAAACCAATAATACACTGCCCAAAAGTAAAAAGTTAAAAAAGAGTATCCCAAACTCCTTATTGCAACTATTTCGGGGGGTATTCTCAAATACATAGCTAGGTACTAGTACCAAGGAACGAGCCAGCCAAAGATATCTCCAACGGAGGAGAGAGCACGAAACAGGAAAGAAAAGTAAAAGTAATCGAAACAAAAACAAGAAAAAGAGGGCGAGGGTGAGGGTAAGCAAAACAAGTCCAATCCAGCACCTCCTTACACCTCGCGTAAACCTCCACGGAAGGAAATCGAGTTGAGTTGAGCGGGAAAGCTGAAGATATCGACAACGGATATAGAGAGATAGAAAACAGCAGGACGACGAGATCAGAAGATGCAGATGTTGCAAGAATGAAATAAAACACATCTAGAATGATAAACGGATGGAAAAGATACAGTATCCAGGATATAGTCGAGGGAATAGAACACAGTAAAAGGGGGAATATTAAAACCATCCCATGCATAAGAAACAAGAGAGCCAAAAAAAATGAAGAAACGCTTTTGCTTTACCCATTCCATTTCCGAAATTTGCAAAAATTAACACCTATGTTTGTGAAGGGGTGCGTGCTTGAGAACCAGAATAAAAAGAAAAAAAAGTCCCTCGTCCAATGCAGTTTCATTTAGGCCAGAACAGGCCGGACCACGCTGTCTCGTATCATCTGTAACAGACCTCACCAGTGCTTCGGAGCTTCGGACCTTAAGCGCCAGGGAAAACGTTCCGCTATACATTCCCCTGGACACTAAGAACAGGACGAGTCTGGATATCACTCATCTCGACATCAGTCCCGCCCTGACCGGGAAACCCCTTCGAGGCTGAAGGCGGCGAGACCGATGTATCGTCATCTGCATCGGCGGGTCCATCCATCGGCGGGGGTGGAGGTGGAGGAGGTGGCGGAGTAGATTTTTGACGTTTCGATGGTGAACTGTCAACTTCCGAGGTAGGATGTGTATCTACACCAACACCAGGGGAAGTCGCATTATCATCGCGCTTGCGTTTGAGCGTGGAGGCAGCAGAATCCTCGTCCATTGGCGTAGGAGGTTCAGCGCTGGCATGTGGATGTGTGACTGGGTCGGCTTCGTCGTCGGACATTTTGACGTCTGGGTCGTCGGCGGGTGTGCTGTCGGGTTTGGGGTTGGTGGAGGTTGTGGTGGAGGAGGCTTGGTTCTGGGCTTTACGGGCCTCGCGCTCCTTGTGCTTTGCGGCGGCTTTTTCGAAGAAGGATTTGCAGTAGCTTTTTACTGTTTTCTTGTGTTTGTCGCTGATTGCAGTTGGGTCTGTGACGCGCCCGTTTTTGTAGTCGCCTTCCACGAGTTTCTTGGCGGTCTGGAATTTGTTAGATATGGGAAAAGCGAACTGGGACTTGATGATAGACATACCTCTTTGGCGAAACGCTTCAGATCGTCCTTCGGGAGCTTATGCCTGAACTGGTCCACAACGTGCTTGATCGTAGGGTGAAGCTAGAAGCGTTGGAGTTAGTATATGTATACATGACGCTTGGGCTGCGCTTCACGTACCGTATTCTCATAGAGCTTCTTCTGCTTCTCCAAAGAAAGCTTCTTCCACCAATCTGCATCTTTCTTTTTCTTCTCCGGTTGCGGATCAGACGCCTGTGGTGTCCCAGGCGTCGCAGTCTTCTGTTCAGAGGGTGTCTTGTCCTGCGAGTTCATGATTCCATCGATGATGCTCTGCAGCGCCTGATTACGCTTGTTGGCAGCTGGCGCAGCGGCAGATGCAGCTGGTGCTGTCGGACGTTTCCACGTCGTCTCTCCCGATGCCGAGTAATAGTACACCCGACCTCCTTCAGCTTCCGCGGTAAACCATCCCTCAGGAAGAGGCTGACGGTTTCGAGGATCATGGCGACGATCCCGGCGTGATCGTCCACCTGGTCCTCCACCAGCACCAGGCCCGGGGCCTCCATGGTGATGTAGATTCCGATCTCTTCGTGGCGGACCAGCGCCATGTCCCCCTCGTGGTTGTGGTTCCACGGGTGATGGGGAGCGACTAACAGATCGCTGCTGTTGCTCTCGCCCAGACTCACGACGCTCGAATTGATTGACAGACTGCTTGGCTTGTTGATCACCCCTTTTCATCCGTGGAATGCGATATCCAACCTCCAGATTGGCCCAGCTTGCAAGCAAAGCCACGGCCTTGCTCGCCACGCGCTCATCGCCAGCAGTCGTCAATGGTTGAATATTCGACTCGATCTTGGAATCAATAATCTTGTTCCTCGTCAAACGCGGGAACTGGTCCAGAATATCCAGAATCTGCATGATCACATTGTGATCCTCTTTCCACATGGCCAACTGCGAGTTGAGAATTTGATAACCGTGCATCTTGACAACTCGGTTGCGTACGCGCTCGTCCTGGCACCGTTGGATACGGCCCAGCAGCTTGACGGCAATCCACTTCTCCTGGCACTGCATGAGCGCGGCCATGACCTTGGTCACGCCCTCCTCATCCAGCGACTTGGGCTGAACGCTGTCCACGTACTCCTCATCGGCTTCTTCAGTCTTCTTCTTGCGAGGTCGCCGGGCAACCACCGTGTCCCAACCGTCTTCGTCCTCAATGCCCAGGGCTTCAATGGTCGCATTGGACAGCTTAGTCGCCCGCTCAGTCTGGGTCCGTCCACCGATGAATCCTGTGCAGTTTTGCTCTCCACAATAACACGGCTGTGGATCCGCACCGTACCGATCAACGTTGTAGTTGAAGACGAGCTCCTCGCCTGCACGAACTGCACGCTCGGCGAAAATGCCCATGCGCAGCTTCTCACCCACCACCCACTTGTCGACATAACAGTTGGGGTTGCACGAGTGATTGCAGAAGCGGCCCAGATTACCTCGTTTCGTGGCATCCACAAACTCACCCTTGTTCAAGGACATAAAATAGAAATGCTTGATTCCTTCCTCATCGTATTGCCTCATCCGACGCCGGAACTGCGCTTCGCCAACCACCTCGCCGACATATTCGAAGATCAGCTGGTGCGGATCCAGATCGACCTCCGCCCGCAGACCGAATCCCTTCTTCTCGGTCTTGATGACGGTAACTGGCGCGTATTGCTTCTTTTGGAATCTTTGGTTGCGACAGTCGGGTCCACATCCACAATCACCCACGCACTCGATCTTGGTCGCACGATTGATGCAGTCGGAATCCTCGCCACATGCTGAATTTTGGCCGGCCTCGGAGTCTGTCGAAAGAGAACGATATCATTTAGTAAAGATCAGAGATAGAAGAATAGGAAATACGCGGGAAACATAAAGGCATTTCAAGGGGCGAATCCGGTGGTGATAAACGCCCTCCTGCAGCACGCTCTAGACCTGCGGAGATTTCCAACAAGAAACACGAGCTCTCCCTCTCTCCAGTCCAAGTGGCGACACCGCAGCAGAGCAAACATCGAAACAAAGAATCAAGAAATAGACACGGAAAAAAAAAGAATACATACCCCACTCCTCAGCGCAGTCGCACTCCATCGCATGTTCCGTATACCCCATATACTTATTGGCATACCAACAAGTCTCAATCTGCTCAAATGTAGCCAGCGCATCGGCCGTGCTATCCGGTAAATGCGAAAACAGCTGCGGTGGCCTGGCCACGATCTTCTGCGACGAGCTCCGCGACAGCTTGGCCGGTTGACCCGGTTCCTGCTTGACGATGATCTCGCCGCCTACCGTCTCCTGCTTCATCTCTGTGTCGTGGTTGACGGGCGAATCGGAACTCGGGGTTCTCCCGGGACTGGTGATGGGCGTGTTGGCGTCGGTGGAGAGATCCTTTTTGAGAGGGGGGTGAGGTGAGTGGGAGGATGGCGAGGGGTGGCCGTTGTTCTTTAAGCTGTGGCCGTTGATCATGGGCGAGTCCATTTTGGTGGATGGTGCCTCGGACTCTGGAGAGTCCGCATTGTCATGGGTGGACATGACGAACACGGACTGTACGGTGGGGGGGTTGGAGAAGTAGAGAGGTTGGTTTTGGAGCTAGATGGGATGTAGAGATGAGGGTGATGATGGAGGTGATGGGTGGTGGGAGAATTGCCCAGAGAGAGAAAGGTAGAGAGGAAGAGTCCTCGAGACGAGTTCAGGTGTTGGAGAGAAAAGGTAGAGAAGATGCACCACTTCATTCAAAAGATAATCCTAAACTGACCGGCCGTCGCGCGCGCTCACCGCCCGCCTGCCTCGAGAGATACTTTTTAAGTTGAACATTTCCCCCTAGAATGCTCCCTAGGATATTCCAAAGACGTGACCGAGTTGTCATTGACCATTCGTTCTTCTCGAGACCTTCTTATTCCCAGCACGATCGTTCTCCATGATGTCCTCCCGAGTCGACTCCGATGATCCACCCTTGGCCCGAATATAGACGCGTCGCGCGACCGAGGCCTATACGTCCTCGAGGCTGTCGAGAAGAAACCAAACCAAAATCTATGCGCGCGCAGGAGGAAATATAACTCTCGAGTAATGAGACAAGGGCATGCTTTTGAAGCCGGATCTGTTGGGCGGGGGGATGGTCTGGTAATGACAGGCGTGGAGAAAATCCACGGTTGACGAGCCACGTCGCGTCAGGTTGTCGCTCCGACCAGGATAATAAAAGGGGGGTTAGCACTATGCACAACCTCGGTATCAGACAAGACGATGCAAGCGATAATGCAGCTGCACGCGAAGCAGCAATTTTGCCAGAGCTATAGGCTCAGCGAAGCCGATCAGACTCGAGGCTCATGCCGAAAATGCACGGCGCCGGTGGATGACACCGGAGTAGATAGAAGACGGTGGGCTAGAGGAGGAGAAATGGTTAGTACGAAGAGGGTCGGGTTTGATACTGTCATATTCGACAGTCAAAGCACAGCCCGTGGCGCGTAATATCTGTAAAATATCTGTATTCTGTCCATTCCCTGCAGGATGTTTCCCAGAAAAATGAGTGGATGAGAAGAGCCGATTTTTGGTTGGGGGGGGTGCAAGGTGCTGCACCCTGTAGGAGTGACTCTGGGCGGGAAATCGATTGGATGGGAGGGGCTCTGCAGGGAGAGAGTTTTTTTTTATTTTTTTTTTCTGTCAGATGCAGAAATGCAGAAATGCAAACGGTGTCTGTGCGTCCGGAGGATCGTTTCTGATTCAGTTGGAATCGGGAGAGGAGAGTGGGAGAGTGGGAGAATGAGAGAGGGTACGGAGGAGGAGAGTAAGCGGAGGATCCAACCTTGAAACCTTGTCATCACGGGAGAGCATAGATATGGCTATTTAGTTGGGTATGGCGGAGAGAATGATTATCATACGACTCTTATCCAGAGTATACTTGAGAATCATCACCCAGGACATACTTTGAGAACTACTAGGACTACTGGAACCTTAGTCCAGATCGGATTAGTTACAATCCATGGCCATGTCATGCTGCGCAGATCTCCAGCATTCGAATCACCAACCCATTCAAGGAAGTAAGCTTCATCGTAATTAGAGCTAGCCGCGAGACGATACGCTTGCTACTATACCTCGTGCTATTCAAGCACAATGGCTATTTACTACATCTCTATACCCTCCTCTCCATACTTGGCACGTTATCAACACCCCTTTTAGCCAGGTTCTATTTATTCCCATCTCAAAGTACCCCGTGCCCCGCGGGATGCCCGTATCGACGACCTACATTAGTGAGGTACCGAACGAAGTATAACCAGGACTACTAGAGTTAGGCTGTGAGCATGGAAAAATGGACGATAGCCAACGAGAATAAATCCTCCGAGCTAGGGAGCTAGAGCTAGAGCTAGACTCGGTACATACTGTATAAGCAGTACGTATAAGCAGTACAGAACTGTACTTAATACTGCGTCTGGTATGGACTATGGAGTCTTTTGACACCCGAGAAGACACCGGTGATTCATGCTAGCGGGCCAGCTGGTCAAAGATCTTCGAACCGTTTCCTGTTTCTCTCTGACCCCCCTCTCTCCCGAACTCACGAGCTAAACCCTGCACGGGTGATCTTGGAAGGGCTACAATGAAGTACACAATATATTAGGCAATTGATCATTCAATTGTATCTTCTACACTTATTACCTACTTCAGATAGCTATATATTTACTTTTTTACTGTCTCCATCCCCCACCGTATTCCCAATACATAATAATCCCTTCCATCAGAAAAAACTCCCCGGTGGATCGACCCTAAACCGCCCCTGGAGCTAGCTTCAAACACAATCCATTCACGGACAACCCAACGTCCCGGGGCACCCGCCGGGGCGCGCCTATCAGACGGTCGCAATTCGCCTGGCGCCCTGAAGGAGCCCACTTGAGGAACTTTTTACTAGAGGTTTAGCTCGGTTTACCACGGTTTACCACCGGAAAAAAGCACTTGCTTCCCGCAGCATGTCCCTTGGCTCTGGGACCGTCAGGGCCAACCGTTTTCCGACTGTACGACATTTTGGGGAATATTATTATTATTATGTATTATTATTATTATTCGTGTTTTTTTGTTTTGTGTTGTTTCCCCCCCCCTCTCCTAGTCTAGTCCACCCCCTGATGAGCTGTCCGTCTCCTTGTTCCCGGCTAGCGTGGGGACTAATTAAGTCTCTTTTCGTCAGGTCCTGTCGCTTTGCGCTTCCTAGAGTTTTGGCTATGGCAGGAAATATCACGGAGGGATTAGAGTAGTAGGGGATTAATTTAGCCTTGTCATTTCTTTTTGTATATACTCCGTACTCTGTAGAATCCTACTATATTCTATTATTCAAGACTATGTACGGGGTATATTCTCTCTATTATTATACTCCTCTACGAGGTACCTCACTAGCCATGCAGTGTACTCTTGATCCCCACTTCCACGCGCAAAGGACTCCATCCTCATCCATGTACGGAGTCTTCTAGTTACATACATAATCCGTTTAGCCCTTTAGAGTCTTAGTGTGTCTCCGTCCACATACAGTAGTGCCCAGTGCCTTGGTGTTTTAGCGTGTTAGCGTGTCTCCGAAAGTACTCAACTTGGGATAATCCAGTGGAAACGCTCTGAAATATGTACTACAGTACAGACAGTACAGTAGGATGTTGGCCTTTCCCCCTCGATCGTACTTTGTTGTCCCAGAACGAGCCCCTCCGGCGACGTGCATCACTAATAATTTTGTTTCGTCTCGAACTCTTCTGGAAGAGATGAAACTCCCCGATTTCCCCGTTCTTATTCTTTCTCTCTTGTTTTATTTTAACCCTTTTTTTTTCCCTTTCCCTTTTCTCTCCCTGCCACTCATTTAATTGTGGGCTCTATAGCGTCTGTTCTGCTTTCTTATCCTCTTTTGGGAGTTCGCTATTTTTATTTTCTTCTTAGCCTCCTTCTCTTCGCGCGTACTGTAAATCCTTTTCTGGTCTCGACTACACTACTGTACTGCATTACTTACTGCATTACTTCTACGATCAACCCGCGAAGCGCACTCCATACCTATCGCTACTACTCTTTTTTTTTGTTACTGCTTCTCCTGCGCCAACTCTAGTCTGTTTCTACTTTCTACCTCTTTGCTTTCTATCTATCCTCCTCTTTCTCATCCTCCTCCTCTTCTACTCCACCTCTCCACCCCAATTCTCACCAACCCCTCCCAAACACGACTTAGACCCTGCAGCTTTCCCTCCGGTCCAACGCGCCGCGGTCCCTCCTGCGCGATCCCGGCTGCTCAACTCCGTTTTGGCCAATCTTTTCCAGCCGGGGATTCATGGACCGCGTTTTGTTTTGCTGCACCTCTATTTCCTGTGGCTGTAAAGCCCTCAATTGAACCTCGCTCTCCTTTTTGTATTTTTTGGGATTTTGTTTTCTTCCTATCCTCTCCCTATCTCTTGTTTTCTCGCTTTCGCATTCTCGCCTCTTCCTTTGCCCGGCCTTTTCTGTTGGCAATTGAAGAATTCCTGACGATTCCCTGTTTGAGAAATAATTCTATTTCTTTTCTCTCTCTCTTTTTCTTTTCTTTTCTGGACCTTTGCCCTTTTGACCCTGGTGGAAAGAGGACGGGCACATAAGAGTTTCCTTTTTGCGTGTTTTTGATTTGTTTTCTTGTTTTCCCTTTCTTACTCTCCTTATTCTCGAGGATTCAAGTTCGTCCATCGTGGGCGTGTTTGTGGACGCGTACACACGGCTTTCTTTTCTGATTGCCATTCGCTCCGATTTAATATCTTGTCTTGGGAGGCTGTCTTTGCTTTGTTTATTGTTTCTTTTGGTGACGAGGTTTTGAAGACGGTAGCTCTTCTCTATTGACCTATTGATTCTCATCGGGTCTGTTCTACTATCAGTGTCCAGACAAACTAAAAGAACATTTATGTTCTCGCTTGAATGGTCTGGATATGTCCAATTCATCTGATACGCCATGGACCGAGGAGGAGAAGGTATGGTCAAAGACTCTCCGAATGATATTGAACTATACTAACATCGGTATAGAACACTCTACTCAGCGAAATCCTCAAGAAAGCGGGCATTCCGTCCAATTATCTACTTCGCATAATCAATGAGTTCCGTATCAGCCCTGACTGGGAGCATATCCCCTTGCCTCAAGGTAATCTTAAGACTGGACTATACGACCGCGCCTTTTACACTAACCACTATCAAATCGGATGAAACCATAGGCCGCTCGCTCAGTCAATGCAGATTGGCCTTTGAAAACATGCAATTGCAATTGAAATCGCAAACACAGTCACAAGCACAAGCACAACCTCAATCGCAATCGCAATCACCATTCCAGCCTCAACCACAGCAACCTCAGGCTCAACATCAACACCAATATCAACAGCCACCACATCCAGCACCACCACCAACAGCAGTCCCAATCCCCCGCCCAGAAGCACCAGGAACACCCTCCAGTATAGACGCAAACCTTCGCAAACGACCCCTCTACCCCGCCGAAAAACCACTCGCTCCACGCGCAATCCAACCCCGCCCCCCAGCAAGCACAGCCTCCTACAGCAGCGAAAGCTCTGCCCAACTATCCCCACGCCTCGACACAACATCAACGGGCGAACCACCCCGCAAACGCGGCCGACCCAGCAAAGCCGAGACCGAACGACGCAAAGCCGCCGCCGAAGCTCGCGGCGAGACCTATCCACCCCCTCGTCGCGCAAACCCAAACCGCATGAGAATCCCACCATCACCAACCAGTCCAGCGGGTCCATATCCAGTACCGACAGCTCCAGGCCCAGCCTCGCATCCCGTCCACGGACCCAACGCAGGACTAATCCCCTACGACGTCCCGGGTCCTAGACCCCTCGCGCCGGCACCGTCTATACCAGGTGCAAGTTCATCGCCCAGCTCCAATCCCAATCCCAGCGAACGCCGCGATATACCAAACCGCAGCATGGGCCCTAATATGCGCGAACTCCCCCGGCCGACGGAGATGGGTCATCCAGGCCATCCGTTGCCCTCCCCGCATGCCTTGCAATTAGGGACGTTGCAATTAGGACCCCCGGACCCCTTTCCGCGGTTGAATAGTAATCCTGGCGAGAGGAGTGCTTATGGTGCTATTCCGCCGGATCGCTTTTCGCCGCCGGATAGTGGGCGCAGAGACTCGGTTGCTAGTCGCGGTGAACGTGAGCGGGAGAGAGAGCGTGAGCGCGAGGGGATGGGGTCGTATGTTGAGGCGAGGAGTAGTACGACGCCTGGCGAGAAGGCGTTGAGGTAATCGGTGTCAGGTTGGCATTTGATTATCTTGTCTTTGGGGTTGAGTCGAGTCTGGATTGGCTTTGCTCTTGTGACGGGATTGGATACATTAAAGATCGTGCTATGAGTACGATCAATATGGCCTCCGAAGGTAGACGGTATTTCTGATTTGTCTTGGCCTGCTTTACCTTCTCCATCCCCTTCCTGACCGTGCTTTTGACCTTTTTTTTGGACCTTTTGGAAAAAAATTCCCCCTTATAACCATCTTTTTCACCTTCTTTTGCAGCTATGTTGCAGCCATGTCTCACGACGACCTCGAATTCATGAAATGAACTCTTGACGAACAGAACAATAGACAGCGTTTCGAGTTGCGTTTATTGTTTATGTTTTTTACTTTGACTTTGGATCATGCATTATGCTTGTCAACTCTTGATTCTTGCGTTTACATCTGATCCCCCCCTTCTTTTTGGATATCTTGTTGTTACATTTTTCGCTTTGCGTTCGACATTTGCTATTTGCGATTCGCATACTTCATGCACTATGTCTTGCAATGATTTCGTCCTGCACGGTCTATTTCCGATTACACGTCTTCAAATGACACAATCCAATCACAATCACAATCACAATCACAATCACAATCACAATCACAATCACCGATGATCTCGCTTTTTGCGTCCGCGACTTCCACTGCCTGCCACTCACCCCTCGGCATGCGGCTCTGATGTGTCCACGATGACTCCTCGACGAAGATATGGACTCCCTCCCATACAATACAGCCTTCCGATCTGCAATTTCTTTACCGAGTTCAAACTCATCTTATGAACCAATGCTTTATGTTCAATGTTCAATTGACGTTAAACGTTAAACTGTCTTGTCTTCTGTTTTGTATTGATTGTTTTACTTGATCAGCCTTGCTTTGCTCTATCTCTTACAATGCTTCTTCTACTCTTCCATGTGCCGTGCTTCTTTTCTTCTTTCTGTCTGTCTGCCCTGTGTCTCCCATGACGTGCCATGACATACACTCCCTCGATCACGACGTCTCCAGTACCAACTCCAGCAACATGGCGACAGCAACCCTTCTTCCGCGCGGTCTACTTTGTTTCTCTCTCCTTCTACGATGGACCTCCTTTTTCACCGTCTTCATTATACATGATCTGGCGTGCCTTTGTATTATTTAATACCCCCATTCCTTCCAGACGTCCTTCGTCCGCAGATGAACCGACCTGTCTTCGACGCCATTGCTATTGCTTTGCTCTGCTTTGCTTTCCTTTCTACGAGACACGACACGTCTCAACCATTACTTACGACTTCTCGCCTGTCATGTAACACAGGTACAATGATGACCTGACCGCGCACCAGATCAGCCCTTTTTTGCACCTTTTTTCTGATTGTCCATGTTTCGTTGATTCTTCTTCTACTACTTCTTTACTGTGTTATGACGCATGTAAGATTATGGATTGCTTTATAATGTACAGCGCTTAATTAGTCTTCCGTCTCTGCCTCTGTCTCTGCCTAGGTCTGTCTGGGCTGTGGATTACTTCGCTATCTACTCTTTGCTTCTATGTTTTTCTTTCGGGTAGTATACATAGCAGCCACGCCTCTTTCTACTCGTTGGTTGATCTTATAGATATGCGCATGAAGACTCCAGCTCGTTACTCTACCCAGCGTAAAAGCATCAATATCGCGTGCCATGAAGTACACGTATTACATAAAGAGCGCATACGATTTACTTACAACCCATCTACTTGCCACCAGTACTGGACCTACCTGTCTACCAAGCATCTTCCCTGTCACCCCACACCAAACCATACAACAACCACAGTCCACCCTACACCGTAACTCCAGCCCTGTCATGTGTCATGTAGATCTAAATTGAGGGGCAGACGTATTGTGTAACCATCCCGCATGTCCCATATGCAACGGGCAATTCCCGAGATTTTGATCACTGCACTGGGACTTTTTCACTAGGTTGGACACATCACCTCAAATAAGGGACAAGGGAAAATTAGGAGGTTTGAAAGGTTGTATGTAGGTATATTTTTTGTTGGAAATAGACTGAGTGAATCTCTCATAGTTGTCAAGACTATATTTCTTTGTGGTAGTGCGCACATGCGCTTGAGAGTGAACTTCAAGGTCAGGGTTCTGTCATATGCAAGGCGATGAAAGTTATGGAACCGCCGGTATGAGGACAACAAGGGAAATGCTAAGTAACGATGTGCGACCTGATATAAAAAGCGGAGAACGAGGTGCTAGCCTTGTCTGCTATTCATATATGTCCTTTCCTCGACCCATCTTCTCTTCACGACTGACACACTCCTCTATTTACACAACCCCCGCGGCCTTCCCTCCGACACAGCAAATCTCTTGTTACTCCTCATTCTTGTCACGAACACGAGCGAGAAGTCGACGCAGTTGCGTGGTTGAGTCTTCTGCACTGGTGTTCGGGTCCGAAGCTGGAACGCCAGTTGCTTCCAAGGACGATGCTTCGGGGCCAGGAATCGACTGTGACGAGAGCGATGAGGAGGGAGGATGGGATTGTCTGCGCTCACGGGGAGGGCTCTGCTGACTTTCCGTAGATTCTTGCCCCGGATTCGACCCCTCCACCGCTGAAGCATCCATTTCGTTCTGCTCGGCCTCCCTCTTCTGCTCCATCTGATTTCGCAACAAGCTCACCGCCGCCCCAAACGCCGTCGCGGACCTGCCAGCCGACGCAAAGGGTTTCCTATTGCCCATTTGCACATCGAGAACTTCATCCTTGACAAATTTCATCACCTCGTGCTTGCCCTCAACGCGACGCGTTAGATACACCTTGGGACTGACGCCGGCGCCAGGGAAGGTGGAGGTATTGGACTTGATGCGCTCGAGTTCCTTACGGTATGCCGTTTCGTAAATGTCAAACTCTGCTGCACCGGGGGATTCACTGACGATTTGCATCGGCTCGTCGGACATGGCTGCATCCAAGGCAGAATCCATTCCGTCCTCGGTGCTGTCGGGCTCGGCGAAGATGGGCGTTGGATCACTGCCAATATTGAACTCGCTGGGTTCCTGAGGTGACATGCCGGTGTAGGTCGAAGGACCAATGAAGAGATAAGGGAAGTCCTCTTCAAGCGGATCCCGTGCATGGCCTCTCGTCCCCTCGACGCTGCGCTTGGTGGTTGCAGAGCTAGCTCGCGAGAGTGCGGGATGAGGCGATGCCGACTGAGAATGGATCCCAGTCGCATCTACTTTTCCAATTGACCTCCCACTCCGTATTGAGCCAGAGTCCTTTCGCTCTGGAGGCTCAAAGGCGCCTCTAGATCGTCCACTGCTGGTTGTACTATCGTCTGCACCAGACGCAACGCTCAATGGAGTGGTTGCAAAGTGTCTCTCTGCTGGTTCGTCTCGACCACGCCCTGCCAGCATAGGGTGCCGCCCAAATGCCTTCCTGATGCCACCAGTGAAGATATGACGACCAGCACGCTCGGCGTTGGGATCCAGCCCAATGGTCGGGAAATCATCGCTCTCGTCCATTTCCATAGGGGGTGCCACAAAGTGAGCATCATGCTCACTACCCAAAATACTTTGCATGGCTGATCCTGCTTTAGACGGATCTACTAACCGCTTGAAGCTCTTGACTGCTTTCATCTGCAACCGTCCATAATTAGCATGAAATTCTGTAAGTTGTCAATTCTGGGTATCGAGTACATACCACTGTTAACAAATGACCCATGTTCTTGGTGATAGCTAGGTTCAGTTCTTCCTCCGTGGGTGGCTCGATGAGCTGTGCTGTGTTGTCTTCATAGGAGAGCAGAGGATCAGCCCCATTGGCGGTTACCCAAGGGTGTTCCTAATCGCACAATGTCAGTGAATCCTCAACATCTCGCCAGCTCTCTCACACTCACCCTCAAGTCGCGCATTTTGATACGCTTCGCCGGGTCCTTTTCCAGAATACGAGTCATCATATCCTTGAAATTATCATCCTGCTCATCCTCAAAGTCTACCGAATCGCTCCGAATGCTTTCATACAGCTCGAATATACTCTGCTGCTCGAATGGAAGCTTGCCATATCTCAGACAATATAGGGTAACTCCCATCGACCAAATATCCGCTGCCTTGCCAGAGACATCACCATGCTTTACTACACACAGCTCGGGCGGGAGGAAAGCCGGAGATCCAGCTGACTTGGCAGTGAACATGTCCGAGTCCTTTTCAAACATCTCCGAAACACCAAAATCAACCACTTTCAGCACGTCGTCATTGGTCACGAGACAATTGTCGGGCTTGATGTCTCGATGGACGATCCCTTGCGCATGAAGGTACTCAATCCCCAGAATCAGATCACGAAACCAGCAGCGGCAGTGCTCGTCATCGTATGGATCGGCTCGTTCTTCCAAGCCAACCTTCATAACCACACCTTTCTTGCACATCTCCATGACCATATAAAGTGAATCTTCAGTCGGATCATCCAGCACTTCGATCAGTGAGACCAGGTTGTTGTGATTCAGTTTCTTCATAATCGCAATCTCCTCCTTGATCAGATAAAGCGGATTTTTGGCGTTCTCATCGTCGTCTTGAGAGGGATGGCGATGCAAGGGCGAATTGAATCCCGTACCGGGTCGTTGAGGTCCACGCGGTCGGCGTAATAGGTGTGACTGTGCACGTTTTCTGAGTCGGGATTTGGAGAATTCTTTCACTGCCTGGTAATGAGCTTCTGTCAGTACCATGCCCTCATTCTCGTCCTGCCTCGTCTCAATGCCCTCAATGGCTATTCCAGGGCGCTTCCATACATATTCATTGCCAAACTGATCAGCAGCCAAGTGGACGGCGCCAAAGGAGCCTCGTCCAATCTCCTGCTTGATGATATATTGGTTGATACGGTGCTCTGCCGTGCCGTCGTCTTGGCTCGTCCTATACTCGGAGCGGGCGTCCAGTGTTTCCTATGCGCCCATGAGACACGAATCAGTCTCTCGCCGGAATCTCTCGCGCGCGCGGTACAAAACGTCTACCAACCTTCACCGGACGCCGAGCTCGGGGGTTTCGTTGGCGGTGTCTTTGAAGACTATCGAAGGATCCAGATGTACTGAAAATGAGGAGATAGGAATACCCGTTAGCTATTCGCCCAAACTATGCCTCGGACCTCAGGGAAAGCTTACGTGACTCGAGATGGGGGCGGCGGTATACCCGCCCCCTCGAGAGAGTCAATCGAGGGCGCCGCAGAGACATCGGACAGAGGAGTCCCAACGGTGTCGTCCATTGAAACGAGGTACTGGGTGAAGTAGAGAAGAAATGCTTCTCCCTCGGCAGGTTGGGTTACGCCTAGGTAGGTGTGTGGGGTAGCGAGGGTCGAGGAAGGTGAGAGCGGGGGGAGAACAGCAGATAACGGGCAAAATGCAGGCTGTCAGCCTTACGAGGCGAATAGAAGAAGCTTTTTGGTTCTTCCTGCAATGAAGATCAACCAGAAAAGACCAAGAAAAATAATCAGGATTTCCAAAATTAGCAAATAAAAAATTAGACCCTTTGGGGGGTTTCTCCTCAGGGACTGGACTGTCCAGGCAACGGCTTTTCTCCATATCAGATACAAAATGATTAGGTTATCGATACCGCCCGCTCACCGCCCTCCTCCCCTGAACATCAACAAATCACACCTTCCATTAAGCTTTCCACCCCATAGTTGAACTTCCAGCAATGACTGTCTACTCGTTCTATATCTTTGACCGCCACGGTAAGTTGATTTTCAAGATAGTGGGATCCACTTGGCTGACTTTTACCTCCCTCTGACAGCGGAATGTATCTACAAACGCCGCTGGCTGCCGCGCCCGGCGTCGATCGTGGGGAAATCATCACGCAACGAGAGCCCAGCTCAGTCTGGCCCCGCAGGAACTGGCCAGACGATGCGCGCTACGGACGATGACTCGAAATTGGTGTTTGGTACGGTGTTTTCGCTGCGGAATATGGTCCGCAAGTTGGGTGGTGATGAGGACAAGTGGGACTCTCCAATGGACACCTCGGATTACCGTGAGACTAATGCTTGGACCTCTCATCTAGCTTCGTGTCCTTCAACACCAGTCAATATAAGCTGCACTACTACGAGACGCCGACCAATATCAAGTTCGTGATGTTGACGGATACTAAGAGCCCCAGCATGCGCATTGCTCTACAACAGATCTACATCAACCTCTACGTGGAATACGGTTCGTCCTGGCCCAGGAGATAAACATGGATCAACTACTGACCTTGCCTGTCATATACAATAGTTGTCAAGAACCCCTTATCTCCCGCTGAACACCCGGGCGGCGTAGGCGTCAACAACGAGCTCTTCGAGGAGTCACTAGAGCAGTTCGTGGTACGTTGTCCACAGACGAGGCGTCCCCGCCCCCTTTGTTATTGACTCATTTTCTGATATGGTAGCAGACCCGTGTTCTATCTTGATTCGGAGTACCCTTTCTACCAGCCAATTGGTACCGTCAGCATTGCCACTCGGGCTGGAGCTGGACATTGAGAAGCTCTCCCACAGCCGGCCGGGTTTCCTAAACCCAGCAAACCTCCACACATCACGTCCAAGAAGCCTGAAATGGAGGAAACGGAGAGACAAGCTGTAACACACCGCAATCTCTTCCCTCCCACCGCCCTGCACACCCAACCAGCCCCCTATACCGCCTTTTTCAGGACAGATTAAGGCGCCAGTCAATGTGGCAGATATCCCACGTGGCGGGGCACCGGCACTGGATAAGCGGGCTCTCGGGCACATCCATCCCTGCACATAGTGCTCTCCACTATCAGTCAGGAACAAGAACCGACGTCGCAATTGAGAGCGGGTGAACCCGGATAGTTGGAGGTCAGGGCAGCAATTTCGGCATTAACAAGCTTCTCACGTCATTGCATATCAAATAGCGTGTTTGAATAGAATCCCGAGAAGACCATCTGTGATGCCGTCATACCACAGTGCAATGTTCTCCTTGTCCGGTTCCTTGTCTCTTACAGTCCATCCGTACCACTCGTATCAACGCGATCGTCAGACTAGGGTAGGTTGTAAGTGAGACAAAGCCACATTTTCTGGAGAGAATTCATTACGTGACCCTGCCAAGGACAGACCAACTCGGATGTCTTGGGTTCCCTCTGCCGTGGCTCATGCATGTCCCGCCGTGTCCGTAGGTATCAGAGACAAACACAAGTGCATGGCCTTCCAGGAAAGCTCGGTGAGATCAAACAGTCTATTTCAGTCAGACCTAGCAATTCAATTGGAAGATCACATCCACAAGACTTCTCAATTGATACTATACAACTGTATTTTAGTATCTTCCATAAATACAACCCTGAACTCCCGACTACCCGCATACAAACCATATATCATATGAAAACCACAAATTAAACGTGCACAGGACCGGCCCGAACCACTACCCACGAGCATTTATCCACCCCATCCCGATCCAAGTCCATATAGGAAGACACCACTCCGGCACACATTCGCCACTGACACAGAGAATTGGCATTGTACGGGGCTCTAGCTACCCCAACCCACAAAAGATCTCCGCGGCGTAGTGGATTCCTTCTCCATCATTGCTTTACAAGGCTAGACAGCCGACCCTCGCCAAGACTGGGCGCTATGCGGTGCATCCTGGTGCAGGGCATGGACCGCTGGTTCAATGCACGATGCAGAGTTGGGCTATAGCTTGGCCTGATATAGGGATGCCATATACCTGAGGTTGGGCGTGAGGTTTGGGGGAACGGAGAGGCCGGTAGGTAGAAAGAATACGATTTTGTATGTACTTAGGATATCATTACTCTGTGGTGTCTATGGAGGACGGCATTGATTGTATACAGAGGGTAAAGGGAGTTTGTGTTGGGTTGCGCCGGTACAGAGGTACACATATCAACTATAGATACAGTACCTACCACCGCGTCCAAACATACCAATCAGCACTGCACCAGCCACTCCAGCATAAGCATCCAAGCTCCCTGCAGATGCCGAAGCTCAGCTCGGCCACAGCTTATCTCAAGCTCGTCCTTGGATAGCTCCCACAGTCTTGGCTTGTACAACCCTCCCTAGAACAGAATCTCCCAATAATAGACAGTAAACTAAAGACACTGTGTTCTACGACTTGATCTGACAAATAGCCACCGAATCTCACACACGCAAGCAGGATAATCCAGAGGGCAAGTGTGTCCCGGAATACTCATCCCCGATGTGTAAAATGGCGGTCAGCAAGGACACGGTTGGACTCGGCCGCTCCGTGTGTCCAGTGGGAGGCTTTATTTTGGGGATGATTTCCCCCTCTCGAACCTAGTGCGGAGGACCCGAGTACTTTGTACATGCTACGTCGCGCATTGTAGTCGGTATATTCGTGTGGTGAGCAAGTATTGGCGTAGAGTTAACGTTCCCGTCTGTGCTCGTGGCACTGGGTGGCTCGCGCTTGGATGGTGGATAGTGGGGTAAGCGTTTTGCTATGTGGTTAAGAGGGGGCGGAGAGGAAGACACAGATAGAGGGACTTGTCTGGACGGGATCTAGAGGTTGACAGGACGAGCGGGCCTATGGAGTAGTACTTGGGATGTGCGAAGACCTACCATATCAGACTAGGTACAGGAGCCCTGCTGATGGTAGGATGCTTTGTATTCTATCCCGTTTTCTTTTCGCAAGAAACAGAAACAGAAACAGGTAAATGTACACCGTACAGGTATAGAATCAGAATACGCATACACTCATACTCGGTATATGAAACTGGTATCGAGCACTTTACACTTGACTTGTTTACTATACTCCGTACATCGAAGCCAAGAACTTCCAAGCTGCGACAGCAGCAAACACAGATAAAAAGAAAAGAAAACGTTCCATCAACAAAAGCAAAAGCAAAAGCAAATCTGCATCGCATCTGCATGGCACACGATATCGCATGTACATGCCAATATGGAGTATTAATAATCAGATCATGGCAAGCCCCCTCCTCAACGCTCGTAAGTGCTGATTGGCGAGGAACAAATGCCTCGTAGTTTAATTGCAATGAAGAACGGAGATGTCGAGGATGTTGTTCAACAATTCAACGGAACACACTGTCACTCGAATATGTTGTATGGCTAACAAGGCTTCATTTCTTTTTTCTTCTCGTGTATGTGGTCGTCCTCTTTCGTGTGTGTTTTCAGTTATCCTCTTTGAGGGGGTTTCTCTTCTCGTTTACCCTTTTGGCGCATGTGCTCCGGTTGGGAAACCATGGGTCTGAGGATGCCGAGGTTGCCCCGGATTAATGTTGCTGTGGCTTGTTCTGCCAATTTTGATTGTGCGATAGTAATCACAACTATCTAAAGTGGACTCTATAATTTATTTTGAAACGCAGAGAAAACCCTCGCTAGTGATGGCCTTATTTGAAACGTTCATGTCTACATCGATCGTGCGGGCAAAAAACTACGGGCTTAACCCGCCGACCAAATCCACGAGTCAGACGACAATAATCCGGGGTAATCTGTGTGCCGTCTCAGGTCGGAAGTTTAAACCGGCATGCGACGAGCTTGCCCTAGTACGGGGTACGCTCAGTTAACTAGTGATGTGCGTACGTTCTTTGGTCGAGTTACTCCCCGCGAGGGAATCTCCTCCCCACCAGTCACTGATCATACTGTGTACTGCCCCCTCATAGTAGATGTAGGAAATATGAAACAGGCTCCAAGCTTCTGTTTTATAGGCTGGCCAACTATACTTTACCTGGTAGCCTATGATCTTGGTAGATCTTACCTCCTTCCCGAACAAGGCCATACGCACCGCTACACCCCCAAATATACAGTGCCAACTACGTTATTATTCAATCTGATCGCCGCAACAACTCTCTACCAGCCAAAGAACCACACAGCGTCCGTCCCACTGACGCCGTCCGCGGCCGATCACCAACGAAGAACCGGGGATAACCACCATGCACATCTCCCCATGGGGCCAGTCAACTCCCAGCGCGGGAGAGGAATCCCCATCATGCCTCTGTGATAAACTCACGCCAAAGCTTACGCTAGCAAAGGACTCGCATTGATATACGAGGTCGTAGCTAGCGGGAGGAACCGTGTTCAGCCCATCTAGCGTCATCCAAGCCAGATGACGGCATTCTCGAGGGGGTTGATGCGGGAATGAATGGGCTGATAAAATGCTGACCAGTAGTTATCGAGCATTGCGTCGGCGGAAGAACTCAGCTGGGCGCGGAGAGCGGGAGGTCATGACCGTTCTGTAGGTATGACTATGACTATGACCTTTTTGCTTTGTTACTCTTTTTCTTTTTTAAGATGTTATACTTTCTTGTGACAGTGCCAAGGAGTGCATTGTCCGATGTCGATGTCGAGTTGAGTTGGCAGATTGACTATATCGTTAATATTGTAGTAGTAGCAGTAGTAGTTGTGTCATCGCGTTGAGGGATATAGGGGAGCCTATCAGGGTTAATAGGAATTGGGGAGGGTATGCGCGGCCGGTGGTCGAGGGGTTCTTCGCATGAGCTTCACCGTCTCTTTTGCGGCGTGATTTGTTTTCCGGGGTGGGGTCGGCATTTTGATGGCGGGTAAGAATTAGTTGGAGTGTAGTTGGCCTTTTAGCTAGGTGCTCTGTTTTGTACATGGTTGGCTGTGATTAGCCCTGTGTTAGACTGTTAGATATCCACACTAACTACATACCAATTTGAGAATAGAAGCGTCCTACAGATGGAACAGCGCGTTGTCAAATATCCACTGTTCGTTGTCGTTTCGCCGACACGCTATCTCTACTATACCGAGTAGCACTAGGGCACTTCCGCGGATGCACAAGCCGAGGGAATCATAGTAGCGGGGCCGTCTATCGACAAACTTCATTCACATACAGTAAACACTAAAACAGCCAAATTGAACATGACCCCCTATCATGCGTTATCTCGCAAAGGTTCACGCCTGATCTACACTCTTCTCGCAGGTGGACAGTGATGTCGGGCTCCACCAAGCCATGATTATCAAGATCATCATCATCCACCAGCCCCTCGTTCACGGTTCATCATCATCATCATCGGCATCCACATCGGGTACCCCTCAAAGGACGGAGGACAAGTGGCCATGCTAGCGCCACACGACGCACCCAGCGCATCGGCTCTTACTGCTGGTGCGGGGCCACGATCGAATCATAATGGGGGCTACTCAACAAAGCAGACGACGTGCACAGCCTCACTCGCATCGGGGCCATGCGCTCGGCGGATGAACGTGGCGGAAGTATAATACTGACCTAGGTTAGAGACGGGGGGGGGGGGGGGGGGATTCTGACATCTGGAATAACTAATGCGTCCAATCGTTTCTAGGATTGACGACGTCATTGGGGTGGTGGAAGGGGAGGGGAACAGGACAGGATCAGGAACAGAATAATGCCCTCATCTTTAACTGGGTCGACACTGGACAACTCATGGACTTGTCCTACATTGACCACTGGACCAGTCAGACTCAGTTATCAGGACCAGTTGGACCGAAACGGGGGGGGGGGGGGGGGGGGGGGGGACGTCATCAGGGGATCGTCCTGTAATTTCGGAATGGGTCTGCGCAGTGCTTAATCTTTCTAAGCTACGGGCCACGGAAAGGGAACAGACCCAGCGTCGGTACCAGGGATCTTCCGGTAAGAATCGAGGTCCATACGAAAGGACTCGGTAGCGATCAACTAGTTATGACTATGCCTATGCAAAGCTATGTCACCATTGGAGTCGGACATAACTAACAATGGTGAGAATAGATGCTTATTACAGGAAGATTAAATCACTCACTAGAAGATAGTAGTCTCCATAATGCTAAGTGTACTCCGTAGTCGGGACTCCGTACCACGCAACTACTGTACAGTATGGGGCCCTCGGGAGCCGGATGTCGTCGTTCGTGTGTTAGTTACCTGGTTTTACCTTTTTTATTGCTGGTCCCGTCTCCAGTGTTTGTAGCGTGCCTAGTTACGGGGCCCCCCTCTTTGCTCCTCGTTTGGTGATTTTCTGGAGTGGATGGATATTTCCATTGTGCCCGCACCACTAGGGCAGGAGGGCATGCGCCACTCGGTAACGAGGAAATGAGGAATGTTACCGGACAAAGTACGGAGTGGAGTGACTACGGAGAAGGACAATGGATAGGAATAGGTAATTAGGTATACTTGGGACTGGAAGAAAGAACAGTTAGAGGTATAGTATTAGCAAATGTGAAAGGAAACCCTATATATTGTAATTATATTATTATTGTATAGAATTATTATTAGTCGTAATATTAATATCATCCAATTCCATCTTCTCATCATCATCATTGCATGATCAGCACCTACTGTAAGTAGTATGCTGTGGCTTTGGAGTTGCCCGCCTCACAGAATCCCCTAGAACAATGCCCGTGGCAATTAACTAAGATGAGATATCAGGGACTGGGCAAATGGCTGAAAGCTGAAAGAGTAAGAAAGCTGACAATTAATAATCCCAAGTCTTTCGAGGCAGTGGGAATCCGGGTACGGAGGACGGAGTACGGGGAGTGTATCCTGACTGTAAAGACGGTGTGGTAAGTAATCTATTACCATGGCCATACACGTTACCGGTCATCTCTGGCCGTGTCCACATTTCTCTCGGACCGTTTGACTGTACCACCCTTTTGCAGTGTCGGTTTGTACCGAGTACTCCGTCAATCTACTTCTTTGTCAAAGCACTCGATGTACTCTGTACTCCCCGTATTCATTTTTCTTGCTCTCCTCAGCCTTAATAATCCCACCAGAAAATTCCATCACTCCTCGGGACAACTCCCCTCCCCGTAAATTACTACTCTACTCTTTCCCCCCCCCCATACGAACTTCGTTTCCCCGTGGTATTTCAACCCTCCCCTGCTCCTCCCGTAGTATCGCCAATTTTTATCCCTCTCATCTGCCACTTCTCCCTCTTCTTTTCATTTTTTTTTTCTTTTACCTCGTGCAGTATATATTATATCAGACATAACCCCTCGGGGCGTATGCTCTTGAATTTACTGCTCCGTATATGATCTGATTTCTTCTTTGCCCTTGACCCGTACTTAGCGTACCCAATTTCCATTTGATCTCGCCTCACATTTCGGCTGCTTGCGAAGTCGCTGTCGTCACCTTGTACACACCTCGCTGCCTCAGGCAACGACCGGCCACCACACACCACTTTTTTTCGCCGTCGGACCTCAACCTCACCTCGTCTCTTTCAAACAAGAAATCAGCGAGTTCTTACGAGCGCATCGGTTGCACTTCCGCAGCTTTTGGCTTCGTGCGAGCGTAGCTCGCCTTCTCCTTCTCACCTCCAACCGGAGAATCGACTGAATCTTCTATTCCCTCCGGTCTCGCTCTCGCGATCATCCTCCTCCTCTCCTTCCCCTCCCCCCCCCAAAAGATCCACCGCACATGACTCCGCTTTCTCCCTCACCTGTCCCGTCCGCAGTCTCCTCAGCCGCAACTTCTCAATATTCACATGACCCCCGGGATGGAGACCCTTCGGTAACACGAGCCCTGGCGGGCATGAACCTGTCCGCGTCGAACGGGGACATGCTCCCTCCGCCGTCCTCACCGGCCACGAAACCTACTACCAAAGGCAACATGGCCTCTCGCATTTCTCGCATGTTCTCGAGCTCGGGGAAACAAACCCCGACTCGAGACCACGACGTTACCCACCGCGAGCTCTCCGATAGCAGTATGGAGAGCGTTCAGCCACTTAACGGCATCCAAAAGCCAAACTCAAAGGCTTCGTCTCGCGCAAACTCAAGACCCCCCTCTCGCGCCCCTTCCCGACAACCCTCGCTCAAAAGTGAGCCCGTCGACAATACGAAGAAGAAGCCGGCCAACTCCAAAGACCAGAAGGATGGTGCCCCGCCCCACAAGCGCTTCGAGGTCCTTCCCGAGGGCACCGGCACTCACAACCATCACCTTCGAAGCGCCCGACGACAGGAGAAACTCACCGACCTCCTCCGAGACATGCTAGGCGGTGGAAGGAAAAAGGGTGACGACCAGGCTGATGAGCAGCAGTTGTCCCTAATGTCGACCTGGATCGACCAATTCAAAAACGAGCGCGATAAGCTGGCCGCCGATAAGAAGGGTGGACCCAACGCGACCGCGTCCCTGGTGGACAAATATGGCAAATGCCAGGAAATTGTTGGCCGTGGTGCCTTCGGTATCGTCCGTATCTCCCACAAGGTGGATCCCACAGACTCCAAGTGTGAGCAACTCTATGCCGTCAAGGAGTTCCGCCGCCGACCCCAGGAGACGGCCAAGAGGTATCAAAAACGATTGACCTCTGAGTTCTGTATCTCCTCCTCCCTTCGCCACCCTAACGTCATTCACACCCTCGATCTGCTGCAAGATGCCAAGGGCGATTACTGCGAGGTCATGGAATATTGTGCTGGTGGTGACCTCTACACCCTTGTCCTGGCAGCCGGCAAACTCGAAGTCGCCGAGGCAGACTGCTTCTTCAAACAATTGATGCGTGGCGTCGAGTACATGCACGAAATGGGTGTCGCCCACCGCGACTTGAAACCCGAAAATCTGCTGCTTACCACCCACGGTGCCCTGAAGATTACCGATTTCGGCAACGGCGAGTGCTTCCGGATGGCTTGGGAAAAGGAAGCACACATGACCGCCGGTCTCTGCGGATCTGCACCATACATCGCCCCAGAGGAATACATCGAGAAGGAATTTGACCCCCGCGCCGTGGATCTGTGGGCCACCGGCGTGATCTATATGGCAATGCGAACAGGTCGCCATCTCTGGCGTGTGGCGCGCAAGGACGAAGATGAGTTCTACCAGCGGTATTTGGAGGGCCGGAAACACGAAGATGGATATGCGCCAATTGAGACGCTGCATCGGGTAAGCACTACTACTGCCGCTGCAGGTCATTCATGCAATGCAGGACATCAGACTGACTCCACATGTACTTTCCAGGCCCGTTGCCGCAACGTGATCTACTCTATTCTGGATCCGAACCCATCTCGCCGAATCAATGCTTCTCAAGTCCTCAAGTCTGAATGGGTCCGACAGATTAAGTTGTGCAAGGCCGGCGAGGAAGGATTTTGATCCATCGGCCTGCACTTGACTCGGTGGGATAACGAACAAACGGCAAGAAAAACAGCATTGCCATGTTAATTCCACTTGGAGATTACGAGGATCGAAGCAAAAAATGCCAAAGTAGAACTAGGACAGGTTGAGAATTGTTCCAATCCAACCTGTCTTTGTGTTTTTCTTTTTCTTCGTTCCCCCCTTATTCCTGTATCCCTGTGATAAAATGAAGGAAGGCTATTTGGATTTGTCTTTCTTTCATGAATATTTCTCATTTGCCTCTTTTTTCTTATGGAAGACCACGGAGGGAGGAACTCTGAACCTTTTACTATACTCCTGATAGAACAAGGAGGTCCTTTTGATTTTGATGTCTTTCTATATTTCCTCCCCACCCTTTCCACGCCCTCTTCTCATCTCCTCCTTTCCCCTTCTCCTTTTTCGTCCCTGATTAATGTCCATTGTCTCATGGTCATTTGTTCCGGCGTATTCTTGTTATAATTCCTTTTCGATCCGTGTTTTTCATCACTAAGCTGGGTTGTATTTTCTGTTTTGGGGGAATTTGCAAACTTGCCATGGATTTCTACGCCAATGCAACGAAGACTCATGACTTTTTCCTTTCTATTTCTTCTCTATGTTTACTCTTTCGTTTCTGATGGTGAGACTCTTTCTTGCGGAGCGGGTTGGATTGATTCGTTAGGCGTTGAGTGGTATATTGCGCTTTTTGGGATGTTGTGGTTATACCTTTATGATGACATGAGTCATGACTGCTCAATTGGATATGGTCAGTCACGGTGACGGATGTCTTGGAGCTTGGATGCCCGAGGTGATATCCATCTTGGCGTTCCCAAGTCCAGCTTCATGACCTGTTTACGTTTCTACTGGGCCTGGAGCAGATCTTTCAGGTCTGGATTCGATAGGCACTGGACAAGACTGACACTTTTCATCTTCACTCATTTTTTTCGAGATATCGGGCATTTACATATCATGATGCACATTGCATATAGCCTCAATATCAAATTGAATGTCAAATTGACCACTATGACCCTCGTCATTACAATAGTGTAGCGTTACCCAGCACGAATCAGCCTGATTCACATACCAACAAAGGACTCAACGTACACTGCAGCCCATGCAGGATGATCGATACACAAACCTAACCTGCCCACGCCGCATACATTCGCAGATCCCAAATGTACTGTATGACATCAGCCTAGCTTGTGGCACCAGGTCCCACAACAGACACACTAGCCAACGCATAGGTTTTAGATTCTACTGTTCGGTGATCGGCGCTGAACCGGGTGCTTCCGAAACGTTTTACTTTTTCATACTTCACGTACCACGGTTATATGGGATGCCTGCCTTTTACAATAGTAGATTAGGGCTCAGGATGATCGTTCAACCTTATTAGATTTATTATTCCTCGATAATCTAGATCAATCAAGTCATTGTTGGGCGGGAGATGAAATTGTTATCGATTTATCACAACGCCATGCAGTCCCCAAGATCGACGACCACAAGATAAGCCCTACAATCCTCCAGGATTTGCGTTAGCACTAGGTAGGACTAAGTATATGCACTCCCTTATGCAACTCCAGCCCAGCACTAGCCACTTCACCCACGCACCCGCCATACATACATTACTCCATCTCATACTCAAGGATACTGTATACTATATCTACAAATCTAAGTCCGTCCCACTCCCCAATCGACCAGACAGACGAACACCCCAACTACGAATTATTTCCATGCAGCCTCAGAACCCGTAAAACGAGAACCCATACATGCACCGCCAATACAGCACCGCCCCATAAACTAACAGTCTTGGCGCATCACCGCTCCTCCCACAACAGCCCACCCCGTCAAACCAGCCCTTTAGGCACCACCATTTCCAGCCTCGGCGTCCGCGGACGGCACCGCAATCGGTTGAAGAAACTTAGAAAGGGTCACAGCCACATGCTAAATCTAAATCGGCCTGGTGCCTATGCCATGGAATAGCGGATATACGGAGCGGAGGAGGGATTAGAAAGTGTAATTGTATTTGTAATTCCGCTTACACTATGGCTGGAATTGGATGGAGGAGTGAGTAGTCTTGGTGCGGGTATAGTGCCAAGCCCGCTGTGCGCTCCACCGCTAGGCTGAAGGATGAAGACTTCAGCCTTATAGGTTGATTGTGGCTGTACGAGGGGAAGTTGGTGCCGGTATGAAGGATATAGTAATGGAATTGGATGGGGGTATGGGGGGTGTGCGTGTGTATGTTGTTTTACGGATACCTGGGTTGGAACTGCGGAATAGCACCGGAAGACGGAGGATTGCATGTGATGGAGTTATTTTGTGATATAAGCATGAATGAATGGGAATGTCTTGGCCAGGATTTTGAATTAGACATACTCTGTGTTTGTCGAGTCTAACACTCACTCGGGTGGCCGATGGCGAAGAGGTCAAGGCCAGGTAAGCGGGTAGGCTGTCAGGTATACACTTGATCAGTCCGACTCTATTCGCCAACTTCCCTTCTACACCAATATCCTATGATAATCTCTATAATCTCCCAATCAATTAATATCCAGTCTATCCGCTTCCCATCAAGACAACATCAACCTCATAAAACAATTATCCGCACTAGCAACATACCCCCCAAAAGCCTCACAACCCACAAATCCAAGACCAGCATAAAACCCCCTCGCCCTCGCAAACGACTCATCAGTCCCAGTCTCCAAACTCAAAGACGTATACCCCCTCCTCCTCGCCTCATCAATAATATGCAGCACAATAGCACGCCCAACACCCTGTCGAAGATACTCCGTAGCCGTCCTCATAGACTTGACTTCACCCGCAGACGGGGAGAGTTCTTTCAGTGCGCCACATCCTAGTAAATTCTCGCCGTCCCAGGCAGAGTAGACGGATATAGATGGGTCTCGGAGGGCGGTTAGGTCGAGGACGTAGCAGGATTCGGAGGGTGTTTTGCGTTGGAGTTCGGTGAAATGGTGGGTTAGGAGGGTGCGGATAGCCTCTGTGGAGAGGTCGTCTAGTTTGATGAGCATCTTGTTTTGTGGGAATGGAGAGGATTTGGAGGGTTTCTTGGATGACTTCTAGGTGTTGTTGCTGATAAGATGCGTGCTGGGGAGTGATAGCGAGGCGGGTGAGTCATACCCCTTCTGGCGTTAGTATGGGAATTGTGTATACTCGCTGTAAACTGGTCGGGGCGATCAGATAAGATTGAATATCTGGTTATTTTACTTAGCTTGTCTATTGGCCTGATACTGATTGAGTTGGGTGTCTAGATGTGGATCTTATGTTCCTGGTCTACAGGCCTATAAGCGCCCGCATGAAACTAGGCTTCATTCACATATGGAGGAAATAACAGTCCTAGTTGACATATCAATGTAGATATTCTATTTCAGGAAATAGTGACGAAGACTTTGCTCACTGTGGCATGAATATATCGCCCAATTCTGTAAATAGTCCATCAGGCCAAGTCCTCAGAAATAAAAAAGGTGAACAATGGGAGTTAGCGATGATCAAAATATTTGGTAAAATTGCTTCAAAGCGGATTGCGAAGGTATTGTTGGTAAAAACCATCAAAGCCATAGTTTAAAATAACACCGAGTGAAAGAAAGAACAATGAGTAATCGAGGGGACGACCCCCCGTCCAAATATAGTTCTTTCAAGGAAGACCTTAGTTCAAAGAATCATATAACGGCATTGTTTGAAAAGTTGGTATGGGAGGACTGTTCAAGTATAAAACGGACCAAATCACCTACTATCGCTTCCAACTCCAGCACTCTGCATTCCCATTAATTGGTTATTAAGTTTACAAGTTCTTTCCCCGACATCCAATTCATCTCCACCATCATGCTTACCGGCAGACTCAACGACGCAGCGATCATCCTGCACCTCTCCCTCGATGACAACCAAATCAAATACGCAGTGATAGGAGGCTACGCCATCACCCATTTCGGAGGCAACCGCCAAACAAAAGACATCGACTGTATCGCAAACGCCTCCAAACAGCAAATTATCAACGCACTCGATACATATGCCGGACTCGCCGTTGTCTCCCAAGACCGCGACGACTACGTCGGTCTCTCATGGTCGGACAAGCCAGACCGCAGCGATGCCGTCTTCATTCACGTTTTCTGCTCCGTGTACCCCGGTGCACGCTTTCCCTCGGCGCTTTTCCGCTTCGAGTCTCATGAAGTGAGGGGCGATATCTTCGGCAGCGGCATGGTAAGTTTCCATGAACCTTTTTACTTGTTCAAGGCTGCACTTCGCGCGGCCGGTGCTCGGTTGAATTTCCTTGATTCTGTTGATATCCGGTGGTTGGTGCAGCGATACACTACTGAGATTAAGGTGAGAAAGTATAAGATTCATCTTGTGGATGTTGGGCGTGCGCTCAAGCAACACCCTAATCTTGAGGGTTTGTTTGAGCCACTTGGGATTAATGTTGCTCAAGCTAAAATTGCTGCACAGGACTTCAATCCTTTTAAGGTTTCTTCAACCGGAGTGAAAGATATACCGAAAGGTTTGTTTGATAGCTTGGCTGACTCCTGATAGGCAGATTATGCTTTCGTTGGGTCTTTGTGACTGCAAAGCTGCTCTTCGTGGTGAGTTATCTGATTTTCTTGCTGATTACCGTTGACTGTTATTAGATTGTCCCATTTTCCATATCTGGCCTGAAATAAATTCGTGATCACTTCTTGAGTAATTCCACTAGATTAAAACGCGTATCTATTTTTACTAATATTGTCGTAGCTTTAGTCCTTGCAAAAACCTGTATACTGATAATACAGTACATATCGTCAAAGAAGTCTCGAAGTCTTTCGGGAAGGGAAGAGCGCGAGACAAATTCACCAGGGCGTCAGACCGGTCCCCGTCTGCACCCTAGTTGATATGAAGGCTACGAGCTAGACAATCATAGGAGTTTGAATCAGTTTGGAGCAGCACTGGATCTGCCACAGATATCGATGGCTACACTCAGAACTCCCACTCTTCCTCGTGTTCATACCAATCCGTCCTGCGAGGCGCTTTAGCTAGCATATATGTGACATAGCTTGTATCCGTCCATTTGCGCCTACTGTCAACAGGGACAGCCATTCGAACCCCTGAAATACGCCTGTGAACAAAGGAAAGTTAGTGCGGCGTAGAGGATCTCCAATCATGACTGAAGGGGCTCACATACATCTTTCCGGTAAACTCGTCATAGATAATCTTCAAAGAGGTAGGCGGAAATGGTTGAAAGCCGCACCGTATAAGCTGTCTTATCAACCACTTAGCCTTTACGATGGGAGGCTCACGCGGTATATACTTACTCATAAACACGGCGAAACTCTTCACGTATAAGTTGTCGCTGAAATTGGTCGAGATTCCAGAAATAACTCTGCGATAATGGAACCCCTGCAACTTTCTTCCAGACGATCCTAGTAGTAAACCCTACGGGGATGATACCATCACCTAGCTGCTTTCCGTCCTGGTACCCTAGGAGCTTAGGAATGACAGTACATTCTTGCTCTATAAGAGCTTTAAAGGCCACCAACTCTGCAAGCTTTATCGGTGGGACTACCTGAGTAGCTCTGACTTTAGAGGGTGACCACTCAGTACCAGAGGTAGGAATCTGGTAATAGACTCGCATAAAAGCTAGTTCTCGAGTAGTGTCATCCGCACAGAGGAACTTTCCAGCAGCAAATCCAGGCTCGCGGCCACCGTCAAGATCTATTTGATTCATGAAAAGGGAGACTTCTTCGAGCTTTTCAGTGATAATCCATGTTTTTGTTGGTAATTGAAAGTCAGGCTTAGCCTCAGTACTTACCTTAGTGCCTTCGTAGCTGACCAGGAAGGATGTCTCAGCACTGTGCATCTTCCGACTAGAGAGCACCAGCAAGAACAGTTTTGTGGAGGGTGCGCAGCCTTGGAGACCGGGTACAAAATGAAGCGATCGATTGAGAAGTTGACGCGATCGTGACTCTTATACTAAATCAGATGCCTTTTGGTGCCTGCCGAAGCAGGCATCTATGCGATGTCCTACGTTCCTGACCTCTGCCCCTCCCTAACTACTTCAGTAATCTGACCTAGAAGCACTCGCCCTTGAAGAAAATTAAATTCTCTCTCGTATAGCCTTTTAACATCGGGTCGGCTAATAATATAGTCTTGATGAAGAAGGGAACCTCAAAGCGGCCAAGTTAGTATGGGAAGGATGAGACACAATGGCAGTCGCTTGACGACCGCAAATAAACAAGACAAATAAATCTATAAATCAAATACAACCAAGTCAAAACCTTCTCAACAGACCTCAACGGTCGCCTCGTCGCTAGGATCTTCACCTCTGCCGTCCGATGGAACACCTAGAACCGCCATTGAGATAACCAATTCTTCATCAAATCTGGAGAGATTTGTTCAAGCGCCCTCATTGTTTCACTCGCGACTTTGGCTCTTGACACGTCTAAGGCCACAGACATCGTTGCATGCTTTTCATCAACAAGCGCGCGATAGAAGGACAGCAATTTGAGGGCCGGCTTGTCTGCTATGTCGGTACTGCTTGGATTTTCGATACGCTCAAGCTCTGCGACCCACTCCCTAAGCCCAACTGGCTGTACATTCAAATCTTCCTGGATGGCCGGGATCAGAGAGGACCACGAGGTTGTGTTCCAATTTGTGAGATGGAAAACCGCATGCGGATTCTTCGAACCATCTCTGTGACGCGTGTGGACAATCTCGGTCAACATCGATGATAATGTATCCTACAGTCATATCAGATTTGCGACGCGCACATGAAAGATTCTGTTGATGACGTGTTACTTACCACCGGTACCCAGTCAACAGCGATCGAACCCAATCCATTGGGAATCTTGCCCATGGCCTTGGAAGAAGCGATGATGGTTGGAAGCCATTCCTGGCGATTCCACTGCCCACTGGGGAGGGTAGGACCTGCAATTTGTCCCACGCGGTACACCGTCGTCGGGACATGACACCGTCGAGAAGACTCCAAGCAGATACGTTCTCCAATATACTTAGACTCGCCGTAACCCTGTGGCAAGACAACGTCGGGATTTTCAATCGGTTCCTCCGGCACAAGCGATCCCATTTGTTTCGTCCATGCCCCCACCGTACTCACGGAGGACACAAAGTGGATATGCGCATTCTGCCGGCTTTGCAGACTGAAATCGATGAAATTGCGCACTCCTTTGATATGTGTCTCGAAAGAGTCCACAGAGTGATTAAAATCAACCTTCCAAGCGTTGTGGATCACGGTATCTGCCAGATTCGAGATCTCTTCGTATTTTGCTGGCTCTAGATCGAGCTGAGGTTCGCCCAGCGAAGCTTTGAGGAACTCGATTTTAGCCCATTCATCCGGTGATACATTAAGACCCTTCTCGCTGAAAGAATTCTTTTGGCGAGTTTCGGCATCCGAGCGGTTGAGACAATAGACCTTTGCAATCGTTGGAGTCTTGATAAGATCATGCAGAAGGTATGTTCCCAGAGAACCAGTGGAGCCTGTCAGCACCACGACAGAGGGATGTTCAGGTTGACTTGGAGGTTGTCTGTCACAGTCTGCAATGAGATTGGCGGTATATTTCTGGATCAACTGGTGGATCTTTTCATTGCGAGGGATGTCATCATCAATCGTGCCTTCCAGTATTCCATGAATGAATCGAGCCAGACCATCCACCGTCGGGTTTGCGTAGATAACTTGGGGAGTAATTGTCCCCTCCTTTGTCTCCGTTCGATGCTGTTGAAGTCCTTGCTGCAAGATTTTGGCAATTTGAATCGTCATTAGAGAATCGAGTCCAGCATTGTGAATATTCTGGTCATTGCGGAAACGGGATTTTCCAAATGCCCCAGAAACTACTTGATGAACATATTTCACGATGCTCGAGCGATTCGCGGTCTCAGGAAATGGCACGTCCAGTTCAAAAGGTGAATCCGCATCATAAATAGCATTGATCTCATGCTCATAATCCTGGAGTATTGCCTGCCGCTGGACTGTACCCTTTGCAGTAATTTTGAAGGGCTTTGCGTTTGAGGCGAGTCCAATCCTCTCTTTCAGGACCCGCCCATGGGCGGCAACACTTTGATTTGCCTCTTGAACTGTCGGCCAAATCTCCTCAATGAAAGCATTCTGTGTCATTTCCGGAGCTTCGGCAGTTGGTTGAATAAGCAAACCAGCCTGAAACCTAGATTGACCGACAACCACGGCTTTCGAGACGAGAGGATGGCCCTCGATGGTTTTCTCCATGTTCACTGGGTTGAATTTCTCTCCATTGCTGAGAACGATCACATCGTCAAACCTTCCGTGGAACTTCCATAAGTGAGGATTCGTGGGATGTCGCGTGTATAGATCGTTGGTTTTGTATACATGCCGGTCGGGAAAGGTATGAAAAATGGCTTGCATACTCCGTGAGTCTTCCCTACGAGGGATGACCATCTCGAACAAGTCGTCTCCTCGAGGTTGCATTTCAATCCCATAATATGGGTTCCATTCAAAGTAGGCCCAATCTTCTTTGCTTTCTGGCACCAGTGCTGGAAGCCAGCCCATTTCCGAAGACCCGATAACAGATATGACCTGGACATGCTGGCGTAGGCGACGACCCGAATCAAGCGCCAATGGCGCGCCCCCGAAGAATACACTTCGGAGTGCCTCGAGGGACTTGAGCGCCTTTTCGGAATGGCTCATATCTTCCAAGACTGACGGCGGGAAAAACCCAGCTGTGGGACTCGTCTTTTCGATGAGCTCAACCAAATGGTCCACTGAAAGTGGTTTCTCAGGGCCAATCAAGACGGGTACATTGTGGAAAATTGACATAACAAATGAAATAAGTCCCATCAAATGGAAGAATGGGGTTGTTGCAAGAACAAGCTCATCCTGGCCATAGTTGTAGAACGTGGCCGGTTGGCGAGACTCGGGCCAGAGAAGTCGCGAGAACTTGTCGTGGCACTTGAAAAATCCGTTGGTCAGAGATACAAGCTTTGGCATACCTGATTATTTCGGAAAAAGTCAGTTGATAGTATTTGAGTATGGTGCTTGACAGAATTTTCTTACCGGTGGTTCCAGAGCTGTGGATGATACAAATGGGGTGGTTTTCCACGTCATCATAAGCTTCTTGGTAGATATAAGATCGTCGGCCATTTTTATCACCAAACATCTGCTGGAGCGTGGGGACTTGGAAGATCTCTACATTCGGGCACAGCTCCTGAATTTCGAGGACTCGAGTGTGTCGCTCTTCGCCGAAGAAAATCTTGGTGCAGTCAGCTGCTTTGAGCAGGTGAACATGAGCGTCATCTGAGTTTCTCGTGGAAGGCAAAAATGCCTTTATGTATGACGAGTCAGCCAGGTTTCCATCAGTATCCACGTTAACTCTTACACACCTCGTAACCCAATTTCTGACATGCGAGGATAAACATGCAGTATCGGACATCGTTCATTCCGATATAAGCCAGCCTCTCCTGGGAGATTGCCGGTCCAATAGTCTTCTCAATCCACCAGCAAAGAGAGTTCACGACATGAGCTAATTCCTTCATCGTAAAATTTTGGAAGCCATCCGATACTTTCACACCCCGTGGAATGACTGCAAACAGTCTCTCCGGGTCACGCTGAGCGGCATCATCCACTACTCTCGACAAAAGTCTTTTTTCCGTGGGCGCCATGACTTTCTGTGGTATGACGAGTCTTGTAAAGGGAAGCCAGACACTTGAAAAGAAGACAGAGGCACAGACAAGTTTCCCGGTCGAGAATTCAAGCTCTCTATATCATTTATTTTACTTGATTATCAAGTGGGATCTGAGATCAACGCGTTTCTTTCCCGATCTGGACTACTTGAAGCCCATCGGTGGGACTAAGGGAGATCTTTACCTTCATAATCCACTATCCAGTCTTGATCGAGACCCACTCAAATCACTATGCTTGATTTCAATGGCATAAGGTTCACATGCGCAAAGCGGAAACACGGAAAGCTCATGACATGGCCTATGCATAGCACTGCTAACGGTGCATTGCTAGAATTAATACTTATTCCTGGCTGTATAATACTAGAGCGTGAAATCCACTAGCTAGTCCACCAGGTGTTCTGGTACATGAACGGAGTTGTGCCAGTGGCGCGCTTACACAAATTATCTACCGGAGCCCCAAATACCGCGCATTGTATCGGGAAAGGCATTTCCCGCCTGGAAATAGTTCTCAAACGTCATCTGTTAGGCCAAGCGTTCTGGGGATTAGTCCTGGAAGTCTATTTCATGGAATTGGGTTATTACAGCTAAGCCAAATACTGTAAAAGTTCCTGACCCATGGTGCGGAAAAAGTGACGCAACGGTGCGATTATATAGGAAGCGAAGATATAAGTGAGAAAGTGTGAGAAGAACGCAGTAGAACAAGCCAATATTTCAAAAAGCCTTCAAGTCCATATATTTGACTAGTGGGTGACAAACGACAGAGAACGGGCTCCAACTTGATCCACTCGGGGCATAGCGCTGCAGGAAATTCTCGGCTCTTCTTCACGTATGGCTGAATAATAATAGAAAGATTCAATAGAGTAGTAGTAGGGAGTGTTCGTCAGCCTCCAACGCGCTTTCGTGTTCCAGGACTGGTCCGCCCGCTGAAGGGCCACCACATCCACTGCAGTACACTGCATAATTCCTAGGAAAATTGGACATAAAATCATACATAAAATTGACCGCTTCTGAACCCTCTTCTGCGGGTGCCTTACCCTTGAGGCAACCGAGCCATGCATGGTGTTCTACTTCCTTATGATTACTGCTGAAAGGGGTTGTCCCTTAAACGAATCTCAAGAAATCTGCTTGGTGATTAAATAAAGTTCTCTGAACAGGTTCTATTGGACTTATTATCATCCATTTCCGTTGCAAAGGACCCCGTAACATCCTAACTAGTCTGTCGAGTCGCCGTTCCGATATATTTCTCGACAAAACTGACGATTCGATTAATGCCATCTTCAGTAGCCTCCCCCATGCGAATGATCGTAAAGGCATGGCATGCACCTTCAACCACACATAATTCCGTTTGATTCCCGGCACTGAACCATCTTGCCGCCATAAAGACACTATCGTCAACCAGTGGCTCGATAGCTCCCGTTAAGAACAACGCTGGGGGCATCCCCTTCAGATCGGCGTACAACGGTGACACCAGTGGATTCTTGCGCTCGGTCATAGGGATATGCGCGAATCCAGCATCAACAAAGTCCATCATGCCTTGCTTACTGAGGATAATGTCGCGTTTGTGCTCCAGTAGAGACGGGGTGTATGTCATATCATAGATTCCGTACCCCGTTACAATGGCATCGAGAATTGATCGTACGTTAAGCCCGTGGTCTCGTTTGAGGGATAGCCCGGTTGAAACAGCCAGCCAGCCACCCGCGGATTCGCCACCGAGGATTTTGAGCGGCGCCCCGAGCATTTCCTGCCCCTCTGGGGTCAGAGAGTAAAGAGCGGCATCAACACAGTCGTGTAATGGCTTGGGAAACGGGTTCTCGGGCGCGAGGCGATATTCCACAGAGACCATTGTAAACCCGAGACGGTCGGACAGAGTTGTCAAGTAAGGATCGTACGATGCGTTGCTACCGATCACAAACCCTCCTTGACATATCGAAGACTGAAATTAGTCGCAGCCAGGACAAAGGATATCCACATCTCATGTGAACTTACCTGCGTGAAAGTGGAGCCAAACTCCTTTACTTTGTTGTTGCGAGGGAGAGATGATGCGTAGTTCAATCCTATGTCCATCCCGAGCGCTGATAGTTGTCGTTCTTGCCTTTGGGTTCAAGACGGGCTTTGGGAAGCCATTTAAGCCCTCACGGCGCATTCTTCGATACTCCGCTGCAGACTCGCACTGGTTCCATTGCAGACTGCCTTTAAGTTGGGCTTCATAGCCATCAAGGAATTCAAGACGAGCACTTAAGACTGCTGGATCAACCGGAGCGGGCTGGAAGTTGAGCGACATGGTAGATGATAGCTAGGATGTATGTATTCAGCCAGATGAGGTTATTCTTGACTCGACGGAGGCAACTTATGAAGTTATATGGTGTGCTCAGCATATTGTAGATTTGTATCAGTTGCTGTGAGGCCTCGGAACTACACAACAACGGAACTAGATACAGTCGGAATGGAAACGAAGTAGACCACCACGGAACTCTCGCAGTCGCTATATTTCCGTTCCTGGGATATCAAAACTGCACCACGGAAGGATTGTTTCGGTCTTCCTTGTCTGTTCTTATTCTAGCCCGAGTCTTGCTTCAGAAATGTATCTACTCCTACCTATGCCTATCTGCATTCTTGCTCAGGTTCCCCCACCCTCTAGGTATCAGTCGCATAAGTAACCGTGACCGGAGTTATCAGTAGATGATATATATCAAAACAATCGGAATATAACTATGTATTGAGATGATGCATCATACGATCCTGGTCGTTAATTCTACCTCACTGTAAATCAGGAGCAGTTCAAAGCAGATGGAATGAGCAAATTTTCTAATAGGCCAAGACATAGCCAGAATTTAAAAAATGAAGTACATAGAAAATCCAACCAATCTTGATGAGAAGGATATAACCTCTCCATAGATATGCTATGTCGCTAAGCAACCCCGGCTCTTGGTTTCAGGGTCACCATCAACTTCTTTTTCTCCCACAAGAAAAACGTCTTCTGCTTATCCCAGCCGACAGACTCTGGAACAAGGTTGAAATCAAAATGATACAAGACCTTAGCAAGTATCAAGCGTAATTCGCTGTATGCCAAACTAAACACGCAAATAATGGTTAGTTTCAGACCTTAGGTAGAAATCTTAGAACACAGCGGGGTTGACAGATCATACTTCTTTCCAAGGCAATTGCGTGGCCCAAATGAGAAGGGCTGAAGGGTCGCCTTATTATCACTTGCAAATTCGTCACTGATCCATCGCTCTGGAATATACTCATTTGGTCGCTTGAAATTTTCAGGATCGTGATAGGTTGCCCAGTGATTGACTGAAAGTGCAGTCTATGTTGCTCCGCTGTTAGAAACGAGTGGGGCCAAAAAATAGACAAACACATATCAAATGACTTTGATAGACGTACCTTGTGAGGGATATGCTCTCCACAGACCATAAGGCCAGCTTCAGGTGTGACTCGAGGCAATCCAACCGGAACAGGAGGGTAGAGGCGAAGACCTTCCTCGATACACGCATTCAAGTACTTCATCCTTCCCAAGGCTTCGAGCTCAATGCCTGAATCCTTAGTAAACGTGCTCCGAATTTCGTGAACAATCTTCGCCATTTTATCTGGATTCATTAGGAGATGATATGTCAACCCACTCAAGGCAGTTGCTGTAGTCTCAGTACCAGCAACCATAAAAACCTGCGAGTTCGCATACATTTCCTCACGGCTCAGGCGGAGTCCTTCCTTCTGATTCATAACAATGCCCCAGATATCTGGTCTGTGGGCATTTCGAGATGGATCAATCCGCCTGTTTACGCGTTCCTTGCACGCCTTGTAATGCGCCGCTGTCTTTTCTACCAGAGCCTGGGGAATAAGTTTCCGCGTCAAGAATGCAGTCCAAGGGTAGTAGCGTCCAAGTCTGCGAAGTGCATTGGTTTTCATGCTGATGTATATTGTGGAAACCCAGCTGTCATCGCCACTTCCAGCTAAGAGGTTCAAAGATTCTCCGAACGTCAAATCACCCATGATATCGAATGTGGTGAGATTGTATAGATGGACGATCTCAATTGGTGCTTGCGGATCTTCTTGCACAAGGGTTTGTAATTTTTCAACCAGCAGGTCCACATAGTGGCGAATCAGTGGCTGCTGTTCACGGAGGGCCTTCTCGGAAAATGCATGGGAAAAGTTGCGGCGGAAGCGGGTGTGATCCGGACCAAGAGCGCGAATAATATCTGGGGCGCCATTAAATGAGGGTCCATAAAATTTGGTATCCTTTTCTGTTGTTTTTTTGCCGGCAGACGCGTGACCGTAAACATCCTTCCAAGCCTCTGGGGTAGAGTAGCTTAGCTCATTGGGAGCTACGCGCACGGTATTCCCATAGATTACATGCAGCTCGGTAACCCACTCAACTAGATCTCCTTTAAAAGTATGATATAGATTTGGGATTCGGGAAACAGCCGCATATTTGGGGCCTGGAAATCGGGCCAGAGGGCTGAAGTATATTTCATAGAGACACTTGACCACAATGGCGAGTAAAATCTATAAAGTTTATGAAGATAAGTTATGTCGTAAAAGATGATTGGGTTGATCACAATACCAAGATAATAATCACAGCATAATAGTGCTGTGACGCATAGTTTGCAAGAGACTGGAGCAACATTTCGCAGACTGCTGATGTATACAACCAGATTTTACAGTGGATTTTTTGATGTTGAAGCCGGTTCAAAAATTCGGAAGCAATTTGAACAGAAAAAGCTACTAGATAGGGGAAACATATTTATGTATCATGATTTCCTAGGCTAAACATACTTTCAGGAATTATGGATATGCATAACAAGGCAACATCGTATCCGATTCTTCATAGGCTTAGTATTAGAATAGTGAATCTGTTATGCTGGCCATTTACTGTATAACTAGGGGTTTTCCTTTCCAATAAGAAGGTTGAAGCTAGTATGCGCTTTCCGCGGAATAACTTTTTATACCCCCGCTTCCGTACGCTACGTCAAGGCTTGATTGCTTTCATTATCACTGAATTTCTTGGTTTATATTAGCAGCTAATTGGTCTCATTTCCTGCAATAGACAGCTAGAAAACTGGTGTAGGACAGTACTGGTCTACTGTATGCTATTAATAGGAGAGATTTATGGATGAAGTCACGGACACTAGGAACTCATTTTTGCCAATTTTCAAGGGTTCCTAGGCAGTTCAGACATTTCATATTCTCATCAGAATAGGGTTTCTTGTTAGTGGTCGAATTACTTCCTAAGTATTTCCTTTGGTCAGAGACTCAGAGTGAATTGAATGATCATGGGACATTCCCCTTGAAATACTGAGAAAGGTTATCTCTCAATACCACCACTGTATTAAGATTTAAAAATTTCTATCTGATGAAATTCAAATATACTAGGAAAGCCCAGCTTCATACCTCAACGCGGCTAGATGCCCAGCATCGACCACAATGGAAGATCCTGAAATATAACTCGCGCCACACCCGCTCAAAAATACACAAACATCAGCAATTTCCTCCGGCAGTGCCAACCTCTGTAGTCCATTTCCATCCACTGCCCAATTGCTGGCCTTGCCATTCTTTGTCAACGTATTCCGAGCTCCAACCATAGGTGTATCCGTCATACCGGGGCAGACGGCGTTGATACGGATCTGATCGCGGGAATGATCGATCGCCGCGGACTTGGTGACGCCGATAACAGCATGCTTTGACACATTATAAGGCATCATATTCTGAAGGGCAGCAAACCCAGTGACGGATGCGACGTTGATGATACTGCCTCGTTGCTGTCGGAGAGGGTTGTCATCGACGCCCGGTGTGACCGTCGGGGTTTGCTTCTGCATAGCCTGTAATTCTTCTTGCATGCAAAGTAGCACACCTTTAGTGTTCACATTTAACAGTTTGTCGTATTCATCGATGGGATATTGAGCTGTTGGTAATCTGGCAGTGGTTGTGACTCCGGCGACGTTGGCAGCTTGATTTGTTAATCTTTATTTTCGTTTCTGCTCACCCAGTGAGGAAATATAGTGCTTGAAACATACCATAGTCAATCCTACTAAAAGCCTTGACAGTCTCCGATACCATATTCTTGACCGATGCTATGTTGGTCACGTCCACCTCTAGAGCGAGTAGTTGTAAAGCAAAACCATAACTTTTAATTAAGGATATGGTTTCTTGAATTCCGTTAACGTCCATATCAGCTAGAGCGATCGCCACACATCCTGCTCTTGCATATGCGATACAGAGCTGGCGACCGATACCAGACCCTGCATATGAAGAAATGTCAGCAATGTGTCAAGATCATAATCAAAGGGGTATGTTAATACACGGTCTTACCAGCACCGGTTACCAGGGCCACTCCGTTTAGAGCTGCCATCTTAGAGGAGTTGTGCTTTAGCTAAGTGAAGAGACAACGGTAGAAGCTCAGTTGATGCCACTCTCTGTCCTTTAAGTTGCTTAAATGTAAGTAATCCTTGCCAGGATTATTGCCACTGCATAGTTCGGAAATACCGTGCGGGTCGTAGTGATTCCGGAGGGTGATATGTGTTCCGAACACCACCACTTCTTCTAAAGGGGAGAGACAATCACTTTGCGCCAATGCAACTTGATGTAACCTAATAAATAAAAGAGAGAAAACGCGTTCCACAAATTTACACCCAGTTTTTCCCTCCTTCGATCCTAGAAGACATAGATAGAGTGAATGAAGGTTAAGTGGAGGGCAAGCCCGGCCTTGGCCTTGGCTAAGATTGTCGATTAATACACTCCTATCAAGGGCCCTGGCAGTGCTAGGTTCTTGGAGGGAGCAGTAGTGAATTCTTCCTTGGATTCACTGATGCCTACGTGAGATAGAATCTAGCGAAGATTTTAGTTTCAATGCTTTTTACTCGCTATATATAGGCGTCTATCCGCTGGAGCCAATATATATTGATTTGACAGCGGAAAATCGTTTCAGCCTAATGTGTGTCCCAGAAAGTCCTGGCCACTAGACTGAGAAAAGACATCCAAATAAAGGGCTCTAGCACGCACTTTTTACTTATGTTATAAGTCATATGTAGAGGGAAACAATCGTTGCAATTCAATAATTGACAATTTAACCAATATTTTAGGTGATTTCTGCTGTGGCAAATCCAGCATTTCACAGTCGCGATCCTCGCAAATCTTTTCTTAAAGCTTCCTCCACAAGCTTTATGGCCTCCACTGCCTTTGCTCTCGATGCCGAGGCTCGACCCTGAGGCCCACTATCATTCAAAAGTTTCACTTCTCGCCAGCCCCCAATGTCTGCCACCTCAAGTACTGTTCCGGAAGGATACTTGGAGTCCGTGATCAACGCAATCATCCCTTTTACAACCTCATCTGGAGGAAGAAGAAAGTCATTCTCTAGGTCAATATGCTCACGGGCTTTAGCACTATCCCTGAATAGAGGAGTATCCACAACACTGTAAAGTCAGCTTGTTAGTCAAACATTTTGTCCCGATTTAGCACCGAGTGCGAGTTGACTGATATATTAGATAAGTACTCACCCAGGGGCAACAGCAACCACTCGAATGCCTGCTAAACGCTCTAGCGGCTCCATGCATCTTACAAATTGGCTGAGTGCCTGCTTCGATACTGAGTATAGTGGATTTGTCACAGAGGGCTTTTGAGCCACGATACTTGACAGATGAAGAATTACACCGGGTTTCTTCCCTGCCCGAGTCATTCTTCGTACTGCAATTCTCGTCATCTTGATTGGATGCAGGATGTTCACATCAAAGATTTTGTAACGCGACCCATTGGTGCTGTCCTGGTCACCCCAGAAAGTGTTTGTGGAGGGCTCATACAGGCCAGCACCGGGCACCACAATATCCGGAACCTGGCCGTTGAACTGACGTTCGAAAACATCAAATAACTCCTCTAGGTGGGCCCAATTTGTCACATCGGCTTCGTGGAATAATGCTCGTTGTGATGCCTGGCTTGTTTCCGTGGATAGAAGCCATTCTTTGGCGATTTTTTGGAGAGAAATATCAGCTATTAAAACTGAGCAGCCCAGGTTGTATAAGCCCTTAGCGAGAGCAAAATTGATACCTGAGAGTAGTTAGATACCGAATTATTCCTGGGAAGTCTAAGAGTGAGAGTCAACGGGGTAAGTGAGGATTAACTGACCAGAGCCGCCTCCAGTAATGAGTGCTTTCTTGCCTTCGAGATTGAATTCGGTCATGTTGAGTGCAAACCTTTGAATATGTAACTAAAACTAATCACAAGATTTATATAGCGGGAAATAGAATGTAATAAACCACTCTACATATTTATAACGATTTCCCGGAAGAAAAGCCATGAGGAACAGAGGCCGACTCCTGACATTGCCCAAAACCCTGTTCGGAAAAACTGAACCTCATTTGTTATTCCGCTACCGAGCGTTCCAATTAAAATACTACAATCTATTCGTTAAGATTGACTTCACATTATGGCCGGAAAGCATCCTCTGATTCCTTTATTTCGAAAGGCTGTCAGGACACATATCTCTTACGATTGGCGACAATATAAGTCGTAACTGGAACAGGCATCCTCGGGTATCCCTATCCCTCATTCAACCAACCATGTCCCCTTCTCAGGCATTTCTGAAAGCCAAATGCCATCCAAGTGTGGTCGGAACTCCCCGGACTATGGATGAGAACACGCCAGATCTATTTCGACCGTTGGCCATTCGCTCTATCACGCTTCGCAACCGGATATGCGTCTCCCCGATGTGTCTCTACTCAACTGCCTCCTCCGGTCCCCAACAGGGAGTACTCACGCCGCTCTATATTACGACAATTGGCCACAATGTGTTCAAAGGTGCTGCGCTTGCCATGATCGAAGCGACTGGTGTTCAGCCCAATGGCCGCATCAGCCCTCACTGCCCCGGTTTGTGGAATGAAAGCCAGCAGCAAGCTCTCAAGAACTTGACCGACTTTATCCACTCACAAGGTGGGCTATGTGGCGTACAATTGTCGCATGCAGGGCGGAAAGCCAGTACTCTGTCACCTCTGGCTGCGGCGGAACTAGGAAAATCCAGTGCCCGAGCCAGCATTGAAGACGGCGGGTGGCCTGCTGATGTGGTCGGGCCTTCCGGTGGGCTCTCATGGGACGGCAAAGGAAATGATGATCCTTCTGGGGGTTATTATATTCCCAGAGAGCTCACAAGACAGGAAATCGGAGAGCTGATTTCAAGTTATGCGAGCGCGGCGAAGAGAGCCGTGAAGGCGGAAGTGGATGTGATCGAGATACACGCAGCACATGGATATCTGATTCATCAGTTTCTGAGTCCGCTTTCGAACAGGCGAGTGGATGAGTACGGTGGCAGTTTTGAGAATCGGATTCGTCTCTTGGTGGAGGTAATTCGTGCAGTGAGAGCGGTGATACCGGCTGGAATGCCTCTTTTTGTGCGCGTTAGCGTCACAGACTGGATGGAGGATAGCGATATCGGGATAAATCTGGGGAGCTGGGATGAGGAGAGCACATTTCAACTTGCAAAAATGCTGCCAGACTTGGGAGTTGACTTGATGGATGTGAGTTCAGGGGGTAATTACCATCAGGCGCGCTTCAATGTTTTCGACGGAGGGCAAAAACACGTTGAAATTGCAAGGAGGATTAAGCAATCTCTCGCGGCCCAGGGTAACGATCTCTTGATAGGAACGGTCGGTATGATTACTGAACCACAGCAGGCCAGGGACTTGGTGCAGCGTAATCTACGAGGAGAGCCGGGAGTAGATGTCATTTCTCTCGGACGACAATTTCTCCGAGAGCCAGACTGGGTGTTGAAGGCTGCTGCCGAGATTGGCGTTGATGTCGTCTGGCCTGCTCAAATTGAGCGCATCCGGCCCGCTGCTAGTGCTCGGATCTGAAGCTAGAGAAATATACTTTTTGCTTATGAGTTCCTAGGCCAGAGTAATGTTTTGTTTCGTCTTCACCTTTCTCTTATAAGGATAGGCAAGTACGTCGGATATGCGGTAGTTTATAGTTCCGAGAGAAAGATATTCCGATATCTTAGCTGCGATCTTCCGGACATATAAGTCTCCTTATATGAATGTCATATTCCAATCTATAGATTTTGTCAATCTTCAATATTCACCATGATTGCGCGCACCTCTACCTTGCAAGCCACACAACTTAACCAGAAGACTCCAATCTGGAACTTCGGGTCGAGAAGTCTCCGCTCCGAAATTATGCACCATCGTTATCCAGGTACAGGGTCTGAAGATGATCCATATATTGTCTCTTGGATGCCCGCCGACCCTGAAGATCCAATGCAATTCACCCTAATGAAGAAAATCACAATTACCTTGGTGACAGCCTTTGCGTGCTTTATAGTGTCCCTGTCATCTTCAGCGTATGCAGGTAGTACGCATGGAGTCATAGCCCAATTTGATATCAGCAAAGAATTGGCTACCGCTGGTCTTTCACTATTCGTCCTTGGATTTTCTGTTGGGCCCTTTATATGGGCCCCTTTAAGTGAAAGTGTCGGCAGACAACGCCCCTTCCTGATATCCTTGTTGGGCCTCGCCGCCTTCTCTGGGGGCTGCGCTGGTGCCCAGAATATCCGAACGCTCTTGGTTTTGCGATTCTTTGGCGGCTCCTTTGGCTCCTCACCTTTGACAAATGCAAGCGGCGTGATTTCGGATATGTTTACTGCGAGGCAACGTGGCCTGGCATTGTTGTCCTTTGCATCAACTCCCTACTTAGGTATCATTTCTGTCCATTTTTACAACAATATTCTGGCATCTCTAGATTCTAGCTAACAGAATGGAAAGGACCTTGCCTTGGGCCAATAATTGGCGGCTTCTTGGAAATGAAAGCAGGATGGAGATGGGTTGAGGGTTTCCTGTCGGCTATCGCAGCACTGGCATGGGTTCTTATGTTTTTCTTTGTCCCTGAGACATATGCACCAGTTATCCTACGCAGACGAGCAAAAGAGCTATCTTGTCTCACAGGGAAATGCTATGAAAGCAAACTCGACCTCCAGATAGGTAAGACCGTCACTATAACAAAGAGATTGAAGACGGTAGGCTTGCGCCCATGGATGCTACTTCTAAGGGAGCCAATTGTCCTATTCCTTACGATATACGCTGCTCTTATCTATGGAATTCTATATATGCTCTTTGAAGCACTCCCTATAGTCTACGAAGACTACAGAGGCTGGAATAAAGGCGTCGCAAGTTTGCCTTTCATCGGGGTCATGATAGGGGTGTTTTGTGGGGTTATCTACAGCCTATATGATAATCAGCGATACACCAAAATGCAACGCCAATGCACCAACGGCGACTCTCTGGCTCCCGAAGCTCGGCTCCCGCCTTGTATGACAGCGTCACTAACAATCCCTGCTGGGCTTTTCTGGTTCGCATGGACGAATTCACCATCCATTCATTGGCTGGCCAGCGTTGCATCCTTGGTTCCGTTTGGATTTGGACTACTTCTCGTCTACATGGGCATTGTGAACTATCTCATTGATGCATACACCATCTATTCAGCCTCTGTTATGGCCGGTATGAGTGTATTTCGATTTGTGTTTGGTGCAGTGTTCCCTCTCTTCTCAAATGATATGTATAGACGGCTGGGTATCCATTGGGCTTCGTGCATTCCGGCATTCTTGTCTGTCTTGTGTATGCCACTTCCATTTCTAATCTACATATATGGACCCGGGATAAGGAAACGATGCAAGTATGCAGCACTGGCAGAGAAGCATCTACGTACTGTGCGGGAGGTTTTGGTGGTGACTGAGCACGCTGACCAGCCCAAATTGGATTCAACCCTTACTTGATCTCAAAAAGGTATTACCTCAAATACATATAAAACTGCAAGACTTCTCTCAGCTTGAATAATTGGGTGCGAATCATAGAGTGGAAGGTCCACTTTTTCATGACTTTTAGATCGCCGCTTCATTTTCTACACTTCTCTTTTTCGATATACTTCAAGTTGGCTTATATTTTTGCCAGAACTCTTCTTCCTAGCCTATTAGTTTGTAAGATCGTAGAAAGTGCTGACAGTGGCCTTCAGAAACGGAGATGCAATCCGATGGCGGGAGAATTGTCAAACGTAAGGAGGCAAGGGAAAGGGCAAAGGGAGGTTCAATTGTGTCTATCTGCATGGGAGAACAAGAGAAGAAGCAGAAAAGGGGAAATTGAAGGCCCTATAAGGACAACCAAGGGCTGGTTCTGGAAACGGTCGGCAGGCAGGACGAAGGGGAGATCCTATAGGAAACCCCCAGCATCGGCCAAAAAAGGACGGTTTTATAGGAAAATTCCAACACAAGCATAAATCAGCATAGAGCCTAAGTATTTACCTGGCTAAAAGAGATATGTAGCTATAATATCATCGTACGGAGGTGTTGAAAATTGACAGAAAAAAACAATTGAATCTACTCGCTCTAGTTACCAGTCGCACCGATAAACTTTCCGAGTATCTCTGCTGGTTGGTTGAGATACCAGCTAGAAAAAAACCATGTCAGCTCAAGTCATCTTTTTGTGTCATGTTAGGTGTCTTACGTGGGATCCGCTTTTTGAACTTCCCCTGGAGCAAGATCCGGCAGCTCATGGTCCAAAAATCCGTTGTTCAGCCATGCAAAATCTAGCTTCGGGTCCTCACACCGGCTCTGCCAATCCATATCTTCGTATCGGTGCCGTCGCAAAAGTTCAAAATAATGCAGCCTAGATCCTGGGTGGAATGCATGAAGCTCTCCGTCCTTGGCGCCATTCTTGAAAGAGCTCGCACAGTTGTCTCCCCATACCGTTTTCTGGAGCCAGTTGATCATCTGGAATTGGTATGACTTTGCTTTACCGTCCCGAAGCCGGAATGAGGAGTAATTCTCTCTTTGGAGTTTCTGGATCATGTCTACCACATACAGGGTGATCCGTTCGATGGATGTAATCATGCTGCCATGGCCGACGGGGCTGCCAGGCCCCATGTAGACAAAGTAGTTCGGCATATCCTGGGCCAAAACGGAAAGATAGCATGCCGGATCCTTGCTCCACACCTCTTGCAGATTCACTCCGTTGGCGCCAATAATCGGCCATCGAGGCGTAAACGATAGGTCAAAGCCGGTAGCCGCAATTATGAGATCGAACTCCCGCTCAGTGCCATCCTTTGACTTTAACCCAGTCTTGGTGAATGAGTCAATTTCACCCCAAACTACTTCACAGTTGTCAGCGCAAAGCGAGTTGAGGTATCCAGGACCCGGCGTCGGTCTGCGACACCCCACGGCAAAGGAAGGGAGCAGAATATCTGCAAGCTCTGGCTTTGCCGCGAGCTTTGCACGCATGTCTTTCGCCGTGAACTCCCTGGCTATTTCCTGGAGTTTGGTACCCCGGACATATAACGGGAATCGGAAATTAAGCTCTTGTTCGATCTCTTTCCGATATGCGAGATATTCCTGTGGGTTTTCACTCCACTTGCGCTGTTGTTCGTCGTCATAGTAAACGTTTGACTGGCCCTGCTGAATAAACCTAGATCCTAAGTTTGCGGTAATCCAGGTCGGGGATCGAATGAACGCTGAGACATGGCCGGCCACTTTCTGAACGGCTGCAGTCACCTGGATGCCACTGCTTCCGTTTCCAATAACAGCAACCCGTTTTCCTTGCAAATCGAGGCTAGGATCGTAATTTGCGCTGTGGGATAGGATGCCTTGGAACTCTTCCCGACCAGGAATATCGGGCCATCGCCAATTGTTGAGATAGCCGCTCGCGTTGATGAACACATCACACTCCTCAACAATATCTTCGCCCACCTCCCCATCAGTGATGCCTCCCATGCTGGAAATGAGCATGCGTCGTCCGTCGGTCTTCTTGTATGTCACTTCCCACTTCTGTCGGGCCTCGTTCCAGCGGGCACCAGTCACTTTGCGGCAAGTCTGGATATATTTTCTCAGTCCAAATCGATCGGCAACATCATTCAAGTATGCAAGAATCTCTGGTGCCGAGACATAAAAAGAAGACCACTTCGGATTGGGCGCCCAGGTGAACTAATTTGAAAATTCCCGTTAGCGACCATTTGGGCAAAATTACTGATGAAATGTGTAGTTCCTTACAAGATAGTTATGCGATGGGATATCGCATGCACATCCGGGATAACGGTTTTCCCACCATGTTCCTCCCAAGCCCGCGTTCTTCTCAAGGATTTGAAGATCGATATTTCGAAGTTGGGAGGTTTCCACGGCATGAGCAAGAGAAAGACCACTGATACCAGCCCCGACTACAATGACTTTGACAGGTCGCGGATGGTCGAAGGGAAGCTTGGACTGTTCGTATGCCACAGGGTGGTTGTCTTTGTAGGGCTCAGTAGCTCGGATTGGCGGCAGCTGGCCATCTTCGACACCGTTGGTTGACATTTTTGAAATTTCGACCCAAGTATAAAGTTGATATAGATATGATCGGATGAAATTCAGCATGTAATGCGCCTACTTATAGGGTCTTTTATTGACTAGCCGCAGAGTTATGAACGGAAATGTTTGTGGGTGATTGCATACCTACCCCGTAATTCTGGAATAATTGTTTATGTCTACTCCGAGATCGATGTTATCGAGCATATCGGAATTATGCAGTGAGAGGTTTCCGAGCCTCGGGAACTATTCGCCAAATATTCAGCAAGGTACGTAACATTAATTTTGCCTGATAGTGAGCAGAATAGAAGGACTGAGTCTGATGAGGGTGGTTTCGGAAATGGAAGAAATTCCACGGCATCTCAGATGGGTGTCCGATTGGCAACTTCATGCGCATGTTCACAATAAATGAACCCTCAATTCCAAGCAGAAACGCAGACCTCACCATCACTTCGACTATTTCAACTTCCTTGGCAAATCTACTGAATTCACTTGACTTTTTGGTCATTTAACTTTCTCGTTCCGAACATGTCGTACAGCGATTTCAATGGAAAGGTCTTTGTGATCACCGGCGCAGCATCAGGCCAAGGCCGCGCGACCTCTCTCCTGCTCGCAAAGCAAGGCGCTAAGCTAGGACTTCTTGACCTGAACCATCCGCAGTCTGTTCTGGATGAAATCAAGCAACTGGGCGGGGAGGCGATCGGATTCCAGGTCGACGTTGGCGACTCATCCGGTGTCGAAGCCGCAGTGAAAGGCACCAAGGAGAGATTTGGGAAGATTGACGGCGCAGCAAACCTTGCTGGGTGGATTGGCACACAGGGTTTCAAAGGCAAGGGATATGCTCTTGATACTATCACTGACCCCGAGTGGGACGCAATGATCAGTGTGAACTTGACTGGAGTGAAGAACAGTATTGCGTCGGAGCTGAGACATATCAGCAACGGTGGTAGTATTGTGAATGTCTCCAGTATTGCGGGTCAGCGAGGAACCCCTTGGAACTCTCCGTATGGAACCGCGAAGTCCGGTGTCATTGCGTTGTCAAAGGCAGCGGCGTTTGAGGCCGGCCCCAGGGGAGTTCGAGTTAATGCCGTTGCACCGTAAGGTCCCAGGTTCCTCTTTCTCCGACTTGAAGCGAGCAAAATTGACTAATATTAAATGAATTATAATGGTTAGGGGTATCGTCGATACTCCCCTTGCAAAGGCATTGGGGCCTATGGAGCTTGTCCAGGAGAGGCTGCTGAGCAGAACCGCGCTTGGACGAATGGCTCAACCTGAAGAAATTGCCAAATGCATTCTCTTCTTGCTCAGTGATGAGTCCAGCTTCGTAAACGCGAGTGTGAGTACTTTCTCATTGGTTTTGATATCCATTTTTGGCCAATGGTGCTAATCAACTGCCAGGTTCTGAATGCCGATGGCGGTTTCCAGTAGCGTTTCGATTATTGGACATAGAACTAGTGATAGGTTATTCCAAGATAGTATTACATATGTCTAGCTAGCAATCAAGTCGCATGATAAATGATAATCTGTTCTCTGTGTCTTTCATTGAAACGCTACACTACTTCCATGACTTTCGTTACATCTAGTAGAATTCCCTACCGAGCTACTTTCAACACTACCTCAAATTTTAGTCCAATATTCAAGAAAGTTCTACCGAATCATTCTCAAAAGACTAGTTAGTCGGGTGATGATGTTTGTGGCGGTCTGGGCTCAAGACTCTTCGTTCGGAACCGGAAACCAGATTCGTTATTGTTCCGCGGAAAAACATATCTCATAGTTTGTTGCTTCTACTATTCAGGCTGCCATATCGCATACACAACTTAATCCACAGTTTCTCAAATACATGTCTACTAATATTAAATCAGTGAAAGCTTAGAAATTTTCCCATGCCTCTCATCTGTCGTTTAATCAAAAGCTTTATGAAACCCCCTTCAACTGCTGTAGCTAAAGATAATTCACGAAAACATTCGAAGTAACTTCCAATAAAATCTTCATGTAGTTTCTAGCTTTAAGCCACAAATTGTGAGCCAATAGATACTAGGTACTGTGCACAGACAAGTGCTGAAATCGCTGACCCTGCTCTGTGCCCAGCCTTACCCCGTGTTGTGGGGAGTTGATCGGTCTTCCGGGGTAATGGAAGTTGGCTTCATGGAGGAATATAAATACCTATCTCAATAACGGAGTTGTGGAAAAGGTTTCTATCAGTCTAAGATAAAAGTCTAGCTCCATTGAATCCTTCATTATGGATGTCCCAGCGCTCAATTCAATCAAACCTGCCAGTTTAAAAGCAAACTGGTACACCACAGGAAAGTGTATTATGATTGCCCTTAGCTCCTTTGCCTATGGCTATGCGGGAGCAATCATTGCAACTACACTCACACAGCCATCATTTGTGGCAGCTATGGGACTCGACAAGGCATCTAACGAGGCCTCCCTGGTTGGTGCGATCAACGGTCTCTATTATGCCGGAGGAGTTTTTGGAGCTTTTACAGGCGGCTGGCTTTCCAATCAATGGGGCCGCAAAATCTCTGCCATCGTTGGCAACATTATTCTGTTGATCTCCGCCGCAGTGATGACTGGTGGTGTTAATGTGGCCATGTTTGTTACCTTCCGCTTTTGTAGTGGCGTTGGGTGCGTTCCTGCGTTCTCTATTGGTTATAAGTTTTTAATGTCGCATGCTAATCATTATATTTTTAAACTCACAGGTCCTTCGTCATTCTCGCTACCATTCCCGTGTGGATAGCTGAATTATCACCGCCGCAGATTCGAGGCATCATGGTGGATATTCACACCGTCTCCATGATGACAGGTTACGCTGCAGCTTCGTATGTGGGACTCGGCTTCTACTTTGTAGGTGGCAAGAATGGCTGGCGAGGTCCGATGGGATTATCGGCTGCTTGGCCATGTATTGCTCTTTGTGCATCTTACTGGGTACCCGAGTCGCCTCGTTACCTCGTCTCGCGAGGCCGGAATACTGAGGCCTTGAACGTCTTATTACGAACGCATGCTGATCCCCAGAATGATCCCACCAACGAACACGCGAGACACGAGCTACACCTGATTGAGCATCAGATTGAGCTTGATGCTCTCAGTACCTCAAAACAACGGTCATATAAGACGATTCTTAAACAGGCGAGTCTACGTCGCCGAGTGTGGATGACTATCCTCCTGGAATTCGCGTTGATGAGTTCTGGCGTTCTTGTTATTTTAAGTAAGAGCCCACTCAATGTTACCGAACAGAAATCTTGTGGAAAACATAAAGAAAGCAAAGAAAATTGACCAAGTGTTGCAGACAACGGCGCGATCATCTGGGGTGGTCTAGGTTTCGAAACCTCCCAAATCCTCAATTTCCAAGCAGGTTTCCAGCTATGCGGATTAGTTTTCAATCTGACAGCTATGATTTTTGTCGACCGTGTCAAACGTACGTGGTTGATTTCCTTCGGGCTACTGGCTTGTGCCCTGATCATGATGGTTGAAATGTTGTTACAACGTTCCTATCTCGGTACGACAAACAAACCGGGCCTATCCGCAGCCGCTTCGATGATCTTCATTTTCCAGATGACCTTCTCTCTGTTTCTGGATGGGGCATCCTACTTTTACATCGCTGAAATTTGGCCTAGCCATCTGCGTCCGCAAGGGTTCGCGATTGGAATGGCTACTTTATGTATCACCAATATGGTATGGCTTCTCGCTGCTCCGACGGCGATCGAGCACATTAGCTGGAAATATTACCTGTTCTTCGTCACCATTCCAGCCATTGCGGCGGCGGCCGTGTTCTTCCAGTATCCGGACACCTTGCACAAGCCGCTGGAGGAAATCGCCGCGTTGTTTGGGGATATGGAAAGGGTAGTGGGTCACCGGGAAGACCCGAATGGAGACGGGATAGAAACTGAGGTTGATGAATCTAAGGGCCAGGTGGCTATGATCGAGCAGGTTGAGTAGCTTGGGGGGAATGATGGTGGTTGTGTTAAAAAGGCAAGATTGCCACTCCGAAAGATCCGGCTTCTGTAACTTTAATGGGGGCAAACCTGTGGCATTGTGAATAATGCACGAAAATGGTGGATTAAATCCCTATGCAGACCTCAAGGACCCACATTACTAGTACTCCTTTTTTCAACTGCATCCAATCGGGTCTCGACGCCAAGATCCATAAATCTGTGGGGTAATTGGCTCCTGTACTGTAGTCAATAATTCTTCCCCGCATTCTTCTCGTCCTTATAAAGGCGCCCCTTAGCACGCGGTTCTCGCCCCTCTCGGAAACTCACCAATGATCATAAAAGATTATGGGGAAAATGTCACAGCATGCGTTGCCGCAGAAAACAGGTGCAAAGCGGGACAAATACACCTCGCATGCATGGTAAGCTATTGCTTGTTGTCTTCAGATAATCTACCCACTGATTCATTGCTGACATGTAAAACAGCGGCGAATGTCAGCGGCGGAAAGTGAAGGTTAGTGCGCTCGCTTCAACTATTCCGGGAATATTTCTTCGATTGGGTGATGGAACTAATGTAGAGATGGTGTGTGTCAGTGCTCGGGGGAACCGTTATGCTCGAATTGTCGAACCAGAGGCGCCAACTGCCAATATGAGGATGTTGGTCCCCGTGGGCCCAAGCCCAGAAAGCGGTTCCATGAGGATTTTACCTCTGAGTATGCTAGTCTTCCACTTTGTGAGAGTCATTGGATTAACTCGCAGTTATAGGGATCTTCGCTCTCAATATGGCCTCCAAAAACGAAGAAAACCACGATCGACACTCAGGGATCAGCTCGCGCAGCTGCAAGAAAAGGTCGATGAACTCATTCAAGGCCACAATCCCGAGGGACTAGTCCCATCCACTTCTCCAGAGCTACGACATGACCCATCAGTATCCTCCAGTCCACGCATGATAATAGATAGCGCAAAATCGAACCCAAGTCCGGAGAGCCTATTCAACTGCTCCATATATACCAGTTCGCTCGACGCTTACAGCCACGGAAGGCTATTCCAAGACACAGATGTGTTTCATGCTCAAAGCCCAGGGTCCAATCCCATCGCCCTGGGCTCTCAGATTGATGCACTCCGAAAACTGGGATGTCGAAATCGTTCTCGGAAATTGCCGCTCCTTTCAACGGGTTTTACAACCGAACCTGACTTTATCGCCCAACTTCCGGAGCCCACCATACTATGGGGCCAAGTAACAGTCTTCCTTGCAGAGTTTGGGTGCTATTTTCCTTGCCTGCACGAAGATAGAGTGTGCGATCAGCTCTCAACCGCTCTGGGATTGTTAGGTTACGATGAAAATCATAGAGAAGTCTGTGTCGATAACTCGCAATGTCAAATCATCGCCTTTCTTTTCAACATGCTAGCATACGCAGAGGCAGTGACGCAGTCATCCCCTACAGTTGGCAATATTGAAGCCCACGCAGGTGCCGAGCGCTACTTTCAGGGTGTGAGATTGATGGAGCATTTCGGGAAATTGCATGGAAACGACCTACAAACAACAGTGTATCATACCACGGCTACCGCCTATCTACTTGAGCTGGGAATGTTGCAGGTGGCATTCCAGAGCATATCTAGAGCCTTCCAGACAGCTCTCTGCATAAACCTGAATAACCAACATCGGTGGCCGAATAATACGCAGGATGAGGATATTGCCTGCCGTCAATCACTCTGGTGGACCATTTTCTTCCTCGACAAGCGAGTCGCACAGAAAATCGGCATTGCATACTCCGTCCGCCAGACAGAATGTGCAGTCAGAGAATACCTTGAAGACGACAGCAGTCTCAGTCTGCAAGCTCATCATGAGCTACTACAGAGCATGATATTGTTTGGTCGACTTTGGGCTCAAATTTGGGACACTTTCTTTTCCTCTAAGGCAAATCTGAAGGAGAACAAGGAGGGAAGAGATGACGCATGGGCGGAGCTGCAATTGACAGACATGAAAATTATTTTGGCATATCGTCGCCTTCCTTCGCGCCTTCGTTGGAAATCTGAGAAGATAACCATGTATATCAAAAATGGCGATAGCGAGAAGGAAGTCAGACGGCGGTTGCTGGTATTCTTGGTGAGTTTGTTATTGGCCCATGACTGGCTGTCGCCGTCGGCTATCTTGTTAGCCACGATTACTGATAAATCTTTCAATGACTCACGGGCAGCGATTTGCGTTGTTACGTCTGAGTATCCGTCACAACCCCATGGAAGACCCAGAGGCGGATTTCGAACGTCGGAAATGCTGCGTCCATGTCTGCCTTGCCACGATCAAAGCTGTTCGAACTTATACAGCAACATTCGGATACCACAAGCCAAGCGGCCACGTCCTCACAAGCGCCCTTATCGAGAGTCTCTACTATATAATGTCCGAGCAGCAGCGTCAGCAGGAGCAACCGTCAGATAATGGTGGCAATGGTGATCAAGTAGTCTCACAGGAAACTCTAGAGCGAGCCAAAACCTGTTCGAGTGCACTCCTCCATAAGCTCGCCTTGACTACCGCGGGCGCTTCTCGGGCCTGTGAGGCCCTCCAAGAGGTCTTGTCCCCTACAGATTTTCATTGCGATGATGGGAGTTACAATTATGAGATACTGCTACCTGGTATCGTAGAAAGTGATCCTAGTATGCACGCCATGCAGGATGAGTCGGCATCAGTGGCTGAGCTTTGGCGAACTACATCCGAGGCCGCCGGGCAGGAATACGACCCAGAAAGCCCCAAACTTGAGATGCCAAGTATCTCAGAGATAAATATCATTTCCCCGTCATTGAGTGAGTTTGTAGGAGGAGTCGAAGATCCGTTTGGCGATTTGGCTGAAGGAATGGACTGGGAATCTTTGCTCCGAACGTTACCTTCGTGATAACCAGCTACCTATTCTTAGGACTTGTATTTTGATTACTTTCGTTTTAGAATACCATGAGAGAATTTCTTAATTTAGGATGTTCTGTCTTCCATAAAAGCAGCAGAAGCTTAAGCCAAGTTCCGAAGCATTTTATTCCACGGAACGACAGGACCGGAAAAAAATAACGGAATCAAGAAACTAACCCTGTTCGAAGTGGGAATCTCCGTGAGATGGTCATACAGTTTGTCATAACATTGATACTGACCGAATTATGATAGCATTCCACTCATCTGCATTCTCTTTATATATACCTTCGGGGCCAACGCTGTCCCGCAAAATGGTTACAATGGAAATGAAGACAAAGACCACCCGCGTTGAATCACCATTTAGCATTAATATGCAGGAACTCGATACCACCGAAATTGCTCGACGAGAGGCTCTCGAGGCTTTTCAAGCTCTCCTTCCTTCAAATCCTGTACCAGGAGAAGCAACGGAAGCTTATAAGACGGTTGATGAAATCGCATACTCTTTGTCGAGACTTCCCCTTGGAACAGCTCGTCCCATCAAAGTCATCGTCGTTGGCGCCGGTTTCAGTGGGCTCGCATTCGCGCGGGAGGTTGAAACCCGGCGCCTTATGAATGTGCACTTACAAATCTACGAGAAAAATGCGTCCGTTGGAGGGACTTGGTTTGAGAATAGATATCCAGGGTATGTTTAATGCGATTCCCTTCCTAATTAACTTAAAAGTATATTGACCTAATTACCTTCTACAAAGATGCGCGTAAGGACTCTATATTTTTCGCAGACAAGCTTCTTATTTAAGATTGGAAAAACATACTAAGAAGAACTTTCACAGCTGTGACATTCCAATCCATAACTACCAGGTTTTCATAATTCTGTCTAAAATTTCCAAATCACCCGCTAATGGATTTCCTGTCCTCTTCTACAGTATTCATGGGCGCCCTACCCTGACTTTCCAAGCTACTATGCGAAAGGACCGGATATTCATCGTTATATTGAGGCCGTGGCAGACCAACACAACCTCCGCCAATACGTCAAAGTTTGCCACAAAGTGGTCGGTGCAAAATGGTTAGAAGCCAAACAGAAGTGGTCTGTCAATGTTGTCCGCACAGATGGACGCTCGGTCATGGTCAGTAACCGGGATGCCAATAAAGAGGGCGAGGTGGACGAACCGTTCAACGAGGAATGCGATGTTTTCATCAACGCAACAGGCTGCTTTAACGATTGGAAATGGCCAGCTATACCCGGCAGAGAACTATTTCAGGGTCAGATGGTTCACTCAGCGGTCTGGCCTGAAAAGGATCAACTGAACCTGAAGGGGAAAACGGTAGGTTTGGTCGGAAACGGAAGTACAGGTGTGCAAATTCTCCCTGCGATTCTGGATGAGGTTGAGAAGGTCTATGTCTTCATCCGTAGCCGGACCTGGGTCACGGCTAGCTTTGCACAAAAGTTTGCTGGTCCTAATGGCGCGAATCTCTTATTCTCCGAGGAGCAGAAACGACGCTGGAGGGAACACCCAGAGGAGTATCTTGCCTATCGAAAGGAGGTGGAATCGGAATTAAATTCTCGGTTCCGGCTATACCTGAAAGACTCGATGGAGCAGCGAGAAGCACGTGAGTACTCTGTTACTCAGATGAATGAGAAGCTCGCTTCCAGGCCAGAAGCGCAGAAGCGGCTTATTCCGGATTTCTCTGTTGGGTAGGACAACTTCACCTTGATTATGTTGATCATTTCTGAGCTCTTGATTCTGACAGATGTCGCCGCACCACTCCCGGAAATGGATATCTGGAAGCATTGTGTTCCCCTAAAGTTGAAGTTGTCTGGGGTGGGATCGAATCCTTCAACGAATCCGGCTTACTGTCCGACTCTGGGGAACAATTCAATGTCGACACAATCATCTGTGCTACGGGGTTCAACATGTCCTTTGCCCCCCGATTTCCCATAATCGGTCGAAACAACACGAACTTGCAGGCAAAGTGGGAAGAAAACCCGGAATGCTACTTATCTGTCACTGCAGCCGACATGCCGAATTACTTCGTATATCTCGGCCCTGCCAGTCCTATTGGCCATGGTAGCGTGGTATCCTCACTGGAACGGGTGACGGAGTACGTTTCACGGTTTATCCAAAAGCTACAGACAGAAAACTATAGCTCTGTGACGCCAAAGGCCCACATCCCGCGCGCATACCAAAAACAGGCACTTGCATGGCTGGAAAAGACAGCTTGGAACTCTAACTGCGCATCGACATACAAGAATGGCAAGGCAGATGGCCCACTGATCTCTCTTCATCCGGGTTCGAGATTGCATTACTTCAAGCTACTTTCGAATCCACGATGGGAAGATTTTGAATGGACAAGCTTGTGCCCAGACGAGGAATTGGCGTTTGCCTGGTTGTCTAATGGATTTATTCTGGAAGAATGCCAAAAGGAGAATGAGACGGATCTGACGTAAGTCATATCTCCTTTCCAAAGTTTGAATTTCTATTTCTTCCCTTGCGTAGGAGATACTGACAGAGCTATGATAGGTGGTTTTTGGGTCCTGTTGAAGAAGACAAGGTTATTAGAAAGACTTGCTAGGTTATTTGTTCCCTCGGTCTTTAGCCATGTCCAACTTTGTTTTAGCTTGTTATCTCTTAGAAATTGGCAGAAGCTGTTATAGATTTAAGAATAATCAGTGTTCTATACCGGTGGAAAAAAGACCCAAGTAACCTCGAATGTCTCTGCATAGTGGCCATGGCTAATTGACGAGTGTCCAATTCTTGTATCTAGGCGCATAGAGGGGGTTTTCATGCTTGGGTGCATGCTGAGATTTACGCTGATTGATATCGCTAGAGCCTTTTTCAATTTTATAACTGCCCCCGCAAGTGTCAAATTCTCTCGCCCTCTGTAGTCAGGTGATCCCATAATCACGTCTTTTTCTGATAATGTAAAGGCTTCCTTCGACCGATCTGGTCGTTGGGGGGCTGTGCTCCCATTTCGGATCTGTTCGGAGTTCCGAAATCAGGTACCGAATCTACTTTTGGGCGGATGTTATTTCCACCATACGAGGTGTCGACCGAGCCGTGATAGCTTCAACTGATCTACATATCTAGACTGTTCCCATGCCGATCATTATTCCCGCATGATTGTCTCTCCATGATTATGCATACGTGGACAAAACAGCCGAGAGATGGCGAGACCATCATCCATGGAGGGGTAAGCACCAAGACTTTGCGTACGTAGGTAAAATCAAGTACATACCGGGGCATTGCTACATATTGGCTCAAAATCGCGATGTGCTCATGCCAATTGAGGGCCCATGCATTGCATATGTATTGATATCCCTGTCAAAAGATTGTACTCTGGTGTGGTGGCAAACTTAGAATGATGTTTACAACCCAGATTTACTCCTCATCTACAGCACTACCCCTTTTCACTGCAAGACGAGTAGTGCAACCCATCACACCAACGTGGCTGGAACTATTTCGCGCATTGGTCGCGAACGCCACAATGGCTCATGGAGCGCACACTGTGGCTGTACAATTGAAAACCAGAACTTGTTTCTCCACGTGAATGGTGTAAACATGGGTTCCGTGTCGATCCGGACCTGACTCGTATTAGCTGCGGACTAAGCTTTCATGAGCATGATGTTTCCCTCGACGCCTTTGCCCCCCCCCTCCTTTTCATATAGATTTCATCAGCTACTGTACATCCAATATCGATCGTAAGGGTAACAATAGAAATATTTAGTGTGCTTATTGTATCATCTTTTAGGAATAGGAAAGTCCCTAGTTAACTCTCAAATCCAATAGCTGGGAAACTTGGCACCATAGACTGGACGGATAGCGTAACTAGCGCTTATTCTTTGCCCCTCATTCCCCTCTCTTCCACTAGAACAGGTCAGATCGAGATCAGATGGGCTGGGATAATTACTCCACATCTTTCAGCTCCCCACAAGGGTCCCTAGTCGAGATTCTAAATGGGGACCGAGGGTTCTCCAGCACGTCATTTGGCTCTCCTCCTCTCCCCTCCCCTCCCCGCGGAGCCCGTGGCGTAAACAAGTTAAATAGCTGTCCCCCGAGTCTGCGAGCTCCTGGTCGTTCTAATTCCAATTTTATCACAGTTGAATTTGAGTTCAATCTTCTACAAACATGTCTTACAACAACGATAACGACGTAAGTTGAGATGATCTTTGTTTATCTATCTGTAGTGGGGGTTATCCCTGCTATTAACATTCTTTCCAGACGCTTCTTATGCAATTGATCCATTGCTAACACACTGCTTTAGCGCTCTTACGGCTCTGGAGGTAGCGACTCCTACGGTTCGTCTGGTCGCGACAATGACAACTCCTACGGATCCTCCAACCGCAGCGGCAACGACTCCTATGGCTCGAGCAACAATGATTCATATGGCTCGTCCAACAAGGACTCGTACGGTTCTTCCAACCGCAGTGGCAACGACTCGTATGGATCTAGCAACAATGATTCCTACGGCTCCTCCAACCGCAGCGGTAACGATTCGTACGGCTCTTCCAACAAAGATTCGTATGGCTCGTCTAACCGCAGCGGCAACGACTCTTACGGATCGTCCGGCCGTGACAATGACAACGATAACTCGTATGGTTCTTCTGGCCGTAGCGGTAACGACTCCTACGGCTCCAGCAAGAAGGATTCCTACGGCTCTTCTAACCGTGACGACGACGACTCCTACGGCTCCAGCAAGAAGGATTCCTACGGCTCTTCTAACCGCGACGACGACGACTCCTACGGTTCTTCCAACCGTAAGACCAACACCTATGGATCGTCTGACAACAGCGATTCCTATGGCTCCTCTGGCCGCGGTGGTAACACCTCTTCCTACGGCTCTTCCGGCCGTGACAATGACAACGATAACTCGTACGGCTCCTCTGGCCGCAGCGGTAACGACTCCTACGGCTCCAACAAGAAGGATTCCTACGGCTCTTCCGACCGTAACACCGACTCGTATGGATCTAGCAACAACGATTCATATGGCTCCTCCAACCGCAGCGGCAACGACTCGTACGGCTCATCCAACAATGACTCCTATGGCTCGTCCAACCGCAGCGGTGGTGAGAGCACCTTTGGAAAGGTCCTGGAGAAGGCTGGTGACCTGTTGAACAGCAACGAGCGTGGCCAGGAGCGACGTGATCGCTCGGATGACTACTAAGCTGCTGGAACAGTCTGGAAGTAATTTAGGCTATTTAGTACCTCGTGCTGTAATTATTTTGCGAGATGTGGTTGCCTGGTATATGGTTGAGCTGTATTTACTTGGTGAATATATAATCAAAGTACGAATTGTTGATGATTGTTGTTATCTTTGAACATTGTACTACATATCTAGGATAGCAGTAATATTCCACAAGATACAGGCTTTGAGCATTTTTACTTACCCCTCGATTGATGATGTCAATCAGGAAAGTTCCAGGCACCTGCGTTCCTTGAGGGCGCAGGAGCACCGAATTAGGTACACGATACCTCCCCTTTACTTTTACCCCAACGACCGACCTCTCCATAACATTGTATAATTAAATGCCCAAATCAGGACTCCCGATAGACTCTATCTAATGGTAGGCATAACCTCTCCTCAATAATATCCCGAAAGCCAAGAACCCTCGGCTTAAAATAGAAAATCCGACCATCCCCTCAGCCCTAATGACGTAACCGCATCCGGAAATCTCTGACTAAGCAAACCAGCACCGCCACAGCCCTGCGTAAGGCAGACTTGCACGTTGGGGCCGAACTGACTTGAGTGGTTACACTTGACGAACAGCACTCTCGACCACCTGTTCTGCTTTGACTACCGCCGTCGCTCTCGCTCTACCACCACGGTGAAACCGACTCACGATCCGGACTCTCTCCCCCGCGCAATCGACCGATCCTCACACCCGAGAACCACGTCACAAAGAGCACATCTCAGGCTGCCACCATGTCGTGGGCAGGTACGTCTTCACCGACAGGGCTTGAGCTCTAGCGATTTGAGTATAGGAGGTTACTGACGAGACTGTCGGGCAGGATTCAAGAAAAATGTCAACCGCGCGACGACGCAGGTTATGATGAAGACTGGTGAGTTTGTGGAATGCTACCCCGCAACGAGGCTTGCGGGATGGCTGGATTGGAGTTCCTACGCGAGAGAACGAGTTTGTACCGGGATGTTTCGAGCAGCTGGCTAATGCTCAATGCTGGATAGGTCATGTTGAGCGGACAAATGACCGAGACTATGAGATTGAGGAGCGGTATGTCATTCCCGAGAGATCATGATTGATGGACATGAGCACTGACGGGGTTACAGTCGATATCGGACAATGGAGGCCGCTGCGAATCGGCTGCAGAAGGAGGCCAAGGGATATTTGGATTCATTGCGAGGTGGGTTGTCGCTATTCTCACAGCTGGATTGAGCTTGACGACTAACGAATATCCGTGTAGCCATGACCGCCTCTCAGATGCGCATTGCCGAGACCATCGACGCTTTCTACGGTGACGCCGGTACTCGCGACGGCGTAAGCCGAAGCTACAAGCAGGCCGTGGAAGACCTCGACGCAGAGACCATCAAGGCTCTCGACGGACCATACCGGTAAGATAACCCAACTCCAAACTCCATCCGCCAAACCAGAACTCTAATAAAGCCCACTACTTCAGAACCACCGTCCTGGAACCAATCTCCCGCTTCTGCGCCTACTTCCCAGACGTCAACGAATGTATCAAAAAGCGCAACCACAAGCTCCTCGACTACGACGCGATGCGCGCCAAAGTCAAGAAGCTAGTCGAAAAGCCCGACAAGGACGCCACAAAGCTTCCCCGCACCGAGCGCGAGACCGAAATGGCCAAACAAGCCTACGAGCAACTCAACGAGCAACTCTTCACCGAGCTTCCCCAACTGATCGACCTGCGCGTGCCGTATCTGGACCCCAGTTTCGAAGCGCTGGTCAAGATCCAGCTGCGCTTTTGCGCGGAGGCGTACTCGCGCATGGCGCAGGTGCAGCAGTATCTGGATGCGGAGACGAGGGATCAGTATGCACGGGGTGATTTGGATAATCGAGTTGAGGAGGTGTTGCAGGAGATTCGGGATTTGAGTATAGCGGGGACTGTTTGAGGGGTGATGATGATGATGGTGGCGGGTGCTCGATAATAATGGAGTACTAAACTATTCGCATATTGGGGTTATGTGCTTTATTTCTTATTCTGTTTGGCTGTCTCTCGTTTTTTGCCTGGTTTATTTGTGCTTCTCGCTATCTGACGAAGACTACGTGATCTTATACTTGTTTCTGTGTTTCACCTTCTCATCTTACAGCCATCCTGTACATGATGCTGGGGTCTTTCTATCTAATCCGGGGACTGTCTATTCCCCAGCTACCTTCTTCCTCTTGATTATCTGGGATAAAATGGAGTTATGCTTTCAATTGCAGACGGGGTATCAAATACAAATGCTCAAACCGGGCTCATGTCGTCCATCGTACATGGGCTGTAGCCCTCTCTATATAAGTCATATAATACAATCATAACCGCACAGCCTCCCATATACACATGCTCTAGATCCTGCAAGGATAAATCTCCCTCCCTCACGACGCAACCCGACACATCTCCTCCTCCAAAACATCCACCACACTCTCCGCCGCCCTCGAAACAGCCTCCAACTCCCTCCCCTCCATCTCCGTCAACACGTAATCCGCAACGGCATCCTTCTCCCTGCCCACCGGCCTCCCAATCCCAATGCCCACCCTCAAAACATCCAAATCCCTCGGCAACCCCTCCTCCCCCCTTCCCACGCTTCTTCCCAAGCACCGGCGCCGATCCCATCTTGCCCTTCGCGGGAAACAGCCCCTTCCCCCTCAACGTCTCCAGCACACTAATCAACCCTCTATGCCCTCTCAAACTCGCACTCTCAGGCCCGCCCCTCTTCACCCGCACCTTCCCCAGTGGCGCTTCAAGCTCATCATGCAGAATGACCAGCGTAGCCGGGTACCCGGTACTCGCGGTGACGGGGAGCGGCCCGCCGGGGAGATCTAGCGGGATGCTGTCGCGGGTTGATAGCCACTTGGTCATGTTTTTGACTAGTTTTGGCCCGGAGATGTTCATTAGGGAGGGGCTGTAGAAGGTTGTGTAGAGGGGGGATGCTAGGCGGGTGCGGAGGGAGGGGATTATTGCGTCGAGGAGGATGTGGCCGGCGCTGTGGCGGGTTGTGCGGTAAGGTGCTGGGTTGCCTATTGAGGCTATGTAGAGGAGGCGTTGTGGGGGGGCGGGGGAGGGCCATTGTTGGTGGTGGCCCCAGGTTGAGGGGTGAGGATTGGGGTGGATGGGATGCGCTGGGAGGAAGAGAGGTGGAAGAGGTATGATGTGGTGATGTTGATCTTGTCATGCAGTAGTTGGTCGCCGGGTGATGGTAGAGGCAGGATAGACGGGTCAGACCCGATGGCGCGGTGCGGTGTAGACGGGAGGGCGGATGGTTCCGAGTTACTGGGAGTGGAGAATAGCAACAGTAGTATGTCTCCGTATGTCTTCGTACAATATATACTGTAGGATCTTGTATGCCGGAAGACAATTTTTTTTGGATCCCCGAATGTCTGGATCAGGAACGGGAGATCGTCTCGTGACTGGGACTTTTCTTGGTTCGGGGGCGCCGTCGGGGCCTTACCCGTTTAGGAAAGACTCTCGGGCTCCGTGCAGGATTCGCAACCAAACTGTCGGGTCGGCGCACGGAGGTACCTTTGCCACGTTAGAGTTTGTAGTGTTGTTATAGACGAGGTTTGTTGGCCTAACTTGGAAGAGAGCTGCGCTATTCTAGGTTTTATGGAGTTGTATGGTTGTTGTTAGCACGTTTCGTTCTCTAGGTAGATGATGACTCTGATCTAGGTATATATTTTCTACCGTAACTATAGTAATTATCCGTTGGGTCCAAGTCACTTTGCGGCACTTACCTGAAAATTAGTCCGTTTCGACAAAGACATGCAATGCGCCTGGCTAGAGTTAGTAGTCCAGAGCAGAGTTATTACAGTAGCTGCCTGTTGCCTGATTCCATTGCCAAGTAGGTATACTTCCATTGGCCACGGTACCGTACATACCCCTCCTACCATACTTATATAGCAATAGTGCCGACAAGGTAGGACAGACGGTGTGCCAAGTACATACACTACATAGTACATAGTAGTATCGCCCACCGGGGTAAGCTGACAGGGGTCGGCGATATACATGCAGTAGAGATCCAGACTCCTGGGCCAGACAGCCAAATCAGTATAGGCTAGCCCTGCGTTAGGGCAGTAATCACTAGTTAGCTAAGTGTATATCTAGCTAGGCACTGTAGACAAAACAGAGATAGTGACAGAGTAGTAAAGCTTTAATTATGCTTAGATGAGTTGTCCGAAATATTCATCCCTAGAATAATCCACCAGTCGATGGACACCACGGAATCTCTCCGTTGTCTAGCCCCTGATCGTACCACTTAACACGACACATTTTAGTAGGTCCCAGCGAAACAACTCATCTGGCCGCGTGGAAGGCGGAATGGAGGCGAGAAATTCTTCTGTCTGTACAATGTACCCCGTGTAAAACTAGGTAGGATGAAATTCTTGATTATCGTCTTAAGTAACCTGTATTGACTCTCTTTTCTGTAGCCGGAGAACCCGATGCTGTGTACGCCGCTCTACAGTACTAGACACTCTGTACAAGTTGTACTCTTCAACTCCTCGGCCTTGAACAAACTCATACTCTACAAAACACTCCTATAATAGTAGCTATGCACCCATCTACATACAATCCTCACATATCCACGTACTCCCATCCAAAGTACAAATCCACATTTTGCCTTCCGTACCTGACCCCTGTCCAGGTGTCCACCGAACCCAGTCTACCGGGTCTCCCCCGTTCCAACCGGGTCGTGCATAAGCTCCAAACCCAAAACGTGCACAATCACTGGCCCGATCGGACCTCCCGGCCCCACTTCAGCTGTCGAACCTTTCCCCGCCGCCCCGAGGAGAAGGATAGCACATGCGTTGAGCTAACAAGTTAGTCAAGAGTGCTAGACGGGGCAGAATAGTATCCTTGTCAGACTAAAGCCCTCTAGTATAAAAGGTATTTAGTGCATCGCTTATAGTAGTACTCAGAAATTAGTTAGGTATACGATATCAGGTCATGGAAGGGAGGGGTGGTTAGTGGTAGTGGTAAGGGGGTTATGAACGGGTATCATGCCCGTCCCGACTGGCTAGGGACCAATTTCCCAGAGTTTAGGAACGTCCCCGCTGGCTGGGAGGCTCCACTGGGTTACGGGAATGGGGGTCCGACTGTGGACGTTGTTAGGAACTTGGGAGGGAAGTTACGCGGAATAATTACAATGTCATAATTAAGGTGATCGTAGCCAGTTAGTAACAGATTAGGTGTAATTTAGATCATAAATAACTAACAGTAAGAACTTAATATGTCTGTTTGTGTGTATTCTGTACTACTCGAGTCATTCGTTTAACGTGGCCTGATTACCGAGTGTTCCCTTTATTGCTTTTTTCCGGCCGCCGGCCCAAACTGTCGGGTCGGCAATATCTCATCTATCAACTGTCTTTCCAAGTGATCGGGTAGAAATTTGGATATAATTCCTTTTCTTTTCTTTGCCTAATCGGACGATCTCCCATCGAAAATTGATCTCAATTCTACCAGGTATCTAGCGAGTATAGTACCGTATATCCTAGTCTCCATACTTCGTACTTCCTTGTACATACTACCCCATCTATCAAAGTTCACCCATATACACGCCTGTGCATCTAGTGCCGCCCGACTATGCAGTGACGTCTCACGACCCGGACTCTCGGGTCATGGCCCCCAGTTTAGTTCCGCTAATAGCGATGCTCCAGAATTATTTTTCGGGAGGAGGGAAAAGAAAAAAAAATGGAAATTAAAGCCCGAAAAAAAAGGATTACAATTGTAGTTTACTAAGTTGGTCGCCTTTATTCGGGCCTGGAATAACAGTAATCTTCCTTTCTTTGCTAGTTCGTTTCTCCCTCTCGTAACTCTCTCCACTTTATTTTTTGCGCCAGCTTAACTTTACTTTTACCTTCTCCTTCCCCTTCTATTTTTGTTAGACTTGTTGTCTACTCTTCTGTTCTCCCTTTCCCTTCGTTATACATATACTTCCCATCTGCAGTCATTATTCGGGAGAAGGTGTTCTTTCGACAACGCGGTACTGATCAGGGCTGTCTTCGTCTAATCTCGTGATTTATAAGCCTTGTATTATTCCATTAATTTGGCTCATTCTCTCCACCATTATATACCAAGTCGCATTCAGTCAGTCTATACGGTTCAGCGATATTTTTCCTACGATAATCATCCCAATTCTGTCGCTTCCCTCCAATACTCGCTTTGAAACCGTCATGTCATGGACGACAAACCCATTCAGCCAGCGGAGGATATACTGGCCCCAGACGAGAACCAGACCGAACACGCATATCCAAATTCAGACCCCGAGTCCGATTCCGATACTGAATCCTTGAACGAACCATCCATGTACGTATATGAGAGTTCATCACATGAGTCCATACTCATATTCAATTACCACGTTCTACATACCAATCCAAAGTATACCAAACCCTAACTAACATCAACTCCCACCCAGAAAATCCACCCGCTCCTACGCCTCCCTCACCCTCCAACACATCCAAGAAAATGGCCGCCGTTACGCCAACGAAACCTACTTCATGCCCAACGACGAACCAGAACTAACCCGCCTCAACATCGTCCACCAAATCTACCTAATCCTCCTCGACAACGCCCTCACAACCGCCCCACTCCCTCCATCCCCAACTCCAACACGCATCCTAGACATCGGCACCGGCCCAGGCGACTGGGCCATCGAAATGAGCGCCGCCTACCCAACAGCCACAATAATCGCCTCCGACCTAACAGTCTTCGACTCGGGACTCGGCCACCTCGCCCTGCCAAACGTGGACTTTCAACTCGCCGACGCCCGCGCAGAATGGACATACCACGAGCCCTTCGACCTAATTCATCTTCGCGGGTTATCAGGTGCCTTCCAAGACTGGGCCGCGATATACGCACAAGCATTCACCCACTGTAAACCAGGCGGATACATCGAAGTCGCAGACACAGATCCAGCAGCTGACACAATCGCATTCTCCCCGCTAAAACGACCCGGCAGTGAAGCCGAGATCCCCGCACTACGCAAATACACATCCGCCCTGCGTGCCGCCGCCGAAGCTGCGGGGTATCCACGGGACCTGGCACATCTCAACACGGACGCACTAGCCGCAGCGGGATTCGTGGATGTGCGTGTTATCGAACGAACGATACCAATTGGTCTATGGCCGGAGGACGTCGCTGAGAAAACGCTCGGCAAGATGACGCTTATTTCGCTGTTGGAGGCGTTGGAGGGGTATGCGTTGCGGCCGTTAACGGTGCATGGGGGGTATACCGTTGATGGGGTGAAGGAGTTGTGTCAGTCTGTGAGGGGGGAGCTTTTGGGGGTTGATGGGTTGACGGCGAAGGTTAGGATTGTTACGGGGAGGAGGCCCGTTAGCTTTGCGCAGAAGAAGGCGGACTTGCTTGCCAAGGTTATGGCGAGGGCGAAGCTTGTGCAGGAGAGGGCTGAAGGGTGAGTACCTAGCGGGTGTTGAGGGTATGATACTTGGGAGTTTAAAAAAACATTTAGCTTAGCGTTTAGTGGGGTTGTATAGAATATCGGGATCTATAGATTACTATATTCGGTAAGCTTTTACTGAATTTCAAAAGAACTTTGTTGACCACAACCCAAAAGATACACTGGAAAATAGTTCCCGCTAACGCTGTCTATAGAGAGAGTTCAAAGGACCTTCCAGAAGATCTTTTAAAAGAGCGGTAGTTAAATCGTATCTTTTAGACAACCGAACTAGGTTTAGTTTGCCGTGCTGCTGGACTAGTTATATATGGTCTAGATGAAGAAGGATAAGGGTTCAGGTAACAAGGAGCTCCAAAGCATATTTCAGGTCTATCAATACAGAGAGTAGAGCAGGAGATACCCTGAATATGCCTCGTGTGGTACCTGGGCGGTACCGGACCCTAAATATATGGTAAACGCTACATCGTGAATTCATTTTGTGCAACTAACTGTAACGTTTATTTAAACAGTCTCGAGATTCGAAGATTCTGGAAATCCCACGCATTCACATCATCATACCGACAAGGCGTCGACGGCGTAATAAACTCCTTAAAAGGGAACAACGACGCTGTGCGGTTCGGCTTCGCGAAGTACGCAATTGAGTACCGTTCCGGAATAACCGCCTCAGACCCAACCTTAACAGAAGGGGGATAAGTGACTCGGTGACACGCCGCACGGAACGTATCATTAGTCAATCGCTGCATCGAGTCACCAATATTCAAGATAATCTCCGTCTTATCTGCAGACTCGATGCCACGGAAAACACCAGGGCTCTGTTGATCTTCAACCTGCAAGCCGCCAACAGAGTCCTGGAATAACATCGTGATGCTGCCAAAGTCCGTGTGCTCGGCGATGCGTGTTGCAGTGCCATCAGCCAGTTCTGAGGCAGGAATCTCTGGGTAGTGGAGGATGCGGAACTCGTTCTCGGCTTTGTTGTGGAGGGCGACCATTTGGTTCTCGTCGACGCCGAGTGCTCGGGCTAGAGCAGCGAGGATCTCGAGTTCGAGTTTGAAGCATGTTTCGTAGAACTCTTCGATGAATTTGCGGAAGCCGGGGAGTTTCTCTTCTGGAACCCAGATGTTGTCTACGAGTTCGTCGCGGGGTGAGCCAAAGTCGACTGTTTCCTGTATGACTTTAGTTCTCTGTGCACCAGCTAGATCTCGCACATTGCTTACCTTGATATCACGGACAAATTTCCCCTGTGGGAGCCCCTTCTCAAACCCACTGATGGTCGAGATAGACTCTTGTCCGACGTAGCAGTATCCGCGGTTAGGGTTTGCCTTGGGAGGATGCTTTGCTAGCATCTTATCCTCGTGGGGTAGAGCGAAGAACTTGCGAGTCTGTATATAATTAGCACTTGGGTCTTGAACTCATTGTAAATGCTCAATGCTTACCCAGTCAAACAAGTCATAGATGAGTTTGTCGGGAAGACCGTGGTTCTTCAACTTAACACCACCCCGAGTCTTAAGACCATGGAGCAGAGCAGCGGAGATTTCCTCCCTCTGCTGGGGAGTTCCCTTCAACAAAGAAATATCGAGAGCCTCGGACATTGTAATTGTGAAGGAATGTTGCAAGGTTAATGAAACAATTGTGTCTTGGTGAATGTGTTATGTTAGTAGTGGTTGGATGAGGGCAAACGAGGGAGAATCAGGGCCAATTTATAGAATATGGCCCTACAGATATGAAATAGTACATCTCAATGCGGAGATAGTCACTTTGAGAAGGTGATGTCCAAAAACGCGGGGTCTGCACGAATTGAAGCTAATTACTTTCCCGAATAGATCGAGTGGGTCCAAGATCACCTTCCTCGATCATAAATGCACCAATCAGAGAGTTATTAGCTGTGGGGCACAACTTTAGATGGAAAGTGACTGTGTCGCTGCTCCAGTATGAATTTCCCACAAGGTCATCAGAGATAACTAGCAAGTGACTGAGATTGGTTTGGAGAGGATAAGAACCAAGGGTATGATAAGGGCCATTTAGGTAGCTGACCTACATATTAAGATCTGGCCCTAAGGTTATCATATACTTCACCTTAGCATCGTGTCTAGAAAAACGAGTCCAAGATGCTTCGATTAGGTGGCTGAATAGGTCCAGTTACATTTCTGGGAATCTTTCTCGGCCTACGAGTACTAGGTGCTGGAGACTTCTGTTTGGAAGCTCCCGTTCCCTTCTCGTCAAAGACATGGAATAGACATAGTCTGGCGCGATGAGGTAGGAACTGTAGGTGACTAGACTTGGAATGGGACATCGAGCTGGGAACGCGGAATGCGAATTACTTTCTAAGCTGGAAGGCCTCGTCTTAAATTGACATAGTATTATAATCTAGGGCACAATTGACAAAAGAATGAAACCTCTAGTGAGGCGTCTATGTTCATTCGACATATTTAGGGTATATGCCAGCAAATAATAACAAAAACCATGCTTTTGGATACTCCCCAAACCCCATGCGAAAGGAAATAAAAATGATTCAGAAAGAAGAGAAATGCAGAAGACCGCAAGCCCTGTCGCTGCTTTACAGCTGGAACTTGGTCCGCTCCTTCTCCATTCCACCCTTCCATTCCCACTCCTGCCCGCTGACTCGTTGGATACCCTTATCCACACGGCGCAGCTTCAAAGTAAACCGGGGACCTAGCTCCTGCAGACCAGTCCGGATACCCTCAGCACCCTGCATCTCTTTGCCATCCGCGCCAACAACCGCCTTCTCCGACTCCCGCTTCTCACGGAAGACATATCGATGACGGCGCACGAAGATGTAATCACGCTGGTTGTGCAAGGTGACGACCTGCCGACCCTCAAAGTCTGGCTGCGGTGGGAAGCACTGCTGGAACATGCGTGCAGTGAGCAGACCCAGCGGCGTGCGGAAGTTGTTCAGGATCAACTCGGGCCAGTGGCCAGTTGCACGACCGTGACCGGGAAGTCTCTTGCCCTCAATCCAGTTGCTGATGCTGAAGTGGAAGGTCGGGCCAATCGGTAGATGCACGACGACCAAGCCGCTTGGCTTCTTCTGGTCCTCTTGCAGGACCACCACGGTAGTGAAGTTGCGGTTCGCGGCGAACTTGGAGATCTCGCGGATGGAGAACTTGTGCGAGTAGCGGTGTGCCGTGCGGCGAATGTATACACTGTTCGGGAACAGGTCTGTGAGGATCTCGGCTTCGTTGTGGAGGGTTGAGTTGATAGCGGTCGTGATGAGAATTTTGGGAGCAGGAGGAGTTTCGGTTGAGAAGAGCGAGGGGAATTTGGCCGCCAGGGCTTCTGGGGCGAGGCTCAAGTTTGTACTGCGAGTGGATTGTGAAGGACTGGTTGCGCGTTCGGTGGCAGTGGGTAGCGAGGACTTTTTACGTCCACGGCTCGAGTCTTCCGCTTCGTCGTCTTCATTCTCGTCATCGTCCTCGTCGTCATCCTCGTCGCTCGTTGCGATCATACTGTCGATCGACTCGTTATCGGAATCCGCGGCATCGCTGTCGTCCTCGCCCTCTTCCAATGGCCGATTCAACTCGTCCTCTTCTTCCTTCTTGGCCCGCTTGATGCGCTCAATGTCGACACTCAATCCCAGGCCATCCTCCTCAGCGTCACTGCCGGCTTCATCCCAGACACGCTTTCGCTCGAGGGTTAGGGGAACGTTGCGACGCAGACGCTCTTCCCTCAGCTTGGGATTCTTGGCCTCTTCCTTCTTAAAAGCATAGCGTTCCTCGCGGCGCTCTGCATCCTTGGTTCTCTTGCGCTTGATGTGCAGCATCTTCCGGCGCAACTTGTTCTTAGTCTTGACCTCCATGCCAGAGTTTGGCGGAGGCCGCGCTTGACCTTTCATACCCATGGTGAGTAAAGAATTTGCTGAAAGGTAAAGGTGATTTTTGGTGAGCGACTTGCCGAAGCTTCAAATTGATCCTCGCCGATAAAATAAATTGTCTCGGAGAATCATTCCTCCGGGCTGGGCCGGCCACCATCTTTTTGATTGAATGTTGATCGCAAAAGGGGGATTGAAAAGAAGAAAAAAGAGTGAAGAAAGTACACATCCATTCGTTTTTTTCTGTTTTTCCCATTCCTTGTATTTCTAGAACTTTTGTATTTTATTCTGTGGTGTGTACGAAGTCCGATAAGGTGGACTTCTACGGTGGATGACTCAATTGCTGCCGCGCCTTTTCCTCCCCCGCTCTTTTCTTTCCCCTCCATCCGTTCAATTCAGGACTTTCACCTGCTCGACCGCGCTCCAGAAGAAGTCCAATCGCAACCCCAAGATGGCCACCGTCACCACCAAGACCGGCCAGTCGGTCGATCGCACGGTCCTGGACTCGATGCTCCGCCGCCGCATGTTCTACACCCCCTCCTTCGAGATCTATGGTGGCGTGTCTGGTCTCTATGACTATGGCCCACCCGGTACCGCCCTCGTCGCCAACATGACCGATTTGTGGCGCAAGCACTTTGTGCTCGAGGAGGATATGCTCGAGGTCGACTGCACCATGTTGACCCCTCACGACATCCTCAAGACCAGTGGGCACGTGGATAAGTTCGCCGACTGGATGTGCAAGGACCCCAAGACTGGCGAGATCTTCCGTGCCGACCACTTGGTTGAGGAGGTTCTGGAGAACCGGCTGAAGGGTGACAAGGAGGCCCGTGGCCAGAAGGTCGAGGTTGACGCTGAGAAGGAGGCCAAGAAGAAGAAGAAGTCCAAGGGCGAGACCAAGGCCGTCAAGCTGGATGACGCTCTCGTCAAGGAGTACGAGGAGACTCTCGCGCAGATCGACAACTTCGACGGCCCTGCTCTTGAGAAGCTTATCGAGAAGTACGATATTCGCAACCCCTCTACCGACGGCAAGGTCGAGCCCCCCGTCGCTTTCAACCTCATGTTCCAGACCTCCATTGGTCCCACCAGCAACATGCCTGGTTACCTTCGCCCCGAGACCGCCCAGGGTCAGTTCCTGAACTTCCAGAAGCTGCTTGAGTTCAACCAGCAGGGCATGCCCTTCGCCTCTGCGTCCATTGGCAAGTCCTTCCGTAACGAGATTTCTCCCCGTGCCGGTCTTCTCCGTGTGCGTGAGTTCCTCATGGCTGAGATTGAGCACTACGTCGATCCCGAGGGTGGTAAGAAGCACCCTCGCTTCGTCGAGGTCAAGGATGTCGAGATGTCCCTGCTCGACCGTAACGTGCAGCTGTCTGGCAGCACCAAGACCGCCAAGATGACCATTGGCCAGGCTGTCGAGACTGGTCTGGTTGACAACGAGACCCTGGGTTACTTCCTGGCCCGCATCCAGTCCTTCCTCCTGAAGCTGGGCATTGACTTCAACAAGCTGCGCTTCCGTCAGCACATGGCCAACGAGATGGCCCACTACGCCGCTGACTGCTGGGACGCCGAGCTGCAGACCAGCTACGGCTGGATTGAGTGTGTCGGCTGTGCCGATCGCAGCGCTTACGATTTGACCGTGCACAAGAACAAGACTGGCGCCGCTCTGGTTGTCCGTGAGACTCGCTCCGAGCCCCTGCGCATCGAGGAGTGGCAGATTGATCTTGAGAAGAAGAAGTTCGGTCCCCGCTTCAAGAAGGACGCCAAGACCGTCGAGGCCGCTATTGAGGCTCTCTCGCAGGAGCTGCGTGAGAAGCTGGCCCTGGATCTTGAGCAGCAGGGCAAGATCGAGGTCGACATCGAGGGCGTTGGCTCTGGCAAGGTTGAGCTTGAGAAGGACCTGATCAAGATTGAGAAGCGCACTCGTGTTGAGAACATTCGCGAGTACACTCCCAACGTTATTGAGCCCTCCTTCGGTATTGGCCGTATCATGTACAGCATGATCGAGCACGTCTACTGGTCCCGTGCTGGCGATGAGGCCCGCGGTGTAAGTCACAGCGTTCTATTTGTCAAACCATCGTGTTTATTTGTCATACTAACGGATTTCTATTTAGGTCCTCTCTTTCCCTCCTTCTGTCGCTCCCACCAAGGTCTTGCTGGTGCCCCTCTCCACCAACGCCGGCTTCAAGCCCCTGACTCAGAACCTGAGCGCCAAGTTGCGCCGTCTGGGTGTTTCCAGCCGTGTGGACGACTCTTCTGCCAGCATTGGCAAGCGCTATGCCCGTAACGATGAGCTGGGTACTCCCTTCGGTATCACCGTTGACTTCCAGTCCGTCAAGGACAACACTGTTACCCTACGTGACCGCGACACGACCAAGCAGGTTCGTGCCAGCGAGGACGAGATTCTGCAGGCTGTCAAGTCGCTTGTCGATGGCGATGAGACCTGGGCCGATATTGTCAAGCGGCTGCCCGAGTTCACTGGCCAGGAGATCGAGTAAAGTGTAGAGCAGAGCAAAGACGAGTCCAGTGGAAGTTTTCATTTGGCATTCCAAAAATATACACCATTTCAATTTTTTTTCTCATAATTGTGCTATAGTAAATATCTTTAACGAAAGTTGTCTTACTTTTACCTTTTTTCATTAAAAGTAGCGCCAGTGGTCCTCTTGTTTAAAGCCAATAGCGCATGCTTGATTTTAAGCTCCGCTCCCGAATCCGGTTTACCGCGCCAAGAATCCGGGGCAACCTCGTCGCATCTTCCATCTGTCCTCATCCTCCTTCTCGTGGAGAGAGCAAGTCCCAACGCAGAACCCATGGCGCCTACAATCCACTCCGCCAAACTCACGCTATCCTGCCCGCTGTTCGCAGCAGACTTCGACCCGCGCAACAACGGGCGACTGCTCGTTGGCGGCGGAGGCGGCGAAAGCCGCAGCGGAGTTGGGAATAAGATTGTAAGTGGCGCGTGCTTTAGCTTCGCGTTCTGGGCCTCTGCAGTGTTCTAACTCATGTCTATTTAGTCTTTGATTGATACGTCACGTCGAGATGAGATTACCGAGGCTGTGGAGATCAACTTGTCGCGCGACGAGGACTCGGTGACGTCGCTCGCTGCGGCGCCGCAGTTTGGCGATGACGAGGGCTCGCTGGTCGTTCTAGCTGGTATCAACAGCTCTCTTGCAGACCAGAAGAAAAACAACAATCAGCACATGCGGTCTTTCCGATTCGAAGCGCCTCAGAAGAAGAAAACCTTGACCCCGACCAACTCGCAGGACGACGCGGAGGATTCCAAGGACACGAAAGCGAAGAAGGAGAAGACGGCTGAGGAAGTGATACCTGGGAAGTCAGAGGCTTTGTCGCGTGCTTCGATTTTCCGCGCAAAGGGACCGGATTCGGGTGATACTTATCAACGAGTCTTGAGGCTGTCGCCTTGGAGGAAGCCGGCTGATGGCTCGGAGAAGACTGGTCAGGATACCAGGGTCGGTGCTATTGCGACCGGCATGGCGCAGTCTGGTGAGATTGTCTTTTTCTCTGTTACAAAGGGTCCCACCGAGTCGGATGTCATCGGCCGTATCCGTCTCGACAGTCACGAAGAAGCCGAGGATGTGGACTTTGCCAGCCTTGAGAACGACCCCGAGCAGACGGGAGATGCCCGTGGTAGATACCGTGTGGCATACACCAACGGTGCCGATGTGATGATCGGCGAGATCTCTTCATCCACCCGCTCCAACGCTGCACCCGATGTTCGCTGTGTTTATACCATTCCTCTTCCCAGCAGCGGCGCCCGTGCTGCTCGTCCCAAGTTCCGCGCCTTGCGCTTCCTCTCTTCATCGGCACTACTCCTGCTTCAAAATGCCCCAAACCGCGGTGGTAGCGAGCTGGTAATTCTTCGCTTGCCTACAACTAAAGCGGGCACGGCAACTATCCTCCGCCGTCGCAAGCTGCCCCGGAGTGTTCAGATTGGTCTGGGCCTCGACATTTGTCCCTTAGGCACCAACCCAGCTGGCCAACAGCAGACTATTATTGCCGCCAGCGGCAGCGACAACTCCATACCGCTGTTAACGGTAGAGTTCGGCCCCAACAAGGGATATGGCGCGATCAAGTCTTACACAACCCTCCGCGACGTGCACCCATTCTCCATGACGAAACTCGTCTTCTCTCCTTTCACAGCTCCCGCCCACCCAGTAACACCCGACGTGCTCCCGCAAAAGGTCAAGCTTGCCTCTATAAGCATGGGCAACACCATCGTCGTTCACACCCTCCCACTCTCCCCCTTCCCTGCCTCCTCCCGCACCCCTCGCTATGTCCTATCCTTACCCGGCCCCGCGGAGTTCTGGGAGGGCCTATACTTTGTCGCTGTCCTACTTTTCTCTCTCGTCCTCATTACTGGAACCATGCTTGCCTTTGCCGAGATCCGTGGTGGTACACCACCAGTTCTGGGTGCCGCACAGTGGCTGCCTCCATCATGGCGCAGTGCCATTGTAAACGAGTATATCCCACCTGCACCAGGCAAGGGCTCATACATCGACTATCTCCTGTCGCCTAAGAGCCAGGAAGCCCCTCCCGTGGCGAACGTCGTCGCGGAAAACCAACTCGAGAGCTTGAAAGACATCCTCGATCGAGTCCACAGCGCCGGCGCCGCGCCCATTGACCTCGAGACCGTTAGCCCACACGCTCTATCAGTCATCCTACGCTGCCACGACGGCCAAACCGCCGAGCAAAGCGTCCTCATCGAGACATTAGCTTCGCATCACGCCAGTGAGGATGAAGCCCGCGAGGCAGAAAAGTTCCGCACCTGGGCCGAGCTTAGCGGTGAAGACCAGGTTGCCTGGAAACGGAGACTGACTGATGCCGGTCGATGGGCTGCGAGTGAAGGCGAGACTGTGTTGAAGGGTGTTTTGTTTGGTGAGGCTTGTGGGCAGTTGCGTCATGCTGTTGAGCAGGGATTGCGCTGATCTTGGATGAGATGTTGGGTTTGGGATAGGGGAAAATTGATGCTTTGATGCTGTCTTTGATTGTATGAATTGTTCTATATATTGCTGCATGATAGATGAATCTTGATTTTGCTGTACACTCTGCTAGAACATTGCATCGAAATGTCCAAGATGGAAAGATCGGGGACCATGGCACAAAATTAAGGAAGTCATTCCGATAGCTCAGGTAAATTACTGGAATACGATCTCTCGATTATACATCCTGGGTATCTTCTTACTCGCATATATTGCTTTGGCTAACGGCGACATCGAAGATTGAGTTTTTTAAGACTGGGATACACCAAGGTAAACCCTCTCGCTTCGTTCCTTTCAGGACATCTGACCTAGACTAATTCTAGATAGCTAGGTAGTCAGTAAATGTCTCTACTGCATAGAACATATCTCCCTTGTGCCCTGATCAGATCTAGATACGCATGTGCGGTTGTTACTGTAGGTTTTTAAGTCAAGATCCATTACATAGTTAGCTGAGCAGTAGGTCGTTAGTTCTTGAGAATGACAAAACTTTCTCGTCAGCCACGGCCGTGTTGTGGTCTATACTGGTCGCTGAAATTCCAGCCGACTCGCCTATTTTTACTACACACTTCACCTAAACCCTAGGTATAAACCTACCGGGGTAAGCCGAGAAACTATGCGCTGGCGACCCTCTTCGACCAATAACTGGCCAGCGTTTAGCGAAATCGTTTGGATGAAAAAGGTCGATTGACGAAGACGGCTGGATATCGTGGGGCAGGCTAAATACTAATGGCGTGAAGACATGCAATTTCATAAATGGGAAACCGAATGACGGCCGATGTGTCTGATCTCTCCCCAGATGCGATGTTGGTAGTCGGGCTGGTAGTTTTTCAGTTCAGTCGGTTCTTTTTGAAATCGTATATCTATCTTATATTGATCTTATATTGAAAGTGATATACAACGTTCTTCTTTATCGGCGATGGGAGGTGCGGGGACTCGTAATGAAATAGGGGACTTACCTGCGGTAAGCACCATCTGGCAAGAACCTGATGTCGAAGCACCTTCATGTTTATGTGCTTTTGTTACTCATACAGTATGCTGCACAAACTCTTGCCTGCTCGAGCACCGGAAGTTATTCACACAATACCTAAGCTGTGTCTCTAGCAATAGTTACTGGCCGACCTCCATTCTCCGCGGACATAAGCATAGCTTCCATAACCCTCAAATCTTCCAGGGCTTCAGAGGTTGACAATCTCGAGTCCAGTCTACCTGTGGCGATGGACTCAGCAAATGCCGCGACTTCTTCCTTCACACCCCACATCAATGGCGCTGGTTCTGTTTGATTCTCCCACTTATCCAGCTGGTTCTTGAGTTTAGTCAAGATTTTCATCTCAAATGGGCGATACGTGATAACGCCTTTGTCTGTGACAATTTCAAACTCCATGCCAAGCTTGGCTTCAGTTCCAACAGATGAGATATAGGAGCCACTGCGCCCGTTATCCGTTCTCAAGATGGCATGGATAGTGTCAACAGGAGGTAAATTTTGTTGCAAAGACATCGTGTATGCGGATGTGCTTTCAATCTTTCGACCTAAGGCACCAAGTAACGTTCGTAAGACAGCCACAAAATGAACGCCGCCGTCAAGTAGATAACCGCCCTGAAAAGTAGGCTTCTGGCGCCTTGATACCATGAGTTATTAGATAAAAAGTACTCTGGTCTTATGGCGAATAATAGAAGAGGATTGACGGCTTACCATTCAGAATGATAGAAAGGGTTCCTAGAGTCTGTGAAGGAAAAGGCAGCGACAGAAAAGGTGAGTAGGTTTGCGTCGAGGTCCTTGATAATTTTCGCTGCCCGATGCACAGAGTCCCAGAACCGGAAATTCTCACCCACTCCCCATAGGGCGCCTTTTATCCCCTGAGAATAATCGACTAGGCTCCGGGCTATGTTGAGGTCGGGCGCAATGGGCTTCTCGCTCAGTACATGCTTGCCGGCGGCCAATGCCTTTTTAATAAGCACTGGCGCAACGTCAATAGCGACTGCAATAATAACGGCTGCAATATCACTTCGCCGTAAAAGATCATCAAGCGACTTAGATTGGACAGACGGCGAGTCAAAGTAAGCATCGATGTCCTTGCAGGCCTCACCCTCGAAGGCTGTAGATACAAAATTCTCGGCGGAGCTCTGCGATCGTGAGTAGACTGCTTTCAAGGTGAACAATTCACTTGAGTTGATTGCCGGGAGGTGCTCTGTGGGCTCGGGCTCTCTACTGTTAGATACCCAGCAAAAACTTAATGCAGCACTGCCGATCAATAGAAAATTTATGCTAACCTTTCTTTGCAAAAACACCTGCTCCAAGCAAGGCTATTCCAATGGACATTTTTGCGGTACGGGTGTGACACGGACAATCTGCTGTATTTTAGTCAAAATGATGGCCGCTTGCCAATCACTGGACATCCGTCCCTTTAATGGGGTCTGTCTACACGGCTAGTTAGTTCGGCATGTGTCCTAACCTAGCCCCCCACCGAGCCGGAGGCTTATGAATTTCCAGTTTCCCCATTGCGGAGTTTGCAGTGGATCACCCTTCCCCCACATTATTCCGATGGCCCGATCGATCTCAAAGCGCGGATGCACAAGGACTTCCTCTATTATCAGCCTTGAGGTGTAACCGCAACATGATAGGCATGGGCTATCCTACCAGCAATGCGCATGCCAACCATATCTGAGCATTTCTCGAAGCATATCTTGACCTGCAAGGTCTGTCATTTCAGGGAGTGTTCTTCAATGACATCCATTTTCGCCCTCTACAGATCTCTATGCCTTTAGCTACGCTCTAGGGGCGAGTTACCCCCAGAGACGGCCTGTTTAACTGCCGCCTGGATTACAGTCGGTGCCCTACCACGTGTAAAGAGAAAGGAAAGAACATGTTGAAACTAATAAGAAGCCAATATAGTCAGTAATTTCTCAAGTATCCTCATTTTCTAGATTGTATTACTCGGTTCTGGTGTCCGTTCTTTCGTAGTACCGCTATTGTGATTGAAATGTTCTAGGTTATTGTCCCGTGGCTTTCACAATTCAATTTTGTTTTCTAGCTAACAGACAAACTGTTCCGTTGAATACGCAAATTCAATCCCCCCCTCGACACACATCCTCTTTACTGCCTCAAGACCTTGAAACAGCTATGGGAATAAATCCTCGTCACCGGGAAACAACTGAAGAAAGGATAACTTGATGCTCTCAAGCGAAGGAAATTGAGCCTTACGACATGACAGCATAGTACAAAGTCCATACTCGACTACGGCATAGTCACGCTCGACAATCCCCCTCAAGTATAGTTTCACCACACTCCTAGGCAGCATTTAAGGTAATAGCAGCTCCCGGTCTTCATCCTGAGGACCAAGAAAGAACCCGAATGGCATGGAGATCTCGCGTAGTTTTGTGAATTCCACTAAGGATTCGAACCACGACTGCGTAAGGATAGGGTCTGTGCGGTGGGCCCTGTTTGTCAGGATGTTATGCATAGAGCCTGCAGATCCTTCATTTCCGTCATCAAGCAACAGTAGATGTCTTGAAATCTCGACGCAGGGGCTTGGCCATCCCGGGAAGAGATGGTATTTTGATAGAGCAAAACTTGAGGATTTGTGCAAGCAGTGTTATACACGCTTATGTCGGTCGTGAGAGGAGTCAGGCATACTGTCACCTTTATGACTCCGGAAGATCCGCGCCGGCGTTCTAGCGCAATCCATATATCCATGTCAGGTACTTGCAATGTCATTTAAATGGCGAACTTGTAAGATGGAACTTTGGTTGCGTAGTTGAAGTCGTTATGGAAATATGAGTGAGCTAGACAGACTACGTCGTGCCCGCAGATGATGACTTCTTCCAAGTGCTGCAGTGGCCGGTGCTGGGGATCAATTGAGCGAGAGGCCATTTTATAGAAAGCACAAGCAGTGCTTCCCCCCCCCCCCCAATACCAACACGACTTGACTTGAAGCATTGAAGATTTGGCAAAAGAAAGAGGCAAATTACCATCCAGGAATCATAACAGCGTCCGATTAGAGCTTCTTGCCAATGATGACGGGCCTTTCTAGAATATGTATGATGAGCGATTGTCAAAGGGCAAGCCATTCTCAAGATCTCGTAGAATGGCTTCACTTGAGCTTCCTCCAACGGGCTATCCTTTCTGTGACATGAGATGCGGTCCTCGCAATTGGAAACGTTAAGCTGCAGTCTGCGCACGGAAGAAGCCAGATCGGGGTTCTGTTGTACAGACCGAGCTAGCAGATAAAGTTGCCCCACAGAGTGCAGCTCCAGAGAATGGTAAGCTCTGTGAAGAAATAGACTATACCAGGGCCGACATACTCGCAGCAATGGAAGTCTGGTGTGGAAGACATGCAAAGAAGGGGTACAAGGCTCTCGGTCTCGGGCCCCTGGGCAAGGTGGTCGAAGATGAGAAGGAGGATTTCATTAGGGAGGCGACGCATCCTCAGCAGGCGAGGGGCTTTTGACTAGACCCTCAAATGAAACTTTTCTGTCACTGTAAGTTGAGAAGTGTAAGGTGGAGGGGGAAGAAAACAGAAAGCCATCGTGCTTTATGTCAAAGAAGTGAACAAACGGACGGCATTGTTTATCGGGAACCTGCCATGAAAGCCCAGAACAAGGCAAGTTATCCTCATGTATCCAATGAAATATTCTTAGATCGCCAACTCAAAAGAGACTCTCTCGATTTCATGGTATCCGGATGATCATCACCCAACACCTGCATCTGGAGATCGACACATTTCCCCATCAACTCGACCGCTTCTGTCTTCCTGCCGATTCCCATCCATGCAAAGGCCAAATTACTCATAGTCCCGATTGTATCGAGATGTTTATCCCCTAATACCTCTTTCTGAAGATCCAACAGCTGAGAGAAAAGTTCCTCAGCGTCCTGACCACGGCCTTGGTCAAGGTATGCCAGCGCAAGGTTATGCATGCTCTCGAGAGTGTCAGTGTGTTTCTCGCCTAGTAGCCGTGCTCTTATGTCCAGGGCTTGCGTTTGTAATAACTCAGCGGCTGCATAGTCTCCAAGGTCAATTAGGACAATTGACAGACTGTTCATACTCGCGATTGTGTCGGGGTGTTCGTCACCCAATACCCTCTTTCGAAGCTGGACAACCTCGTGGTGTAGTAACTCGGCGTCTGAGTGTCGACCCTGAAGGGAATATGTCAAGGCCAAGTTTGTCATGGTCTTGAGCGTCTCGGGATGCTCCTCGCCTAAGGTAATCTCCTGAACATCAAGAATATCTGCGTGAAGATGCGCATCTGAATATCGACCTTGATGGTGATAAATCTTCGACAATTGATCCTTGCTCTTCAGTGTATCTGGGTGATTGTTACCCAACTTCTTTCTTTGAAATTCCACACTCTCCAGTCGAAGTGCCTCGGCGTCCGAATGACGACCCATTTTGGAGTATATCGCTGCCAAACCACCCATTATAAATGGCGTTGAAGAGTGCATTCCACCAAAGATCTTCCTGGAAGCAGCAAGGGCCTGCACATAAACCGTTTCTGCATCTTCGAACTTGCTCTGCCACTCGTATATCATGGCAAGATTGTGCATATTACAGATAGCCTCATTACTTTCCTCTCCGAGAATTCCCTTGAGTGTCGACACCACTTGCGTCAGGAGAACCTCCGCCTCCTCGAACTGGCCTTGCTTCGCAAGCGACAAACCTAATCCACACCTAGCCCCAATCCCACGAGGCCCATCTTCGAGCTGCAGTCTCTTGCAGATGTCAAGAGCCCGAGAATGCATAGACTGAGCATCCTCAAACCAACTCGTCTGGTAAAAGATATTTCCCAAATTAACCATGCTCATAATCGTGATATCATCTTCTTCCCCAAGCGTATTAAGACAGGCTTTTAACTGCGCTTCGCCGAGAATTGCCGCTTTATCCCACTGTCCCGATATTTCAAACGCTTTCACGAGCATCAAGTCACTGTGGAGCGTATCTTTGTCATTTTCGCTAAGAAGTAAAGCCCTTTCTCGCCCAGACTCTGACGCCATGATTTCCATGTCGTATGGCTTTTCGACTTGGCCCGCATAGTATGCGGCTCTATAAAGAAGGTCTGCTCGTTGTAAGCGGCCCTCCTCCGATTGTGGAACTTGATTTAATGCCATTCTCACGTGTGGAAACAGTGATTGACAATCTTCCTTGCGTAAGTTAATACTGGGGAAATCGCTCGGGAAATGACGGTAAAGGCGAGTGATGAATTGCTCTTTCCAGGTTTCGTACATGGAATTGGACTTGAGCCACTGATGTAAGGCTAGTTGCACTTGCCGGTGCATCTCGATAGTCTTTCCATGTGGATGAGTGGAGATGAGCGAGTAATTCTGCAACATCAGAATGTCATCCTCAAACTTGCCGCTTTTATCTGTGTTAATAGAGGCAGCGTCCCCTTCGCTGCTCGCACCAGCAGATGGTTCTGGACCAGCTTCGTCTGTATTGTGCAAAGGGGTAGACTCATCATCAGACTGGGCGTGACCACCGAGAAGATAATCCTGAATACCAAGTCGATCAAAAAAGCTCATCAGACGAAGTAAATCCGCAGCCGACGGTCTGACACTTCGAATGTAATCGAAAGACATCTCCCACGTAACCATAATCGAATCCCTCGCCTCGAATTCCCGGCGGTTCACACGTCCAGCTTCGCCATCCGGGGCACTGAGTCTGCTCTGCTGTATTTTCAAAAATTCCTCGAGATACCGTTGAACGGCGTATCGGGGCGCTCGCTGAGATATATATGTTCCAGCTAGAGCAATAGCAAGCGGCATACCGTCTAAAGCATCGACAAGTTCTTTCATCCCAGTCTCATCCACATCCTCTGATCCGATCTTTTTTCGAAGAATAGCCACGCCATCTCCCCCCTTTAACGAAGAAACCTCCAAAACACTCCCCTCCCTAACAAGTCCCCCCGCAACACTTCTCCTCGTCGTCGTAACAATAATAGCCCCCCTCTCACTTTTCGGTAAAAACGTAACCAACGGTCGTCTAGTCCCAGGAAGATCTTGAAAGAGAAACTCCTCCTTGTCAAGACCATCTAGAACAAGGATCCACTTCCTCTCTTCATCATTCTCAAACCAGTTTCGGACGAGATGATAAATATTACATCTGGAATCCTGACAGCCGGGGAGATTGAGATGCTTAGAGATGTTTTTGTGACTTAGTTCGAAGCGGTCTTTAGTGTTCGCATTGATCCAGAATATCCATGTATCCGGGGATGTTTGTCGGATTCGATAGACGTGTTCAATAGTAAGGTAGGTTTTTCTGACAAATTTTAGTAGTGAAGCCAACAATCTTAGACTTGGATACCTAGTCAATGGCGGTAGGTACACTAATTCGTGACTTACCCAATACCACGAGGCCCTACTAATACAGTCATCGATGCCGGCCTGGAAGATAACTCATACAGTCGATCCAGTAATCCTCCATGATCAACGAAATCAGGATCCCGCTCATACGGGATTGAGAACACGGCCTCTAATGGTTCAAGTCGGTCTGGTTTCCGGCAGAAAAGTTAGTCAATACACATACATCCACCCATTTCCAGTCGACGAACCTGGATATACGTCTACCTGAGGAGTGGCAGGGCCAGAGCTATCCCCAACGCGAAGCCCGGAAAATGCATTACCGAGCGTAGACATCTTGTCTTTTGAACTCTCGGAAATATGGACTTGATTTGAATCTTGTGATAGAGCCGAGGAGATTTAATCGCTCGCGGCTCAACAATGCCCCTCATCATGTGATTCGTGGAGAACGGGGCATGAACCCCGCGCATTCGTATTCACGACGCTACTAACGTGGAAGGATTACGCCTTGTTTTGAATTATTAGAATTCATTTCTAAGAGATAAGGGAGCATGTTCAAGCTTAGAATCGTCCTTTAGAAGCATTTACAAAGTTACGGAAGATATATATCTCGATTCTACCATTGAGGCTACAGAGAATAGACATAGATCAATACCTTCTCACAAGATCTCGTCTTAAGTCAATTTACCAATAGGATTTAAATGATCGCTTTCGCCCAAGTGCAACCATACGCTAAGCCCTAGCACTGCGTGTCACTTTAATATCAAGATCTGATTTAAGGGTATTCAATTCCACACCAAATCCCTGTCATCCTGAATACCTCCAGTAGGCGAAGGTCGACCACATCCGATCAAAGTAGAGCCTCCTATCCAAGGAAATTCTTGTAATGACCGGACCAACCTCAAAATAGCCCACGATTACGACAAGAATATAGGGACCTGTGAGATCGACGCCAAAAATGACAGCCTCTGGCGCTAGAACTTCAGCGATTCTTCTTCCCGTAACCAAGTTCTCCGGAGTAAATTATCAGTTCCTGGGGGCTTTAGAATTGAGTTTCATAAGCTCAGTGCGTGTTGGGGAGCGCATGGCAGCATTTCTGGGAGCGGTTCCTGTATTCCTGGAAACGAGTCAGCCCGTTTAGGAATGAGCATTTAATTCCCTTGGAAATCATCACCCTCAATTCTTGTATTCAGATTACTAGCTCATACTACCCCAGCTTGATCATAGGCTTTAACCATTCGTGATAGTGGAATTGGAGTTTCGTTTTCTAAGGAGATTGACTTAACTTCCCCGTTTTTGAGATCATTGAGTCTTAAACGAACTAGTACGGTATATTAGACTCGAAACTTGTCACAGGAATTGACAAGTATCTACGAAAATTCTCACCTGGAAAAATCATTGCTTTCTCTATATCAATATAAACTTCAGGGATCGACAGACCTATTCCCGTTTGTGAACACTTGCGTCCTATAGCGGCCAAGACTGTGGGCCCCGAACTCTTACTATTCATTCTCAAGGCGTGCCTGGACAGCCTACCGCCCCGGATACGAGATACTCTGCAGCTAGGCCACCAATCCGATGACATTAGGGTTTTATTTCCATTTTATTGGGTGCTGATCCCGCTGTTACTGACTCGCTTCCACTCAGCAGGCATGAATCAACGAGTTTCGGGAGGCTGAGCCCTGCGTCCTGCAGGTGGCCTCCAATTTATTTAGGACAATGTTATTGACACGACAAAAAAATTCACGGCACGACAGAGCTAGTCCTAATTAGGAACGTACCCCCCAGATACAAAATGCTACCTTCGACATCCACATAATAATTGCCAAGCCCTTATGTATGCATATTCCCATACATAAGCGCTTCCCGCGGATGCTCTAGTGTCGTCAGCGGTCATACCCGCCTCTATCACATGACCTCTATTTGTTTATCTCCATGACATACCAAGTCGGCATTCCAAACTCATTCCTACATACTAACCCCCTTCCTACCACCAAGTTTTATATTCAATGGCTAATTGATTCTCTCCTTAGGGCCGATATCTCTTTCTAATTCGCTTCCTACCAATTCAACTCCTACCAATTCAACTCCTACCAATTCAACTCCTACCAATTCAACTCCTACCAATTCAACTCCTACCAATTCAACATGGCTCTTCAACCACCGCCGAACAACTGGCTAATCGAGGTCGAAACTAGCCAGGAAGCCCGGGCTATCCTTAACCAATTTGCCTCTCACCAAGGATACGCCATTACCACTGCGAATTCGAACGATCGGTCGGTTACCCTCCAGTACGATCGGGGTGGCCAGCCTAGGAAGCACCCTTCTAAAACCACCCGCCAGACTACCTCTCGCCGCTGCGGTTGCCACTTCTCTGCCTACCTTAAGAAGGAAACCAACGGCTGGCTCTTCACCGTTAAGAAGGGCTCTCATACTGGCCACACGGCTTCTGCACCTGCAATACACCCAATTCACCGGCGCCAGCAGATGAAGGAGACCCAGGAGCGGGTAATTCAACTATTCATGCTAAGGCATTCGAACCTCGAAGTTATCAGTATCCTACGGCAAGAGGGAGCTTATAGCAAGGCCGAAGTTAATGCAGAAGACCCATACCAATCCCGCATTCGCCTCAACCCAAGAGACTTGGCGAACCTTCGCTATCGTGCACGGAAGCGGTTTCTTAGGGGACGTACGCCTACTTCGGCCCTCCTGATGGGGCTGCCGGGCTGGGACGTCTTTTATAAGGAGACCGAGGGGGAGAAAGCCGGGTCCAACACATACTCTGCGCATCTCATTCGGGCCTCGACCTTCTCGCTCGATTTTCCTCTCTCCTTTGGATTGATGCCACATACAAGACCAATCGGTTCAATATGCCTATGGTTAATATTGTTGGAAGGTCAGCTAATGGGAAAACCTTCTATATTGCCTGCGCTTTTATATCGGATGAGCAAGAGGGTGCATATCGGTGGGTTCTGGAGATCCTTCGGGATCAACTTATTAAGCACCAAATCCCCTTTCCAACAACTATATTCTCTGACGATGCAGAGAGTCTCCTGGCTGCTATAGCAACGGCCTTTCCAAATACAACCTCCCTGCTTTGTATATAGCATATCCAGAAGAATATTGAGAAGAGACTGCGGCCGAAGATTGCCCAGCATCTTCTTGTCTATCTTAAGAAGGAAGGGGACATTCGAGACGATATCAACGGGCGATGGAATTCTGCAAAGGACCTCTTCAATAAAGTCATCTTTGCACCTACAATAGCAGAGATGGAGACTGCTTGGAAGAGCTTTAAGAAGCACTATAAGCACCAGGTTTTCACAGAGGCAATTGACTACATCTCGAATCAATGGATGAAGGATGGTATGCAGCAACGCTTTCTCCGCTGTTATACTAATAACACCTTCCATTTCGGCGAAACTTCATCCTCGCGAGTGGAAGGGGCCCATGCCTATTTGAAGAGATTCATTAAGTATTCAGTTGGCGACCTCCACACTGTTATGTGTGGGATTCGAACTGCGGTCAGTGCTCGCCATATTACCATCAACCAATCGATTGCGGAGGAGCGTGAGAAGCTGCCAGGGAACCTCCTTACGCCCCTGTTTCGTAAGGTTCTTGGTTGGGTGCACCGGAAAGCCCTTCAATCGGTTGCTAGGCAACTAGATGCATATAGGAAGAAGGAATTGGAGATGGTCGATTGCACCAATTACCATCGGCAGGCACTTGGTTTACCATGCATCCATGAGATTTTGGTGGCTATTGAAGGCAATCTGCCTCTCGAAAGGGATCAGTTCCATCGCCAGTGGTGGCTCCTTACTTCAATTAAAGACGATTACCAGCCACTTTACATACAAAGTGTGCTTCAAGTCAAGGAGCCAGCAATCGCGAAAGCTGCAGGGCGCCCCCCGGGCGAGCTAACCATGCTCGAAAAGACCCCATTGTATTGGCAGCGAAGGAGACTGCTAATGCCACGGCAGCAAAGAAACAGCCAAAGACCACTAAAGCCAACAACTTGAAAACCACCAAAGCCAACAACTTGAAAACCACCAAAGCTAACAACTTGAAAACCACCAAAGCTAACAACTTGAAAACCACCAAAGCTAGCAACTTGAAGACCACCAAGAAAGCCACCCGCCGGTCAAATCGATTAGACCGATCTACCAAGCGAGATCCTTCTGGTTTCGAGGTTGTTAGGAAGCGTACTGCGCGGATTGGGCGGGAAGGGCGTGTATGAGGGTGAAATCGATCTAGATAATATATTAATTAGCCTCTGAAATTTGAAATTGCTTCTGCTTCAAATCCCTGCATGTTTAGATGAATTAGGTGGTTGTAAAATAGCCTTGGAAAAGGGTGATGGTAGGAAGTGGGTTAGGAAGCCGACTTGGTATGTCATGGAGATAAACAAATAGAGGTCATGTGATAGAGGCGGGTATGACCGCTGACGACACTAGAGCATCCGCGGGAAGCGCTTATGTATGGGAATATGCATACATAAGGGCTTGGCAATTATTATGTGGATGTCGAAGGTAGCATTTTGTATCTGGGGGGTACGTTCCTAATTAGGACTAGCTCTGTCGTGCCGTGAATTTTTTTGTCGTGTCAATAACATTGTCCTTTATTTATAAGTTGCGTTTTGGTGCTAGGGGTTGGATATAAAAGATCTGAGAGATATAGTTCAGGACGAGGCACACTGATATTCTTCTGCTTCTCTCATTAGCATTCTCCGAGTATTCACTACAATACAATCCAACTTTTGTTACCTCGGAAAGACCTGCGCCTAACACCATGCACTTCACCAAGCTCATTGCCCTCGCTCTCGCCGCCATCGCACCTATTGCGGTCGCAGCTCCGTTTCAATTGGAGGAGCGACAGAGCAACAGCTGCCAACAGGCGTTAGCCGCCCTCGCCGGAACCGTTGCCTATTATAAAGGCGTTACCAAAACCTGGACTGGCAACGCAGCTGTATGACGATAGCTTATGTCTAAAGCGGAAACCGTGTACTAATCCGTGATACTTTTAGACTGCGGCCAATACTGAGATTAAAAAATTGGAAAAGGCGGGTCAGTCTATAAAAACGGCGTGCTCTCAGATGGACCAGGCGATTTCGAGTGCGGATCAGAGTTAGTATGTTATTTCCCTCTGGAGTTGTGGATTGATATGAGATCACTAACAAGAATAAACCTTGCAGTAAGCAAACAGAGAGCCATAACTCGAACGTCTGGGGGTAGGTCTGAGACAGCGTTGAGCGATTGACAATATAATTGAGGATATAGGCTCCACTGTGGAAGGCTCATATATGGTATACCTGACAGCTCCTACCTACATTCCCACTGCTCTTCTTACTCAACCCGATTCCATTGTATTTGGAGAATATGTTACGTGATATCCTTAATAACACCGATAATTTGTTTGCACACATGTATATAAAACGTACCAAATTAGCTCCTTCCTTTCCGTGGTGCAGATTACGAATGTTAATGCGGTAGGAGTATAGTTAGTCCAGGAACTTTGTAAGGTCCCAGAAATCGGTTGACCAGTTGAACATCCACTTAACTACCATAATCTTCACCCTTTACAAGCGTCCATATACCTCAATATGGCTTGTAATGCATCCCTCTCTAGCCGCCTCTGTTCCTCGGCGAGTTAATTTCTCATTGGAAATTCTTCGAGTTCTAGATATACAAGATTTCTGAACTGATCGTCCTATCTGGATGGCCATGACTCTTTACCCCGACAAGATCCTGTTTGAATGCCTACTCTATACTACAGCTCACGATTCTTGAGTGAACATTAAATATCACCATGCAAATCCAGGACGTCTCAATTTGTTGGTAATGTTCCTGCAGTCTCGGCGTGGTCTAATTTCCTCCAAAAATCAACATTCTAGACAATTTAATAAGCAAGCAGCGAACGAAGTAAGTATTTGTCCGTTAACAATGGATAACTCGTAATAGGCAAAATGTGATTTAAGAGGTCGGCTCCAGCTTTTATGTTTGGACGACAGAGGAAGAGATGACAAGATGGTGTATTAGGGCGTTAGGCCAGGAACGGCAAAACTAACTAGTGACGCGCGCTGTCACGCGCCGTGGCCTTGAAACAAAACATGTACGAAAAGTGAATAGTGAATTAAGTAATAATATAAGAGTCCAACGTTTAGACAATGGCTGGGAAAGGTACGCACTTACATACATGAGGTTCAGTAATTGAAAGCATGCCGAGTTGTGCTGCAAAGTACACATAATGCAGAAATTTCAAAACATGACACCGAAAATTGTGGCGGCATTGATCATGAGGGACCTCCGTGTTGAAGACGAAGCCACATCTGACCTACGTTAAGAATGGCGATTTTTTCATTTTTGAACGCACGGAAAATATACAACTGCCAGGATTGGCATATGGTCCCTCCATACTGTTATATAGCCTGGCGTGTGACTTGAGTATGGCTTAATGTGGCCAATTTTCCTTGCGTGGATTCATATAAACATCGAGAACAGTTGTAGACATATGAACAACAGATAGGCAGAGTCAAGTCATAATAAAGTCCCATGCAGAGATATACGCATGTTCGCTATGTTCAGCCGGTCATATGCATACAAATTTGCGTAGCATGCGGTGTAACGTGTGACAACCCACGCGACTCCGAGAAGGAAAGGGGGTTTCATAGTTAAGATAAGGCCGAAACCCAGGAGGAAGAGGCCGAGGGGATAGCTACTTCTTACGGTACGCGTAGCGACGAGCCTACGAACTTGGTAAAATAGGCAGCCGTCTAAGACTGGATGTAAGCTTTATTAGAGTCTCACTACAGTGTGTTGTGTCGGCCTCTGGCTTATTAGAATCTCACTAGCGCTCGGTCCAGAGGCTATCAGAAGTTTGATAATCAGAAATCAAGAATTTGTATTATATCTGTACATTTCGAGATCCACCTTGCCTGGAGGTCATTTTTGAACGAGATAGAATCCTCCTCTTTCGCATTAGCTTCCCACTCCTCTCTTTCAACAGAATTCCACAGAGCATTATTGCTTGGCAGAGGGAATTGGAGTTCACTCGCATGCAGCAGAGGCTTGTTCTCCGAGGCACAGCTGCTCAATTTCGCACAAAGTCTGTAGAGCGCTATATTGAACCGTTTGACTTCCTCAATACCCACCCAGACGAAAGAAGGTAGATCAGTATCTTTGTACTTGGAAAGCATGTTTGGATAAAAGAACATGCCTAATTTTCGACAGCTCCCAACAAGCGATTGGAGTAATCCTAGATTGGCAGAAGAGATAGAAGCTCTGAGGTCGAGGTTGACCACACCGCTAGACTTCATGACAATAGAAAGAATAACGTGTAGTAATATAGCCTGATAAGTGGCCACTGGCCAAAAGCAGGCGCTGGAGACCCCTCCATCTCTGAGGCATCCCATTTCTCCTACAGTTCATCCGTCAGTAAACTAGACACATCATAGATCGGTGATGTGGAATACCGTTTGATGTCGGATTGCACAGTCAAGTTTATCATATAGCTCCATTGCGGCAGACTGCGCAGATGTTTCTCCCGTTATCCACATCCCTATAACTACCATTGACTGTAGAAGTAATGGAGGTTCTTGGCGTATATCGAAGGTGCCTCTGTGGATGAAGGGCCAGCACGGATGGAATATCTCAAAATAACGATCAACGAACTCTTTTCTCTTCTCACAATAGGATAACCGCGACTGGTCGGGATTTAAGGATGGCGGTGTTGGGTTTAATGACCGTATTCGTTGCTCTGCTGCAATACTAGTGTGGTCTTGGAAAGAACATTGAACGTTGCGACGAACACACTCCTGGCATGGTACGCCCCCTTCGCATCGAGACTTTGCTGCATGGCAACCCGCACAAGCTTGGCGCGCGCGATTAAGAGGCTCCTTGACTTGGTGCTGCCTCTGAGTATGACGTCGAAGGGTATCACTAGATTTAAGGTTCTAGCGTTAGTGATAATGTTGAATGAAGGTGAACGCAAGGATGTGAACACCTTCGTCTAAATACACGACTACACCTAGAACATGCAAGAGCCTGTTGCTTAGTGTGCTTCGATCTTTCGTGGCGGCTCAAATGCTCCTTGCGCTGGTATGTGGCATTGCAGCCAGGAAATTGACACCGAAAGGCGTCGTGTGCAACAAGGCCCGGGGGACTCTGAAGACAAATTTCGCTGCCGAGCGACTCCATCGTTGAATATTTCCCAATCAACCTGTAGAAATGGCCCGGAAAATGGAATGAAGAGTAAGCACTTCGCTGACCTAGGCTTTGCGGGCGGCAAATAGACTTTTTACCCTGTATCCGGCACCCTACCGGCAACCCGCCGGTAACCCGCCGGCATCCCATCGCTTATTAAGCACCAGGCAGACCCTGGAAGTGATAATCTTACCACGGTGAAGGCTAGTCAAGAGTCTTCGGGTCGGTACAATCATTCATGGACGCCTTTTTTTCAGTAGGACACTGGCGGGCGGCCGGCTGAAGGCCTGTTAGATTTCCCCACTGCCGAACGTCCACGAATCATGACGCTCGCATCTCTAGATCCCTTATTCAGTCTCACTGTTGATATTATTAATATAAAGCCCGAGGCAAAATAAGGGTATAAGTATCATGCAAAGCCTCCGATATCCAGTGAACTATCTCGCTGATACCTCAAACCATGACCCCTACCATCCTGATCGTCGGCGCCACCGGCAACACCGGTCGAGCTGTCGCTCGGACACTGCCAGAATTGATTCGGTCAAGCAGGACTCTGAACAGCAACCGTATCATTGCTCTCACTCGTTCCTCTAGTAATCCAGTGGCGCGCGAGCTTGCCAAATTACCAGAAGTTGAAGTGATCGAGCAGAACTGGGTTGAGATCACCGCCGACTGGCTCCGTGAGCATCAAGTTGCTAGAGCCTTTATTGCATCCCACAATGAGCCCAATCAATTTGCCGAGGAGTCGACCCTCTATCTCAATGCCCTCAGTGCTGGCGTCAAGTATGTCGTGCGGATATCGACAACGGCTGCGAACGTGCGCCCGGATTGCCCTGCGTACTACCCACGCCAGCACTGGGCTATTGAGGCTATGCTCAGCTCACCCGAATTCAACAACCTGCAATGGACATCTCTACAGCCAAACGTCTTCTCGCCGCTTGTCATCTCCCCTGCAGCGGCATTTATCAAAAAGTACCGCGAGACTGGAGAGCAGGATACCCTTCGTCTGATGCTGTCAGAGGATGCACCAGTCGGGATCATCGACCCCGATGAGATTGGTGTTATTGCAGCTCATCTCTTAGCTCAGGATGACACTTCCGTGCACAACAAGGCGAAGTACATCTTGAACGGGCCCGAGGACATAAGTGGAAAGCAGCTTGTCGACATGATTGAGAAGTACACCGGTGCAACCGTCAAAGACGTTCGTTACAAAGACGTTTCGTTCATCGACAAGCTGTATGAATTCCAATATGCGCCAACCAAGCAATCGAAGAACGTCATCTATTCAGTCAAGCGTGCGCCTGAGACAGCGTGGGAAGGGAAATGTTCCTCTTCTACAACTAGTAAGGAGATTCTGGAGCTTGCTGCTCCAAAACGAACGCCTACTGAAGTTTTGCATGCATTGCTGAAGGAAGGAGCAAATTGTTAGTTAGAATCGAAAGGTGGTTATTGGTTATCTAGTCTATCTGATCATATGAGCTCCTTTGCACTTAAGCGAACAACGAATTATCGTCCATTTACTGTGTGCATTAGTGTAAAACGCCTAGTTTGGCATAACCCAATGGAGAATGTGTTGATCTCTATCGAGAGTCGGTAGATTCATTTCTTTAAGCCGCCATGCTGACCAAATACCGCTAGATCTTCTAGTCGCTGTTATCATGCCAGTTATATTATTCATATCCCGAACGGCCTGAACAGGAATGTTTCGTGCCATACGAGTTATAAACCAACATCCGTCAGCGGTCTTCTCCAGCCGACCAATATAGGTAGGTGCCCTGGGCCTGGACAACCACGGGGTTCTCATTGGTATCGCTAAAGTCGTGTTTGGACAAGCTTGCTAATGGTACTCGGAATCATCCCATTCGTTCCAGTAATCCTATAGTCAAAGCTAAGTCCTCTACCGCATTATCCCACACTCCTGAGTTATCAGTTTTGTTTACGGATTGTGGAGATCCCCCGGGCCTCGCGTTGAAATTCAGGATGCGACGTCATTTTTCATGATGAGATGCCTGAGTACAATGAATTTATAGGCAAATAAGGAGACTAAGTAACAATACAGAATTAACTGCAAATACAGCTTTTAAGCATTTATTGTACTCTCACATGTTAGTGGAGCCAAGACGCCTCGTAGACCAGCGACGCCAAACGTGGAAGTTAATATCAAAGCCTTCAGAAAACTCAAGTCAAGAAGAGAGCTACACAATCAAGCACGAGCCAGCACGAGCCAGTCATAGAAGGGAACCGTAGACAGAACTGCGGATCGAAGCCCTACCCGAAACCTAACAGCTAGGATGGATAGAGAAGTCAACGAGCAATAAGACAACGCAGCCGCGATAGACTCCAGCGAACTAGAGCACGTCTTGGCAGCGAAAACCGACCAATCAGCAGCAAGAATATGGACCGATTTTGCAGTACAAACGTAGTACTGGTGACGCGCGCTGTCGCACGCTGTGGCCCTGAAACGAAACAAGGGCGAAAAGCGAGACAGAATTTGGAGAAAGGTACGAAAGTTGAACGTTGGGGTTTGATAAGGTACCGGAAAGTTCAACGCATGTATGGTTCAGATATACAAGCCAGGTCACGTTGTTCTGTGATGCAAGATGTGATTGGACGAGCATGGATGCAGAATCTATCCATAAACTCAAAGTGTCCCAGGAATGAGTGTTACAGATGACGAGGGTTCGTGTAATACGTATTAGGTCTGAGCTAGATACAGGGAGGATCGAAATCAGTTTCACCACTTGTGTGTAGAGATTCTTTCTCGAACCCTCTCTTGAAACCCCACTATGCCCGTTAAAGTTACCTTACCCCTGACTAGGTTTCTTGGCAGTCTTCTGATACAGCTGTAAATTACAACTTAAAAATAGCTTCCGTAATAAGCCTGTATGGTCTCAACGGCTTCTAGAACGTTGAGCCTGCAAACGAGGTAAACAGAAGGGGGTCGCCAAGTCACTCCAGTAACTTGGCCACGTTCGCATCTCAGTCTCTCAAATTCTCAACGTGAGGAGTCTCTTGAACGATCCAGCTGTACATCCAGTACTGTAGGGGCAGCTCACGGGTATTGGTCAGTGTAACAGGCAGGGTTTTCATACTAGGGACTAAGATTTGCTGGACTGTAACTGGAGGAAAATGCTGACATTGAATTGCATTGCAACGGTTAGAATCTTCACGAGAACGATGACTGCTAACTCGAATCCCGATGACGATGACCTTTAACCCTATGATTCCGACCCTGTCGATCACAACTGGCAAAATGCCCCCACTCCAGGATACTTTGGTTGCACGCCCACATCAAGGGGCGAATTCAGCCCTTCACCCGACTCTTCCACCGAGGACGGTCCGGACTTATCCCAAAGTAAGACGGAAAGTCCCAGACTGCTCCAGCTATCCGAGTGGCATGATGGAATGCTAGACGATGAGCCCCCGGAAAACTACATCCAGTATACGATCGAGTGGAAGGTCATGGTGAATAAGAAAGTGATCTCTCGAGACACGGAGGAGGACGTAGCTCTAGCACCAAGCGCTTACTGGCCGACGACGCTGAAGGGTAAGTTAGAGAAGTTGTTGGAGGGGAAGACCTCGTACAAAGGACGGGTGAGATCTGATGACACGGCAATTGTCGTATCGGTGAATGATCGGTCTCAACGCGACCTGATAAAGCGATTTGACCATCTTGATATCGACTGGAATACCGTTGAAAAACAGCTGCTTCGGTGGGGTACGCTATTTCTTTAGGGCAAAAGATTGAGGTTAAGTATTACCTTTAAATTTGTTGAGAATAACAGTCTCTGCAGAACCATCTCTAGTAGGGTTGAAAAAAGAGGCAGATCGTCTGTCACGAGACGGATACTTAACGAGCGAGAAGCTCAACTGGATGCCGAAGAGCACACGTCTAGGCAAGAATCCGTTTAGCGGGCCGTATACAACCTCATGCGTTGTCCCTCCTCCTCGTGCCATCTTAGCCCACATTATTAGCAAGACCCACATGAGAAGAAACACCATACGCTACGAAGCCATTATCTCAAACGTCTCATTACCTTTATAGAGAAGGGAGGTACCTTAGAGTCTTATGGTAACGTCCCCAATAGTTTTCGTGAAGAGCTATATTTAGAAGAGCGCCAAAGACTGGAGAACTAACAGTCCAAGAACAAGATAGGCGGTTCCTAGGGAGGCTCTCTTCCTATAAACATCAACATCAATAGGATACCTCCTTCCCCTCAAACGCAGGTCCCTAGCTTAGCCGCGATTTCAACCTAGGCCCAAGTACAGAATGATCTCAATATTCCCGGATTACGAGATGTGGCTATCAAACAATACACCGCGTGGCATGAGGCCAATGTTAAGGATAACGCTTTGAAGGCTCAATTTCGGTAAGCGCGTGATATAGCATTAGCCAATAGGCTAGATCTTAAACTGATCCACGATGACCAAAATCCATCATTCTTTGTCGACAAAGGGATTATAGTAGGTATCGCACGTTAGTTTGTCAGAGATATTAGTACATAGGTTCGGTCTCTAGATATTGTGTCGTTGACTGAAGAGGCTTCGCTAGTAGTAGACTGAAGATTTTAGGGTCAAAAATATTCAAGACGGCGTTAGTATAGCTATAAGGTTGATTTTAAATTTACGGTTCGATATAATTACATGATATTTCTACGAGTACGGTGGACATGTAGGGAAATGAAAAAACACCAGAAGACCCATCTGTCCTAGTATCCATTGAAATCTTATATATGTAGGATCACACCAAATACAGTACACTGCTACTGTACAATACCAAATCCGTTAACTAATCTCCCCGTGTAATGACCACACCAGCATGTCGAAAGTGGCCCAATGCACTTTGTTTTCGAGAGCCAACAACGTCAATACACCAGTCGAGAAATATCCGAAACCCTGGTTCTGTGTCTTCCTCATAATGCACCCAATTTCTCTTTATGAATACTTTCAACTCTGAAAAGAACTCCTCGATGGGATTCAAGTCGGGTAAGTAAGGTGGAAGATACACCAGCTTCACTCCTGCGTCACTACACATTTTTTCAATCCGATCAGAGCGATGGAAAGATACATTATCCATGACTAGAACGGACTTCGGCTCAGGCCACCTTCCGCAATGTTGAAGTAGCTACTCAATGAAATCCGCAAATAATGCAGCGTCCGTGGAGCCCTGGAATACACGTGAAAGGACAATTCCGTCCTGGCAGTACGCTAGAAGTATCTGGTACCGCTGGTCGCGATGGAAATTGGCTACCTACAAGGGTGTCACGCCTAGCGGAGACCAGCCTGTCCGTCTGAAGCCAATCCGCTTATCACATCCAGACTCATCCACATACACTAGGTGATGTGACTGAAAGTCGGATAGGTTATGTAAATAGAAGTCTCGCAGATCGGCATTTTGTTCCTTAGCTCTCTGTCTAGCCACCTTTTTCGACCAGCCCACCGAAGCCAGAGCCCGCTTAAGGCTCGAATTTGTAACCTATACGTGAAACTCATCCCATAGAAAAATTGCCATTTCATCCACATACAGGCCGGGCTTTTCGGGAAGATGGTCACACAAGGCTTCTAGCATCGAAGGGGTAACGGTTCGTCTGCGACCGACACGCGTTTGCGGTGCTTTGACGTTTCCGAACCAGCGAAGGTTATTGCTGATGTTAATAATTGAACGTTTACTACATTCAGCGGCTTTGGCCATTTCTGAGGTTGTCAGTGATTCACTCAATATCATATCTTGAATCATTTCAAGCTTTGCGTGAGGGAGTCTTAGAGCCATATTGTGGAGAGACGGGAAATGGGAGGATCTGGATGATGGTACTGTAAAGAGAGATTTGGCGAGGAAGCCATGGAGGGCTGCAGAGGGGAACGGGGAGTGGATTCATCTGCCCCCCATTGCCGTTCCCCTTGCTCAGTGAGCAGATGAAATGATTTCGGAGCGAAGGTCTGGGGCATGCTGGATAATAGGAAATGCACGTGACTTGGCGATTTCGGGTTCCTGAGAGCTGGGTGGCCCCTTTCAAAGCTCCTCCCAAAAAGCTGCGGGCCTCAGAAAAAGGCGGTAAAACAGATAGCACATCAGCTATCTTAATCACCAACTATGATCTAGTGGTTCTGGAAACGTGCATTTTCATTGCTGAGTGGTCTCCTCAAGTGACAAGGTTCAAACGTTTGTCGAGAAAATATTGGCTGCAGTGGTAACAGGGCTCTTTCGATCTGAACGTTTGGGTCGGGTCGACCCGTTCCTGGGAACGCCCCTCACTCCCCGCCCCCACATAAGGATGATCATCGATACGAAACCATGGAAACGGTGTGAGCGAGAGCGAAAGCCGCAGATAATCGTTCTGGCTTAGCGCGCAGATCACATGGTCATGAGGCTGAGGATTTGCCCCTCTTCCAGCTTGTAGGAGTCCTGCTGAGATTCTCGTCATGAAGCACCATATTGGAATTTTTTGAAAACAGCTACTCCTTAGCATCCGCCTTTCCATCAACTATTCACTTTGTGAACTCTCTCTTCTGGAGTAGATCTGCCAGGACCTTGGTTCTGCGAGAACAGAGAGTGTTTGGTTGACATAATGAGTACTATCTGGCAAGTCTAAAGATTGTTGCCTGGTCGAGTATATCTCATTCGATATGGCTGGAATACCCCTATCCCAACCAGAGCAATCAGTAACAGCACAAAGCAACGCTGGTCCAGAAATATCCCCATGCCGAAAACGACTGCGACACGATGCCTATACCATCGGGTGGGTTTGCGCTCTTCCAAAAGAACAGACCGCAGCCAGAGCCATGCTAGATGAGGAGCACGAACCTCTTCCGACCCCTCGCAACGATCATAATGCATATACCCTTGGCTCAATATGCGGCCACAACGTCGTCATAGCCTGCCTACCTAATATGGGAACAAACCCTGCCGCGACCGTCGCAACCTCAATGATAAACACGTTCCAGTCGATCAGGTTGGGACTTATGGTAGGGATTGGCGGCGGAATTCCATCGAAGGTCAATCTGGGAGATGTGGTGGTGAGCCAACCTGTTGCGGACTATCACGGGGTCGTACAATGGGATATGGGGAAGCTGGAGCGGGATGGGCGGTTTGTCCACACAGGCTCGCTGAACCGACCTCCGAACGCACTACTCAATGCATCGAATCAGCTAAAAAGTAACTATGAGATGTTCGGATCGAAGATAAATGAGTACCTGGATGATATGGAACGGAGATACCCGCGACTAGCGCCAAAATATACCAGGCGCGAGTGTTTGGAAGACCCATCGTTGATATTGAAGAGGGGACGTCAGATTTCGACCAAGCTCTATATTCTGTCTCGCTTGTGGCAGGCAATCATCACAATGTTTGCATATCTTCTTGGCTCATGGGCTATTAGCCCAGTAAATGAGGAGAACAGGCGGCTGCCCGAGAAAGCAGAGGAAGCACGGACCCAGAGAGAAGTGCGGGTACATCATGGCCTAATTGCATCCGGGAACAAAGTGATTAAGGACTCCCAGTCCCGAGACTCCCTCGATAAAGCATTCGGCGGGCACTTGCTGTGCGTGGAGATGGAGGCTGCTGGGCTCATGAATGACTTTCCATGTATTGTTATCCGAGGCATCTGTGACTACGCGGACTCGGGAAAAGAAAAAAGCTGGCAAGAATATGCTTCAGCCGTAGCCGCTGCATATGCAAAGGAACTTCTAGGATGCGTGCAGCCTAGTGTTGTTGATGCCGAGGAGTCAGCGAAAGCTGTGTTGGAAAATGGTTAGTATCTGCCTACCTGAATGTTTCAGCTCTAGATGTTTGAAGCACCAGAAATACCTGGGACAAAATAATACTTAGGCTTCGAAAATGTCCTAACTCGAAAAAGTCAAGAAACAGATGAATAGTGTGCAGCGAATGAGCGTCGCAATGAAAGCTAACACCGATTCTATCAAGTCTAACCTTCTTACTCATGATATCAAAGCCTGGCTTGATCCCTCGGACCCATCTACGAATGCCAACCATGCGAGGACGCTCCACCATAAGGGAACAGGCGCGTGGCTTCTAGAGAACCCCGTCTTCCGGTCGTGGTACTTGGGGTCGCGTCAACATATGTGGCTGCACGGGCTCGCCGGATGTGGAAAGACGGTGCTCAGTACAATTGTCCTTGATTGTCTCGCGAAAGGAAACGATCCCATTCTCAACTTTTTCTTCGACTTTAGCGACACCAGGAAGCAGACATATGAAAGTATGCTACGGTCGCTTGCTTTCCAGCTTTACCAAGGTGGATTTGACTCTGCAGTTCATCTTGATGCGTTATTTCAAGCACATCAGAATGGCAAAGACCAGCCTGAGAGAAAGGTGCTCTCGGCTCTCTTATTCAAGATGCTCGCTGTCCAGAAAAGGGTCTCTATCGTTCTGGACGCATTAGATGAATCAACTTCGAGGGATGATATTCTCAAGTGGATCGAGGACATAATATCTAGGCCAGAGTTGGCCCATGTCCAGTTGTTCTATACCAGTCGACCTGAGTCCCAATTTCTGCGCCGCATCCCAATACTAATAGGAGAGGAAGGTTGTCTACCACTTAATGAGCAGGCTGTCAATTCCGATATCCGTTCATGGGTCTCAGTACAACTCTCTCAACGGTGCGACTTTACAGAGAAATCCTTATCTCAAGGCCTTCTCGAAGAAATACAAAAGAAGGTTGGCGACGGGGCAAACGGAATGTGAGATATTGCCGCTTTGATCAATATTGTGATGGCTCACTAACTTCTACTCAGGTTCAGATGGGCGTTCTGTCAATTGGACAGCTTAGCTCGATGTCATCACCAGGCAGCTATAGAGGAGGCACTCGCATCTCTGCCGCTGGATCTAAATGAGACATACCAGCGCATGATTGACAGTATACCGACAGATCGTATCAACGATGCGATACGCTTGCTTCAGTTTCTGGTGCACTCCAAGAGACCTCTCAAGCTGGTCGAGGCTAAAGAAGTAATAGCCACCCGGATCGAAAACGAGCCTAGGGAGTTTGACATCAAGCGTCGATTGTTCTGCGAGACTGATCTTTTAGATTACTGTCCCGGCTTAGCAAAAATCTCTCACGGCACGGATAAAGCGTTACAACTTGCTCACTTTTCGGTAAAAGAGTACCTTCTCAGCAGGAATGATTGCCAAATCACGACTGCTAGCATTTCCATCATGAAGACGTGCCTGATCTATCTTACAGATATTGATTGTAGCCATAGGAAAATTCAACGGGATTTTCCGATGGCAAGATTTGCTGCAGAAATCTGGACAGACCATGCTGCATTGGCTCAGGCTTCTGAAGAATTAGTTCGGATGACAGTCAATTTTTTAGAAGATGAAGAGACATTCCAACGATGGGGTCGTTTGTATCAGGCTGATATGGCTTGGGACGATGACCCTGGTCCACCGCGAGGCTCTAGGCTCTACTACGCTTGCTTCAGTGGGCTCATTGCGCCCGCACGGGATCTTATTGGCAAAGGAGCGGATGTCAACACTCAGGGCGGCCGCTACGGGAACGCTCTTCAGGCCGCCTCATTAGAAGGTCATCAAGAGGCTGTCAAACTACTCTTGGAAAAGGGAGCGCATGTCAACGCGCAGGGCGGCCTCTATGGCAACGCTCTCCAGGCTGCCTCATCTAAAGGCTATCTTCAGATTGTCAAACTGCTTTTGGAAAAGGGAGCGGATATTAACGCCGAGGGTGGTAAATACGCCAACGCTCTTCAGGCTGCCTCGTCAGAAGACCATTTAGAGATTGTTAGACTGCTTCTAAACAAGGGAGCGGATGTCAATGCTCAGGGTGGCTTCTACGGCAACGCTATCCAGGCTGCCTCATCTGGAGGCTATCTTCAGATTGTCAAACTGCTTTTAGAAAGGGGAGCGGATGTTCATGCTAAGGGTGGTGAATACGGCAACGCTCTTCAAGCCGCCTCATTTAATGGTAATACAGGAATTGTCAAACTACTCTTGGAACAGGGAGCGCATATCAACGCGCAGGGCGGCCTCTATGGCAACGCTCTCTCGGCCGCTTCATCGGGAGGCTATCTTCAGATTGTCAAACTGCTTTTGGAAAAGGGAGCGGATACTAATGCCCAGGATAGCTTTTACGGCAACGCTCTCCAGGCCGCCTCCTATGATGGGGATTCAGGGGTTGCCGAACTGCTCTTAGACAACGGAGCGGACGTCAATGCTCAAGGTGGCTTCTACGGCAACGCTCTCCAGGCCGCCTCATTGAGAAGCAATTTTCAAATTGTCCAACGGCTTTTGGAAAAGGGAGCGGATGTTAATGCTGGGGGTGGTGAATACGGCAATGCTCTCCAGGCTGCCTCGTCTAATGGAAATTCAGAGATTGTCAAAATGCTCTTAGACAAGGGAGCATATGTCAATGCCCAGGGTGGTAGACACGGCAATGCTCTCCAGGCTGCCTCGTCTAATGGGGATTCAGGGGTTGTCAAACTGCTTTTAAACAAGGGAGCGGATGTCAATGCCCAGTGTGGCTTTCATGGCAACGCTCTACAGGCCGCCTCAGCGAGCGACCATCTTGAGATTGTTAAAATTCTCTTAGACAAGGGAGTGGCCATCAGTATGCAGGGCGGCTTCTACGGGAATGCTCTCCAGGCCGCCTCGTCAAAAGGCAATCTTGAGATTATCAAATTTCTTATAGACAAAGGAGCGGATGTCAATGCCAAGGGTGGTAAATACGGCAATGCTCTCCAGGCTGCCTCGTCTAATGGGGATTCAGGGGTTGTCAAACTGCTCTTAGACAAGGGAGCGGATGTCAATGCTCAGGGGGGCTTCTACGGCAACGCTCTCCAGGCCGCCTCGGCAAGCGACCATCTAGACATTGTTAGACTGCTCTTAGACAGGGGTGCGGATGCTAATACCCAGGGTGGTAGACATGGCAACGCTCTCTACGCCGCATCGTCTAAAACTCAATCAAGGATTATCAAAATGCTCTTAGATAAGGGAGTGGACGTCAGCTTGCAGGGCCACTTCTACGGCGATGCTCCTCTGGCCTCCTCCGCAAGCGAATATCTTGAGATTATCAAAATACTCGTCGAAAAGGGAGCGGATATCAATGCCGATGGTAGTGAAAACGACAACGCTCTCTACGCCGCCTCATCAGAAGGCCATCTTGAGATTGTTGAACTGCTCTTAAACAAGGGAGCGGATGTCAATGCTCAGGGTAGCTTCCACGGCAACGCTCTCCAGGCCGCCTCATTAAATGACCACCTTGAGATTGTTATACTACTCTTAGACAACGGAGCGGACGTCAATGCTCAAGGTGGCTTCTACGGCAACGCTCTCCAGGCCGCCTCATTGAGAAGCAATCTTCAGATTGTCAAACTGCTCTTAGAAAAAGGAGCGGATGTTAATGCTGAGGGTGGTGAACACGCCAACGCTCTCCAGACTGCCTCATCGAGAGGCCACCAAGAGATTGTCGAACTTCTTTTGGACCACGGAGCTCACTTTAACGGGCGTGGCGGCGACTGCATGAAACAAATTGAAATGCCTTCCCTCAACGACTCTGGGATCCTTCAAGCCTCTCTCAGATAACCATGTAGCCGCCGCACCTCTGCGTAGCGGAGCGAATTGTAACGGACCAGAGCCCAACAGTGAAACCATGTGCCGTGGCCTTCGAACACGCCATAGGCGGAAAGGATTCCATCGGATTCCGTCGCAAGATTCCTTCAGGGACGATCGATTATCTTCCTTTCCTTCGGCAGTGACGATGGTTCTGAAGAATTCTAAACGATTCTATCAAGGACGGGACTGATTCGCTTCCCTTCCCCTTTCCTTTCTCCAAGATTGTTGTAAACTGCATGTTGGTCTAGTACAATTGCATAAATTCTGCTATAGCCCTTCACACGAATAGGTCAATGATATCAGACTGGTTTAGTCATCACGACGCCGGCGGGAGATCATAGGACTGTCCTAAAGCAGGGGCACTTTTCCATAGTTTCGAAAGGTCTCTCCACTGTCAGACTCGAATCAGCTAGACGAAGGCGCTTCCCGTTGTGGACTTTGAACTTACTAATCAACATTTAGCATTTACTTCTATCCTTCAGCTGGAATATCTGACAATTTATCAGTCAACTCAGATCGTGGAAATGGGCAAAGAAGGTCAATGAATCATATACAGTACCCGCAATCGTCACCTCTTTATAGCCTTTAATCGACCCGTTCGATAAGGCCAGCCGCTCAGTGACTCCATAAGTGAGATAGTCGATGACGTCACATTGTATTCACGTAATGGTATTTCCTTTAGCTCATCGGATCCACTCTTCAATATAACTATCTTTCAATATAATTCAGCCCCTTGAAACTAGAATCAGCCATATTTAGATTAGCGTGTTGAGGAGTGGAGCTTAAGAAAGAAAGTCTGTGTTCAAGCGGTGAATCTGATTTCGATCCCTGCTGTATCTTTTACAAGGGGTGTTGATTCGACAGTCCGAGGTAACAAGTGATCTTATATGATTATCTAATTCTATTACGATGTAAAGCACCATTATATGTCCGAAGCTTCCTGCCACGCAGCAATCGTCTCTTTTTCGAGTTCTTCAAGTCTTTCCATTTTAGCTAGCAGTCGAGGATCGGGTCGGAATCGGAGATTATGCATTTCGAGTTTCTGAAGGAGATGAAGCCCTTTAGAGGACCGAAGCCAGGATAGCTGTATATACATCGAGCAATACTTCCGGTGATGATCTTGGCCCCGAATGGTGGGGTCATCTTTGAGGTCGAGGATAGCAGCTAAAAGCGTTAAGCCTTGCACTTTATAATCGGTGAGGCAGAACGCTAGGTATATAGGGACCTACTTCCTTCGGACCGAGTAGGCTTTTATAGTGATAGATCGCTCTAATGGAAAGACTGGCATAGCTAATAGTTCAAGGTCTTGAAATCCGGTGGCCCTTGATCTGTTCGGTTTAAATATAACGCAGGACGGTAGTTTAGTGTATATGATATAGAGGTCGTCGATCTAAAAGAATTCGGCTAGAAATAAGGTATAACCGTGTAAGGTGGTTATGTTCCTTATTGTTTCTAAGGAAGGATAAACCTATCCGTGGGATCGACCACGATACCTATCGCAACCCCCGATGCCCTATTAACCAGGCCTAGAGGAGTGTAGATATTGGTTAGTATGACGGCCGGCATATTTGGGGTATATAGGAAGAGGCCTAGGGAGGGGATCTTTGTGCCTTGATCCGGCTGCTAGAGTAAGTCGTCTGTATAGAGTCGCAGGTTCGTTAGGCTAGTGGACTTAGTCCGCGTATAAAGCGCCGGGAAGATGTAGATATTCTAGTAACGGGTCTAGGTAAACTCTTCTAATCGAACGCGGTTTACCTAATACCGCAGAGAATTTAACTTAACTACGGTAGTGATATCTTCTAGTTAAGGGCTGACTAGTAACGTGACTGTTTTGTTGTTAAGAAAGGATCGATCGGCTTTAGTTAAAGTCCCGGTCCTGGCTCGTGATAGCAGGTCGTGGAATAAAGTGTCTTGTTCTGCCTACCTTATTTACTCATCGAGGATGATTACCTTTTTGAACTGATGCCAGAGGACCCGACCATTTTCATCCTTATCTATGCCTCTTCTTGGCTCCCTCCATAGCGCCGGACCGAGAACGGGTGGAAACTGAAAAAAGTCACCGATAAGGATCACTATAGGAAGACCACCAAAAAGATTAGGAGAGGATCTATCGAGGGATTTAGCGATCTTGTATTAATTATTAATCACGCTAATTATACGTAGATCTATTATGCTGACCTCATCTACGATCATGATCGTCTTACGAGACTAAAGCCGCCTTACTCTGGAGTTTATCCGTGTTCGACGTGAACGGTCGATAGATATTCCTAACGATGTATAATACGTATTCCTACCGATATTATCGGCCGCGGTACCCGTCGGTGCTATAAGGACCACTTCGTCTTTTCGTCCGATAAGCTTTATGCTAGCGATAATTGCCTTAACAATCTAGCTCTTACCCGTTCCTCCTTCTCCTCCAATATAGAGGAGAGTTTGCTTACGCAGCGACGAATTAAAAGGGTAATCTGCCTAAGCTAAAGCTTCCGATAGCACTCTCTCCACTACTATTCGTTATTTCCGATTTAGGGAAATCACGTCATTAATCAGGGACGCAAGAGAGGCGCTAGTAGGATTCTGGCCAACTTAGAATTAGTAATCATCTATAGCAGAGATCGTATCTAATATAGCTAGCGTAGGATACAAGATACTATCTTCAACGTGTATATCAAAATCGTTAAGTGGAATACCAAAAGTTCTTACATCACTATCAGTGCTTTCTTCAGGATTAAAATTAACGCAACCTTTTAGCTAAGTGTCCCATACTTATAAAGTAGATCGTGGGAGGAACTATAGCCCGGAAGATTCGTATGCAGAAGTGTTAAAGATATCTAGCGGTTAAAGGTTCTATAGTGACAAGCTGTGCGTTCGACCTATCGCGTGTAGTAAGGGAGGGATCCGCCGGCCAGTGACTAACGTCTCTTGATACCATACTTTACTAATAGAGTGATATGTAGCGATTAATGTATCTATATTAAAATTCTCATCCTACAGGTATAAGAATTCTTCGTTCTCTTCGTTATCGGACCAAAAATTTACGGGCCTAAGCTCGTCCGCATTATCGGGAAATGAGTCAGCTGCACCGTTTACAGACGTCCACATTTTTATATTAGCTTAATAGTCCTCTTTGGACTTTCGCAATAACTCGATATTTCTTGTAAAAGCTCGATTGTGAAAAGGGAGGGTTAGTTCTATAGCCGCCTATGCTTAAACACAAACGTCCGTTCTTGTCGTATACAGTCGGAAGAGGTTGACCAATTAATCCTAGGGAACAAAGAGCCCTAATAATATCTCCGCTATATCGTTCATGATCGCGGTTATTTTAGGATAGCCCCCTGGAACTACGTCTTCTGTAGCCTAGAATTCGGTTAGCTATCCGTTAAAAGTAATAGTGGCCACTTAGCTTGGGGTGCGCGCTAGGCGTTATATATACGTGGCGTACCTCGGGTAGTTTGGGTCGAAGTCTATATCGTCAGTAATGGCATCGCGTATATGCTTTATCTTGATAAGCATGTAGTACTTAAATAATGTAAGAGCAGCGAAGTGTGGCCTACGCTATTTATAATTATTAAAGATGCTTACGGGAGCGGTATCACTAGTTTCGTACGTGTAAGGCTCTTCTGCCGTGGGGTCGGTAGGTGGACTGCTTTAAAGGCTATCTAGTTAAATGATCGCCCGGATATAGCGCCTTAGCCACTAGAGGTTGATGCGGGTAAAGTTGTAGTTGATCGTGTAATAGGTTAGTAGTTAAAGTAAGGCGCTAGCGACCTATACACCACTGATTTCTCGGTCATGAGAGAGGGTATTAAAGCAGCGGAGTGCAAAATTGTTAATACCTTTTTCTCGAAGTCGCCGGTCTGTCGCTGTTAGTGGCTTAGCAGCCTTTACCTTCTTAATGGATTGCTTTAACAAAGCCGCCCGGGCCACTATCTGCTAAGGAGTAATGTTATCTTTCGTGGCGTAGTTGGTAATGTAATAGATTAGCGATAAAGACTTTGAGACAGTTAGAATCTAAGAGATGTCGTGATTAGAACGCACATAACTAGTAATAGCGGGGTTCCACGGGTTTATCTAGGCATGGTTTCGAATAAGGTAAATCAGTCCATACTCATCAATCTTAGAGATAGGAACTAGATCTCGAGGTATACTAAAGCGATACGTATGCTTTCCGGGTTCCCGCTAGCGGTATTTAAAGTATGTGGCGAGGTGGTGTTTCGAATGGACCTGCGTTTTGCGAGCGATATAATTGCTGTTATATGATAGTCGAAGATGAAAGTCGTTATCGGATTCGAAATCTTGGGCCGATAGTGGCGTACTTGGAATGTTCACTTTAGGGTCATGCAGAATAGTCTCATTAATGCCTTGTATAATGATCGACTCTAGATAGCGAACTATACGAGTTACAAAGTTAGTATCGTGCAGGAGCTAATCACGTAATGTAGTGAAAGCCAAGTTACCTCTCGCCTACGCTAATCCGTGGATATGTAGCATACCTCGGCCGTTTATCTCGATAACAGCAAAATGATTCGAGAGCTCACTAAGGATACCAATCTAGCCGGTATTAGTAGCAAAAAGGCCTTCTAGGACAGCTTTGTAGACGTGATGGAAGAACTCCGCAATAGCTGTAGGGTTAGAGGTAGTAGTAGCCTCACGGATAGCGGCATTAACCGTAGCAAGGTTGTCCCTAGAATACTCTATACCGGCTAGGATTAGGACGAGGGGGTTCCGTAGGTCGGAGGGGTTAATAGTGATCCAAAAAGCAGGCATGCCGTACCGGATAATCTGACCTCGAATTTCAGAGCGCAATCTGAGTTTCTGAGCAAAGGATCCTGGGACCTGCATGCCGATCGCCACGATATTTCGTAGTAGTCGTCGGATGATCGGATCTTTAATTTTCTGGCCCGTTACGACTGTCTTTGTAGCATTTTAGAGTTAGGTCACTATTAGAGAGGTGATATCCTTAGTTACCGAGTACTAATTCTGGCGTTTGATGAGGAAGGCGTTGCCTATCGACGACTTTCGGAGTTAAATTATATCATATAATAAGTACATGAAGGTTCTATAGCGAGCGAACCTATGGCGTATTAGTAAAAATGTACCATTATCGGTAGGGGGCAGGCACCTTCTACTATAGTGGCTCAAAGCCCACTCGGTAAACGCCCCAAGAGAGACCGGAATAGCTCGCTCGTCTAGATGGCCGCCGTTGCCGGTAGGGAATAAGGTTGGGAAAGCAGCGGTAAAATAATGGGGATTTGACCAGTGATCCACTAGTGTGGCTTGTCCCTGGATTGTGTAAGAGATAACAGGCATCTTTCCCGCCCTTTTTTCCGCCGATGTGGCCTCACTCAATGTCTGCCGTCCGTTCGTGATAACGCTGAACAACGCATCCAGCACACGAAGGTTAGGGTCTTGACGCTCTCCATTAATATCCGTGGAGACCGAGCCAGTGATAAAAGGCTCGCCGATGTTGGCATCACACGTATTATCTTAGGCGGCCTGAAAGTCGTTCTCGTAGTTTCCCTTCTACAGGTCTACCGTGTACCCTCCACGCTCGTGATGATCCGGCTCGTCAAGACGGATGATGCTATCTCGCAGCTCTGGTGGGATGAAGTCATCGCTCTAGTTATCGATCATGGGCCGGTTAATGGTGAGGTTACGGTAGAGGGGGTTATATTAAACAAGGTATTGTAAGGCGGCCAGAACTTTCGCCTTTCGCACGAGAAGGAATGGACTAAGGTCCGAATCTTTAGGGGGTCGAGCACCCAACCAGAACACCTTGATTAGGCTGTGGAGCATTAGCTCCGGGCTCGGCAAAATGTCGAGCAGCGGTCTAGGGTCTTATAGAATGACGATGAAATGACCTCGGAGAGCGTAATAGTTGACTGGCGCGGAGTGACCGCCCGGTCGCAGCTTCAGAACGAGACCAAGAGGATGACATTTTGCAATGAGGCATTCTTCAGTTAGGGTCAGACCCTCCAAGGCTAAGGGATAGTCCTGGCATTGAGTCACATTCACCATGTTCTTTGCCGAGAACTTAGGTATCATATCCCGATTCAGTGAGGAATGGCATAACGAGCAGAGATTCCAAGTGTTATCTTGTCGGCCGCAAGTATCAAGGCTCCCCCGTAGTGGTAGCAGTAAAGGATCCCCATTATCCACATAGTAGATATGAGTACTCGGGACAAGTCTCCCACATGAGCAACAGACACATCTCTTCGCAGCTACACACATTTCATCCTCGTATCTAGCTATAGCTGCCCGTATATTCGAAGAAGAGATCTCCGGGGGAAATGTGTCAGAGGCGACGGCTCGGGACTCTAACTCATCCCGTAGGAAGCATAGCGCGCGATCCAAAGTGTTCCTGTACGTTGTCGGGTCTAGCGTTCTCTGCCTTTTCACTGCGGGCCGCAATAAAGCGGGAAGCCGTCTTTTCTGTTCGCCAACTAGAGATGGCTGTGGGACTGGTGATGGGGGTGAGCGAGGCACAGGCAGAGGCCCCGCAGGAAGTAGAACCCTTTTCGCTCTTGGCTCGGTTCTCGGATGTAATGGCGGAGGGAATGGATGAATCCCGACATTTGCAACATCGAATGATTGATGTGAATGCAAGGCTGATTCGGACGCGGGAGCCAGTCTCCTTAACAGACGACTTCTGGTTGGTGATGATGGGTCAAGGTCACTAATAGGACGGAGTTGACCTTAATAGGGTCCAAAACGTCAGCATATTTACTAGAGGGACTGTCGAAGCCTAGTACCATGTATGAAGCTAGTCCTCCACCGTGTGTCTGTCTCTACTCTCTATCACAGGGGGTATTTACTGACTGGATCTGACCACCCGTGCGGAAGCTTTCCGGCGACAATTATGGCAGGTCTTGAACTGTGTGGAGAACCAAGGTCTGGCACAGCCTGAGCAACGGGTACGTCCGGCAATGGGGGATGGCATTGGCAAGAGAGATGATGTTGAATAGTGAACGGCATCCATTGTTAAGTTTGCACCAAGACGAACCTGTGCATAGGTGAATGAAAGAAATAGGCATAAGCGACTGACCGGGATCAAGGGACGTAACGGACTGAATCATATCGCAGTGAGAAACCCCCAATCAACTCTAGATGAATACAGGGAGAAGTTGTGAGCAAGGAAGGGAGGGACAGTGAGATGTAGATGTTAACCACAATAAGGCGAGAATAACTCACTAGTGGCAGTCATGATGTCGACGATGTTGGCCCAAGAACTTAAACATCGTAACGTATCACAAGAACACTAAGAGTCCAAGAAGCACCCATACTATTTACGCGCAAGAAGCCGCCCGAGGCAAGATAGCGAAGCAGGGAATTTTTTCTTTTATGAGGTAATAGTCGAAGACATCGGGCCTAGCGGGAGTGTAGGTCATAGCGTGTTTAAAGTAGCGGAAGACAGGAGCCGAACCCGATAGGCTTAAATTGAACCGAAGCACGGTGGCGCCAAATGCAAAGAGAGTCAGCAAGTCAACAAAAACCATGAGGACACGTCATACGCGTGACAGTGAAACGAAGCAACGAACGAAAGGCGAAAAGGCAAAAAGAATCTCACAAGTCAGGAAAAAAGAAAACGAAGAATAGCAGCAACACAGAGTGAGACTTGGCAAGAGAAATTGGCCAATCGGCGTTACAAATCGCGACGAGATTTGCAGTGGCAGCGCAGCCAAAGCTCGCGGGTAGCTCGCGCAGGGTAGTAACCCCTTCACTCGTTCCTCGTTTCAGGGCATCCCCTTCACTCATTCCTCGTTTCAAAGCAACATAGTAATTCATAGGTCCCAATATTACCAAGTCAACATACAAGGGTCGTTATCATCATCGTCATCATAGTTCACAGTCGTATCCTAGATCCGGATAAACCAATATCCAGCCTGGACGAAAAAAAATCATAAACTAAGACGAGAGTAAAGGTTTAAACTAAACCGCTATTTCGTGCAGAAACAAGCTGAACACAGGTCATGATATATCGATACACCACCACGATGTTCAACTCAGGCATTCATTTAAACGAAGAGGTAGACAGTTTGATGAGAAGGTCAATAGTAAAAAAAGTACTCTTTTGTGCAAGTCAACTCAAAACGAGGACGGGGATTATCATAGACGCGAAAAGAATAGAAAATACTAGAAATTGGAAATAGAAAACTTGAATCGGGGGAAAGGGGGAGAAGCGGGTGTGAAAGAGAAAACAGAGTCAAAGTAGAAGCAGATGATAAAACGCCAATGACCCACGCCGGTGTTGTGTATTGTGCAGGATGGAGACAGTAGATAGAGCAGGCATAAGACAAACACAGCGCAGCGTGAGCGTAAATCGAAGGTCGTTGTGAGAGGGGAAATAGAGAACGAGGATGGGAATGTGACGTGATGCAGAGTGCCGATGCGGGTTTTCGTGAGAAAGCAGAAGAAGGAACGTGTCTAAACCGGACAGGCGTTAAATTGGACCCATATGTGCGCAGAACAGATCTTCAAGGTGGTCAATCAACTTCGTAGACGGGGTGGAAGAGTTCGAGGATGGCGTGTTTTGGTAGGGAGGGAAGTAGGTGGTGGAGCGTATCATGAGCATAGGGAGAGAAGGGAGAGAGATCCTCGTGTTATCGGATGAAACAAGCAGAAAGGGGACCAATGATCTCAATTATTGACCATTAGCCTTCTTCCAACGCAGCAGCTCGGCCAGGCTGGCAAGGCTGCATCCAGTCTGGAGGAACTCGTGTGCCAACAGCTCATCGGCGGTAGCACGGCTGCGGACATCCACGCAAAGACACACGCTGAGGAAGGCCTTGAGCTCCTTGCTCAGCTTCTCCGGCTTCTTCAGACGGGGTGTGCCGTTGGTGGCGATCAGGTAAAGAGCCTTAAGGGGCTCCTCGTTGAGGTATGGGGGCTCAGACTCGATCATCTCAATAGCCATGATACCCAAAGACCAACAGTCGACCTTGGGTCCATACTCCTTCTGCTTGACAACCTCGGGCGCCATCCAGTACGGTGTTCCGACCATGGTGGCACGCTTGCTTTTCGACTCGGTCAACTTGGCACAGAAACCAAAGTCAGTGATCTTGACGTGACCGACTCGGTCGAGCAAGACGTTGTCACTCTTAATATCACGGTGAATAATGTTCTGGCTGTGAAGGTGTGCCAGTCCCTTACAAGTCTGTGGGAGTGTTAGTAAAGTCGTCGACTAGTCAGGCTTTTGTGGGGGAATGTCATACCTCATGACAAATAGTCGCAATCTGGTTCTCGGTAATCACCTGGTTATTGTCAATGACATCTGTCAAAGCACCACCTTCCATAAACTCCATTACAACCCAAAGCTCATTGCTCGACTCCTGCAAGAACGAATCCAAAAAGTTGACAATGTTGGCATGCTGGCTATCCTTCATGACAATAATTTCATTGACAATCAGCTCCTTACGAGGTTGGCTCCGCAAATCCATCTGCTTGATAGCCACCTGGCATCGAGGGCCGTACTGGCGGTACAGCTCGTGTGCGACGGGCGATGTCGCATGCTCCTTGACCCGAGCGACGTAGACGGATCCGGAGGCACCCTGACCAATCTTACGCTGCTTGCTGTACGATTCGTTGGGGTTATCCTTCGACACCACAGACCGCAGACGATCCATAACCTCATTCTCAGACATGGCCGACATGCGGACCTCCTTCTTGCTGCTCGGCTCAGGCTTCTTGGTGAGGGCAGCCTCGGCCTGGCGAACACCATCCGGAACAGCTTGCTGCTTAGTGCCGGTCTGCTTGTTGGCAATGTTGAGTGGCTTCACAGCCTGGACCGGAGCAGGAAGGCGACTCGGGGGAGGCCCTTGCTGGCCCTTGCTGCCATTGGCCTGGGGCTGGCGACTGGACGATGCCTGTGCGCGAGGGTCATTGGGGGCATAGCGAGAGGAAGAACTTTGGGTATCGTCGCGAGAGCTGCTGCCGGCATGAGTGCGGGCAGGACCTTGTCCATAGGGACTCTGCGAAGGAGGAGCCGGCGCAGGCCGTTGAGCCGTAAGCGGCTGACCTCCGGGGACGCGCGCTCCAGAGCCGGGTGCCTGGGGAGCCGGACGACTTGGCTGGTAACGGCTGTTCATCGAGGGATCCGAACTACCGTAACCGCCAATCTCCTGCTTGGCCAATGGAACACGGGTCTGGGGGATGGATGCGTTATATGCGGCATCCTCCTTACGGCGCTGCTCTTCTTCTACACGACGACGCTCTTGCTCTGCCAACTGCTTCATCCGTTCCAGTTGCTGCTGCTGTTCAGCCGCACGGTCAGACTCCGGACCTTGCTGGCCGGGAGAAGATGTGGCAGAACGCATCGAGCTATCCATGGAGCCCTTTGATTGGCCGCTATCGAGACGCTGCAGGGGGCCTGGAGGAGGGGGGCGAGGGGGAGCAATCGAGTTACCCACTGCGTTGCTACCCAGAGGCTTGGGCTGCGCTCCTCCAGGACCACTCATACCAGCATAGTATTGGGGGTTTTGTTCCCTCATCTTGATATCCGAGTAGAACTCGAGGACTTCGATAACAGCCTGGGGGTTCTTCTTGTAATCCTCCTTGGTGATCGCAGACGCGGTCAGCAGCTTCTCCCATTCTGGGGGCAAGCCAACAAACGCGCCAGTCTGCGGATCGAAGCCGACGTGGACTCGGTGGCTGAAGTTGGTCGGGTTGCTGACACCACCCATGCCAGGGCAGCGCTCATAGATCTTATCAATCCACTCGTAGATCTCGTCGTCGGATTTTACCTCGCAGGTAATTGTCTTGGTGGGGACATCGCGGGTAATCATAGCGGTCTTGGAAGCGGCGTCCTTGGGGTTGGCCAGGCGAGTGACCTCGAAGGCCATTTTCGATTCCTCCGATCGTGCGACGGCGGTGACGGTGGAGAGGGGGAATGACAGCACCACCTTGCCAGACTCGCTCTTCAAGAAATCAATCTTGAAGTCGCGCAAGACCAGGTAGCGCTGGTTCCAGGTGGCCAAGAACTTGTCTTCCTTGCAACGCACGTAACCTTCTTTGATGATTTGGAGGCCGCCGCTACCGCCAGTCTGGGCGCGGGCCAAACTGGGGGTGCTGGTGTTCGGGAACAGGGAGAGATTGCCGCCGGGGCCCGGAGTGCTAGGAGAATTGAGCGCCATCTGGCTGAAGGAAGTCGCGACATTATTGTTTGTGGGGAGAGTCAACTTGGGACGATCAGTCGGGGGGCGGGGAGCCGGCCCCGGATTCATGAACTGGTCCGGAGTGTACATGGTGCCACTAGAGAGGCGGAAAGATGATAAGTATAGAGTTCATAAGATGAATAGCGAGAGTTGCATTTGCTCCGAAAAAGAAGGGAGTCGGCGATTAAGTGTTGGCACAGAATGGGAGATGGGGTCAATCACTTACTTGCCGTACGAGGCCATCTTTCAGACACTTTGGGACGCGAAAGAAAGAGGAAAGTGAATTGGGGCGCGCCGAGACCTCCTGAGGCCCCCTCGAAGTTAGCGGCTCCTGTTTTTCCCACAACGGACGAGAAGAGTTAGTTCGTCGTTTAGAAAATTCCGTGCCAGGAACTCGGGAACAGTCAGAACGTGGCAGGGTAGAAAAGGCGTTGATCCGCGAGGAGACACGAGGGCGAGAGATTGAGGCGATGGGAGGGAGGGGCGGGACGGGGGGGAGATGGGGCGGAAGTCGCTTACCTGTTCCTGTTCGGTGGAAGCGCGGCCGACCAGAGCGATGAAAAGGAGCAGTCCTCGCACTGCGAGGATTGGCTCAAAAGATAGACTGCGGAGTGTACGGAGAGAAACAAAAATCCACGAGAGAGAAAAGAATTGGAGATGATTGAGATTGGTGGTGGGGGGGGGGGGGGGGGGGAGAAAAGAGGAGGATTAAGGGGGGGGGGTGTGGTTAGTGGAAGAGAGAGAGACGGCGGTGACTTGGAGAATGGAAGGACTGGAGGAATGGAACTTTTGAAGCGGGAGATCTCCTCAGATCGAACGATTGCTGTTTTCCGTACTCCCGCCCAGTTATACTCCTACTATATAGAATTCTCGAATTTCTCGACATCGTAGCTGATACTACCACAACCCCTGGATCCCAAGTTTCAAATGGTCGCGACCCTGAGGTTCAATCTATGGAAAACGGCGTTGAACCAATCAACGGGCTCGCTGGGAATGGAGGGGCGCGGGATCCACGGCTCGTGTTGGGTTCTGGAAGGCCTGGATTAGAAGGTCCTGGATTAGAAGGTCAAAGAACGTAAGTATGGTCTATAGTAACATAGTTATATCTAAAGGCACTCTAGGTAGTCAGATGAATAGGACAAGAGTGGAAGTCACATACTATAACCTACCATATGCTTGTACTCGAAGGAACTATACTCGACAAGCTACTATGTAGTATATACTCCTATCATTATTCTCCACCATCAAGACAGAGGGCTTATGAATCTTGTTTCACTGTACAACTTTAACTTATTTCTTCCCTTAAGATGTTAATTTCTGTACTAAACTACGGAGTAGTTAAGTGGAAGTTTGAACTCGCCCCGATCTAGTCTATCATTCCACCCTTGCTCCTGCTCAACTTAATCGTCACGTCAACATACTGTTTCCCGATCTGTGCAACAAACATCCCTAGAGTCCAGGTTAGCCCCGTTTGGTGTGACTCTCTTTGTTTACTCTGGCGACAGTCTAGACTGGCGACGGTATTTCATCATAGGTTGAGGTACTGTCTAGCTATTCAGTTTCTCGAAGTATACGAAGATAAACCTATTCATTATGCGACCCTCTACTAGCTATTATATTAGAATTCATACCCTGTGCGGGACAACACGGCATAGTAATAAAAGAAAAAGGTTCGAAGACAATATCGATATACGAAGGTGGCTCCATCTGTGAGGGTCTACGAAGTACACTTGGTTAATATGCCGAGGTTCTTGAAAGCTACCCAATAAATAGGGGCGAACTCATACTTCTTATCACAAAGGAGCCTTTTGAATGACAACAAAGGCAATTTTTCTGCTTTCTTATCACTAAATGGTAAAATGATATCGTTCATGCCAGTTATTCGCCTTGGCGACATAGTAAGCTTTGTCTCTACCCAAAATCAGTATAGCCCTTTTAGTCCTCTTAGCCCCGAGCAGGGGGTATAACTACGCCACGGAGCACCTTCATTCCATTTAAAAGCCACTCCCCACTTCAGGATCAATCATTTCCTCCCTGGTACTTTTATTAGGCAAAAATAGGCGCGTCTGGCTTGTACAAGCGATAAGCGATCGGTGGTTGAGCCCTTGCTAAGCCGATCTTGTGATGCGGGGGGAGGATGTGGAACGGGCAGGGATCTCGAGACATAAGCGTCGGATTGCACTCATAATGCTAGAAGCTTGGGTGGGCTGTGATAAGGATATCTACAGTAGCCATGCCCTCGGCGCTGCCCAACCATTTACACGTGTTTACGTATACGAGCAAGAAAGAAGCAAACTGGGGCTCCGCCAGGCCAAGCCCCACAATGAGCTCCGGCTCTGACGTTATGAGCTGCCTGCGAACGGTCCACGAGACTCAGCCCAGATCATCCCACTCTCCCAGTCCAGCACTTTTCCAAGAACCTATGGAGCTTCAATAACCACCGCTCTTGACTCTATCTCCCATTTCTATCCCTCCCTCCCTTGTCTGTCCTACTTTGTGACCGCTTGTCTTATCCAGAACAAAGCCAGTCACCGCCCGCTCCGTCGATCATCCGCCGCATCCCGCTAAGCATCAACGACACAATCCCTGGTGGACTGGACTCTACAGCTCCCTGGAGTTGCTCCTTAGCTCTCCAGCTCTCTTCTCTATTCGTACTTCAGGTCCTCCCGACCTCAGTCCCACCGGCGACCGACTACCTCCCTTCTCTCCCAGTCATTCTACCATCATGAGTGAAGCCGAGGTTCGCCAGCGCAAGCCTCTCCCCCACCAGGATACGACTGAGCTCCAAAATCACTCCACGAAACCCCCCGTCGAGCCACGCCTTAAACATGGCATCCCCATGCAAATCGCCCGCTCCCTGGCCATGGCTGCCTGGTTCGACTGCTGTTGCGTGGTCATCTTCGTCACCCAGCTTGTCGGTGCCCCACTGTACTTGATCAACAAGGATTGGTACTACACGTACATGGCCTATACAAAACAGAACTTTGGTCTGGTTATCACCGCTCTCACAGAGTATGGCTGTCCAACTCTGTTCCGGGTTAGTGGAGACGAGAGCGTTCGGGGTCAGTTGCATCTATCCGAGGATGGGATGATACAGACACAATTCCCAGAGCGGATGGTCCTGATCGCCAACCACCAGGTATATACCGACTGGATATATCTGTGGTGGATCGCTTATACGAATGTCATGCACGGCCGTATCTTTATCATTTTGAAAGAATCGCTCAAGTATATCCCCGTCATGGGCCAGGGCATGATGTTCTACGGGTTTATCTTTATGGCCCGGAAGTGGCAGTCTGATAAGCCCCGTCTTCAACATCGTTTAGAGAAACTGAAGACGAAACTTTCGGGTTCCAAGTCTGGCAAGTCGCAGTTTGACCCTATGTGGCTGTTGATCTTTCCCGAGGGCACAAATTTGTCACTTAATACCAAGCGCCGGAGTGATGAGTTTGGAGCGAAGCAGGGGTATCCGTCGTTTAAGCATATGATTTTGCCTCGCTCGACGGGTCTGTTCTTTTGTCTGCAGCAGTTACGTGGAACTGTGGAGTATGTGTACGACAGCACGATTGCCTATGAGGGCCCACCGTATGTTTCCTGCTTCCCAAAAAGCTCCTCACAATTCGCTCATTGATCACTAACCTAAACTCTTATTTGATTTACAGAAAGGGGAGCTACCCTGATAAATACTTTACCCTCCGCTCTACGTACGTGCGAGGCCGGCCACCAACCTCGGTCAACATGCACTGGCGACGCTTCGCCGTTGCGGACATCCCCCTCGACGACCAAAAGGAATTTGATGAATGGCTGCGTGCTCGCTGGGCTGAAAAGGACAAGCTCATGGATGAATACTTTGAAACTGGGCGGTTCCCCTCCAACCTGGGCGGCTCCATCGAGGCCAAGAATGCAACCGAGGAGCAGAAAGTGGCCATTGATAATGGTTATGTAGAGTCCTACGTTCGGTTGCACCATTGGGCCGAGATTATTCAGATCTTCATTGTCTTGCTTGGTCTTGCATTTATTTGCAGGTTTTTCTGCACATGGTGTCGATAGTCTTTTTGGGATTTTGGAGTTTGGAGAGCCACTCCTCTCTGTCTTTGGTCGGGTTGAGCATGATACGATGATAAGACTTGGATAACAGCTTGACATATAGCTTCCTACATGAATATTGAACGAAATACATAAATTATGATCTGCTTCTTTCAGAGTCATTCTAAGTTGTTGTTTTATATCAGTAGCTATCAAGAGTGTAGTTATGCTCAAGTAGCGAGGCACTACGTTTGGAGCCATTGTTTGGTGTGGCACTGTGGCGGTGCAACCAGCACCAGCCACCCTCCGAGCCTCCAATTCTCAACTGACCAGCACCTTGAACCGAAGCTCCTCCGATTCACTTGCGCGTTGATTCCGGCAACCCGCCATTCAACTCTCAAGTGAACCGGCGCAAAAGATCATCCCTTCAATCCCGTCCGCTAAAGGGTCCATCTCACTTGACCATGAGTTAAGAGATCGTCCCTCCATACACAACCCTTTCAATCCTCCCAGTCGCAATCCCGCATCCTCGAGAAAGAGAAACGAACCACCTTCTCTCCTCACCCTTCTCCTTCCCACTCCCTGCAATTAATCTGCCCGGTGCACTATCCCCGCCGCCATGGCACCTCTCGAGAATGGCCATGCCAATGGCTTGAACGGCGAGACTACCACGACCACCTCCCTCCGCTTCTCCGACATCCCCGACGCCATCGACATCCCGGCCTCCAGTTTCGACAGCGAAGTCGAAGTCAGTCTCCTCGATCTCCCAGAAGACCCGACCGAACTGTGCACACTGCTCGAGAATGAGCGCGCCGCCAAGAACTTCTGGGTCATCATTGCTCTGGCCTACGCCAAGCGAAAACAACTCGACCATGCGCTTGACATCCTACAAAAGGGCCTCTCCTCCGTCGCCCACGGCGCGACAAAGGAGAAACTCGGACTCCTGGGCTGGATCTGCTGGCTGCTCATGCTGAAGAGTCGACAGGCGCCGCGTGTCGCGCCGGAGGGCGAGCTGTACACCGAAGCAAAGACGAAAGATTTCTACCTGCAGCAGGCCACGTCAATTCTCAACGAGGCCTCTCGCTTGAACCCGGCCTACCCGCCTCTGTTCCTGGCTCGCGGTGTCTTGTGTCTTCTCCGTGCATCGTTGCATCCGCCTCGCGCGGTGCGCCCTGGTACGGTCGACACGTCTGACCGTGTGGAATCGCTGCGGCAGGCGCTGAAATGTTTCGATGAGTCTTCCAAGGCTTTTGGTGGGCGGAATATTATGGCTATTCTGGGTCGCGCGCGTGCGCTGTACATGCTGGGGCGATATGCGGATGCCCTGGCTGATTACCAGAAGGTCCTGATGCAGGTGCCGAACTTGACAGATCCCGATCCCCGAATTGGTTTGGGTTGTTGTTTGTGGCAGCTGGGTTTCAAGGATCAGGCCAAGGTTGCTTGGGAGCGTTCGCTGGCTCTGGTATGTTGTAGCACCTCGCACTCTTGTGTTCCTAAGCTAACCACACGTCTCTACGGCAGAACCCCGATTCCAAGGTTGCCAACGTCCTTCTCGCCGTTTACTACCTCCACGACAGCTCCCGTCGCTCGACCACTGACCCCAAGTTCGGATCTTTGTATAAGATGGCCATGACGCAATACACACAAAAAGCATTCAAGTTGGATAAGGAATACCCCATGACCTGTGCCTTGTTCGGTGGCTACTTCCTCCTCCGCAAGGCATACCCCACGGTCGAGACCTTGGCTCGCAAGGCCATTGAGCACACGGACGTCATGCCCATTGCTAGTGATGGCTGGTATCTCCTCGGACGGAAATCACACTACGAGGGGGATGTCGCACGCGCAACAGAGTTCTACAATCGCTCCGACCAGGCTCGTGGTGGCGGCGACAAGGGCTATCTCCCGGCCAAATTCGGTGCTGTGCAGATGCAGGTTACGAACAAAGACTTGGACGGTGCCAAGTTCAAGCTCGAGAAGATCGTACAGAGCTCCAAGAACGCCGAGGCGATGATGTTGCTCGGTGCTCTCCACGCGGAGGAAGTCTTCGCCGCACAACGCTCTGGTAGCAAGGAAGACAAATCCAACGAAAGCAAGCGGGCTATCACGCTCCTCGAGTCTGTGCGTTCGATGTGGAAGGACGAGAAGCAAATGCTCACACCGGATGAATCAGTGCTGGTCTATCTGGCTCGGCTTTATGAGAGCTCGGCACCCGAGAAGAGCATGCAGTGCTTGACGCAGCTGGAGGAGTTGCAGATTGCCAGCATTCCCGAGAGTGAGCGGCCGGATATCGAGGATGACAATCAGTTGAAGTCTGCTCTGCGGGAGAGTCTTCCCCCTCAGCTTCTCAACAACATGGGCTGCTTCTTGTACCAGAGTGAGAAGATTGCTTTGGCACGTGGCATGTTCCAGTCTGCTTTGAACGCTTGTGTACAGTCTTCAGAGCGGGAAGGTGGTACCGATAATGACGCGCTTGTTACCACGATCAGCTATAACTTGGGTCGGACGTACGAGGCTGCTGATATGTGGGATGAGGCCAAGAAGGTGTACGAGGGTCTGCTCGAGCGCCACAGTGATTACACCGAGGCTAGTGCTCGTCTGACATACATTGCCCTGCGCCAGAGTCCCACCGACGAAGGTCCGAAGAAGATTGCCAAGCTGTACGAAAACGACTCTTCTAACCTGGAGGTCCGCTCTCTCTTCGGTTGGTATCTCAGCAAGTCGAAGAAGCGAGTCTCAAACATCAATGAAGACCCCGAACAGCGCCACTACAAGCACACTCTGCAATATCACGATAAGCATGACCGGTACGCCCTGACCGGCATGGGTAACGTCCACCTTCTCGTGGCTCGTGACATGCGCCGCGACACCGACCAGGAGAAGGAGAAGCGCCGCAAGATGTACCAACGTGCCGTCGAGTTCTTCGACAAGGCTCTACAGCTGGACCCAAAGAATGCCTACGCCGCCCAGGGTGTCGCCATCGCTCTGATCGACGATAAGAAAGACCACAGCAGCGCTGTGCAGATTCTCGCCCGTGTCCGCGACACCATCAAGGATCCCAGTGTCTATCTGAATCTCGGCCACGTCTACGCCGAGCTCCGCCAATACTCGCGCTCAATCGAGCACTACGAAGCCGCGCTGGCCAAGGACCGTGCCCGCGACGTGCAAATTCTCGCTTGCCTGGGCCGTGTCTGGCAACTAAAAGCCAAACAAGAAGGCAGCCTGCAATCCATGAAAACAGCCCTGGAATACGCCCAGCGCGCCCACGCCGTCTCCCCAGACGCCCTCCACCTCCAATTCAACGTCGCCTTTGTGCAGAACCAAATCGCCTCGCTAGCATACGGCCTCGCCCCGACGCAAAAGACCCTTCAAGACGTCGAAGAAGCCGCCGAAGGTCTCAAAGAAGCCATCGACACCTTCGACCGTCTATCCAAGGAGAAGAGCCCGCCCTACCCAGCCAGCGCCCTCGAACAGCGCGCCAACATGGGCCGCACAATCGCCAAGCAACTCGACCGAGCCCTGCAAAGCCAGAAGGAATACGAAGAGAAGAACGCGACCAAACTGCGTGAAGCCCGCGAAGCCCGCGCCGCAGCTATCGCCGCCCGCGAGGAACAAGTCCGCAAAGCAGAAGAAGTCGAAGCCGAGCGCAAGCGCAAGATCGCCGCCGAACGCGCCCAAATGGTCGAAGAAGCACAGCGTCACGCCGCACAACGCGCAGAGCGAGAACGTGCCCGTGAAGAAGCCGAGTTAACCGACGGTAGCGACGGCGAGCGCGTCAAGCGGAAGAAGAAGGTTGGCAAGCGCAAGAAGAAGGACGACTTTGTCGCGGCTGATGACGAGGACGCTGGTACCGGTGGTGGCAGTGACGCGGGGATTAGCGAGAGCGAAGCCGCACCGAAGAAGAAGCGTCGTCTTGAGAGGAGGAGTGGCGGCAAGGCGTCGAGTAAATTCAAGAGTTCGGAGGTTGTTGTTGACTCGGATGAAGATGATGAGGAGGGTGTTGCCGCGTCGCCGAAGGGTGATGACGATGACGAGGATCTTTTCGGTGGTGAGGAGGGGGAGCGTGGTCAGGAGGAAGAAGCTGCGCCGCGGAGACGTGGGAAGGCTTCTCGTCGGATTGAGGATGATGATGATGACGAGGAGGAAGAGGAGGTTGTTGAAAAGGATGCTCCCGCTGCTGCTGGCGAGGGTGACGATGATGATCTCTTTGGTGACAATATGGAGGAGGATTGAGTTTGTTGAGATTGGGATTGAACATTGTTTTTTTTACTTCTATCCATGTTTTTTTACATACCTCTGGCGTTGGCAAGATATTTTAAAGCCTTTTATTACATTCAACAAAGCTGTCACGGTAAATACTTAAGCCTACTTTTCTGATACTTGAAGAGATCTGAACCCGTCAACCGTAGCAGCGATATACGACTTCTGTTCCACGACCAGAGGCACTCGTGACAACCGAGTGACAGCAAGAAGTCCGACTAGTCCTCCTCGGTATCGATATTCTACCCCAAATCTTCAACCCGGTCTCCCGTGTCAAGACCTGCCCTAGTCAAACATTGCAGTACAACAAGGATCCCTATTCCACAAGGACCCCAAAGAATTGCCTTTCCTTCAATTTCGCCATTCCAAGCACTACCCAAACAGCTCACCACATCAACAGAATCAATAATTATGCCAACCAGCAAGATATGCTTGAGATCTCTGCCAAACTGACTGGACAAGCTTGTATCAGATTTCGATAGTGCTCTTGAGAAACTCGACGAAACGCTCCATAGAAGGGCGCCGAGTGCTAGATCTCGAATACCGAATAGTCGAGCGAGGACGTTGGTTTCTGGAGGTAGGGCTATGCCGAAGAATTTTCCTCCAGTTTGCGGGACGAAGAGCATGATAATGCCCACGAGGCTTCGGGTAATAGAAACGAAGGTGATGGAAGAGTTGGCTTTGAGGGAGAGTGTGTTAGGAGGCATTTTTATTGGTGCGAGATATTGTGATGGAATTCATAAAATGGGAGCATGAGCTGATGCTTTAGTAGAAGAAGACGGAAATTTGGCAACATGCGGGACTGCGATATGCCAGATATTTATATCTGCTGTGGTATCTTAAATTTTACCATGTTTAAATGTGGAGAACTTCTCTGGTTGATTAAGCTCAGATTGTGGTCATTGATTGGATGAAGTGTCAAGCCTTGCCTGGTAGCATAACGTTATGTTCAAGACTTGATTGACGCCACGGTATAATGCGCAATTTCTGCCTTGAGGATCGTCCAGCACTCTAGCTTTTCAAATTTATCGGGAATTATGAGAACTTTTATCACCATATTGCAGTTCATCTCCCACAATAGAAAGTCGAGAACAATCAGCGCCTCTCACGATCCCTGCTGTGGGTGACGCAGACCCTACACGGGTCTTGAATGTTCTAGCTTAGCGCAGATACCGTATTAACCCCTGCTTCATCGACACTTTTTATCCAATGGCAGCAAGAAGTGTGATGACAAGGGCAACGTAATTGAGAAAGACTAGCCATGTTGAAAAAGAGCACTCGACCTGGTCTCTCTCCTCCGCTCCCCGCACATTTATCAGCCAGCACGACGGCAATGAATTTCTGTTAGCTAGTGCCCCTTCTATAAATGAGTGTCATATAATACTAGACGATATCCGAACGCGCGAGTAGATGAGAGTAGCAGCCTTGTGGGTATTCAAGGCTTTGTGTTCACCACCATGAGCACGGGTGCAATTATGATTCACCTTTGGTAAATAGCCATCTCGTAGGGCATAGACGGCAGAAGGGACCTTGCTCGGCTCTGGAGCCACAACTCAGATATAGAGATGATAAGTGGGATAGAAAGGACTTCAACCAATTGATTCCATAATCCATATTGGCGGGGCCTTGGAGTAGTTTCGCTGACATATAACCAATATTATTCTTCTCCCAAATTGCCGTGCCTAGCGTGTAGTTCATCCCACGCCAGCGGGGATGGAGACTCAAGCGAAATTTTAGATACATATAGCGCCTTGAAGTTGCATCACCCACAGGCTAGATATGATTGATGAAGAAGCCAGTAGAATGCTCCCGTCCCACCGAATTTAAATACTCCTTCTTTTCTTCTCACGTTTATTCAGTCTGCCCTTCTCCAATGAATAACAGAACCAAGTGATCAAAAGCTGGCCCGAAAAAATGTATACCTGCGGGGCTATCCGAGCCCCATTGTAGAATTCAGGATCAACCCAAGTGGTCCCAGGGTACAAGATCGCAGACAGACCGGCGATGGTAGTCAAGGAACCGACACAGGCGGCAACGAAAAGGCTGTCTTTTGCAGCCGCAAGCGAGGGATTATGTCGGCAAAGGAGGTAGATCGCTAAGGCTGCAGCCAGCGCGCCAAAAGACATACTCTGGCCATTGTGAAATTTGGCATGCGGCGGCCAGCGGGGATTGAAAAGATGCGACTCGCTGCAGTCAGCGAAATAGGCCGCAGATGCAAAGAGAACGTTGTTTATGACCATGATGCCACGGGGGGTTGATTCGAAGAAAGATGGCATGTTGAAAGAGCTTGGCTCGCAATTTGAAGCGTGAGGTGGATTGCAGAATTGAGATTTCGCACGTTGCTGTCACTTTGGGATGTTCCGCCAACTAGCGACTTTTAAGGATGACCTAAAGACCACCTAATTTTCGCAAATGAAACCGCCTTTGGGCTATATCGCTTTGAATCCTGTGCCGGAAGAAGCAGCCGATCTTTCAAGATGCGGATGTAGCGGAAGTGGTGGTGGGGGCGGCTCAACGTAACGACCCACGGCAGATATGACGGCACACAAGCCAGAAGGGTTCAACGTGTGTTGTATGTTGCGATCTTTTGGTCACCACAACTATCCAAGCGTGGAGATCACGGTCCACGAATTACAACTAAAGTCCATTGGCGCAGATTCTGCGTTAGAGCTCGCTCGAACTAGAAATTTGTCAAATATCGTGCATGAGGCCAGTGCGCTGCGCTAATAAATCTGCAGCCCTCGAAGAGGAAGTGCGACCCCTACCGCTAGAAGCTCAACGTCAGCTTGGCGATTCACGAACTCGACCCTTGTTTGTCGCGCCTCCAACCACCTGCAGGGCTGATTGGCTCTGTCCAGTATTTGTCTATCGATCGTAGCCGCCAGTTGGCGAATTTGAGCACTATGCCTTGCCAAAATATCCCACAGGTTATAATAAGTCTTATGTTACCTCTTGCCATGTTACTGGCACTACATAGTCCTTGCTCTCCGCCAGTTTCTTTCCCCTCGCCGATATGGCTCTTCCCCGTGGTGACCACTTTTACCCTACCACTACCTATAGTGGAAGCAGTAAGAGGTGGTCATCTCCCATATGACACTACTGATCTGATCACTGAGATGGAGCCTGATCTTCCTCTATAGAAGCGGCGGTAGCTGAGATAGGAAACCATATCTGCCAGACATCATCCTGTCTATATTAGTGCACATACTACTGCAATTTTGAGTAAGTCACTTGATTGCTTTAGGCAGGCTTTTGGATATCTTGATATAACTACTGGCACCCCAACCGATTACTAACAATGTGCGTGGTGTTTGGCAGATCAGTTAATTCTATAGACAGCTTCACATTAATACGGCAGAATTTATCATCAATGTCATGATAATCAAGATGTATCCCACCACGGGAGTTAAGACATTTACGCTGCACAAAGTCCTAAGTAGCGCCGTCTTGCCGAGGTATCTTCTCAGCTTATTTCGAGTCACAATCCAGTCAATAAGGAAGGGAATAAGAATGTGCGCCCAAACAAAACAGAAAGCTATACCAGATAACAGACGAATGTATACCCACCAAATCAGATCTTCAGACAAGATGCGTGCGACAGAGTCACGGAGACCAGTCCAGGTAAGTACAAAGCCTGCTACAACATATTTGAAGAAACAGATCAGAATATTACATCCTTTGAGGGATGCTGAGTGATGATAGTAATTTTGATCTGGGTCAAATACGGGAGAACCCTGTTATTGTGATGCCTCAACCGCACACTCGTGTGATCGACTGGGTTCGGCCGAGAACACACACTCAGGCTAGGACCATGGTTGTCTGGGCGGGATGAATCCAGCGTTGGGTCATATGCGAGAAGATATTGTAGAACAATTGTGATAGCCACAAGGCCAGCTGTAGCAGTATAGCCGATGAGAACCTATATTTACTCTATGTCAATTGTGACAATTTTTAATGTGGTCAGAAAGCTTACCCCGGTTCCGGTAATATCAGGATCAAATATGATATCTTCAGGTTGCGTAGAGCAATTGCGCTGCGGAGACATTGCGGTACAGGAATTGCTGGGAAAGAGTCGAATGCCGACGTAGGGAGCCCCGGATATCTGTTCGAGATATTATGTATAGGGTTGGCGTCATTGGGAGTTCTAACTAGCAGTGATTTCTGCTGCAAGGAGCAGGTAGCCATGCGCCCGGTAGTTGGACTCCAGTCTGCCTGGACCGCTTGTTATGAGATGCTGTGCCACCTCATAACCTGGATGTGTGCGTCTGGGGGAAATACCTCGACCAGCCAACGCCCCGTAGCCAACATCCACAACCAATAAGGATATCTTTTGGCCTTCTTTGGTCAGTCGCTGCCTCTTCGGGTTATGTTCCCAGTCATATTTTAAATAATTAACAACCAACCTGCTTGTAGTTATTGAGTGCGAGCTTTCCTCCTACCCCCTAATCTCAAACGAGATTTTAAGCCTCACCCGCCCTGCCACGAGGCCCTATAGTACATAGAACCACTACGCTTCACCTTAAGCTCATAAACATGATCATCGTTCCTTATCACTCCAACCAATCACTCACACCAGCCAGCGCCACCGCTCGCTTGGCCTACCCAGATTCTTCTCAGTAGTATACATGTCCAAGCCGAGGCGTCAGAACCCTTGTCCCTGCGCAGAACCTTCCACCGCAGCAGCTGTATGGCGAGCGACAATAGAATACAGACCCTTCTCTACCACCTAGCCTGTGTGTACAGAGCGCCGAGATGGTGGACCTGCAAGATCAGGAACGGACTGAGTCGATCTCAGACGCCCAGATTTACAGGAGTGATTGACCGTAGCGCCCGGCTTTGTCGATCTTCGTCAGCATGCAGAACTCCCACTTGGCTCCCAGTATGACATTTTTAGCCATCTCTCTAAGAGGCCCTCTACCATGCAAGCTGACTGGTAGCCTCAGGTCGATATCAACTGCTCCTTAAGTCTTGTTCGAGCATTACACACGAAATCTGCATACGATCCGATCCGACCAAAGCTCAGGTTTCATATCACAATAATAATAATTAATAGTGCCAGGCGGCATGCCGGGCGTGTTTTCTGGCGTAAAACTGCTTACTTGCAGAGTGTAGCCCACTTGATATAATGGTGCGAGTTGGAATATGATCACGAGTAGCTGTTCACTCCTTCGCTGAACGACGATTTGACGCCCCAAGTGATACAGATTTCGAATGAGGTGCTCGAAAACCCCCGCCAGAGCATACAAAATAATCTAGAAAGGACACAAGCAGAAAAAGAAAAGCCTGGCTTAATAAAGCTGTATATCGTAAACGCCAGAAGGTGTATCTCAAGAGAATAGCTTGTATTATGCTTGTGTGTAAACGACTTCAATATCGAATTCGGCCAGCGTTTCGTTAACTCAGTCAATATCTCTCGACATTTACTGCTACCCTGCTCACCGTTTCGAATATCCATCGATAATTGCCGTTTGTAATTCTGTCTCGAGTCCCGATATAGTGCCCCTAATATCGCTAGCTGTACTTCTAGTGATTCTACTGCCAGTAACTGGAGCTTTTACTTGATAGAGGTAAATGTAGATTATAACGAACCAGGGCCGGTGATTTATTGATTATTTTCTGCAAGAGGATATACGATCAGGTATTAGATCTCCCGCTGGCGTATACCTAAGAAACTTTAGAATATGGCGACGAAATCTCCTTAGTTATAGGATCTTCCCTTGAGCCATCGAGGCATAAAGGCCTACGTCGGTGATCTCCTATAAAATCTTTCCTCTATTTGATGTGCCGGTTGTTCGCAGGACCATTCCTTCGTTGGCCCATATAGAGCCTTTCCTGTTTTCCTTCTTGTTCTCTTGTTAGACGCAATCGATCTCTTTTGCTTTTTTTTGCTTCCTTGTGCTGGCAATTCTACCCCCATCACATGGGGATGATGGTAATAATATTCTGCTATTTAGAAACCTAGATCTTGTCTCAATAACCACCTTCCACCTCCCTGCTTTACTGGTGAATTAGTCAACACCGTCCTTTCTACATAAAGGCCTTACTCGGACTCAGACCTCTTCTCCGATTCTACCTCTCGATAACCCCACTCCCCCATTAACTGATCTTACCTATGTATATACAAATATACTTCTATAAGCAAGGTATACCGTCTCTCTCGACCTCTGTCTCCAGAGAGGTAGTAAGACACAGAAATCGCCAATTCTCTCTAGTAAGGTTAGAAGGAATATTAAGTCGTTTTCTGCAATTATTATATTTCGTACCGTGTGCCTTCGAGGGCCTGTAGGTAGAATAAATTCACTAGAATTTGCGGCTCGTAGTTATCCTTACAAGCGTGGTGTAGTTTTAAGCATGAGCCTCAAAACGAACGATCCGATTTAACGGCCAATTGTATGGCTATAGCGGATTATCTAGGCGCATCACACTTCTGGCTGTGTAGAGATACTAATAAATCAGATCTAGCAAGCAGCTATCAAGTAGAAAGCGCGAGGTAAGTAAAGGATCTACGCATGGCTCATATTCTAGCCTCTTTTGTTAGGTTCGAAGATGCGAGCGATTTTATGCAGGGGTAGAGCTCTTCTGTGACTTCAGACTAATCGAGAGTCAAGCCTGCTCTATGACAGTTTAAGGCGATGGGCAGAGGTGAATTTAGGATAGGTGGATAATTAGGTTAAAAAAGAAAAGGCTGATATGCTCTTAGAGCATTCTAGCGCTGTTCTGGTTCTTTCCATCTCTTTCTTCCTATAAGACTCAATACCTTGTCAATTACCTCGATCGCTTATTCTTAGCTTCCTTAGCTCGTCGTTAGACACGTTACCATAGCTTAAAAATACAATCAAATTGTTTTCAACACGCTACTCCTCACGGAAAATATCCCCTTCCTCCGCGTGTAAGATCCCGCGACGCGTCCGAAGTATTGTAAACACAGGACCATTTCCAGCTTACACAGATCGTACCAGTGTCCATCAATCCCATAAAACGCCTCTCGATATCAATCAAAATCAAGATAATTTGGTAACACAACATCCAAGATCTAATTGATTGATGTAGTATCCCTCCTGCACAGCATTCCTCCAACCCCCGCCACTTCACTTCGCTGCCCCTCGCCTTCTCTACAATCAACGGGGGGCAACACTATATTTCCTCTGAATCCAACTCGGCCCCAACAGGTCAGCCAGTGCCAATTGAGCTGAAAGCTGACAACTGACTCGAAAAAGAATAGCTCTGAGCGGGAGCACAGCTAAGCTGACGCTATTAATTTCCGGCTCCTGCCTCGGATATTTTACGTGTGTACAGTATTTGTCCGGCTCGTGGGTCTCTAAGGCTAGGGCTACTCCTGTACTGTAAGGATGCTCATGCGAGGGGCAGCTGCGCCCGGTCGGTTGGCCTGGGTCCAACTAATGTAACTGTGCGGTGCGGGCGTACTCTAGGTGCATCGTAGATGCAGGTGTAATGTACTTTTGTTCTTGTGGCTCTAGGTCCGAGTGTACGCCAAGCTAGTTAGCTTCAGGACGGGGAGGGGCGGGTGAGATACAGCAACGATACGCTCCGAGACTGGGCTACTTACAGCCACTAAGAGCACGCAGGATCGGGATCTAGATGCAGGTCCCATCGTGCAGGCGGCGCCGTGCATTGCATTGCAGCGCAGCGAGTTGGTGCACCGTGTGTCAGCGTTGGATTATGTTGGGGGCTGAGACGGGGAATTTTTCTCTTGTGGGGATGATGAGAATTTGAGGGGAAATCTTTAGTGGTGAGATCTTGTGCATATGCTGTAGTGGGACATTGAATGCGCTCCTATGAGTTCTAGATGTCTTGTCATGCGAGTCATGGATTTACCTGAAGACTTGAGAGCTTATATCAGCTCAGATGCTATGCATCTTAGTGGGATGTCTCGCCTGCATGTTCCAAGTTGGAATTTGAATGTCTTGAGCTGTTGTATTTGTGCTCTGTTAATTACCGTACAACTCGAAGTCTAGTATGTATTATATTGAATTTATTACAATAGATGTTATTAGGGCTAGAGAAACCATTTAATCGAGTTTTCTCACAATGTTTGTTCAATAACTCTGTGCCTGAACGGGAATATACATCCCCGTAAATGTTCTATCACACCTCGTACATCTCCCGATCGCGCGACCATGCAGATTCCCGTCTTAGATTAGTATCCGTGGAATGAAAATATCCAAATCAAGCCTCAAGTCAAATATTCAGCTTATTGTACCTTTACCATGGCGAGTAAAAAGCTCCATATAATTGAGCGCCTGTGTTGCAACTCTAATGGATGATCCTTCCTTCATCTAGTAAGAGGGAGCCGCATATGGAAATTTCGCAGAGCCGCACGAACATGACTATGTACTATCATCGGGAAAACCTAGTACGGAACTCAGCAAAGGATGAATTTCTCAAATAGAACACATATTTTATCCATGGTGAAACAATTAACGATAAGAATCTCCCTTAGAGCACAAACTCACACTGTGCGACACAGCTGTCCTTGGTTGCGGAAAGACTAACTTCCATGTCCTTGGAATGCGTCATTCTGCCAGGGCAGAATGCTACGCTGGCGACCCAGTCCCACGGAACTGAGAGGTACAGCCCGACATGAGTGTATGATGTATGGCTTACATGATAGTAGGTAGTACATGCGATGGAATCAATTTCAGCGCTGAGCTAAGCGTCCGATGGAGACTTCCATAATTAACAACCCTACTTAGAAGGGAAAAAAGTACTGGAACCCAAGGGACAATCTCATTTTGAAAGGTATGGAAGACCGTGCAGAGACACGAGAATATGAAAGGGGAGAATTTAACAGAACTCTTAGCCAGTTAAGCTTAATGAGGGCGGGTCTTGGCACCTGAGCGTGAGTTTAAAATGGCTTGACAGTGGTTATATTCCAGACCATAAGAGGCGCCTCTGTAGCTCTATTTTGTTGACTTGCGTATTAGATTAATCTTGAGCATATAGAACATATTGGCTCGGCTATGTTTCAGTTCCAGGTTTAACGGGTATCATTGCATCTCATTTTCTACCATCTCATCTTCTCGTACGTGACGTTCCATCGGCCCCCCGATTCGGTAACCCGAACAGCTTCCAGATTATGACATCAGTCATAGAGTTACCAATCCAAAGTTCACCCTTCGGTATTGACTTGAATAGCCAGAGATCGTCGATGAAGTGCGCTTTCATCGCTGTCCTAGGCAGGCCCGCCTCCACTGCCGTTGATACCTCACCCCTTCCTCTTACTGCGAAGCTTTCTCTCGAGAATGAACAGAGCTTGACGTAGCCGACTTATTCAGTATGCAGTAGAGCACGTTAAATTTACGGATCCAGGTTCACAGCTGTACCTGTTTGCATGCTGGATTGTCTGGTTCCTGTTGGTAGGCAGTTGTTAATTAAGGTCCAAGACCTGCGTGGTTTTCCGCATGCCTGTGTCTCATTCACCTGATTGCGCTTTTACTTTCGCCTAAATTTTTAGTAAGTAAATCGACAAAATAAAACATATTGTCTATCAGTATCAAGCAATACTAGAAGGCTGACATCATTGAAGTCTCGACCATTCTCGCCCGTCATCATCATGCACCGAAGCATCATACTTGCCCTTCTGGCCGCGGCCGCCGTCCAAGCCACACCCCTCAACCTCTACTCTCGTCCCGAGAATGACCTGATCGGTGATACTGGTGTCTCTGCCGCCGCTCACGGTGATGACAGTACCATTAGCGTGAGACTTGCTAAGCGCTCCGCGGAAACCTCGATTAACAACGACCTCGATTTGGGCCTTATCGCCCGCAAAAATGGTAAGCAGAGATGACTGTTCTTTTTGGGGGTCCTTTTGTGCTGATGGAATTGACATAGATGACGTTGATGTGAAAGAATCTCAGCAGGATGAAGAGCTTATTGGTCCTTTCGATATTGATGGCATCTTGCCTGTTAATGTTGTCAATATCTAAAGCCAGAATATTTGCCACGTAATATGTTCTCCTCTTAGGGAGCGGCGTATATGACTTTCTTTTTTGCGGGCTTGATGGGGATAATTATTTGAATACCTGGCCCACTGGTTTCTGCAGTGGTATGCTGGAAATTACCGTCTTTCGTGTTGTCATCTTCTATTGAGCTCTGAGATTTTTTGATCATACCGACAATTCAGAACAACGAGTGCGAAAGTCAACCGAGAGAAAACGAAGTAATAGAAGTAAAAGGGCAAAATCTACATACAGCCGATGGGTCCCAACGAGCGTCATTATATCGCACGTTTCTCATATTCGTTAGCTTGGTCGTGAAATCGTAACCAGTTCATCCCATATTCATCCCTCGACAGGTGCTGCACAAGAAAACAGCACCGATCGAGTATTCGGTTATAAAAGCAAAATATAATCCAAGTATTAGAGCATAAAAGAAAACTCCTGACGCCAGTTGAACTGTAGATGTCGAGTAGTAGAATCTTGCGAGTCCTGAACATTATAGCTTACCCTACGCTTCACACACCTCATGACCATTCCATCACTACCCTACATCAAATATCCGAGGTAGACATTTTAGTGTAAATCCTTGCATACCCGTGACCCGATACACTCAGGGGCCGCGGTTGTCAGCCTAAATCCATATATGGCATGACAAACTCCACAGCCCACCACACTATTGAAAGCCGTTTCAAGTCACGGGACATCGCTAATCAAAATGATCTCCTGAATATGGAGCAGTCAAAGAAACTAAGCTCTCACAATTTAACGCCCCTGACACCTGGATTTTCAACTAGTTCAACGACGGTGGGGAAATCGTCTACGCCCAGCGCCTCCCCCCACGCATAGCGCGGCTGGATCTCGTGAGCAAGTTACTGTATATAGCACTTTTCAACAAGACATTTCTCAGTGTATATCGCGTGGGATATATGGCGTAAGTGATTCGCGACTATTTGCGCCCCGAGGGGCGAACCCAAGAAAAAGAAAAGGGGAGTAAGTAAAGCAAAACAAAGCTGACCCCCGCAAGGCGTGTTACAGTGCTTACAACGGTTATCCCTGACGTGCCGTGCCGTCTTTACGGGGTAATCCCTGCCTGCCGTCGGCTTTCTCTGAGTGAGTATTCAACAAGGCTTCAATGTAGGAAAGAAATCATGGAATATGGAGTCGTACTGGCAGGTAGTCAGTGAAGCTGGGGCTCCACGGCGACTTATTACGCGTTCGGGAATAGGGGCATCGCCTGGTAGACCAGGGGGTTAGGCGACCGTTTGTGGGCGGTTTCAGGACCTCTCAGATCGTTAAGTGTCGGCTACCAAGTTATCTAGATGCCTAATGGGGGGTCAACTATTCCTTACTAACTGCGTATTCAATTGAATACTTTGTACGGAGTACTGCGTACTTTGTAAGGCATGCTGAGAAGAAAGGCACTCTCTACTCAGGACCTCCCAAATAACACCAATAGATATTCTCCAAGTCGTTTCGTCTTACAACTTACGTACAGTAGAATCAACGAACCAGATTCAACCACAGACAGTCCCTCAAGTCTCACCAAAGCCTAGGCCACGTTCCCTTCAGCCGGGAGCCCGAAATGTCGATCGCCAGCCGCCCAAGAACCACAACCGGAAAACAACAATGGAAACCAGTACCAAAGCCGAGCCTCCCTGGGAAAGGGGAAGGGGCAAGAGACGGGATGCAAAGCTTGCGCCCGACCAAACCAGTTCGTTCAACCTCGCGGCACTTGGGAGGCGGGAACCGTGCTAGTTGGACCAACTAACTAGCAACAGCACACTTGCGGCACTCTGTAACAACCACGGGCCATAGGCCGTGGGGACGGCTTGGGCACGAGTTTGGGAATGATTTTGACGACAGAGGGGCTCGGACTACACTGATTAGCTCTGGCCTGCTTGACTTTCCATACTCCACGGAGTAGGTCGAGCCTCGAATGCCAACGTCGACATGCTCCGTGCTTTACTGAGTACGGAGGACAGACAGATGACGGAGGATCGAGGCGGAGGCGTGTTGGGAGGGTCAATGCTGACGCATGACGCAGGAACAGAACAGAACTCGCAATTAGAAGCTTGGTGGGCTTGTTCCGTCACTACAGTGGATTATGTGCGACTCCGTATGGAGAAGATGTTTCTCATCGGATGAAACGGGATGAACCTATGCCCGAAAAAACATATCATATTGCCCACCCATGAGATACCTGTCATCGACCCCAGGCTATCTACGGCTTTTAACGGCCTATCTAGGCGTCGGACGGGGCCTCGGTCAGGGATCAGGTCATTGCTTTGGCCCCTATTGCGGGCGAAGGATATTGAATTCGTCAAAGACGGGATAGAATAGTAGTCAGTAGTCACTTTGTTTTAGAATGGAGTCCAGTACAGATCACGATCGTCCTCATCGGCGTCACAGAGGCGCCACGCCCCAATTTTGTATTACTGAAGTGATCCTTCTCGGACACGCTGACCCGGAAGAGGTTCATGGTGCGGGCGCAGGGACCAACGGACCTTGACACGATTTGGGATTGGGGCTGTCTTTGGGATGGAGTCATGGACGACACGCGATTGAATACTACTGAATTATTGAATCACTCGGTCGGAGATACACCGCAAAGCGACCTGGACAAACTCAGCACTTACAAACATACTTTCTTGTCCATGGATTGCCGAGTACGGCAATTGACACACAACAAACTAAGAAACTCACAAACTCCTGTACCTCCCTTATCCATCTGTCACGATTTAACTTCTCAAACGGTCAACTCCTGGCACAACACTAAAAATTTCCTGTTCGAACTTGGAACCAGAAATCCAAAAAGTCCAGAACACACCCGCAAGGGCCCAAACCCGACCGATCGGCGGTCGTATCAGGATGCTAATAATCTATCAGGGCAACTGGACGCCGATCTATTCGGGTCGTTCATGCACCGCCCTGAAGGATGGCCGGAATTGGGTGTTTGGCTGGCTGGAGGGCCGGATGGGGAGGGGGACATGGAGAGTTCTAGACGAGGGGGATCGTCAGGAGTCCACTTGGAGAGACGCCCAGTGGAGAGGGCCATCGGACGGCGGCCGCTTGCGCTGAAATAGCTGAAATAAGAATTGGGCGTTGATATGGAGGTCCTTGTTTAGGATGAAGAACGTGAGTAAGTATGATGTTCATTTCATAGTATCTCGGGGAATGCCTAGAGACATTGTGAAAGTCAAACTCTACAAGACAGCTGTATACGAACTCGATATTTCCTGCAAGATGATAGGTACGATTTTTACTTCCTGTACTGCATTGATGGAGCTCTCGGTCTTCCACCTCCTTTTAAGTTTCCGCCCAGCCGCGTTTGAGACGCTGACGCCGTTCTTGACTTTTTCCGTCGGGCTTCTCCCTTGTTTCGAAACACTTTTAGCTGCAAACTTAACACCCCACTGGGCTGCTCCCACGCTGGCAATGACGAAATCCGTGGGAGTCCGTAGGCATAGGGCTCGTGGGATATCCGAGAAGACGATTATATACGATATGATACGACAGAGATGGGGATAAAATACGAACCGACCTTGGTACAATGCTTATCCTGTATCCTCTATGAAGTATGGATGAGCTTGGTCCGATCTGGTTGGATACGGACCGTGTCAGGGCCATTATCGAGACGGGAAGAACGAACTCCTCCTTTCCAAAAGAAGCCCGTGTTCCCCTGGTAAGTCCAATAGCTAATTGCTAAAAAGCTAGCCAACGAGAACTAAACCCAAGGAACACCCTAAAAAGACGGGAGGACTAACCAACAGTAAAAACCCAAGTTAAACCAACAAATAACCCAACAGCTAACACCCAACAACCCCCCGACCGGGATCACAACCAAGCCTATCCCCCGCATCCCGAATCTGAGACAGCATCGCATGTCCGCGTACATACATTCCTGCTCATGCTCATGCTTCTCCATCTTTTTTTTTCGCGCAAACTTACGTTCCCCATATCCATATCCCCTGCGCGACCGGTGAGTTCCGGAAATTCCTCCTGCAGCTTGTCTAGGATCTACGAACTTCCGAGAGGGCGCAGGTGTAGGACGAGAAGCAGCCGGTTGGCTATACGAGTCCTATCCCTGCAAAATCGGGGGGAAGAGGATGTTTACGAAAATCCTACGATGGGCCGTAAACCTAGATTTGGAGGGTAGAACCTCGGGTTACGAGTATAGACGGGCGGAGGGCGGAGGACGCCATGAGAAACTCGAAATTGAGAGTGCGAATTGTAGAAACTAGACCTGCTGGGAGTGTTTCCGGATGGGCGATGAGGGCTACGGCACCCTCCGAGATCTGCGTGTGATTTTCCGATCGGCTGTGATCGAGGAGGATCGTTTTGGAAGAGAGTTTCATCGAGAAAGTTGGTCGGAAAAGTCGTTGCGAGTGTCTGGCTGGAGAAATACAGTTGCATATACCGACGAGGAATGACAGGTGAACTGCCGAGGAGCACATGTCCATAGACCAAAAACGATGGAGAGTACGGGGTAGACACTATATCGCTTACAATTTACTACAAGCACAGATACTAACTTACAATGTCCTTATAATAACCGATCCAGCTTGTGCAAACAGGGCTAAAAGGCCCACGATTAATTTACTCCCTCGAACGCTCCTCTCCTCCGTAGATTTGCCAGATTGCCAGATTGTCAAATTTACCAGATTACCAGATTGACCAGATTAATTTTCTTTTTTTACCCCACCACCACCAGCTCCCTGGGACGCGATGGACATCCTAGCCACCTACGATCGGGTGGCCGGCGCTGCCCAAGACCCAAGCCCTATACTCGTGGACGATCTAGTCCCAAAAAGGTGGGTGGTAGGTGCTCCGACGGTCCCTAATTAGGATGGTCGTCATGGAACGAGTTACTCCGTATGGTAAGGGAAGGGGACCCAGGGGAGAGTAGTGCGACGGTTTGATTTCCATAGTTACTAGCTGCAGTAGTAGTAGCAAAGTCGCTAAACCCTCTAGTGTCTACCGTAATTAACTAGCAATCCCTCTCTGCCAGACAAAAACCGTTGACAACCCGCCCCGGCCGAGGCTACGCTAGCGACGCGGGGAAAAGACACCAGCACGTCAGCGAGCGAATGATAGCTCTGCATGGCGCATTTTGAGAGATATTTAGGGGGGAGTGTTCTGCTAGGGTAGGCATTTTGCTCGGCAGGGTGGGATTTTTTGTTATTCGAAGGATTCGAGAAATTAAATGAAACTGCATGAAGCCGAAGGGAAGGGGAGGGGGGAGAAGACCAAAATTCCCATGCGCATTCCATCACAAGGAGAATTAGAAGTAGTTACGAAGTAAGGAAAATAGATTGAGGATGTTAGGGGATAGACCGAGGAAGGCGTCGCGTCTTTTTTTTTTCGGCAGAAGAAGTGGACGGGGCCGTACAGAATGCAGATGCAGGCACGAGTGTATTTCTAGCATGCATGTAGCAAGTACGGAGTACAAGATGTATAATTGTATCTCACTCTTTTATCATTATTATTCAATTATTCAGGTTTATTTTCGGGAGACTGCGTGTGCCAGTCCACTTCTCGAGAGAGACAGAAAAAAAAAACCAAAACGATAGAAGCCGAAAAGAAGATCGTCATAAAAAAAACAAAAATAAATCTAGACCAGAGTGTGTAATGTCACTGTACGGTACCGGATTGTTTAGTTCTCACGCCGATACTTACTCGAGAGGGCTAAGCGGGCTCCACCGTCAAACACGTTCCGAGGAAGAAGTCGCACGAAGCCATTTGGTCGGTTCCATCTGGTTGGGACTATTCGTAGAATCGTAGGAGATATGAGATTGTATATACTCTATAGCTATAGGAGAAAGGATATACTTCTGTTGTAGTGATAGTCAAAAGTATATCCTATAGAATATATACACAATATCCCAATTATCCATAGCTAGAATTAAAATAATAAATTAAGATCCACCATAACGGTCGAGCCCTCTAATCATCGCCCCTGAACGGTCGGGTCCACCGGGGCTCCGTTCCATACAGATGCAGTTATACTCCGTACGGAGCATATAGATTACCTGAATAATAATAATAATAATTCTAGCACGTTGTCAGATCTCGATGGTACTCATACCGTTCTCCTCCACCGGGACTCCATACTGTACTACTCTACTAACGGAGACCAGTCTACGACTATCGCTCTATCGTGAGTTCTTATTATAACACCCGCCCTGACCCAATCTTTTGGATCCTCCCCTCCTCCTCCCCTTCCCCCTCTCCCCCCGAAACCTCCACGATCATTCTACTTTCTCGACCTCTTCCCTTCTTTTTTTCATAAAAGACCCTCTTTTTGTCAATTCTCTCGACGACCTCTCAAACAATCCCTCAAACAACACTCTAACCCTCGCCGTTGCGCCTCGAAAGCGGGTTCAAAACAGCCTCAACCTACCATGAAACCACACCAATTATTGGTGCTTCAGCCTGTTCGCACATAAATTGGGGGACCCCAATTAAGTCCATACGCCGTCTACAAAAACAGAAAAAAAGGACGTCCAGATCTAGACAGCCCCCAATTGTCTCCTCCGAATTCCCTCCCTCGTATCTGCCGTGATTCAGATAAGACCCTCCAAAGCGAACCCGAGACAATTGAAACCTCCTCGGACACAAACATGTCGACCTTCTCGCGTGTCCCCGGCCACTGGGACGACGACCAGTCTGGCCACAGTGATCCCCCATCTACCCGCTCTTCCAACGATCCTCCAGAGCATGCCTCTCATATTCGGTCGCGATCTACAGCTCTCGCCCAGAGTCCTAAACGTTTGTCCGTCTTTAGTGGCCGCTCTAGAAGCAACACTACCACCTCGACCTCGTCGCGCCGCTCCCCGGGTTCGTCTATGACTTCCATTGATAGCTCCGTTCCGTCCCAGGACGAGCGGGCGCCCTCGGCGCTGGCTATGCGATCTGATAAATCAGACCGCTCGTCGAGGTCCCTTTTGGCGCGTGGGAGCCGTATCTTGCGCCGTCAGGGGAGTAAGATCAATATCGTTGCCACGCTGGACGAGGAGGACGAATTGGAGAGAATGCCCCGTCATCGGGGTCGACAGGTTGATCACCGTAAGTGGGGATTTTTTGAATTGCTTCGTGAGAGCAATTAGCTCTCGTGCGCGATATAATGCTGTGAAATGATCAATTAACCATATACTCCAGACGAACGATTAAAGAGCATCATCTCGGATCCATTCGATTTCCACCATCTCACCCACACCAGTCCTTCCCAATTCCAATCTATAGATCAAACGCGCGAGAATGACCTCGTCACGGAGTTTTCGGTCATTCGCGCTTCGCAGCGCCCTGAGGCTGGCCTCAAGGGTATTCGCGCTGATGACATTCATTTCCGCAACTTTTCCGCCGATGACCTAGCTGCCTATGGAACGGCCACCACGGTTGATGAGCCCACGCCCCAGAGCCCACCCGGCTCGCCTGCAGCATCGGGATCGACTAGCCCAACTCGCGGCCACATGCGCAGGGAATCTCGAACTCACGAGAACTTCTCTCGTCCTGTCTCGAGGTATCCCCGGTCTTGTCCGACGACACCACCTCCCCCGGCAGTATCAGAGGTGCCTACCGACGAGGGTATCGAGCCGGCTCCTAGGGCCATTGATGAGATCCTGGGATTGAACATTGTGCCAACGTATCCCGAGTATATCGACTCGGAGCGGTCCTCGTCATCCCAGATTCAATTCAGGTCAGATCTCGCTGAGGATATGAACGCCCGCACGTCTTCCGTGAGCAGCCACTACAGCCTTGAAGAGGTCCCCGAGGAGGAAGACGAGGGAACTAGGCTATGGGATAGCCCGGACGCCAGCATTGGCACCGCGCACTCCCGTTCTACCTCGCACGTGAGTCCAGGTACTGTCGAACCTCACCGGGTCTCTCGCACGATAGCTCCCAAGGCTCCGCTCTCCATCTTTGTGGCCGAAGAGCTATCGCGCAAGTTCTCGGAAGCTCTTGGCTCGCCAACACTGCCCCAGACTCTGCCTACTACCCCGCCGAAGGAAGACTCCGAGGCCGCACAGCTGGACACCACGCCTCCCTCGGTCTCTGGCGTTCAACAATTCTCCTACGACGACGAGATGTACGACTCTTGGGATGCTGATATCGACTACTGCTACGAGCATGCCGCGGAGTCAACCTCCAACTTTGACTGGACACGCACCTCTCTCGACGAAACCCGTCCTCAGGTTGGCGTCGCCTGCACGGGCGAGTCTTGGGGTCTCTCCGCTCCACAAAGACCAACCCGGCACCTCCAACCCAGCCCATTGAGCACATCCACCCTCGCCACGCCAGACCTGGACTCTTCCTCCGCACGCTCAACCCAACCGCACTCCGCCGCAACACCATCCACCGAGTACGAGCGTGCCTTCATCCGCGGACCAACAGACTACTTTCACCCCGTCTCCTCCTCCATTCTCTCAAAGCAACTAACCCAAGACATCCTCTACGAGGACTACCTCTCCGGCGCAGACGCCGACGCCGACGCCTCGTCAGACCGCCACTTCCCCTTTGCCGCAAGTGGGATCCAAAACGCCTCCCCTCGCTCCAGCTTCTCGCCCATCAGCAAATGCAACTCGCAGGAGAGCCTCATGCTCTCCCGCGCAGCGAGCATCGTCCGCAAACACCGCTCCTCCGTCTCAACCGCCTCCGTTCCAGAACTAGTCCACTCCCTCTCCAGCTCTCGCGAAATCATGCCAACAGACCGTCTCAGCGCTGCCGAGATCCTGGCCCGTCCGGCCTCGAGCTCCCTGCACCGTCAGACGAAGAGTCTGGCCGAGGCGCACATGCTCACCCACGCTGATAGCAGTGCTAGCCTGGCGAGTGCTGAGACGGCTCCGCCCGTGCTGCATGATCGGTCGAAGAGTACCTCTGAAGTCGACGAGAGTGATGTCATGGGTGTGTCTGTCCCAGTTGCTATGGCTGTTACGCCGCCTCTACCGGCTGTGCCGGTGAGGAATCCCAATCGCAAGAAGAGTCGGACTACTTCGTACTCTCTTTTCCCGACGCCGGCGAATTGATTTCGTCTAGGCTTTTACTTTCCTCGTATCCTCTTTTCTTTACCTCTTGATTTTGATTTTGGTGCTACTTGGAAGACAAAATTCGTGGTTGCATATTCTGCCATTTTGTTCTTCAATTTCGGTTTCGTTTTGTTTTCGCTTTTTACACTCTGTCCGTGATAGATCTCCATGTGTCCATGACCCCCTGCTATATTTCCTTGTCTCGTCTCATCTCGTCTTGATTGTTTGACTGATCCCGTCGTTTATGCCATTTTCTTTTACCCGTTTTTCGTCTCTACAAGCACATGTTCGCATACGCGCTCTCGTTGTCCTCATATCCTTTGCTTTTGCCTTTGCTCTGTTCTTGGTCTGTTCGTTCCATCTACCCATCGTTTCCCTCATTTCTTTGTCTCGTGTCTTGTCTTATCTTGTTTGATGCATTTCTCAGCGATATCGGTATCGGTTCTGGTTCTGGTGTCTGGAAGGGGGAAACAAAAAGCCGGGGAAAAAAGCACTTGGAAAACAGACGTTCCTTTTTCTTTTATTTTGCTGGTTTGGTTTGGTATGCTATGATATGGCTCTGGTGGATTTGGTCGGATGCCTGGTTCGATACCTGAATCTGGTTGTTGGGTCTGGTTCTGGGTTTTGGTTGGGATCATTCGTTATGCCTGGCCTGGCCTGGTCTGGCCCCTTGTCTTTCGCTTTTGTTGATGTTAGCAGTTAACAGCTCTTTGAGTATTTATAGAGTAGTAGTGTGGCGGATACCATGCTACAATGTTGTGCCTGTGATGGCGCTTTGATTTATACTACCGTGTGGTACTATTGTAGATCGTCCAGACCTTTGGACTAGGGATATCGTAGGGCTGATGGTTTAGTAAATTGTCTAGATCCAGATCCAGATCCAGATCTAGATCTTGCTCAGCTAAAGACTATCTTATCTCGTATCTTTGTTCAGCGTATTCACTAGTATTTACTATTCTAGTATAGCCGGCATATACCGGATAAAGTTTAGTATAGATGGAAGTGGGAAGTGCAAAGTGGAGAGTGGAGTGCAGGTGGTGATGGTCATATGACCGTCGTAGGTGGCGTAGGGCTGGAAATATCATCCACCTTATTTCACGGGAAGGGAGGAGAGTTTATTTTTAGTGTCTTTCTCGTCACTTACGTATGTCCTTTTTTGGACAGATCTTTGAGTGTCGAGGACGTGTGCAATGGAGGTTTATGAGTGAGTGGTGGTTATCGGGAACGTTATAGGTGGTGTCTTTGGATGTTGTGTGGCCTGATGAGGAGGCAGAAAGAAGAAAATTGATATTGAATAGTCAGGCCCTAGCCTATGCAGATGCTTTTTATTTCATCATCTAAGAAAGTGACGAGTGGGATGAAATCTTTTGAGTTAACATATTTTCGGCGTTCAAACTGAGTTTATCGACCGACTCCTTCATGGCTGAAATGTAAATAGAATGATAATTATATGGGGGTCTTTCAGGTACGTATAGATTAAAAAGATCATTCAAATCTTAATATTCTTCCTCTTCCTTCCTTTCTAACCCCAGATATGACCATAAGTTCATAAAGTGTGGTTCAACTGTAAAGGCTTGATTTCATAGATGTGTTTCACGTGACCTCCGCCCCAGCTCTTATCTTATCGGCTCGCTCCCTCATCTAAACGTTTGGCAACTTCTCGACTTCCACTCGCTTTCAACACCAACCCTCGATGCTCCAGCCATGGCATCACCTCCACCATCAAATGCCCTGACCAAGCGGCCAGATGGCCAGCTGATGCCACCCCCTCCAGCCCCAAAACGAATCAAACGCCCCGCAACCGTCCTCGACGAAGATGTCTACACCAACGCTCTCTCACACATCATCGCCCGCGATTTCTTCCCCGGTCTGCTGGAAACCCAAGCCAAGCAAGAGTATCTGGATGCGCTAGACTCCAAGGATAAAGCATGGATTACCAGCTCCAAAAAACGGCTTGCAGATGTTATGCGCACCCCGACACCGGGCTCGAATGCGCGACGGAAAATAGATCCGGGTTCTGTGGCGGGCACGCCGATGCATTTCCCGGCAGGTGGCTCCGATGAGACTCCTCGCGGATGGGGAGGATACCCCCATGTCTGTCGCCTCTACTGCGACCTCTGACACAACGAGACCGGGCCTGGAGATTCCCGACGTCTCGAACATGGGTCTGATGGCGTTCCACAGCAAGTACACCAGTGAAGACAACGAATCCTTCAACAAGGTCCTCGATAAGCAAAACACAAAGAAGCGGGAGAAATACGCTTTCCTCTGGAATAATAATAAGATTCCCTCCGCTCGTCAAATCGCCCATCACCAGCAAGAAGTCAAGCGCATTACCGCACAAGGTGGCAAACCCGAAACTAGTCTCGTTAAGCGGGATGATTCCGAGGTTGCCATTAAAACAGACCTTGACGCACGACCTGCACGACCTGATGCATGGAAATCCCGCCCGGACAACGGCCTTATGTTCCTCCCATCTTCGATCGAGGATACCCACGCGACGCTGCAACAACAAGCAGAGGCAGCCTCACGCGCAGCCCCAAAGCGAACACTCTACCAAAACACACGACTGCTCGATGTAGACGCCGCCGCCGCTGCAGACGCTACATCCTCCGTCCCAGACTCCCCTTCAATCTCCGCAATCCAAGACGCCATCGCCGGTCGACCGCGCTTCAGTGAATCAGAAGCCTCCGCAGTTCCAGGCGGCGAGACTCCCCGCGTCAACGGCTACGCCTTCGTTGACGAAGACGAACCCGAACTCGAACCCGCACCCGCAGACCCCCTCGAAGCAGATTGGCGTCTCCTCGGTCGCTCATCAGATACAACGCCTAATCCATTCCAACTCCGCGAAACTCGCAAGCGTGAGGCACTACACCACCGCATGGTAGATCGCGTCTCGCGCTCCAAACGCGCTGAAAAGGCTGCTCGTACAATGAAAACACCTGTTACCGCGACACCGCGCTTTGCGAGTAGTCCCCGCGTGGACTTTGGACTGCGAGGTACACCCGGTGGTGCAGGACCTGGTGGTCAGGGTAAGATGTTGACGCCTGCTGCGCAGAAATTGTTGTCGCAGGTTGGTGGGAGTACGCCGCGGGGAACGTCTGGATCTACGGGGAAGTCTGGATTGGGGAATATGTGGACGCCAACGCCGCGGCAGAAGTAGGCTGGTTGGCATTTGGTTTGGGAGGGCTGTTGGTGGTGCCGGGTTTAATGGATTATGACTTATGATATCAATGGGTTAGGGCGTTTTTGTTTCTAGAGAGAGATATATATATAGACGGGTTGCTAATGCATATCCAAGATGGACAGCCTGAATGCTGTATCAATGACACCTACAACCTTAAAGGCTATATGATGGGTACCCTCATACATACCTAGAAATCGAGCGTAGTTAGTAGTGTTGCGTTGCCGAATTGCTCTAACATGCATGTCGAAGGAGACCGTTTATTTTATGACTGCGATTCCTGCATTTGTCTGAGTTATATAGATCAGTTAATCCCTATGGATCAATCGTAGGTATCCGATGGCAGATATTAGCAAGGCTACAAAAATACTGATGATTGTAGCCACCTAACATTAACCTGTACGTTTGAAAAAAACGCTTAGACATAATTAAGACTCATACTTGGAACTAAATCCATGCGGTTCTGGATGCCAAAATGTATATCCACCATCCAGTTAAAATCGGGAAATCGGAACAAGCAGGAAACGGGCGCACCCGAAAATCCCATCATCAAATCCCTATCCGGCCCGATCTCGGGACTTCCGAATTTCATTCAACTTCTTTGCCTGCCGCTTTCTATACAGAAATAAATCCAGAACTTGTATAGAATTAACACTAGGTGAGTACGACACCAGATATACTGAGCTCAGGCGCTGATTTCAGTCTAGCAGCCCCTGGTACAAACCAGTCATTTACTCGGGCTAAGACAAGAGACCCGAAATCCATCCGACTCCGGATTATCCTTGTCTTTGGAAAATACATCTCAAGCGCTTGGACCGATATTACTGAGTCACTATGAGTGTTGGCACAAGCACCGACACTGAACAAGCACCGTCACCGGCTGCGGCACCAGCTAAGGGATTGCAAGATGACAGTGTCGCCACTGGCACCGAAAACCCAACATCGACAACTGAGAATGAGAATGCACGACCAGATGCAGAGGCAACCCCAAAATCAGAACATGAGGACTCGGCACCGACACAATCTTCGTCCTCGCTCCTAGCATCTCTCTGGTCCCCTATCAGCTCGCTTCTCCAAGGTTCAAAGCCAGTCCCAGTTTCGACTGGCAGTTCGGAAGTATCAAATGAAACGAGCTCAACGACAACCCAAGAAACGAATCTAAACAAGGACACCAATTCCAAGGACACCAATTCCAAGGACTCAAAATCCACATCTCCATCTACCAACACAAACCCCAACAAACGACCTTCACCAAAAGAACCCTCACCACAATCACAATCACAATCCCCAGAACCAGAACCAGAACCAGAAGCATACTACACCCCAAAAGATGTCCCCCTTTTCAAAGCCCTCCAAAAAAAGCGTCTAAGTGGAACCCGCACAAAACAACTCCTCCGTGCTGCATCCCGTGCGTACAACGATCCCCCTCCACCACCGGAACTCGGGACTTGTTGCGGGAGTTCGTGTGACCCATGCGTGAATGATTTGTGGAGGGAGGAGAGGGATGTTTGGAGGGAGAGGTGGGGGGATCGGAGGGTTGAGGGGGAGAGTGATGGTGGTAGTGGTAGTGGGGGGAGGAAGGAGTTGGAGTGGTGAGGTAGATGTTGATTATACCCATGATGTCTTTAGATTTGTATATTTGGTCTTTTTTATGGGGAATGGTCCTGAGATATAGAAGTTATATTGAGGGGCTGTTGGGATGTCAGATTTGAACTGTTATAGAGCTGTTCCTTTGTGGGAGTATAGCATAAAGGATATTCTGTTGACTACTGAAACTTTAAGGGACCTGGCCATATTATGGTATAGTGACTATAATCCTCTGGAAGGTGACGATATGGAGTGTTTTGACTTCGAAATTAAGTCCACCGGCCTTGAGGAGTGGTCACCGTGGCTTCGACCTATCAAGGGGTTGTTCAGGATAGAGATAACTGTCAAATGTTGGTGTAAATACGCAATATTGGCACGAACTATAGCGAATGGATGTGACCATCTTGCAAAGAAAAGTAATAAATATGGTATACAATGGATGAATTAGCCAAAAGGCAGACCCCAACAACAGTTCATCCAATATAACACGGAGTTCATCCCAAGATACCCCTGACTGGAATTTCGAGTTTCGATTAAAACCTCTAACACTTTTCTGTATGCTAGTAGTGTGATTAATTACCAGTTGGAAAGACCGTGACTGTGGTTGTAGTCGTGATCCTATCAGGAATGCAACCACTCGCCGTCGTGGTAAGAGAATCTTCAGAAACGGTGGTGGTGGTAGTAATCGTGACTGTCCCACAACTGCCATCGATGATCTGAGTAGAGGAGCTCAGGGCAGGCGTGGTCTCGGCTGCAGCCTCAGATGTCACCACAGGCATGGCGGAGACACTGCTAGAGGGAGATTGGGCCCTCTGCGACGCAGCCAACGGGGTAGAGTATCCAGACTGGACTTGGCTACTAGATGTGGCCGTTGCAGACCCAATCATAGGAGTCACAGCTGGGGCCGACCAAGTGCCCGTGGGCGTGCCAGTGACGCCCTCAGCGTAAATGGAGCTACCGATACTGAGTGGCCAGACGTTGGGACCAGGCATGGTATAGTTCCTCCAATAGTCGCGGTACATGTAAAACAAAATACCAGGCTCATATCCAGTATAAACACCGGGAATTTTGACGACTGGACCCGGAGTTTCCGTGCTATCACTCTCAACCTCGATCTGTGCGCAGTTGAAATAAAATTCAGCACCGCCAAACTCCCCAGCCCCATGAAGCGCGATGTGTTCGATCCGAACGAGATATTGACCGGCAGGAGTCTCCTTTGGCAGGGTGAAGGTAAAGTCCGACCTACCAGTCACACCCCATTGAATGCCATCATTGCCAAAAGATGTCGGGCCGAGCTCCCAAATCTTGAACCAGTCACCGGAGCCATCATAATCATGAACATCTCCTGGAGCCTTTGACAGATACACCTGCATAGGACCGGGGTGTTCGATCAAAGCGCCAAAGTCTGTGCCGAACCCGATCTGGTCACCTGCTTTCACTTTGTTGACGTCGGTCTGACTGGCGTACTGGAAAGAGCCCGTGTTGCAGCGGAAGTCGTCGTTGTTGTAGTTCCCTTTCCAGGGCATGTAGCCCTGCGTGTCTTCACGTACATACTCGTAGTACTCGGTGACATTGCCGTTGTGGATAAAGTACGGGAAAAAATAGTGACCCAAGGTACCTGGGATCGAGGACAAGGAGAAGGCAACTGCAAGGTGAACTTGGAACCGCATTGTCAAGAAGGAAGGATATTATCAAGCGCCAGCGTTGACAAGAATGCTAAATAAAAGAAAGGAACGACTATCCGACAAGCAAAACGAGTGTAGGGCTTATAGCTCTTAAGTCTGGGGTGCGGCTTGCTGCTATTTAATATCCTTGTGCACTGCAAACATTACTTGGTTATTATTGTCAGCCTTAATCATACAGAATGAACTCTGGATTTTCCGAAATCGATGTACCCATAATCATGCTCGCTTAGACATAAGCGCTCATAATTGAAACAGTAAAGGTATCAGTTGTAAGGCGTGTGTCTTGGCAATGGGGAGCTAGGCAGAGAAGTGGAGTTGATTGGCTCCCAGTGATAGGATAGTTCCTTAATTTAACTGGGTCCCTTGATAAGTATCCAACTTACCCTGTGCATTACTGGTAGCGTTAGAGAGCTAATGAAAATTTTGTGCTTGGGGGGAGGACCATAGAATGATGTTCATGATTTAGCGTCAGGGTCGTCGGTTAAAAACAACGCTAAAGCCATTGCCGAAAACTACCCGACTAAAGGTTTCTAGATTAGTTCGTTTTAAGAATCATGAATCAGTAGAACGATCTCAAGCATAGCCATAATGACTCAGGAAATTTATCGACGCGACAGTCTTTTTTAAAAAAAAAAGCCTCTCACTGCGAATGGGGTCTGGAGGAGTCACTCTACTTTACTGTACGGGTTGAGGGGACAACAACCACGACACAACCATTTCACTCCACATCCTCTTCCTGGGCAGAACTTGGCTTCACTGGCAGGAGACATCACAACAAGTACCGAGTTACCAACACGTAGATGTGTCTGCCTGTCGTGGGGGCATGCTGCTTTGACCGGATGCGAGTCGGTCTATATTACCGTGCTAAAATGTCGAACGGGATTTGCCAACTACGCCAGCACATGCCTGCCCACCTCTGCCCATCCCTGCCAAGCCAATCTAACCAAATTGCACACAATATGGGCCTTGTAACGTACGGATAGTCTCCTGTTGGCCAATCGGGCTACCGCTTGACAGACCTGAGTATGAAATCCCCCACCTCCACTTTAACTCGGAATACTCCTACCTACAGTGTCTCTTCAGCCCATTGGGACTATGATTCAGGCCCTATCCTATTATAGGTAAGCCTCTTGAGTCAATTTACGTATATGTACACCGTACGACAATTAGCTCAATGGGTTAGGCAGCATGAGATCTTCCAGCGTCGTAGCATAGGTCTTCGATACGTCCCATTTGCGGAATTTCTCCCGAAGGAGACGACTGCCCTCCTTAAGAACACCTGCTGGAACGGTTGTACAAAGGTCCCCAACTCTGTCGACGGACGCTTGCATGGTGTCCGCCAAGCGAATAAAATGCTGCGCAAGCTCGTCATCGAAAGGCCGATCAAGGTGCATGAAGCTTGGTGCCCGAGGTGGAGAATTTGAACAGTCAGATGTATCGCTATCCGACCCTGACGAAAGCTCATTCATTTCATCGGGTATGGGATCAGCGCCGATCCAGCCACGGTGATTTCTCGTCGTCGTGGCGTTGCCGTCACCAGCGACCGACCCGGCATGCAGGTTCGGGCCAGAGCCGCCCTCGAGGCCCGCCGGGGGTATCTGGGGGCTAGACGCTTTCGCAGAAGAGCAGGTGGCGTACGTCCATAGGACTAACGTTGCTAGGAACGGCGCGAACGGTTGGAGAATAGCGTCAGAGGAATAACGTCGGATGTGCCAATAAATGGCACCGGCGTGCAACACGGCCAAGCGACATTTGTACTTGTCGTAGGTGAACCAGTAACGCACCACTGACACATCCTCATTCGGCAAGGTCCGAGGTTCACACGTGCCACTGGCACCGTGATTGCAGCGGTATTCTGCAAGGGTTCTAAGATGGGATACGGGGGTGAGCAAGATGAGGCGGGCCAGGTGCAGGACTAGGAATAGCGGGCTTTCTATGCCTCCTGTCTTGGACGAAATGCCGAGGGCTTCCCAGTGCAGCACGTCGAGGCAGCCACGGGCATTGTTTCTCCATGCCAAGATCTGTGGAATGGAGGCTGGATAAGGTGCTGCGGATGATGCGCTGCAAATGCTGCCAGGAGGCTTCCGTGCTGCTTTCGGAGTCAACTGTGACAGCTTGTTGCTGTAAAAGCGTTGGATCTGCCAATTCCACTCAATTAAGGAATGTATGATGATTATTCGTCCAAAGTTGGAGACTGATGGTCGGATATAGCTCCGTATGTGAAGCTCTTCAAGTGCGTCGCGAACTGTTTGTGGGTCTTTTGTGAGTCTAATAGAATTCATCAGAACTGTTCGCATGTCTGTCATCATCTCCCACCTGAATTCTTCATCTACGATCTCCCCCAGCAGAGGCAAAGCCCAGAGCCTCCATGCTGTTGACGACAATGCTCCAAGGCCCGCTCGCCGCACGGGTACCGGTAAGGATGCGCACAATGCGCTGGTCAGGGTCGACCACCGCGAACGCGTCGCCCCTGATGTCTGCAGTCTCCCTGGTTCGCACGCGATAGCCAGTCATATTGGTTCCATAGTACCGGTACACTGGGAAGAGCTGACAGGGCCAGTAGTTCGCATCTGTAGCGTTATAGTTTATGTAGACGTCGGCCTTCCCAATCATGTTGGCTAGATAGTCCTGAATTTCGCCCTCGCCAGGACAGCTTGACGTAAGACCCCAGGCTTCATTGCGCTCGAGCTGGGAGATTTGTCACGAGATACCCGCAGGTGCTTCTTGGTAAAGAGCGCCATACTCATTGATCATGAACGGTACGGTGTAGTCAATGCCTGCGTCCTTCAGAATGCCCTGCATAGTGCTAATCGAGGTTGCAAGGTCACTGTCATCGTAGAGGAAATGCACCGAGGCCGCATCCGGCACGCTGTTGTTTGCCACGATGAAGCCCATTCGGTAAACAAATTCAACACATCACCAGCAAATTCGGGTAGGTGACCATACGACGGGCCAGTAATATGGGCGTTGGGGAAGTTATTTCTGTTCAGGGTTATACCGGTATTTAGTGATTCAAGTCCATAAACGAATTCATCAAGAATGAAGCAGGTCAAGGATTTACCAGAGCCGGAGCAGGAAGAGAGAAAGAGTGTAAAACGACGTACCGGATCGTATGGACTGCACGGCCCCAGTAATCTAGCCAGCGGTCTAAACCAGCTTTCATGAATTCAGAGTCATCGCACTCGTTCCACATGTCGAAACAGACGCCCTCAACCATGTCATCACTGATCATCTGGCCGAGGAGAACTTCAAAGAACTGATCCATCGAGCTCCAGTCACCGTTGTCGCCGGCAACAGTCGCATTGTCGGGTTGGGTAAAGTCGAAGCCGTATAGATCCGCAATGAGTACCTGGAAATCAGCACGATACTTGCGTACGGTTCGATATTCGGACAGCATTGATTGATATCGCCCCTGGAACTCAGCTTCTCCAAACAGCCAGCCTCTGGATGGCGCTGGCAAGTGCGAGCCTCCAGCTCGGTTGTTCCGGAAGGACATATCCGTGTAGAAATGGTCCGGAATTTGACCAGGGGTGTCAGGAAATGAATCCTATCGAGCTTAAGTAGGTGGATATGGTCTCATAACCCGGAGCCCTCTCCTCGGCCTCGTCCCTCCTTACGCCCCCATCGTCCATGGTGAGCCGACCATTGTCGTCAGCGAATCTTCAATTCCGAGTTCCTGAATCTGTGTGTCGCTCAAGCACTATGTTTCTAAATTCCGTCAAGCCCCCACGATCAATTTCCGCGTAGTTTGCCAATGGCTAACCCCACATTTCGCTACCCCGCGCTCAACCCCCACAACCTCCCCGTACAATTCTCCACACTCGCTGGTCACTCTAATTGTCAAGGTTTAGCCCGGGGCAGCCCGGGATTATGATCAACGTGGAAACGCCATGCCGGAGAAACGTTTAGGTTAAACTCCGGTCGAAGATGATTGGATAACAGCCGTCTATCATGCTAGGGATGGAGTCGATATGGCTAGCAGAACACCGGTAACCCGAGTGAATTCGATCGGGTTGACAATAATCCTCGCCTTATTCTGATTCCTCATAGGTTGCTTCCTGCTCTGTCCAACTTAGGAAGTTCCCCGGTGGCGCTCAGTCGGACAATATCCTTTTGCCCCTCCGGGAAGGCCTCGCACATCGGGGTTTCCACATGAGCTGCCCCAGCTAAAAGGCGAACACTTGTGCCCGACTGGACAATATGAAGGCCATCCCTGCATTTAAGATTTGGTTTTTTACAATACGTCACCAACATAGCAAAGATTCAAGCCAGATTGCAGAAAGCTGATGCCGGCAAACATGCGAGATATTCACTTCCATACGGATGCCGTGCAAGTCCATCTGATTGTCGATGGCGATGGTGTCGTTCGACTCAAGGATCTTCTGCCGAAAGGAGCTACCCCCACCGAACCACTTTCTCGGCTCTCTAGTGATCCCTATCTTCCCCTCGTGGAGGTCAGGATCGCCGGCGAGGGGAATGGAACGGTGAAGTCCTCCAAGTCCCTGATTGGTAGTAAGACGTCACGTCGACTCCAGTATCAGTCGCACCAGGAAACTGAGGTCGCTGGCCAAAAGACACTCGAAGTGGTAGTTTGCGACTCTATCACGAACCTCGAAGTTACCGTCTGCCTGTCGGCCTTCGTCGGCTTGCCGGTTATCCGGATGGTTTCGACAATTGTCAACCGATCCAGCTCGAATGTGATCGTGTCTCAGATATCTTCTGCAGTAATCGGCGGCTTGACTGCTAGATCCGAGTCATGGGAGCGGGACTACGACCTTCTCTTTTCCAACAACTCATGGTTTAGAGAGGCCCAGTGGACAACCCGAACTCTAGCCAGTGTCGGGCTCGGAGGCGCTGGTGTGATGGAGTTGAACGAAGGTCACCACGGCACGCTTGCTCAGTTTTCTCTGTCTAACGCTGGATCCTTCTCCACCGGTAGCTTCCTCCCCATGGGACTTTTGTCGCGAAAGAATCCCACCTCCCCGGAGACCTGGCTCTGGCAAGTTGAATCCAACGGCTCATGGAGGTGGGAGATTGGCGACTACCATGACAGCATATACCTCGCCGCTTCTGGTCCTACCGCGCGGAATCACAGCTGGAGAGAAGAGCTTACACCCGGAGAATCCTTCACGTCTGTGCCTGTCTCTGTCTGCCACGTTCTCGATAGTACCCAGTCGGCCTTCGCGGCTCTTACCAGCTACCGACGCAAGATCAGTAGGGACCACGAGGACAATAGGAAGCTCCACGTCATCTTCAATGACTACATGAACTGTCTCATGGGAGACCCGACGGAGGGAAAACTCCTAGCCTTACTAGAACCAGTCTCGAAATTGGGCGTTGAATATTTTGTCATCGATGCTGGCTGGTATGCAGACGACTCAAACTGGTGGGACGACGTTGGAGAGTGGGAACCATCTAAGAAGCGTTTTCCTTCGGGCTTCAAGGCGCTCTTGGATGCCATCCGGGCCAAGGGAATCGTGCCTGGTGTATGGGTAGAGCCCGAGGTCATCGGCGTCCGGAACAAACTCGCCAGAGAATTGCCGGACGAGTGCTTCTTCCACGAGTGCGGAGTCCGAGTCGAAGAGAGGGGTCGGTATCACTTAGATTACCGCCACTCTGTGGTTAGACAACGGATGCACGAAGTAATCCGGAAGTTAGTCGTGGACTACGGCGTGGGCTATTTCAAGTTCGACTACAACATTGAAGTCACCCAAGGAACAGACATAGACGCATTCAGTACGGGTATGGGCCAGCTCGGTCACAACCGGGCGTATATCCTCTGGGTGAACGAGCTTTACGATCGTTATCCTGGCCTGGTCATCGAGAGCTGTTCTAGCGGCGCCCAGCGCATGGATTATGCCATGCTGGCCACACACTCGCTACAGTCTACCAGTGACCAGCAAGACCCGGCGCTCTACTGCGCCATCTCCGCTGCCGTCCCGACTGCCGTTACTCCGGAGCAGAGTGGCAGCTGGTCGTATCCCCAGCCGGAGTACGATGATGAACTGAATGCCCTGACGCTTGTCAACAGCATGCTCGGAAGGATGTACCTCAGCGGCAACATACCAGGACTGAACCACCATCAGCTGGAGCTGATTGCCGAGTCTATTCGGGTGTATAAATCCTATCGTGATGAACTCCCGCGTGCTCAGGCCTTTTGGCCCTTGGGCCTTCCTGGATGGGACGACGAATGGCTTTCACTCGGCATGGTTTCGGAGGATGGTTCCTCCAGGTACCTGGCAGTCTGGCGTCGCCGCGGCCCTGAGAGCTTTAGAATACCCATTCTAGACCTGAAGGGGAGATCAAGCAGGGTGGCGCTTCTATTCCCTCGTAGTGGCTCTGTGGACACTAAGTGGTGCTCCGATGACGGTGTTTTGGACGTCACGCTTCCAAAGACCATGTGTGCACGACTCTTCCGCATCACAGAGGCGTGAAGGTAGCTCTATCAGAGATTCAGATAGATATGGACGCTAATCAGAAGTTATGGTAGATGATATAGATAGAAAGTATTCAGTTTTTGACTTGGTGTGCCCTCAGTCTAAAGCGTTTGAAATCAAAGTATTGTCTGTATCACCAGCCCATCTCGACTAGTCTTCCCCAACTATAAAAGGGCGAGTTCATTAATCTTCCCTGCCCTTGATCACTTTTACGAAGTTCAATGACAGTCCTCGCTACTGAACCTGATCTCACGAGAGTTCAAAGTCTGTACTCACTGGTAATCCGTAGCCGCGATTTCCTTAAACGGGAAGTTTTTTAGCATTGAGAAACGATATGTTATCCAACGCAGCAAAGAACAGACAACCCCGCAATGTTAAAAAATCAGCTTTACCTTGAGGAGTGGAAGGTTTTTGCTGCAGTTCAGAGGATTCCTTGACCTTTCATGGTACTTTCTTACCATCGTATCGTCCTCTCCAGAGAGTCTACACCCAATTGCCTAAGCTGATCAGCATACATTCCATACTATCGAGTCGATTTGGCGCGATAAAGCGAGAAGATGCTTTCGTCTTGTTAAGTACAGGGATTTTGAGGTCGCGTGTAATACGAAAATTATCATTGTTATGGTGAGAATAATCAGAATGTTTGCTGAAAAATCGGGTGGTTGGCCCCATATTCATCGAGTATCTTATTCATCGAGGGGTTACACTCTTTACTTAAAGATCGTGTAATTGATCGTTTTTCCTATGTTTCTCCCACTGAAGATACCTGTTTCGACGTGTCGCTGGCATTCACCGCAAACATCTTCCGGATGCGACCATTTTCAAACTTCTTGCACAAGATTCTCCCGGTTGCTGTCATATGCATCCACGTGGTAGTTCTTGAACTTCCTGGTGGCGACTCTGGCATCAAACATGAGATCGAGTTCCTCGTAGCTCCGGCCCTTGGTTTCGGGCAGGCGGAAGAAACCCCAGAACAAGGTGAGGAACGCAAATCCGAGCCAGAAGAAACCGGTTTTTCCTGATTTTACAGATATCAGTGAGATCATACTCGTTTCATTTGGGGGGAGACATTGAGTGTAGTATAAAACACACCTTTCCAATCCCACGCCTCGGGGTTCATCATGTAGGGCTGGATGACGTTGGCGACGATTTGTCCGAGATAGTAGGTATTTCGGGCAAGCACAATGGTCTTTGATCGCAGACGAGTAGACGACATCTCGGCAGGGATGGCCCAGCCAACTGGTCCAACCATAAGGGAGAACATCAACAGCCAGATAATGCAGAGCGCTGACTGGACCCATTTAACAGATTGGTTGGTCGTGTCAATAGCTAGGCCGCCGATGATGAACAACCAGAGGCACATGCCGCCCATGCCAGTCAGATAAAGCGTTCGCCGGCCGAAACGCTTCATCAGGAACCACGATGCAATAGTACCGAGGAAAGCGATGCCAGTACCTCCGAGATTCAATTTGTAAGAGTCGTCAGAGCTGAGACCGGCTTGTTGGAAGAAGTATGTAGCGGAGTAGGCGAATTGGGCGCCGCAGGTGATCTGGCCGAGGAAGGCGACGCAAGCGATTTCCGTTCGCCGTAGGTCCGTAGATTTGAAGCAATCCAAGTACGACGTGCCAGCCGAGATGTCGCGCTCGAGGTCGTTAGTGTGAATCATCAGCGCTACCAACGATCTCGCTTGGGGCTTTTCATGATCCGCCATCAAACGGAGAACACTCCTTTCGGCCTCGGCGTACTTTCCCTGTCGCACGAGGTACCACGGAGACTCAGGCATGAAGAAAGCTGCGACGGCCAGGAAAGGGATCCACACCCATTGCAGGGCAAACGGAACACGCCAGGCCCAGTTGTCTTGGCGGTTGAGAAAGCTCTGGAGAACGCCAGCCCCGATGAATTGACCAGTTGCAAAGCACATGTTTGTATATGCCGTGAGGTATACTCTGAGGGGCAGGGGGCAGACCTCCGAAGCGTACGCGGGACCAATCGTAGCAAAGATACCCCAAGGGATACTAGAAAAGGTTCGAGTTAACCGTGATATTTACCTTACTACGGTGAGCTACACCGCGATTCCAGTGATAATGGATGGCTTTGCTTACCCGCATAGAATCTGCCCCACAGCCTGAAGCCTGACCGAAAAGCCGAAGAAAGAGACGAAAACAAATGCAGCCATCAGTGTTAAGCCACTGATAAAAGCCGGTCGATAACCAAAACGTGCAATCACGAAGCCGTTGACTAGAGCGCCAATGATTGCACCGGCTTGTGGCCCACTCCCCATGGCACTCTGCCATGCCGCGGGGATTTGATACAGACCAGTGCTTTCATCGACAGTGCCAAATTCGCGCGCATAGCTAGGATATGCGTATAGCGATCCGATGAGGATGGTGTCGTAGCCCTCCATGATGATGGACATGGAGATGGTCAACGCCCACATTACTGCCCATGGGTACGACTTGAGAGCTTGGCGTACGGTCAGGGAGTGCTCGTGGGCATTGGCAGCCTGGGCTTCTGCGAGCGTCGCCTCCCAGATACCTCTCGTCCCAAGGGTAATGTCCGCATTGGATTTGCCCAAGTCGGAGTCGACCTTCTCATCGTGCTCCACAGAATGAAGCTCTTTCGTTCCAGTTTCCATCGTCACACTGAACGAGATGTAGATCGACGATTGATGATTCAGATACTAAGAGCGACGGTTTAAACAAGAGAGATAGGACGAGAAATTATGAATTTTAAGGGAATGAGATCGACGGCCTTATTATGAAGCAATGCTCTCCTTGCATGCGTGAGGATCTAGCCATGTCCGCCAGTTACTCAATGGAAAAAAAAAAAAAAAAGGAAAAAAAGAAAAACAAAGTACCCCAGACCCCGGATTTTCCGCAACAGGGGAGGCCGGAATTTGGGTGTGGGGGCGATGGCGGACGACGGTCACTACGTTCACGAACACCATTCCAAGGTCTGGTGAGAATCTGGCATCCGCGGAAAGGGCTCAATTCTGACATTTCTCCGGTGGGGGTGGTGTTGAGTCTTGGGCTACCTCACAGCAAGGAGGTGTGTAACACGACAGGGTCTACTTTAACCTCGTTTTTTTCCAAGGTTGTCGAGCGAGACCACCGAAGACTTTACCGGCGGTCCCCCGCGCTTCGCAATCAACGCTGTAACCCCTTCAAAGTTTTGTTATAATATAGCTTAACGGTCTCGTTATCGCTGTCAAGTAGGATTTGGGTTTAGATATCCGAGTCTGTGACACTGAGGCAGCTAAATCCAGCTATATAATTAAGGAACATCATTTTATCATGTCATTCACCTTCCCACCATTACTAGCTTCCTCCCAGCTTTCTTAACCTATCGTCTACTAAGATCCCATCTTTTCCACCAGCCTAGCCATTGCTAAGATAGAAGAAAGTAAAGAAAGCATATAGGATACGGCGTGAAGCTAGAAGCGAACTTAGTAGGATTCACGCGTTATACAAACCTGATAAAAGAAACCCATCCTGATACATGTCTAATGGTAAGTGTGTTACTATTGACCTTGAAATAGGAGGACTGAGACTCAACAGGAAGCCAGAAAATCGTCTCGTAATTTAATTTTGTCCACTAATCTTGATCAAGAGAGATAGCTACACTCGCATGAGGCGGATGAGGTGCATAAATACCACCCATGAATTGGATGTCAAGTTGGTACGTGACCACATGACAATTCCTGCTGTTGTATGCATTAAAATTTTCTGTAATTTTATGCTTGTTTCTAAGCCTGTCTTTTACTTTCGTCTAAAGTTTTTGCTCCAATTTTATCGACCCTTTTTTTGGTGAGTGTTTTGCTTTGCTTGGCTCTTGGACTGCAGTCCGCAGAAATTGAAAAGGAAGAATTTGAAGATAGAGGCGTGCAACTAACTTTAGATTTCTGGTTCTTCCACCAACGATTGACGGATATGCCGAAATTAGCTCAGTAGGTTCCTTCGGATCAAACAAAGGGGTTCATATCTGCCGCAAGATCTTCTGAAAATGGCGACATCAAGAAATCGATCCAGATAATATCTCTTGCGATATCAATAAATTCAGATGGTGTCATTTTATTCATTGCAAGCATTTCCCTGTTCATCTGCTGGACATAGACATCTTTGCCGTCATGGTATCGCAGTAATGCAAGAGTGACAAGAGCCCAAACTTTCAGCTCAATATACTTTTTCCCAAGTATCTCGACATGCTTAGTGAAAAAGTCAGCAAGCCTAGCATGTAGTAATTCTTGCTCGTTTGGGGGGAACGCAAATGATTCCTTTAGTTTCGACATGAGCAAAAGACAGGTAAGCCGAACCACTTCTCTCACGACAAGATCTTCTGAGTCAGATATATTCATGAAATCACTGGGGGGTCTTGGCATTGAAAGTAAAAAGTGAATGCAGGGGCCGATCAACCGGATCGCATCGAGATCTTTCTTCCAAAATGATGCACTGCGGCTATTCATGTTGATGACATCCGCAATTGAGGAGACCATAATCAATGCTTGACCAGCATGAAGGAATGCAGCGGACATGGGCTGGATAAGTAAGGCTTGTAATCGGGGGGCGGGTTGTCTCGCATATCTATGGGATATACCGACGAGTTGTGGTGGAAGCTCAAATCGCGGATTCGAGTCAAAGGCCATAGAGCCAGCTAAGTCGTACCTTTGTGAAGATTAATCAGGATGAATAAGAAGTGATTCCCAAGGAATGCCAAATTCCAGAGCACTCACAGCAGTATTAGAAGGGTCATCTGATCTCCGAGATCGGCGAATCCGCCACGAGCGTTCGCTATGAGACCCAAGCCATTCATATGGATACTCCAACCATCCCAATTATCGCTTCTTATCTTCCAAAAGAGTCAGTCAGGAGCTCAGTTTCGAGAAAGTAGCACATACAGCGAGACAGATATGCCCCAATATATTGGCGATGACCCCTTTGCTGGTACTCTCCGTGTGGTTATTAAGGCGGTGTCTTAATATCCTTGTTGAAACTCCAAAGTGACTCAAAGCCTCCGAAGATTTCACTCTGTCATCGCCACTAATCTGATACAAAGCATGAGCTGCGTTGCCGAGAGTCACATGGAATGCCCCGGAGTCGCATAGCGCTATCTCAATCCAAATGGACTTGAGTGGCTGGTAGCCTGGAGCTGTTACGACTAGTTCGAAGTTAGTATTGGTGAATCTGGCGAGTCAGAACCACAACGAAAGCTAGGTACGCTTACGGAAGTGCATAAGTTCGAGGGTGCGAGTATCAGCCTCAATGGGGAACTGAGCGACCGTGGTCAGATTGTATCTGGGCGAAATGGTGCTTGTATTTGTTCCATGAGGTTGAGAAATTTCAAAGTCTCTTGATTCTGAAGAAGATGTTTGAGTGGCCCGCCAAGAGGTTTCTTTAGGTCGTGGACGCCTGCGTCGTTGGCCGATATCCTTCATGACGTGACGACGAATCTCCGTTCGTACCTCATGCTGTTGATTTAAGTCATCTGGATGAGATAGATTTATAAACTTGAGATCTTGAGCTGGCGACGGTTTGAAGCCTGTCCGCTTTCTTGCCATCATTCGTTGTCCTTGCAGACTACGGGTGGTGGTGTGGGCATCCAGTGTCGGTGTCTCGGCGACACCGGCGTTCCACTCCAAGTTATCCATATGCACCTGCAGTGACAAGATCACGCAGCCAGTCCGAATGAGCTGTCAAAAGTCGTGTGCTGACTGACTGTCAATGATGTCGCAGGCTTCTCGGGGATAGGAGATACTGTATATCCGCCAGGATTAGTCACGACACGAGAACGCTCGAGGTCGCGTTAGCTACCAGGCAACTTCTCTACAGAGCAATATACGAAAAGTCAACTACTATTTTTATTCGAGACGGCATGAGGCTAACAACAAATGAATACAAAAAGCATGACATTTACTCTTCTTCTCGTGGTTGACAAAGCGCCATGGCTCGACGGTCCGCCAGATTGCCAGGATCTCGACACCAAACTAGCGAGAACCACCCTAATAAATCACCCTGTCGCAGACAATTGCATGCCAAAAATAAGTTGCAAGCCAAGTATGACGAGGATTCGCATCAAATGCAACTATCAAAGTTGGTCAATCCACTGGAGAGCAATCTCAGGTTCCAAACGGTATCGGTATTCAGGGTTCACAAAGGTATTGCGAACGATTCCCGTTCGATCGACAAGGATCGTCGCAGGTACAGGAACCCCCAGGTCATCATTGCCGTATCGCTGCTTCCAGTCCACACCAAACTTGTCGAAAACAGTTCGCATAGAGTCTGGCTGAGCGAAAAACAGGCCGAGCTGCTTCGCCAGCTGATTGCCAACGTCGGAGAGCACAGGGAATTTCAATGATAATTTCTCGGACGTGGACAAAGACTGGTCAGGTAGCTCCGGAGACACAGCAACCAAGGTAACGCCTCTCTGGTGAAACTCGTCCAAATGGGCTTGAAGCGCGCGCAGTTCTAGGTTGCAGAACGGACACCACTCACCCCGGTAGAAAGATACCAGGATGGCGCCTTTCTCGAGAAGATCGCTCAGTGACACTTTGTTACCAGTCGCATCGGTCAACTGAAATTGCGGAAAGGTGCTCCCCGGCTGGATTGCTCCAGCAGGGTCATAGACACTTTTGAAATTATCAACCGCGTCGTTAATGACGGAGGTCACTTCCTTGGGGGCGGTTTCAAGAAACTGCTCGTAGACAGTCGAAAGTTCTTTGTTGAGGGACATCTTGATAGTCAGACCTCTGTCTGCCAAGGTAAAAGATGAGATTAAATGGAATGAATGCTTGGATAAAGAGTTGGTGATGTGATGAGTGTAGTAATTGATCCTATCAGAAGGGAAATGGCTTCATATTTATATTGTCGACTGGCTACACCCACATCCATGCTCGGGACCTGGTAAGCCAACCCTGTATTATTAATTTGAAAGCCGAAGTCCGAATTGGCGCAATTTCAAAGACTCAGATATACCATTCCGATAAGCCAGGTAAAGAGAAGGCTGATGTAAATTGGCTCATAATAGGATAGTTGTTGATTAGGATGTAAGTAATGTGAGCCTAAGTTCCCGATTAGGAAACCAGTGAGTAGGTTCAGCCTAACCGTATTCAGATGTCGGTCCCCCTTTGGTTAAGAGCTTAGCGCACTTTAGAGTTCAGACTTACCAAATTGGGTGGGTGTTTCTTTAACTCCACATGCGGAAAGGGGCTAAGCGCCTCCGATTGATCAAGAGACAAGTGATGCAGTATCGACATTCGCGAGGGATTTCCGTGAATAATTTGATCTAGATCATTCGAATCTTATCAAGTGACCAGGTAAGGACAGACTGATTATGAATCGAGCGTATAGCATTACCACAGCGAAGAAATGTCGAATCACGCATTATTCAGCCTTAAACACCTGAGAGCCGAGAGTATATAAGATAGGCTAACTAGGTGAGAGCTTGGGGTCTCCATTGAACATTTCGAATCTATCATCGCACCGATCATAAGACCACTGCACCAAACCAAAAAAATTTGGATCATTCTTTTCGTTAAATCCACTTCTTCTTCATCTTCATCACCTTCGTCAGATTCGCTCATAATCACTCTCGTACTTCGGAAAAAACCCCTTGCTCCACGATGTCGCGTCTTATCGTTATTCTCGGCATTACCGGTGTGCAAGTGAGTTTCGAAAGTTGATCTTTGGATATGCTTCATTGATTCGAGGCTCAATTTCCAGCTTGACTGACACCGAAGCTGTAGGGAAGCTCTGTTGCCGACGCTTACCTTTCGAGTCCCGGTTGGAAGATTCGCGGTGTGACGCGTAACGTTGCCTCTGATAGTGCAAAGTCATGGGAAACGAAGGGGGTTGAGATAGTCAAGGGTGATCTGGACGATGTGGAGTCCTTGAAGCGAGCCTTCGTGGGGGCCAACATCATCTTCGGCGTTACCGACTTCTGGACAATCTTCAAGGATCCAGAAAGCCTCAAAAAGAAGAAGCTCGGCCAAACGCTCGTGGAATATTGCTACGATGTTGAGCTCAAGCAGGGAAAGAATATTGCCGATGCGGCGGCCACTGTTCCTAACCTTTCCCGATATATCTTCAGCTCAATGGCTCATGCTAAGAATTCCAGTAACGGCAAGTTCGCTGAGCTCTATCACATGGACTCCAAAGCAGAAGCCGCTATCTATGCACAGAGCATCCCGGCGCTAGCTGGAAAATTCTCGCAGATTCAGGCGCCGATTTATTTCCAGCTCCCTTGGGCATGGGGACTCCCTACAACACCAAAAAGGGTATGAAAAAATGACTCGTTACAGCTGGTGATTCTCTGAATCGCACTCCCTAGCATATTTTGAGATATTGACTTGTTTCATAGGCAGCCGATGGAACTTGGAGAATGGCAGGAATTGGCCCCGGCAACAAGGGCATCCCGTTCGGACACGTTCGTAAAGATTTCGGTCCTTGCGTCAAGGCAGTTGCTGAGTCTGAGCCTAAGACCAACTTGTTTGCTGTTGGGGAATACGTGTCGTGGTCTGATTATCTTCGAATCTTTTGCGAAACTCAAGGCTTCAAGTCCGGTAGCTACGAAGAGCTTTCCTACGACAAATTCTGTGAATTGCTCCCCGGAGGTCTTGGTCACGAATTTGCTCACAATGTACTATTTTCCCATGAATTTGGCTACGAAGGTAGTGACCCTACCGTTGTGCGACCAGACAAGGTAATTATATTCTGCTAGTTATCTTATTATCATTCTGAGTGATCGTTGACATCTTTTATAGTTTGGTCTGAAAATGACTTCGTTCCGCGAGTATTGTCAAGAGACTGATTTCGGGGCACTATACGGTGGAATATGAGAAAGATCTGGGACCTTTGAAATTCACTAAAGATGGCTTTCATGGTACATTACAGTCTCTAAGCCAAGTTTTCCGTTGTGATAGATATCCATTCATTTACTTGATAAAAACTTTATCTCATCTGATCTCAGTACATACAACCATAGTGGGGGCTTTACAGAATAAAACCAAATGCATATCCAAAAAAACAACGCTCAAAATGCATCTAAACCCCCTATATACACATATCCCAACCAGGGCCCAGATCTACAAAAGCCAACCCAAAACAAGCACACCAACCCCCCAAACCCCCCACCCAGCAACAACCCTAGCCCCACCATTCAAATAATACGCAGCCCCAAGATAACTACAAGTAATATCGCCATCCCCATTCCGATACCCATAACTAGCATTCAACCACTGGCCCGTGGGACACCCAAAGCCCAACGTCGAAGGACAAGACTTAACAAGCGTATAACAAATATCCTGACAAGGCAGAATCTCCTTATACGGACCGGGCTGGATCTGCGAATCGATAAGCGGATTGCGACTCGAGTTTGTCACGACGCTTTGTCGGTACACGCTCTCAGCTGGTAAAGAGGAGCCGTTGATGAATGGTTGGCCTGCGTTGCGGACTTGGAGGTAGGATTCGTCTTTGGTGAAGTCTTCGCAGCGGGGGATGGAGACGCTGCAGAGCCATTGCTTGTAGGCGTCTGCGCAGTCGTCGCAGCCGACGGCAAGGGAGTACATTGATTCGGGTTCGGCGGAGCATTGGACTTGTTGGAGGCTGTAGTTGAAGCTTTTGTAGTAGTCTGAGGCGTAGGTGTCGTAGATTGTGCGGAGTTCGCTGACGTTTTTGCGTTTGGGGTTTGCGGGGACCGCGTAAGCTACTTCGGAGCAGAAGGTTAGGTTGAAGAGTACGGCGCAGTTATCGTCTGATAATCTTGTTAGCAGAGAGATCATAGTGGAGTAGCCATCGGGTTATTCAAAATGCGTACCTGCTTTCGTGGAGAAATTCATCGCCTTCCACACAGACCCACCACCGCCGATAATTCCATTCCCGGATTGAGTCGAGTTACCAACCATAGCAAGAATGCCATTGTACGTCGAACTCCGATTCAACCCGGTAATGTAAAACTGCTCCTTGGGCTTATTTCCCAATCCACGAGAAGTCATACCCATCTCAGTCGAATTGCTAATCCGACCTAACGTTGAAAGCCGATCCAACGCGCAAAATGACCGCTCCAGTCCTGCCAGCGCCGTATTGTTGATATTGTGCGCGAACATGGTATACGGCGGGCTCAGCTTCATCCATTCTTTGTAATTTGTCGAGTTGGGCTCGGACTGAGTCAGGTTATTAGTGACCAGCAAGGCGGCTGAAACATCAGCATCGATGAAGTAGAGGAATGAGTCGTTATGGACGCTGTGGAAGGGCGCATCGATAGATGCAGCAATTTGATATTGGTAATCTCCAGAGAATGTGGTCGAGTTGCGTGCTACGACGCCGATGAAAATGTCGCCGTCGGTCGTGATATTAGCAGTCGCGTAACCACCCTCCGCGGTGATCATTGTCTGCAGGCTATCGTCCTTGCCAGGTCCGGGCTTTTCAAGCGACTCGTCCGTCGAGTAGTAAATCTCTAATTGAGGGAATGAGCCGGGAACCGTGTCACTGCTATTAGACGTCGGCGTGCGACACGTCGTCAGCGATAGATAGACCGTCGTCTGGTCACGCTTAGCCAAGGGCTCAGCTTGTTGTCGTTTGCGCAGTTCAAGCTTGATATCGTCATTCTCCTCCACGCCCCGAGAACTCAAACTCGCGGGTAACGTCGATATCGTAGTTGCCTGCTTCCCATTCACCACCTCCTTCGTGACGAAGAACCACTGTATGTCTCCAACCTCCAACGTCGAATCCTGGAACTGGTTGTTACCCAGCGACTTCGCATCACTGGGATAATTCCTCCGCACAAGGTCCAGCTCGGCCGGTTCCCCATCCTCGCCCACATTATCTCGCAGCTCCAGCCCATTAAACGAGTCCAGCGCAACGGGGAAACCTGCCCCGTCGCTGATGATCGGCCCGCCGATCAGGCTGCTCTCCGTTTCGTGGGAGACGTCCGCGGCATGGCTGGTTGAGGCATGAACGATGCCTGTGAAGAGCGGATTAAGTGTGCCGAGGACCGTTGCAGTCAGCAAGTACTGCAGGGCAGCGTATTGTTGTCGCATGGAAAGTTGACTTGGGGGGGTTCCTGTGGTGCGGGATTGCGCATGGAGATGTGTTCTTCAGGTCGGTGGCGCATGTAAGATAGGGTAGCTTCCAATGTTGGCGATTGCTCCTGGGCAAGCAGTTTAAGACCCACCAACTTGCGAACCTCTTCCTGAAAGGTGTAATGTCCTCTGCTGCATGTGGAAATGTGTTGGAGGGAGGAACCGATGCTAATCGCGGACGGCCTTATCGGATTATTGTTGCCTTGATGCCTTGGCGCCACGGACCGACGCGTGGCTAGTGAAGTATACAGGCCAGTCTAGATTTAGACCCATCGAACACTAGCTATGAGCAAGTACAAATTTAATCTTCTAATGCAATCATATATATTTTCAGGTATTCACAGATTCAAAGCAGAACTATACGATAATGCCAAATATACTCGAAGGTAAATACCACGCTCACAGAGCTGGCCGTCACAGAGAATCACAAAAGATATCAACACACGGCACAGCCAGAGAAAATAAGTCACGGAAAATGAAACCAAGTAAACTCGTAAATCAGTTCTCTCCTAGCCAAAAAATCCCCCCTTCCACAACATCATTAGACCAGCTTCTGCCACCTCGCCAGGCACATACTGAAAACCACAATGGCTCCCATCACGCCCAGAATACCAAAGAACCATCCCAGGCCGTCGGCGTTCTTACCCGGCACATTAACGTTCATACCGAAAAGACCACAGATCAAGTTCATCGGGACTAGGATAGTCGCGATCAACGTGACCTTGCTCAGCACCTTGTTGACATGGTTGCCTAGCACGAGGTTGGTCACATTCAGCTGAGCCAGGTAGTTGGTGTGCGAGCGGCTGAGCATCTTCTCAAAATGAGCCAAGTTGGACATCATGGTCACCACGTGATCCTGAATGTCACCCAGATACAGTCCGATGTCGCCGCGAGGCGTAACCGAGTACTGCTCGTTGCATCGCTTGGAGAAACCACGAATAACGTCCGCCTTGCCACCCAGCAGACGCATGAGACTCATAACCTTCTTGCGGAGACCGCCAATGCGTGGCAGGAAGGACTCAAAGTCGTCGACGCGCGCGATGAACACATGGTCTTCGATCGCCTCGGACTCGAGCTCGACATCCCGAATAACGGGACCGAAACTATCGACAATGTCGTCGATCATGGCATAACAAATCCAGTCGCTACTGAGCGAGACGTAGTCGCGCAGCTTACCAATACGCTTGCGCACGTTGGAGGCGTGCGGGTTCTCCTCGAAGGAGAAAGTCAGCACTCCATCCCGGAACACCACCATGTAAAAGTTGACCGGTTCCAGGAACTCCTCGCTAGTCTTGTCCATCTGATAGAAAGTGCGGAAACAGACAAAGTAGTACTGCTTGAACAGTTCCACCTTCTCGCGCGCCTCCTGTGTCAGGATATCCTCCGTGGTCAGCGGGTGGATCGAGAACGCTCGCGAGATGGCACCGAGCTCCGCCTCCGTAGGATTGACCACATCCAACCACCACACACCACCCTCGGGGCCCAGCTGGAACAGGTCACGGAAGCTGTCACCGGGGAGCACCAAATCACCCAATTCAGCCGCGTGCACGGTGGTCTGCGACTCGGACGAGAAGAACCCAAATCGCATGGGCTCATTGATGTTGGGCAGGGTCTCAACCAGCTCCTTCTCGTCCAGTACATTGCTGGGTCTCTTCTCATCCACCTCTTCACACACCTCGCAAGTATCCGACGAATCGGCCGAATCGGCCGTCTTGAATTCCTCCAAACCAGGACTCTTCACACCCTGACGCAGATCGTAAAAGATGCGAGGCTTCTTGCTCTGCGAGCTCAGGCTATGCTTGCGGCGGCAATTGTTGTTGCCCGTAGCAATATTGGTTTGCTGGTTCAGAGCCACAAACTCCTCCAGTTCCTCATAGTCGATGACCGGGATACGGCCGGGCTCGTCATAGGTAATTGGCACACCGGGCTCCTCCGGCGCACACACGGAGATGTCACCGGGCGGGGGACGGATGGCACTGGCGTTGCTGAAAGTCGGACGGCGCGCGTGGGTGCCTCCCGAAACAGTACGTTGCAGCAAAGCCTCCAGATCTGGGGGCGCATGGCTTTCCAAAGTGTTGGCACGCTCGCGCCGACGAGGGTCCGCAAAAGCATCGACTGAGTTGGGCGGCGAAGACGAACGCGCCGAGACAGAAGAACTGCGGGACAAATTCCCTCCTGCCAGTTCCTGCTGGGCGCAGCTGATACGGCGAGGCGTGTGGAAATTCGCCGTGGGATCGACCGAGAAGCGTCGGCCCATTCCAGCTACGTCATGCTCCGAGCGATCGTCGTCGATCACTGCTTGTTCAAAGTCTCGAAAGACGGGAGCGCCTTCGCGCAGGGCATCTTGCACCTGCAACAGGTCGGGACGATCGGGCATCAATTCGCCTCTCGGTCCTTGCTGAGCAGCGGTGTTCTGGCGGCTCAATGGCTCTTCTTGCGGGGCCTCGATGCGCGGGGTATTCACGGCGTTCATATGGAAGCGGTGGTCATCCAGCTCGGGAACAGGAGTACTGTACCGGGTCAGGCACACGTCCTTCTCGGAACGGTGGCTGCTGGACATGGCTGCGGTGTGTTTATTTTGCTTTTCTGGTGGTTTTGATTGAAGGATGTTGCTTTTCTGGGGAGGATTGGAGGGGAAGAGGAGGTGAATCGGGTAGATCGAGTTTCGAGTTTAGCACGCCAGGTTGGGCTAATTTTGAATTTCCCTTTGAGATGGGAAATGTCGGTTATCGACTTTGAGATTTGGTGTTTTGAAGTTGTTAAGTTTGATATTGCTTTGTCGGCAGCACGAACAGCCACAGAACGTAAGCCGGTGTTCTTTTCTGATTCAAGAGGACCGTATTATGGGAAACGGGCCTCCATCCATGAGCCAGACCCTTCACGAGGGTCTGGCGTTCCCGACGTACGTCTGGCTGCGACGCTCAAAAGGGGGATTAGGCCAAGTTAGGGGGGTCTGGTGTCGCCTCCGCAGAAGACCCGGAACTTAGGGCCTGCAAGAGGGTGGAGGAGAGAGGAGTACTGAGTGTAGCGAAGTCCCGCCAACTTGAATGAGTCAAATGAAGGGGAGCGATAGTGCTCCAGGGCGACGACTGGGGGAGCGAGCGAGCAAAAGTGGACGCGAGCGAGCTGAGTCGCAAGCTTTATCAGAGAGGGTGAACTTCAGAGGGTCACTCGCAGAGTCTTCCACGGACGGGAAATGAACCTGCAAGGGCCTCGTAGAGGGGGTTTGGAGTTGGTTGATAAAGGCTGCAGAGATTTGACAGGGAATCTGCTTTTCCCAAGTAGAGCGGTAGTAGTTATATGTCTCGACAGACGAGAGGGGGAAGTGGGTGAAGGAAAGAGGAAAAAGTGGCGCCGAGACGAAAGGTTTGTGGCGAGAGACGCACGGGCTAAAATGGACGGCGGGCGATGATTGCGGGCGCGGGCCAGTCACGGCGACGGTAAATCATTCAGGTTCTCCATAGTGTATATACTCTGTACCGGAGAGGATCGTATGGATAGATCCACCTCGAGAATTAAATAAGAGAAACTCTTTAGATATTTCTAGGATATCTATTCTGATATTCTACTACATTTCATATATAATTGACATAGATATACTCAATCTTCCTGTACCGCCGTCGTATTGTGAAAATTTTCGGCGGGTCGGGTTGCAGACGGGGTTCGCCGGCCAGAAAAGACTAGAACGAGAGTTTTACCCTCTTTCGTCCATAGGTTGTTCCAGCCACACGTTTACCCCCTAGACTCCTAGAGCCCTAGGGCCAGTCCCTCGTCACCACTCCCGTTAGCCATGAGGCATTTGTTGCCGAATCTTCACCGGCATATCCTGGTACTTTTCGAGATAGGGTTAAGCGCTGACCATCAGTGCTTTTTTTCTTGTACCCTGCAGACTATGGCGTTGATCGGATGACCAGTGAATTGAGGCCTTTAACATGTAGCCTATGATCAGTCTTCTCTAAATTATTCTACGGAGTATGTCCGTACTTAGTAGGACTAATCCACCGAACTGCCAGTAGCGAAGACATGACTCCATAGTTAGGCACCTATCTTTTGTTCTCCCTAGATATGTACTCCATCCCCAAGAGACTATCACTAGTTGTAACACTACTTGAAACCAAAGGCCCATATATAACCATCACAGAAGACACTAATCATATCGAGAGACTAGCATAGGTCCAGCATGCACGGAATAAGTCTCCTCTTAGTCCCACCTTGAAGGTGTCGGCTATCTCAAGTGGAGACTAAAAGAGCAGCCCGGCAGCGATGGAGCATCACAAGAAGTGGAGGAAAAAGAAAAAGAGCACACGACACCTGATCACCACTAAATCCAATTCAGCCTATGAAGTTCTCCGACTGACCACTCTAACACCCTAGTCTAGCCTTACCAATCGAGCCAATTGACTCTCCACGAGTCCGCAGTTGATCAGCTCCACTCTTTTCCCCGACGTCGGACGCTCTTTTTTTCGCCAAGACCCGCATTCGAGTCATACAACCCCTCCATACAATTCGTAGCAACTCCGACGCAAAAGGCACAGTAACAACAACACCTTTCCCCCTCAATTGCACCAATTCCTCTAGGTACCGGGCCATTGAATCCTTGGAGGCTTCTGATTCGCAATTTATTTCCCTCCTGCCCACCATGGCCTCCTCTTTCGTGATCAGAACCCCTTGCTCCTCCGCCAACATCGGCCCCGGCTTCGACGTGATCGGCCTGGCCTTGTCCCTCCATCTCGACATCCACGTCACCGTCGACCCCTCCAAGGGCTCCTCCACACTCCCGCTCAACTGCGCTATCACCTACGAGGACCAGAGCAAGTCCACTGAGAAGATTAGCCTCGACCCCGAAGTCAACCTCATCACCCGTGTCGCCCTCTATGTCCTCCGCTGCCATGACCAGCGCGCTTTCCCCGTCGAGACCTCCGTGCACATCGTCAACCCTATCCCGCTGGGTCGGGGTCTGGGATCGTCGGGCACGGCCGTCGTCGCCGGTGTAATGCTGGCGAACGAGGTCGGTAAGCTGGGTTTGAGCAAGGACCGCCTGCTCGATTACTGTTTGATGATTGGTACGTGAGATATTCCTTGGAACTTGGACCAAGCATACCAACGGCTTTTTACTTCCCGGCGCAGGGTTCTGCTTCAGACTAGTATCTGCAAGAGAACTCATAGCGGGAGTAAAAGGAACAATTGGATCTTGCTTGGTCCACAACAACTCCCCGCATAATCGTATACTCACGCATTCCTCCCTACAGAGCGACACCCCGATAACGTTGCTGCATCCCTGTTCGGTGGCTTCGTTGGCACGTACCTGAACGAGCTGAAGCCCGAGGACGTTGCGCGCAAAGAGATCCCTCTCAGTGAGGTCCTGCCCGCGCCCGCTGGAGGTATCGATACCGGTGTCAAGCCCCCAGAGCCCCCATTGGGAATTGGTCACTACCGCAAGTTCGACTGGGCCCCGGAGATCAAGGCCATTGCAATTATCCCGGACTTTGTGGTGCCGACTGCCAATGCCCGCAACGTGCTTCCCCAAACCTACACCCGGGCCGACGTGGTACGTATGAGAATCGAGAAATATACCTTTTAGAAGACTCAATCCCTTCCCTCCAAGACGGCCTTGGTCTTTACTAAAATCTACGATATCTAACACTCTCAATTGTAGGTCTTCAACCTCCAACGCGCTGCCCTCCTACCCGCTGCCCTGGGTAGCTCTCCACCAGACCCGGACATGATCTACCTCGCCATGCAGGACAAGGTGCACCAGCCATACCGCAAGACCCTCATCCCAGGTCTGACCGAAATCCTGCAATCAATGAGCCCGGCCACCCAGCCCGGTCTTCTGGGTATCTGCCTGTCCGGCGCTGGCCCTACCATCCTGGCCTTGGCCACGGATCGCTTCACCGAGATTGCTGACCGCATCATCGCCCACTTTGCCACTAACAACATCACTTGCCAGTGGAAGCTGCTCGAGCCTGCCCAGGACGGTGCCACCGTCTCTCCGAAATAGAGCTGTTCCCAGGGGATGCTCCCTGTTCTTCCCAGCGTCATACGGTCGATCGTTTCGCTGTAAGTGGGCTCGCGATTTAAATATGACGCGCGTTGCACGCTGCCGTTCGTGTAGATGCATCTAACGACGGTGAGCCGGGAGCCGGGAGCCACGAGGGCTCAGTCCTCCTTGGATCGATCTGGGGGCAGGGTGCGTGAGTCGAAGCAGCTTCGAATGGCGCGTGTCCATGAGCTGACCGGCACGAGCGCACCCACTCCACCTCCCTTCTCGAGCCATGTGTCGGGATGCAAGATGGATAGTTTTGTTCACCGCTGCTTCTGCTTCTGCTTCTCCCGCATCATGCATGGCATCTGCATGTGGGCTGGGAAGATCATCCATTTTTTCGCTTGTTTCTTTTATCGTTGATCAATTAGCCTGGAAAAGTCATTTTTGGGACTGGGGTTCGTGGGAGACCGAGCGTTTGGATGCTGGTCGTTTTGTTACGAGTGGTCGCTTATTTTGAAGTATGAATATGCGGACCGGGTTCTATAGAGATAGACATTTGGAGTATATAGATGAATCATGAGCAACACGTCACCTTTTTTTGGGAAAAGTCCTCAATTAAACATAAACAAGCCGTATTTTCAGCATTGACAATGTAAAGTACTCTCGAAATTGACCAAGTCCGTCATTCGAAGTATAGTGCTTCTTGAATACTGTCCACTACGTAGCTCTCCGTCCCGCAGGCGGAGGCGGTGGGCAGATGACAACATTACGATAAGCGCCTCCCCAGGAAACTCCGATCCCAAGCCGCGACCAAAGTTCGGATCCTGTCGTCCATTCACCTACCAGTAATAATGGATAATATCCTCGCTCCGTTGCAAGATGCCTTCGAAGGCCAGATTGTACGTTACCATCACCACCGCGCCATACTACACTACACCATCATCCCTGCCCTGCTGGCCTATACAATCCCGCAATCCAGACACGAAGAGCGCGACATAGCTAACAACATCTAGGACTTCCACGGTCAACGGCTAGCTGAGCTACTTAGCACGGTACTGCTAATAATCTTCGGCGTAAGCGTTCCTCTCCCCACGTCCAACCTACAAGCTACGAGCTCTACTCTTCCAAACCGAAGCAAGCAATCGCCAGACTAACCAAATCCCATAAACCCAACAGGCAATCAGTTTCCTCGTCGGCTACATCTACAAAGATATCCATCTCACGCTATGGACCGGTCTGGGCGGTACACTGTTCACGGCGCTGGTTGTTGTTCCGCCGTGGCCGTTCTATAATCAGAATCCTGAGAAGTGGTTTGGGAGTGTGACGGGGAAGGTTGGGGGTGCGAGGGTTGTTGTTGATGGTGTTAAGGTTGCTTGAGGCAGGGAACAGAGAAAATATTTGGGAATTTTGTTTGGGATCTGGGAGTATAGACAACGCTGCTGAGTGTGGATATCTTTCGGAAATTGTGTATGCTAGAGCTACATCTACAACTCCAAGGGCGGGGAATAACAAGGATCATTGGTTTTTCCAACGTTTGTTTGAGACGTGATTTCCAGCCTTTCCGATCCTGTTTTGACTCTCGTGGCCGTCGCCATGGAGCTAGGTATCTGCGAATGTGTGTGTATTTGTAAGAAAGCTTTCAAAGGGCTCATAAGCCAACGCCCAGGCATTGCATTGTTCTCGTAGAATATTGTAAAAGGGAAAACATGGAAATTCACTCGTGAAAGACGACGCCCAGCGCCGTCTACCGTCCGTACTTCTGGAACTCCCAGTCTCGGTTGTCCAGTGGGCATACCTGTCGGGTCTTCAGCCATCGGGAGATGCAGTGGAAGTGGAATGCGTGCTGTAGAGAGAGGGATGTTAGTCAACACGGTCATGGACAAGGACAAGAACGGGGTTCCGGTTATCGGTTTGGAATGGGTATACGGACGTTGCAGATACCCCATGCGACGGTGCATTCCTCGTTGGTTGATGAGCCTTGGTTTGCTTGGCATTCGATACCTGTGGTTGTAGTGTTAATGTTAGCATTGATGCTGGCCCATCAGCGAAGACACCTCCCCGTGGAGACGTACACAAGTCCATAATGTGGTTTCGGCAGATGGCGCAGTTGTCAACGACGATATCCCAGGCCCAGAGGGCGACTGCATTCCACTAGATAGAGTCTCAGTTGAGCTGTTCTCGTTTTCAAGGTGGGTTGCTCCCAAGGTAGCAACTGCTGGATATATCTACCTTCTTGACTTCGAACTTCTTCCTATCACTGGCTCCGTCGGTGCCCTTTGCGACGGCCTTGCCCTTGGATGAAGAGGCAGAGGCTTCTTTCATTTCAACGTCCGCCATAGCTGTGGTTGTGTGGGTGTGACTTGTGGTTATGGTGGTGTCGGAGGCGGAGATTGGGAGAATGAATCGAGGGTTGGAGAGAGGGGATCACGTAGGGGACCCTCTCGTGGCGGCAGAAATAGGTGTAGCGATTAGACCCTAGGAAATTGTGGTGGCGGGAGGACAACCTTGGAGGTGAAAGGGATGATGGTAATATGGAAATGACCAAGGAAGATGACGGACACGGCGGAGCCTCAAAGGTTCTGGATAGCTCCCCCACTCCGTTGAACTGTTTGATTGTGTTTGTTCCTCAGTAGCTAAGCCTACTCCTAATTGCCAGGCGGTGAGTAGGGCGGTCTGAGCAAAAACACTGGGTGGCGGAAATCCTTAGTCATCCCCCGCTACGTCTGCGACCTGACTCCAGCGTCACTTGGCGATGACTCTCCTCTCTTCCTCCTCTACACCTACAACTTCCGCTAGACATGTCTCTCTCGTGCGATTTGCTCGTGCCTTTCTCTTCAACACTCTAGACCTCCTTTTCTCTTTCTGTGCTCGGTCCTTCTCTTTGCAACCCGTTGCACTCCCTGTTCGTTCTTTGCGCTCCGGCGTTGAATCATCTCTCTAATACCGTCGACAGCTGCTGAGCAGTGACTGGGCTTCATCCTTTGACTTTCCCGTTACCCGTGTTTCTCTCAGCGCTTGTGCCCTTTTGTTTCTTCTCCTTTCTCCGAATATCTTCCCATCCAGGCTGCCTATTTTTTAAGCCAAAACAACCCACCGTCATGTCGACCCAATCTCCTCACCTTCCCACTCCCAAGGGCACTCGGAATAGCAACAACGCCAACAACAACAACAACAACAACAACAACAATCACCGAAGACCCTCGAAGAAGCTGACTACCCCGCATACACAAAATTCCACTTTGTTGAGCACCCCGCCATCTTCGCCCCCGCGCAACATGAGTCCGGCTGGCGTCACAACCGATTCATCGGTCAACGTCCAAAACAAGAAGAAGCCTCCACGCTCCGGCAAGAAACCTCTGCCCCGCAACGGTAATGGAGTTTCGCCTGCCCCAAGTCAGAACGGGCACCGGCACACCAATTCGCAACCCAGCGTGGCGACTCCAGCGAAGGATAGCTCGGCAGCCTATGCAGGCCCAACCTTCCATGCGTCACCCGCCCCGTCGGCACTGCCCATCCCGAGCTTCTTTTCCAAGTCTTTCCCCGAATCCGATCTTGCCCCGACTCTAGAGACCGACAGCGACAATGCGGAGATAGAACCCGATCTTGAGACTACTCCGTCCAAACCTCGTGCTGCTCGCCCGCAGACTGCAGCCGTGACTCAGCCGGCGCAACCTTCCCCTCTCGATTTCCTGTTCAAAGCTGCTGTGCAGGCTCGTACTTCCAATACCATGGGTAGTCCCGAGGCCGCCGCTCGTGTGCGCTCGCCGCAGACCGATTCCAAAGTGTTGCGTTCAAATCCCAACCACACACCCGGTGGAATGTTCCCAATGGATCTCGAAACTGAGCGTGCCCGGGCTTCGCCAATCGGTCCTTCGTTTGCTCCTTCGTATCAAGATCGCATGAACGCGTTGCGATCTTCTAGTTCTCCGTCTCAGTCACCTAGTCCCGCTCTGGGTGCTAGTACTGAAGATCAAAACCGTTTGAAGACAGAGCAGCTGAAGTACATGTTGCTGAACCCTCGGCCTCAGGAGCCACCTTCGTCAACATCTCCACCAGCTCAGGCTCAGCCTGGCAACTACGGAGCTCCCAATCCTCTTCGGCCCAACATCAAATCGACCGTCCCTCACTACGCCACTCCGATGCGCACGTACTCGGGTCCTCCAGCTCAAGGGTATTCCGGTCCACCACATTCAGGGCACACTGACAACAACCATCATAACAACGCTGGTCGTCCGTCGTACCCTTACACCCATGCCAATGGCTCCCAGCCCTTCCGGAATACAAACTCGCCTCTGAGACGCGAAGTCCCCGGAGTTAATGGCTATACCAATGGCTATGGCAATGGTTACTACAGCAATGGTCACTCTTCTGGCCAATCGTCGCCTGCACCCTACGGGAATAATCATTATGCGGCCACTGCTCCCGCTCCTATGCCGCACCAGGCTGGCTTTATCTCTCCACAGCCGCAGTACACCCATGCAGCTTTTCCCCTGCCAACTAATTCTCCATCTCCGGCAACTTCCCGGCCGATCGATACCAAGAAGATGGAGGATGACTTGCGGCGAATCCTGAAGCTGGACGCTGCTCAAGCTCCTGGGCCAGGCCTTCCATCTAGTGGCATGCAGAGTTCATTTGCTGCTTAGCTTTCATTTTTTCATTTTTTCCCTCTCTTTTTGGTTTTTGATGAATGGGCATTTTTAAGGATGATGATATGGGCGTGATCTTTTCTTCTGCACAACTTGTCTTTTCTCAACACATTCTTGCTTTCATCGAGGGTCTGGATGTCTTCTATCTGCCATGTCTTCTTCTTTTTCTTTGGTTTTTAACGGCTTCATGCATCGGTTTCACAGGCGGTTTGCATAACATTCATGGACTGGGTCCATGAATGTCTCTGTTTTCTCGTGTTACCCTCGGCGGCTCATACTTTGATCTTTTCCTGTCCATTTCATCTATTCTTTGGCAATCATGTTTCCTTTCCTATGTCCCCTGTCTTTTTTTTTCTCTTCGCTTCAACGTCTATGACCTCTTCTTGCCACATGACGACAACGGTACTCGGTCGGGTGGTGTTTCTCATGATGCATTGGTTTCGGGTTTTGGGTTTCCAGTGGAAGTTCATCAACTTTGGTTTCGGCTTGGCTGGCTTCGGTTTGGGCTCGGTTCGGGTTTAGTTTGACGAAGCCGGGCCGCTTCGTTTGCATCGGTCGGAGTCGGGATCCTGCAATGCACTGTGCTTATTCTGGATTTGCACGGCACTTTGGTGCCTAACTGGCTGGGCTCGAGGACATTGAATGTCTCTCTGCTTGACTGGTGGCTGCGATTGTGATTGCGACAGCAATCATACTCATTGGTCTGCTCGCTGCTTCATTTCAGCGAGATCGTCATTCTCTCGCTTTGCGTTTCTTTTTTTCTTTTGTGTTTTTCTCTGCCTATCTTGTGTTGAGTGCCTGGCGTTGGGGGTGATTGACTGCTTTGGTGGTTGATCTTGTCAGCGTTATGCACTCTGGTGTATTTCCCCCTACGTTTGCCAGCCAGACTCTGTTCTGGATGGCTTTGTGATTTTTTTTGACTTTGGCATCTTGTATGTTGCGAATAAAATTCGCGTCCACTCGTTTGAACTTGCTGGTTGGTAGATATTTTCTTTGTAGTGCTTGGTTGTAGTGGTAGGGAATCTTGGTATTGTCGAGAAACTTCTTTGAATGGTGTAGATAAGGCCAAGGAATAACATTTACAAGGCTTCCAATATTAACAATGGTTGTACAACAGGATCATTGAACCTACATAGGCAAAGTCTTCGTGATCTTCAAAGACAATAAATGACATTAGGATACCAGCTTGAGATTACAATACTATATCTCATCCATATGGACACTTGAAGTGTTGACTGACAGCTTGATACCCTTGACTCTGAGATAAATATTCCCCTTGACCCAGTCAAGTACATGTCTCCACTGGACAAGTGCAAATTGAGCCGTTGAGCTTTATATTTCCAAGTGTGTACCACCATCAGGAAGGATGAATTGATTAGTATGATATCTTGGTATACACCTTTTCCATCCATGCATTATCGGAATTACCCCGTCAGTCCAGATCTGCCTCTTTAATTAGTTAAAAAAGTGCTCCCTTTCTAGTACCTTCAGCTGCCCATTTACGCTAGAATTCATACTTCTTGTAGAATAATAAACAGTATAAAGTACTAAATATACTACTCAATTGAAATACCTGACTGATTCTTATATCAAAACTCAATCCAGTAAACCCCCAAATTTCTTAACCACCAAATGGCTTGCTTGGTGGAGTGGTCCACCTTCTAGTCTTCCAGAGTTGAAACCACCGAATCACCGCCCCCCGAGCCACTCCGTTTAAATTTTAATGGAAGCAACGGCGGCGCCCGGGAGAACTTCTTGCGGAGGGGCCCTCGCCGAGAAGTTAAAAGGGGAGAACGGTTGATGGTTTGGTCTCCGGCGCTGATCTCAATTAGAAATTTGGCTAGAACGGGGTTCGTGTGGTATACTTGGCGAGTTTGGATCAGGGTCTTTACAATTACAATGATACTCCGGTAGATAGAAGTTATTTTCTGCTTGACTCAGTCTTGAATTTCTTTCTTGAGAAACTACAGCTCAATCTCTTCTCTACTCCGTCCTCTGTACTCAATTGTGGACATTCATACGTGGATTTGCCTCACCATCTACGCGGGCGTTACGTGGGCGTTTCCCACCCCCTTAATAATCGGGTCGAGACGCCACTCTGCTCCCCGGTCGTCGGGCCCTGCTCCACTCGGATTTGTCTGGGCCAACTGCTAATTTTATACTGCGGTTAGATTGGGTCACCGAGGCATCTGATTCGGTCCTGAGGATAAAGTATCCCCCTGTTGCAGGGAAAAGTTGGTTTCGTTGGAAAACCTGGTCCAGGGACATGAATGATGATAGGCAAATAGGGATAATAATCTTCTGAGAAGGTTAAAGGTTTGCTTTTTTTTTTGCTTATGGCGTGATAAGAGATTTTAGTGTAGAATTACCGAGAGGCTATGGATTCTGGGGATGTTCTCGTTCTGGTTGTCGATCTTGTCTCGGACCTGATGAAGCTTAATTTGGGACAGGAGGGTAGACGCCACGGCAGAGAAGTGGCTGAGGATTCAGGGCTGATACACGGAGGACATGGTAGTACTGTAGTACAGGGCCATCATACTACCGTCATTCCTAGATGAATGTTCTGGAAAAGTTACAGAACTTGGCTCGGCCGCTTAAGGGTATTTGTCGTGTCAACAATGTACAGAGTAGTAAATTGCTGATGGCGTCTTGCACATGCTGAACTATGTCCGTCAGCACTTTAGGCAGACTCGATGCACGTCGGCGTAGGCGTATGTATGTCAGAGTTTGAGTCGGTTGACAATGCGATTATCATTCATCATTATGTAGACTCCGTAAAAAAAGAAGAAAAGAGTCCAGTGCAAACGTGAGAAAAAGGGCTGGTATGCTGCGCTCGGCAGTAGCGACGACATCATGATCTGCATGCCTGAAGGTCATGGGCCTGGATGCGGCCAGGGGCGATGAACTGAGAAGATATCAGCACACACCAAAGTCATTGACTGGTACACAAGGTTAAAAGGTTCAGCGGTTCGGGGATTTCCAGTGGTTCAGTTCAGGTACCTGATAAAATTCCCTTTAACCAGAGTGGTCCGTCCAAAAAGGTGGTCGGCGGATCCTCAAATCACGGGGAAAGGACCATCTATCATATTTTTCGTTCCTGCCATCCTTACCTAACCCTCTCTCCCTCTCTCCTCTCTCCAACTACACTACTCGACTCTTACTCCCTTGAACCTATCTTTGTACCTTGAACTTCTCCTTCTCATTTCCCTACTCATCTTCCCCCATTTGATCACCACCCATATCTCTCGCTGATCCCCCCGTCGGAGACTCGGTCGCCAAATGACCGCCCTCTTGTGTCCTTTCTGACCAAAAACCTCTCCCCCCCCTCCCCATCCTGACACCATGGCGAACGCGTAAGTTCCCCTCTCTCTACTGTCCTTTCTAGCCTCTTATTTTCGCTTTCACTCCCCTTTTGCACTCATCCTGCTGCCGCTCCTTCTCCAAGTCTCCTCCCGTTCTCCGCTAACCCCCTAGCCCTTCTAGTTTCGGTTCGGCATGGCGCTCCTTTTGGCATACCATGACCTCCTATGACCGTCATGCCTCTCACGATTCTCCCTATCGCACCGGTCGACACGTCCCCCTGAGCCAAAGCCGCCATGAACCTCTCACCTCCATTGCTACCAGCGCTATCGAGTCCCGCCCCGACCTCACCAGCCCTTACGACGACGAGACAACCAAGGGCTTGGCATCCGCACAAGCGACCGAATGGAACGGCTCTCCAACCGAGGTGGGCTCGCCAAACCGTCCCTATTCCCCGGGAATGCGATCGCTTGCCTCTCAAAAACGCGGCTCCAACGAGGGGCCTGATGGTCCGGCAGAGATCCAGATGCAGAGCTTCCATGACGGCGCGCCCCCTCCACCCCCGGTCGCTCACTCCTGGCGAAAGATTGAGCGGTGGTTGGAGCACAACTACGAGGAACTGTTGGATAACCTCGGCGAAGGATGCACACAAAACGACATTAATGAATTGGAACACGAGCTGGATGCCACTCTGCCCCTGGAGTTGCGCGAGTCGTTGATGATTCACGACGGCCAGGAGCGGCCCGGTCTGCCCACGGGTGTCTTGTTCAGCTCTATGCTTTTGGACTGCGAAGAGATTGTGCAAGAGCGGAGAAACTGGAAGACTGTAAATGACGAATTCCTGAGCCACAATGCTCCCCTTTCTGCGCCGGTATCTAGCTCTGCCGCAAGCTCGTCCTCTGCTGCTCAGCAACAAAGCAACCCGGGCGCGTGGCGCAATGATCTGCTCGACCGCCAGGATTCGCAACCACCGGGCGCCGTGCAAAAGGCATATGCCCACCCCGGCTGGATTCCGGTCGCCCGTGACTGGGGCGGCAACCACATCGCCATTGATCTGGCTCCTGGGCCTGCTGGCAAATGGGGCCAGGTCATCATCTTTGGCCGCGACTACGACTGTAAATACGTGATTGCGCGGTCGTGGGCAGCGTTCCTGGCCGTCTTCGCGGAGGATCTATGCAGCGGCAAGACCTTTGTTAACGAGGAGACCAACGAGATGAAGCTGAGGGAGTTCAAGTCGCAGAATGTTGAGCCACCATATTTGGAGATTTTGCGCTGGCGGACGGATCAGAAGTACGGACGTCGGGCGCCGCGACGACGTGGTCCCAATGGTCTGGGTGCGAATGCCAATGGCAAATCCAGCAGTCGGGATTCACCATATGGCAGCCCAACTCGGGCCGAGGAGCGTGGCCGCTCCCCGCATCGGTTCTCCAAGGGCCCTGTGCAAAGCCCCAAGACGCCATTCGGCGTATCTAGCCCTCTTGCTCGTGTGACGGAGGAAACTTCGAGTCCCGTTACCACTGCCGGCCCAACGATCTCGGAGGATCCCCGGGAGAACGGCAAGGAGGTCGAGCAGACTGAAGATCTGATGGAGGTTGCTACGCCGCAGATCTCCAACAAGGAGAACGAGGGATTCCCCGAGAAGACGACCGAGACGAAGGTGGCCGAGAGTGAGAAGACCGAGAAGAGCGAAAAGAGTGACGGGACTGCAGAGCCCTCGAGCGTTATGGACTCGGAGGTTCTTGGAGAGATGAAGAACGTGGCTATTTAGAGTTTGAGTTTGAGCTCGTGCTCGTACTTTACGCTGAATGGACATTTTTCTTCCTTATTCCTCTTCCTTTCTTGCCGTGTCTTTACCTACCTCTATCACCTTTACCTTTCTCGCTGGGTCTTTACCATTTCTCTTTCCAATCCAAGGGCAACGCAGGCGTCGATGAAACGAACTTTTGGATCTACGTGCCACTGTTTCTGCTTCGTGTATAGAACTTTATTTTATTTCTTTTTTTTTTTTTCCATCCGTGTTTTTTCTCTCCGGTCTCTGTGGTTTCGCGGCATTTGTTGTAACTTTAGGGGGACTGAGGGTTAAGCTTGAGCTTTTTTTTTCATTTTCTTTGTTTTTTTCTTAGTGTTTTGCGTTGCTCTTTTTTGGACTCGCCATCAAGCTGGCTGCTGTGCTCATGGTCTCTAGCCTCTGCTTTTCTTCATTGAATATTTGCCTGTAATTCTATCATGATGCAGTGTTAGTGCTCTGTGGTTTTTTCGAGGGTCCGACTCCAATTCATTTCCCTTGGTCGAGGGTCTGGCTGTGTTTGGTTCTGGTTTTGTATCCTGTGTAGTTGTATATCCATAGAGTGCTCATGATGGTAAGTCTTTTGGTTTCTTTTGATTGGTATATAGATCCTCTTTCCTGTATATCATATCATCAAGAGGTATGTCATACTTAATATCAACATATACAAGCATCCATTAACAAGAGCCAACTCCTCTATCCTCGTTTATACCCCCAATTCCACCTTCTCCTTCTTTTCTCCTCAATCCCAATCATCATCATCATCCTCCTCCTCATCCCTCCTCACCCTCCCACTCCGAATACTCTTTCCCTTCCTCCCCGCAAACCCAAACCCATTCCCCCTCCTCCTACCCCCCTCATCCTCCTCATCCTCATCCTCACCACTCCCCCCCCACCCTCCCCAACCTTAACACCCACAAAAACCCCCTTCCCAACCATTCTCTTCTCCAAAACCCCAACTCTAAACCCACTATCCGTAGCATCAAACCCCCTCTCCCCCAACCCCTCAAACCCAACAACCCTCTCCACACCAACCCCATCCTTAAACCCAATCACACACGGTAACACCCGGATACCAAGTTTCTCAACGAGGAACGGCGTGTTGCGCACGTCTACCCGCGCGAAGCGCACTTCGTGGTGGTGCGGTGCTAGTTGGGACAGTGCGCGGTCCATTATCGAGCAGCGCGTGAAGTCCGGGTGGTAGAAGTGGATTAGACTGCGTGTTGAGGATGTTGTGTGGTCGAGCACTGATTGGTCGGTTGTTAGGGTTGGGTAGGAGTCGTTGTGCGTCAACGTTGCAGAGGTGGAAGTGGGAGGAACGGTGCTGGTGGAGGAGGGAGCATCCGTGCTGCGGTTGTTCTTGCCAGAGGCGAATTCTGCGTTTAGTTGTTGGATGCGGGTGTCGCGGTAGCTGGGGTCCTCTTCGTTTTCGAGGGCTGCGAAGAGGGCTTCGTCGTCGGAGTCGGTGGGCATTTTTGCGGGACGGGTGTGTAGGAGTGTGTGTGTGTGATTGATGGTGGATGGTAGGTTCTCCGGATGGTCAATGGTCAATTGAGTGGGTTTGACACTTATTTAAGTGTTTTTGTGGTTGTTCAATTGGAGTTGCTCGAATTGAGGGGGATGTTGGAGGAAGGTTGGAGGATGCAAATTAATTTAGAGGGGCACGGGGGTTGCTCCACCCGGTAGCTCTTGGTCCTATGGGTTGAGCTACTTCTTACGTACTATCTACTAGATATGGGTAAATAGGTTTGATCATTGTGCATATATAGTATTCTTTGCGAATAGAGTCTTTCTTGTTTTTAAAGGTATTAAACACTCAATCGATTTGGAATTGGGAGCGTTTTGGCATAGCATCGGAGTAAATATCGTATTCCATTCTCAGAAACTACTCTGGCATCTCTCGGTCTTCTAATTTCGGGGTGAAAGTGGTTGAAAAATATACAACAGAGACCTACTAGACCTCTTGGGTTATATTAGAGTCAAATAACCCTGTTGTTTCCAAGAATTTGTAGGTTTCCAAAAGCTTCTATCCGCCGTTATGAGCCTCACGACTAAATACAGGACCAAACACGATGAAGCATCCATGTGCTAATAGGTCGCCTTTCATAGTGATTCTTGGACATGACCTGACTGGAGGAAATGGCAGTAGACGTGTCTATCTCTTTAAGTCTCTCATCTGCCTCGCGGCACTCCGCCACAATGCATGGCCCTGTGGTGCAATCTGATTTGGCGCAAGACAAGCGCTATTGGTTGTTGGATGTCCAAGCCCCTAATTATGCAGCGTATCGCCCAGTTTCAGCCCCGCCTTTCACCCAGCCTCATTAGACTTGAGGCATTGGGCACTTTTTAGACGCCATCTCGGAGTTTCTTCTCTTCACTCGATGTTCTCGCTTTCCTAGATTCATCGTTGCTCTACCAACGCTGTCAAAATGGCGGATCCCTTGACAGTGCTAGGCGCTGTCTCGTCCGTCGTCCAACTGGTAGATTTTACTACCAAAGTCTTCGAGCGAGTGAACCACTATATTCGCTGTGTCGACGAAGCTCCAGAAACCCTACGCGATATCGGAATCCAATTACCTCTCTTCATCGACGCATTGGGTCGGATCCAATTCCATATCGACTTTGGCCACTTCAATCCACAAGCTTCATCCGCCCTACAGATGGTGATTGATGAATGCTATTCGCAAATGACTGCACTTGATGACCTCATGACAAAGTTGACACCTGAGCAAGGCGATTCAAAATTGACAAAGACTCGGAAGGCGATTCTCAGCTTGAAAGATGAAAAGACCTTGGAGAGAATCTTCTCTAAGGTTTCGGGATATATCCAGATGCTCTTGCTTTATCAGAATTCCGTGACTTCAACACATACTATGGTTAACACCAAATTGGTGTGGAAACAACTTGAAAACGCATCTTCCTTGCAAACGATGAGCATAGACTCTGTTTCCACGACGAGGGACTCCCAAAGCCTGTCAACTGAAACTGAAACCAGCACACCACGTGTGGCTTCAAAAACTCTCACCAACTATTCCAACCAGAAGCAACGGCGAACATCATATTTTATAGGGCTTGCCAGATTTGGCTTACTCTGGGCTTTCCAGGCAGATCTAGATCTCTCTTGGGGAAATTGTGGCTTCTCTATCAGCCCTAGCCTTCATTTTCAACGGCTGGTTAAGAACACTTCGCCCGGATTCCAGTTGGTGTACAAATGTGAAATTGAACAACTTGACATTCAAAAAGCATCCAACAAGCTCTTCAAATTATTTCAGAGAGGGGTCATCTCGCCGTGTGATACCTTCCCTGACGGAGCGACATGGCTCGAGGTATGTTGATAAGGTTTGCTCCTTGGAAGTACTTTCTACTGACAAAGACCTAGAGAATTTTGAAGCGTTCAATGTGCAGCCCAACCCTAGTTCTTGAGTTTATAAAGGTCTTGTGCAATTGTGGTGCGTCAATAAACGCCAAAACACCGTAAGTTGATAGGCCACCCAACATCTGCACTGTTCATCTCTAGTTACTAACGGCCTGGAGTACATAGACTTCTATCACGTGTTGCGAGATTCAATGTCGACGGAATTCATTTAGCATTGGTAAAGGAACTGCTTGCATCAGGATACGACTGCTCTTTAGACACTAGCCACACAGATCCTTCTAGTTGTTTGGCTGGCTTCTGCATCCATGCAAGTCGAGGCGGCGAAAGCGAGCCCTTCCTTCTCAGATTTCTTAAGGAATGTTCCAAAAATGCTTACGGTAAGTCTGGCTAATGTCACGTTGAACGTAGCGTACTGTGTCTAACAGTTATGTCCAGGGGTTTGGGGCCAGACTCCCCTGATGGACAGTGTTCTTTGTGGCTCTAACGCTGAGATTTCGAAGTTCTTGGAGCATTTGGAGTGCCTTGAAGGAAAGAATTTTCTCGGTCAAACAGCCTTTCACCTCGCTGTCCTACGATCAGATGTGCTCTCGCTGTTATTAGAGACACATTCTGACTTTGGTGGCACCGGCTTCAATGAACCCGACATTGATGGCAACAGCCCCCTAACTTATGCTGCAGCTTATGGATGTACCGAGTCGGTGAGAATTCTTCTCGAGGCCGGAGCAAACCCATTAAAGGGGGGGCATCTAGATTTTATAGAGTGGGCTTTGAATTGGAACCACTGGGATGTGGCAGCCGAAGCTCTCACATTACTTCGTGCAACCGCACGTGCCTCTGACGGATTTATACAAAGTGAACTGCATCATCTCATGTCTGCACGACAGGGTAATCCAGAGTCGTCCGAGCTTGGTAAGATGCTTAACCTGGGAGTTGACAAGAACATGCTATTCGAGGATGGCAAGACTTTACTACATCATGCTCCAAACTCAGAGTGGATAGATCATTTGTTTGATGCGGGATTTCAACAAATTGATCATAGCGACAGTAATGGCGAGACTGCTTTGATGACCTTCTTTCCGGATTGGAGTGGTCAAATCGCGAACATCCTGGCCCGAGGGTGTAATGTTAATCACCGGAATAACAAAGGTGAAACAGCATTGCAAAAAGCATACACCGACGGACGACGTTCTTATATTTCTATATCTCACAAGGATGCTGTCACTCCTAATTCTTATCGGCTCAAATCAATCTCGAGTATTCTTGCCGTCATAGCCAAACTTCTCCACCAAGGCGCAGACACTTCGATTCATGACAATTGCCGTTGCCCTTGTGCTCCTGATGGATGCTCTGCAATTCTTCAGTTGCTTTCTCGACGGGGATACTACGATAAGTGCTATATATGGATATTGGAATGTCTCTTAATGCTCAATGAGATCCAAGGACAGATAGTTTCACAGAAAGCATTGTTTGAGATATATCGTTTGCGGGAATTTGAATTGGCTGATATGACCCATGTCTGCTGCCGGAGAGTGTCCGCCATGACTCATGAGCCCATGGAGGATGCAGAAGTCGATGAAATTATTGACGAGGAGATTGAATTCGTGGCAATTCTCGAGGAGACCATGAGGAATAGGTCTTTCAATCCAGACAACGAATCAGTCGAAGAAAGATGGTTGAGTTTGATCGGCGACTTTTGGACCCCAGACACACCTTTCAAGTGCGAGGAATCTTGGTGGTTGTGGGATCCAGCTACCGGTAGACTTCAACGAGCTCCTTTTACGACCAATTCGATAAGCCCATGTAACACTACATCGATGAATTTTCGAATCGAAGAAGAGCGAGACCGGTATTGGTACTGGGAGGACGGGCCAGAGGTAGGTGGATTACCCCAAAGCTCAGTCTACTCAGCGTGGGTGGAATGGGTTTATCAAAATCCAGACAAGTACGACTATCCCCTTCCAGTGGACAGGGATTGGTATGAAAAAAGGAAGTATTGGGCGACTCGACAGGCTGAGGTTCTGGAAGGGTTATCATGATTGACTACATGATACAAATACCGTAGTTTTGAGTGTGTAACGCCATCCAAATAATATCATTAGTAATTTGCACAAGATTCAAATGATTATAATCCGCTTTTCTTTTACTTTTCTCGGAAGTGATGATGCAGAAATACTGCGTTCCTGCCCTACTGGTGCTTTGCTGGTACATACAGGGGTTTGGTGGACTCTGCTCCAATTTTAGCCGAGTTTTGTGAAGCTGGCTAATGAGAGAACCCATTTGAAGGCTTATCTTTCAAAATTGACGTGTCTAATTTAACCAAGTCTTTTTCTCACTAACTTATTGAGTCCTAGTACAGTTTTTATAGGTCCGAGCATTCAACATTTGAGGTTGAAATTAGCTGAGTCAGCCCCCTAAGCCCCCTGCTGAGGTAAGCAGGCTGGTTGCGGCCAAAAGATTTGCTCCCCTTGAGGGTGTTTTCTCCTTCGCGCGTCGTGTACGCTCCGCTGTCTCAACTCCGCTTCATCTCTCGACCATTTTGGGATTTTTGCGCTTCATTCCCAGGCGTTTTCTTTCGCTTTACTCCGCGTCGCCTTTGACCTCCTCCCTTCTTTCCCAACAACTTCCCCAATTAACCCGCTCGGGGCTACTCCGCCACCATGGTCGAAGACAAGAAGACTGACGACTACACCGTCGAGATGGACAAGCTCGATCAGGGGGAAGCAAGGAATTCGAGGCGGCGCCTCCTCCTTTGACTCGTGCTGCTAGTTCCCCGCCTTCCTCTCTATCGAACAACCCTGCCCTTCCGGTTCTGGCGTATTGCGGCTCTTCCATCCTGATGACCGTGATGAACAAGTATGTTCTGTCGGGATTGGACTTTAACTTGAACTTTTTGCTGCTCATGATCCAGGTATGTGGTCTTGATATCTATCGGGGTGCAATGGCCTGTCTAATTTGCTAATTATTCGGCAATAGTCCATCGTCTGTATCTTTGCCATCCAAACGTGCAAGTCTATGGGTCTTATTACCTACCGGGACTTCAGCACCGACGAGGCCAGGAAGTGTATGATCTTCCCCTCCCTTCCAGTCAATTTTACAATCTTGAGTGACAATAGGAATCTTAGCTAACATTGTTCTTTCCTCTGATAGGGTTCCCCATTACCCTCCTGCTGATCGGCATGATCTACACCGGTTCCAAGGCTCTCCAGTTCCTGTCCATCCCTGTCTATACCATCTTCAAGAACTTGACCATCATCCTGATCGCCTATGGTGAGGTTCTCTGGTTCGGTGGCTCCGTCACCAACATGACCCTCTTCTCCTTCGGTCTGATGGTTCTCAGCTCCATCATCGCCGCCTGGGCCGACATCAAGCACGCCGTTGAGAGCAGCGGCGATACCAGCAGCAAGGTTTCCACTCTGAATGCTGGTTACGTCTGGATGATGATCAACTGCCTTTGCACCTCTTCCTACGTGCTCGGCATGCGCAAGCGCATCAAGTTGACCAACTTCAAGGACTTTGACAGTACGTATTTCCCCCTGTCTTTGCGATGCACAATGAATTGCCATACTAATTCTCAATACAGCCATGTTCTACAACAACCTCCTCTCCATCCCCGTTCTCATCGTCGCCACTCTGCTCGTCGAGGACTGGTCCGCTGCCAACCTGGCCCGTAACTTCCCCGAGGCTAACCGCAACGGCATCTTCTTCGCCATGATCATCACCGGTGTCTCCTCCGTCTTCATCTCCTACACCTCCGCCTGGTGCGTGCGTGTCACTTCCTCCACCACTTACTCCATGGTCGGTGCTCTGAACAAGCTCCCCATTGCCGTCTCTGGTCTGGTCTTCTTCGACGCCCCCGTCACCTTCCCCAGTGTCTCTGCCATTGTCGTCGGCTTCGTGTCCGGTATTGTCTATGCCGTTGCCAAGATCAAGCAGAACGCCAAGCCCAAGACCGGCATTCTCCCTACTTCCAACCCTCTGGTCAGTGCCAGCAGTCAGAGCATGCGTGACTCGCTGCGCTCTTGAGCCAGCTGGGCTATCATCGAGTTGAATAGTTCAATGACAGGAGCTGCGCCAAAAGCAGAGAAAAGAGATGAAATGACCTTTCCTTGTTGTTCTTGTTCTCGTCCTTGTCCAGCAGGTCATCCTTTGAGTACTAAGGGTGACCTGGGACCCCGTGCATCACCGCTTCCCTAAAAATACAGTGGGGGAACTTTACTTTCTTGCATGTGTATGATTCACGTTTCATTGCAGCTGCCGATGCCCATGCTTTCGTGGGTTGAAGGGTCGATACTATGCTTTCGGTGTTGGTGGATTTTCTTTTCTTTCTTCTTCGATTCGACCCTTTTCTCTTCTGTCTTCAGTATGCCTCTCTTCCCTTTCGACAAGAGGAGAATAAAAGAGGAGGCTGACAGAAGAGCCCGGCCTTTGGGCTATAGTTTTAGTAATTTTCCGGTGTGTTTCTTGCGGGCATAGCCCGGTCTGCTTTTTGTTCCTGTATATAGCTATGCCATGTTGAAATAGAACGTGTCTTTCCCTTCAATACTTACAAATGTAAAATTTCAGCTTTAACTTTCAATCAAATAGCAGTAGTATGTTGAAGTGTAATAGTGCTGGAGTGCCGGAGGACCCAAGAAAAGCCCGGAACTTTGATCGCCCGAAGCCAGCCCCGTTTTTCACCTCGACTTATTATTCTCCGGAGTATACTCACAAGCTACACGCCACGACTCGCCACTTCCACGGGCTATTGAATACATCAATTCCATTCTCAATTCGAAAATCTATCGATAAACTCCTTAATAATTCCAGCCATGCCTCGCAAAAAGCAAAAGAGCGGCCCCGCGCCACGCTCCAATCGCCCCAGCGGTCCAGCCAAGCCTGGCCCTGCTCCAGCATCGCAGGCTAAGAATAGGGCTTCCAAGCCTGATTCTGCTGGTGGTGGAGCTGGTAAAGAGGGCAGTCAGAAGAAGCAGTCGCTTCAGGCGAATCAGAGGCCTATTGTGCCGTTTTTGAGAGGGGATCGCATTTTGTTGGTTGGAGAGGGTAAGTGCTTTTTGTATTCTGCGTTCTTTTGAGATGGAGTATATTCAATTTGTATTGCAAATCGTTATTATCCCTGGCTTGTCTTCATGGATTTTTGGGTTCTGTGATATACCCAGGCCTTGGTATCTGGAATTGGGGTGGGGGCAAGATACAAGACACGGACAGGAACGATCCATCCAGGCTTATATTTCGCTCATCCATATTTCCCGCATCTCTTCAGATATCTTAATATTTCTTCTGTACAAGCAAGCTAATATCTCCCCAGGTGACTTCTCCTTTGCCCGTTCTCTGGCAAAACAATACAAATGCCGCAAACTATGCGCAACATGCTATGACTCGAAAGAGACTCTCTTCGGCAAATACCCACAAGCCGAGCAACATATCCAAGAGATCCTAATCTCTTCAAAACCAAAGGCCCAGTCTAAATCCGAGAATGCAGAAGAAGACAAGGCCTCTGAACCCAGTGCTCAAACCACATCATCAACGCAAAAACCAACTCCAAAGGTTCTCTTCTCCGTCGACGCCCGTAAGCTCGGCTCTCCAGCAGGTGGCGGCAAAGAAATTCGCACGGGCTTCCCTCGCAAAGAACCCAAAATTCCGGCCTGGAAGCTCCACCAGCAAGCTCAAGCGCAAGGGCAGTCTACTCCCGCTGCATCACCACCTAGCGGACCATGGGACGTGATTTCTTTCAACTTCCCACATGTAGGCGGTCTCTCTACGGATGTCAATCGACAAGTACGCGCAAACCAGGAACTACTGGTAGCCTTCTTCAAGGCTTGTGTACCCCTTCTTTCTACAGCGCCGGCACCTGTGGATGAAGACGACGAGGAGTGGGAAGAAGATTCCGACGAAGACTCTGATTCCGAAGAGGAGGGCAACGAAGACGGCGATAACGACGCCCAAACCTCAGGCAAAGCCACTCGCACCGGTCCCGGTCAAATCCTCGTTTCGTTATTCGAGGGTGAGCCGTATACCCTGTGGAACATCAAGGATTTGGCCCGCCATGCGGGACTACAGGTTGTTACGAGCTTCAAGTTCCCCTGGGCTGAGTACGAGGGGTATTCGCATGCGCGAACGCTGGGTGAAGTTGAAGGGAAGGATGGTGGGAGAGGTGGATGGCGTGGGGAGGATAGGTTGGCTAGGATGTATGTTTTTGAGGTTAAGCGGGAGGAGCCGCGGGGGAAGAAGAAGAAGAGGGCCAGAGAGGGGGATAGTGATAGTGAGTAGTTTGAGTTGCTAAGGATATAGAATTAAGAAGACATTTGGTTTGTATTCCAGGTCATTCCAGACGAGATTCTGGCCGAGACGAGATATGGTGGTATTTCGCTTCATAGGATGAGGTTGATTTACCCTCCAACCCTGTTACATGATGTACACCTTCTTCATCTCGCTCTCGTCAAAGACTTCGCCCGTCGTGGGATCCTTGACTTTACCCGACTCGACGGATCCGACATTCTTGCTGATATCCAATAGTCGCGCCTTACCGTAGACACGACCATTAGGCAGCACGATCGGATCACCTTCCACGTAACTCTTCGAGTGGTGCGCATACGGCATCTTGCGCGCCAACTCGTTCAGTTCAGTAGAGCAGATGGGGCAGACGGAAGTCGTGGTAGACTGGGAGTTGGAGCTGGAGGAAGTGTAGGCGGAGTGACACAGTGGCGTCTTGAGCGCAGATAGGCCCGCAGAGAGGGCTATGTGTAATAATGGCTGCGACGGGAGGGATAAGAGTTCATGGTGTGTTTGGATGAAGAGGTCTGAGAGGAACTTCCACCGTTCATGCGAGAAGAATGTCTGTCTCTTGTTAGTCTAGGTAGACTGAGTTGGTAGTTGGACACTGCGTACCTTGTATGGTTCTGCCCGGGTATCTTGAGCAAAGACCAGCATTCCTGCTGCCCGTTGGATTTCCTTGCTGTCTGGGTCTTGGTTTGAGACTAGATACTTCCTGGCATGGTTGATGGCGTCGATTTTCTTTGATGGGTCCTGTGTCCGGACCATTTCGATGTACTGCTGTAGCCGAAGCTCGAATTCAAGATTGTGCTGTAAGACTTGTTAGAATGGCTTTGGATCCAGATTAACCAAACATGGAACATTGTCGCATACCTGGCTCTTCTTAAGAGCAGCTTTGTTCTCACCACACCACTGCAGCGCTTCTTTAGTCTCTCCCCGGTGCAAGCTCTCCACGACCCGCTGGCACTGTGTAAAGACATCCAGATCAACCAAGTCTTCTATGTCCCGCTCCTGAGCTAGCTGCTTCGCACTCTCAGAGTATCCCGACCGCAACATATGGTCCACCAGCAATCGATCCAGACGCACGCGTGACCATTGATCATACTTGACATCCGCCAGACTCGGAATCTGGTACAGCGCCTCCAGATGCTGAATACGTTTCCTCGATTGCGTCTGAATCTTCTTCTCTTCCTCTTGGAGGCTCTGCATCTTCCGCTTCAGTCCTTGCATGCGAGCTATCATAGCATCTAGTGCTGCGAGTGTCTGATCCGGCGTGTGAGTATTGGATAAGGAGGCGTTTGCCGCCTCTTTGAGTGCGGGCAGAACATATTCTTTCTCTCGCTCGACTACTCGTTGGACGGTCTTGAAGTTTCGTCGAGCCAGTTCATGGGGGAGGCGGAGGAGTGGTTGGTCCTGTACAAAGCGGGCAATCAGCTGGTGACGTCTTTACTGCGGAGCTGCGCGATCGTACCAAGATCAGATGGCTTTCCGGGTTGAGCTTTATAGAGGTCAGCTCGGCAGCCATGGTGGCGGTTGGATATGATATGTTTCGCTCTTCGACGGAGGGATGCTTTCTGGCTTTCTCTCTCGTCTTCTTCTCAGCCAGGAAGTCGGAGTTGGGAGAAGGTCTGGTGATGTGCCGGAGGGGAAATGCGGAGAGAACGGATGGGTCTGGTCACGAGATCTCGACTTCGTTATCAATATCGTTATCGATACGGAGGATTCCGTGGGCGGTGAGAAGTCTGGGTATACTTGCTGAATTCTAAATGTTTCTCTGCACTGTATCTTGAATCTTTAGCAGTATAGTAAATGTATACTTCAAATGAAACCCTACCATCTTCGAGAATAGCCTCTTCATCGCCCTAATGACACACATCCAGTCGTCAAGTCAAAGTACTCATTCCTAGTTGTATGTTACAGTTGACATGTTCTACTAGCATGAGCACTCGACTGTCCACAAACCTATACTTCTTTATCAGTCTCTTATCATAAATTTCGGATCCTCCACACTCAAAACACCGCCCTCCTACTTGCACACTCTGCACTGAGTATACATTTACCCAATACGTCACCCAACCCTCGGGATCGGAAATCGCTTTAGCGCAAATTACGTTGACATGTCAGTTTGGCCGAGTGGTCTAAGGCGCTTGACTTGAACCTCCCGACTCTAAAGTCAGGGCTGGGGGAAACCCCTTCATGTTTAGGCATCAAGTCCCTTCGGGGGCACAGGTTCGAACCCTGTAGCTGACGTTCCTTTTTTATGTCGTTGTATATCTTTCTTGCCTATCTCTTGCTGCTATGTACCATCTAACTAGTTTGCCTAAACTGAAAGCGTCCTTCCTGGTTCACTTCTCTGCTATGATGATCGAGTATTTCAAAGACTTCAGATAGATGTATACTTCCTCTGAGGGCTTTCAAGTGACGTCTCTCTTTAGCTTACTAGAACCCTTTTCAGCATCAGTCTTTACCGCTTCCTGTCTTTTTCTATGTTACTTTTTTGTGACGTTCGTAACGAGACCAAATTGCGACTCCGGACCTAGCCTCACTAGCCGAGATGACCTCGCTCTGTAGAAGACCCGACTTTTGGCCCCCAACAACTAGCTGTACTTAGAGGCATGCACGACTTAATTAGCTTTGAACATATCCTCTTTCACTCTAAAAAGCCGAATAATTATGCCTCCTTGTCCACCGCCGCAGGTTCTATGTCAACAAAGTTGAATCACAGATCATAACTTCTGGCCCACCTTTCTGAACGTCCTCTGGCGTCCATCATAATCCATGATTCCATGACAACTAGAGCCCGAGACACCCACCCCTGTCTACACTTGGTTTCATACTACTCCAGTCATCCAATGACAACGCATATCACATACTCCTAACGCTGTTGAGGATAGCCCTGCATCAACTAGTATGGATTAAGCCCTTTGACTAGGCTCAGCTTCCTCGACGCCCTACTCTACATATCAGTAGTCTATTGTTTTATTTTCCAGCCCCTATTTCTCCATCCTATGTATATCTTCCACCTCCCTGTCACACTTTCCGGCCTATGCCTCTGCCTTGACAAATATGTCAGAGTCCGTGTCAATACTCAGCCTTTCCTCAACGACTGAATCTGCCGAAAAAATATCCACCTCCGTCGCGACAACATTCAGGACTTCCGGGACGACTGAACTGGCCACGACCACCACGGCTGAATTGGCCTATACCGAATTAAGACCATCATCCAGCACAGTCGTCGTCTCCCAAACTCAGACCGACTCTAGGATCTCTGGCACCTCCACATCAAGTACTACTTCGGTAAACCCGACGTCGAGCTCTAGTGAAAATATCTCGAACGCAACAAATACCTCATCACAAGCAAAATCTACGGGCTTGTCTGTGGGTGCATCGGCGGGAATTGGGGTTGGAGTTGCACTAGGCGTGCTTCTCTTAGCACTCTCAGCTTTCATTCTATATCGTTACAAGCGAAAGCGAAGAGCAGTCGCACAAGAAGATGGTGGAAGGAAAAATACATACCCAGAGCTACCGGAACTAGGGATTGATGGTCAGAAGTATGAACTACCAGCTGGAAAGGGTGGAAGCGCTGTTGAGCTTGCGGGCGATACGCCTAAAAGTAGACAGACACGGACGGATACCCATGAGCTAGAATGATATGATACGCATATGTCAATCTTATACGAATTGTATTTTATTACAGACTTATCAATATACATAATACCAGATACCGTGCATGAAGGGCTACCAAGTCAAACAGGTGTAATAGATAAAGTGAACGACTATAGCTTTGGTTTAGCATACATTTGGCATGGTATATTCAAACATTATACTTCTGCGATGATCCAAAGTCCTAGGGGGAGAAAGAACTGACATTGTAGCAACCAATGAATTATAACATCTATCTTTAGGGGCAACTCACTTCTCTCATCAAGCAGATCTAAGCAGATCCTCTAATGAAACATGACCGCCGCCCACTATAAGCAGTGATCTGCCTCAATATTATCAAGTTCTAACAAGTATAGCAAATTTCTCAACGATACTGTGATTTCAATAGCTCTTAGATACGGACATACATATCTGGTTCAAAATGCCAGATATCATCTGAAACGTCATTTGTCTAGTCAGGAAGACACAAAGGTTACATCAGGATACGCTACAGAAGGGCCACTCAGTAAGTCTGACTCGCGCCCATAAACAAAGTACTGCAGTGTGGCAATGATATACGAGGCAACAACGTCCTTAGCCCGCAACGCGCCTATTGTCCCAATATAACCGGCCTCGATAATTTGTCTAGCCTCATCCGAGATACTCAGAGCATCGACAAGCACTGGAAGGTCGGAAAAGGTATAGTGTTGAGACTGTGCGAGTTGTAGCTCACGTTTCCATCCTCGTAAATTGGACCAAAAAGTTGCCCAACTGGAGTCTGTTGCCTGGGTGTGGTTTGCGTTACCGAAAAGCAGGAACGGACTTGATAGTCCTTTATCCACGACCGATCCCCACAGTGAACCATCTAGATTGATACCCCCAGCAAATCGATCGTCAACCAGTATTGCCTGTGCTGCCGTTGCTCCGCCGAGGGAATGGCCAAAGATAGTTACTCGATCAAGAGAGAGTAGATGTGAATTTTCCAGTGACAAAGGGAATATGTCTCTGACCACTTTTCCGTCGTGAATTTGATCAAGTAAAAATATCATATCTTGAACACGAACGTTCATTGCTGAAACAAACTCTGCATCTGTGCTGATGTTTCCGAGTATTCCGATGACCGTGTGACCATCGGGATATTCCACAATGTCAGCATCGTACGGATGGTCCACGGAGATAACGGCAAATCCGTTACTGGAAATATCCTGAAGCAGCGATGTGTACATCAATCTTGAGAATCCTAGAGCTGGTGTGAAAAGCACAACTGGATGATCTCCGTGAAGACTGGAAGACGCTGACTGCTGCTGTGTCTGAGTCTGGATACGAAAGGACTCAAACGTTCCTGGAGGTATTCCAAAAGACTGGAAAGTCTCATCTTCATACTTGGCTGTTGCATTTGGAATGTAATATGTAGAAAGTACACTCCCGCAATTAACGGGTGTAAATGTGGTGACCATGATAGAACGTTTCCCTCCTTTTGGGTCAAAGGGATCGGTTCGAGATAGGTCGACTAGTTCACTTGCTTGAAGCGTGACGTCGCATGGTCCTGTGCTTGAAGGAAGAGGAATAATTGCCGTTTTCCCGAGCCCGATGAGAAAAAGGTTCACGGAGTATAGGATGGCTAGAATCATCTTAGCAGCTTTTTGGCGAGCAGGATAAGAAAAAGACATAGATGTTACGAGATGGAATTATCAGTGGGATCCAGCGGCAAACAGTCCTGTATTTATATTTGGCTAGGTCAAGGCACTGGCTAATGACCCATCTCCTATGTAGTTAACATTTGAATACCTGATTAGTTCCGTTGTGGAACTCCAAGACACCCCCTGGTCGATGATTTGGTGAATTGGATGTACTTTGCCCGACAAGAGGCTCTTGACCTTGATGGGGGGCCTTACAGTGGATTTCGAAATCAGATTACCCCTTGGACATACTGACTGTGTTTCTCGGCCCGTACCCGAGTATACGCTGATCCGTATTTGGTTACGCTGAAACGGTCGCTGCTTGAGAGTATTTTGTCTTGTGGTGTATTAGGTTCAAAGCGTCTGTAAAATACTGTAAACCTGTACAGAATGTTCTAGGCAGGGGCCTCTGAAGGCGGGGTCGTTGCCCCTGGCGATCTAGCTCAATCCAAGCTCGCTGTCCTGCCTTTCTGTTGCTCTCATAGGGCCCTTGTCCAGCGCACTCAATCTGTCTCATGGGTCGAATTTACATTAAACGGATGTTATATGAGCTTTGCGGAATGAGTCTGCTTTTGGTAGCTGGCGGCGTATGGCTTAAGTTGACAGCCGGTTCGATGACCACTTTCCCGCAGGCCTGAACTCTCAATTTTAGCCCAGTCGGCATGTTAGCGTCCACGAAAGAAAACCAGGGCCGTGATTCTGCATAGAGCTATCTTTGGGAAAGCGCATCTTTGCCGGGACTTCCGGTCTCCATTGTATCCGCATGATCTCATCACGTCTCACCCAGCCAAGTCATCCAGTCAAACAGTCCATTTCCCTCAAAATCTTTAGTGAGTGATTCGAATATATCATCTGTTTTTAAGTCACAGAAAGGATTTCTTGCCGCATCTGCGGTTTGGTTGCACAATAGATCCATGTCGAACGAATTCGCTGTCTCACTCGATGTGAAAGTCGATTCTGTCACTGGACCATCTGATCCAGCCCGGGATTGTCCACTTTGAGTCAACACAGACTCCGCATGGCCAATGAGCACTCTTGAAACTTCCCTCAGCCTTGTGGCAAGGGGATTCTGCGAGGCTATCTTTTCCAGGAACTCCGGAAGATTCTCCATAGCAGCCAGAGCTTCTTGATTGTCCCTAGATTCACGGCCGGGGTTGAGTAAGATGTCACGAAATAAGAACAAAAATGCAGTGAATGGAGAGTAAAGAAATTGCCAGAGAAAAGGGTGATATGGCTCGTCTGACTCTGGGGATAGATGAAGAAGTAGGCTGAGCAATTCCTTAGAGCTAGTGATGCACTGGAAGCGCCGGGGTGGGGATTTTCGAAACAGAAGGATCTGCAGATAAAGGTAATGGAAATCCTGGCTACGAAGACCGATGTCTATCGACTTGGCATTTTGTGCATTGCAAAATGGCTTTTCGGATATCGCTGCAGCTTCAAGAGTCTGCAACGGGTTAAAGTGTCATTAATTGCATTTGAACACAAACCCTGCAGGATTGAGACATACCTTGTGTGCCTGTTCATACCAAGATTCGAGATTAGCAATGACCGACTCTATTTCGAGATCTTGACTCTCTATTCCACCGTAGAGGCACTGCCAGATATCTCCCATGACCTTTGAGAGCAGAAATTTCTGATACATGAGGTGCGATGCAAAATACCCTTTACTGCCATCTGACGTCCGGTGCTGCGTAGATGGTCGGATCTGCTCCAATGTCGGAAGACCAACCTCAATTCCCATCCTCTGAGGGAAAATTGGAGATCGACCGAATATGACAGCAAGCGCTTTGTCAACAAGATTAAGCTGCCAGAACCTCAGCCGCCGCTGTTCCCGAGCCTGAGCGTCGATCCTTCCGTGGGTAACACCCAGGGCTTGTAACATCCTGCAGGCACTTGTAGAGAGCATCCAGCATAATGAGGGGTCTATCAAGTCCGGTATGAGACCAATAGCCATGAGAATAGCCTGGACGTTCGCGTCGCTCGGTTTCATCAGGACGCTAATATTTCCGAGTGAGGCCCAGAGCTCTTGTCGTAGCTGGCTTTTGAGATGTACAGCGTCGGTGACTTTCAATATAATGCAGTAGTACATCACTAACCAGGCTTTTTCTTGAATATCATCTGGGCGAGACGCTTTCAGAGAGCGTACCACTTCAGGAGGTGCCGGACTGAGCAAAGGTTCTTTATCTCGCAACGCGTTCTCAAAAACTAATGGCATCATTAGCAGCTGGAACCATATGCGCAGTGGACGGTTTTCGTGAACTCCATACTTTTCGACCATTCTATAGAGTGCTTCTTGAATGAAAGTCGTGTTGTCTTTCCAGACCTCGCACTGTCCAGCACAGTTGGCTCGTTAACAGTCGTGGCTGTACTGGCTTCGTTCAGCATCAGCAGCGCGTTGAATGGACCTCGCAGATCCGGGCTTTTAGAACTGCCTAAGTATTCTTCGGTCATTTCAATATCAGAGGCAAGATATGATTGTGGGCGACCGTCGCTTCGCAGGATCTTGGAAGCCGAGCCATCATCAGACCCAGGCGCGGGCCGAGGAGTTGTGATTGCGCCGCTAGCTTGCTGTGTCTCATGCTTGCGTTTTCTAGCACGACGAATGATTCCTACTCGCGAGTAGATACAAGAAATTCCTTTCTTCGTGCAGCGTTCGCAACTATTCCGTTCACGAGAGCAAGTAATCTGCCGAGGTAGTTTAGTTTGTTTCCATCTCTCGATCGCGGAAGTAAGTGAAAACGCGGAGCTTACCTTGCTTGATCTGCATGAGTCGCAAGCATATTCGGAGAGGGCAGTATTCTCATCGCCCTGGCTTGTAGTCATTTCGATGTCGGACGTAACTGAAGGTAAAGAATCCCGGGCGTTAGGAAAGTCGGAGGTTACGGAAGTTCGCGGATAAGTAAAGTGAATCTCCGAGCTATTGACTTAAACTCCGAAACGCAACATCTTAGAGTAACTTCCGATGTGTTCTAACATCCGACATGAAAAGTTCCAGCATTTAACTGACGTGGAATAAATCTATAAGTATGTCATCTCTCGTCCTCTTGTCTGCATCTGCATCAAAATTTTCGTTCTTTGTTTTCGAGTTTCTCTCATAACATAATGCAGTCACAAGCACCCATCGCCATCGTCGGCGCTGGCCCGGCAGGTCTTACTCTCGCACGGCTCTTGGAGGTTGCTGAAATACCGTATATTGTCTTTGAACGAGATGTCTCTGCCACGTGGGCGAATGAACATCAGAGCAGTGGTACCCTCGATCTTCACCCTACCACTGGCCAGGCCGCTCTCGTTGAAGCCGGCTTATTTCCAAGATTCCAGTCCCTTGCCCGCTTTGGTGTTCCACTCACAATAGTCGATTCTCAAGGGAAGGTCCATGTTTCTTACTCCCGCGAGGGAGACACAGAAGAGCCAGAGATAGATCGAAAGGATCTGCGAGGCCTACTTCTAAGCTCAGTTCCGGCGTCTAGGATTCTTTGGGATCACAAGATACAACGCATTGAGAGAGTTGACAATGGATCTGTCACGACTCATTTCGAGAATCAGCCATCTAGATCTGGTTTTCGTCTGGTGGTTGGTGCAGATGGCGCCTGGTCTAAGATTCGAGCGACAGTGAGTAAAGTCTCCAATTTCGATATGGCTTCAGTGGAGATAATAGATTCCTGGCTCATAATCCCATTGTCATAGGTTATGCCCTCCGAGCCGCAGTATTCTGGTATCCATTTCTTTTCTTCTTATATCAAGCCCGAGAACCCAATCTACCCGTTGGCTGCCTTAAAGGCAGGGAGGGGAAATTATCTGGCCTTTGGCACAGAGCGGCAAATATTCCTATATTGCCTCGGTGATGGGTCGTACCACGTTTCTGTGGGTCTAAGGCTTTCTGAGAAAACTGTACCTGAAGCTTCCATCCTCGCGAGTGCATCGGCCCTATGGAATACCGTGCTGCAAGAATATTTCGCAGGCTGGGATTGTGACCTGACAGACTTCGTGCGGTCATGCGATGGCAAGTTTCGCTCATGGCCATTATACACCATGGCCGAAGATGCGATCCCGTCCTGGAATCATGTTTCGGGAGTAACACTTGTTGGCGATGCTGTACATTTGACGTAAGTGCATACCGAACTGTTTCTTTTTCTTCTCAGATCGCCACGGGAAAGACTTTCCCGCTGACTTTTATTTCTTTTTCTATAGAGTACCAACTGGAGATGGAGTCAACAATGCCATGCATGATAGCGTCGATCTGGCGAAGCACATCATTTCTCATGGCATCAATGACCTGGAGTCGGCAACATTAGCATACGAGGAGGCGATGCGGCCGCGTGCGGTGAAAACAATTCAGAAAGGTCACTGGATGACCCATCATATGTTCTTAGCTGCAGGCGCGGAAGAGATGTTGGCTGCAATGGGGGCTGATGGTGGAGAGGCGTAAGTCAATTCTGAAAAGAGATCCTTTTTTTAGGACGCTACAGTGTCACCAAGGCATTAAACCAGCCAAATAGTTCTTTCCTTATACAGGTAGCCATAGAGACGTCCACAAAAGATTAAGACCAATTCTGCAGATTATGAGCCAATGGTAAAATGTCTTCTGGATGACTTCAACAAAATATACGACAATTACTACAAAGAACACTTGCTCAGCTCCCCAAACCAGCCAAAAACAGTATGGAGGGACACGCAGGTCGCCGTGTATAGGTAATACATGTAATATATAGTATTTTACGTTATTCCGTCGTTCTAGTTTTTTAATGAGTCTATTCTTAGGAAACGATTATTTACAGCCTTTCCTGGTACAGACTAGTGTATACTCGGGTACGGGCCGAAAAACAAAGTCAGTGTGTTCCAGGGGTAATCTGTTTTCGAAATCGACTGTACGGCAGGCCAACATCGACAATTATTTCTGACAATCACCCATGAAAATTGCTTGTCTATGATATATTGTTACACACGTTATAGATCGATCATGTACTTGAAGACCATATATTAACAATGGAAAAGCTATTATAAGCTCTAAAACAGTTTTTAACTACGTACCACGCAGTTACCGCTCGACAAGTTACTGAAGAGGACGGTTGTCTATGTTTTCTCTGGATTGCACTAAACCTGAATGGCATATGAGGCATTTTCATGATTTCTGGCGGGTCGCTCTAAAAGATGACTACCGCTAAGACCTTACTAGCTAGAGGCTACATGTAGCCTAGGGCCACGCAATAAATTAAGGAATGAACATACTAACGAACACTCAGATGTTCAGTATGCGTTATTATTCAACCATAAGTGACAGTAAATGTCTCAGTAAGAAAGATATGTTCATTGTAAACAATGTATTCGAATCAACTGCTTCAATAGGGATAATTTAAAGCAAAAGAGATATTGATGACCTTGCCTTCCTGAAAATTCAAACCTCCTAATTCCGTATTTTCTCTACGGTGGGTAGGGATTGCTATGAGAGTAGCGACTGTTACAAGGTAGGCACTAGCATAGGACCCAGAGGAAGGAGAACTCTTTGCGTTTTGTTCAAGAGTTTAATAACGACTATTTACGGGTCATGGCCTCGCGGGCGCGGTGCGGGGGGCACGCACAGGGGACGAATTGGGCTGATTGCCGTTGACAATAGATTATATCCTACACCACGTTTAGCACTACTAGGGCCTGTCTTCTCCTTGAGTCGATTAGATAGGCTATCCCTAGGAACGGTGAATTCACGTACTAAACGGGCTAAATTAGCCTTCTTAAGCTAGCTACTATATCGTATTCAATGAATTCAGTTATTTTTTGATAGTGGTGTTAGGTAGGAAATCAAAAAATAGGATTATCTAGTTGAAATACGAATATCTTTGTGGTGGGTGCACCCACAACGGGAAACAGTGTGGGTGCGGCACTGCTACTGTCTACGTTTTGGGAATGTACATTTATTCTGTGGATTTCTACATCAAATTTAGGTAAACATCACAAATGGGTATATACATGCAGGCTTCATTTAGGAATTCTAAAGGAAATTTTTGGAATGGATTTAGCATGGGTGTAGGTAGTGGCTACTACCACGGACTGAAGTCTTCTCTTCCGACTTTACCACCGTGGGCAATGAGCATTTCGACCACCCGATGATAGTTCGGAATATTTGCTTCAAAAAGAGACATCATTTTCCTATTCCACATATCCCCATATTCGTGATAATCTTTACCTTGATCAACCATTTTTGCAGCGAACTTCGCGCGATCCAAGGGTGTATGCCCTGCCCAAATCGCATTGGCATCAGCGCCATTGACAAGTAACTTTTCAACCACATCAAGGTGGCCATTTCGCGCCGCAGCATGAATCACAGCGTTTTCATTCACATCGGCTCCCAAATCAATCAAAAACTGGACGATCTCGGTCGCACCCGACCATGCCGCGCAATAAAGGGGACCTCCCTGGAACTCCCCGTAATGGTCGTCGTGTTCTTTGTTGGGATCCGCACCATGAGCGACCAATAGCTTTACAATGGCGAGATAGTCTCCGGATTTGCCAGACTTGTGGGGTGCTTGATATCCATGTCCATCAAAATACCACCCGGGACCTGGCTGGTTGCATATGAAATTAGCGAGATGATATTCACTCTCTCTCAGAGGCTCGCCAACGCCTGCTCGCGCAGCATATTGCAAAGGGCTCATTCCTCTTCCGTCCCCTTGATTCACATTTGCGCCCATTTCGAGAAGCATTTTCGCCGCGGCATATTGCCCCCCTCGAGCTGCTTCCATCAACGGTGTCTGTGCTGCTATGTCCATACAATCGAGTCCCATATTGTCAACATCTGCACCAATCGATATGAGAAGTCTCATTATGTCTTCGTGTCCTTCGAAAGCTGCGTAGTGCAAAGGTGTGAGGCCATCTCTGTCTGATAATCGGGTCGAGTCGTACGTTTCGGCCCCTTGGTCAAGCAGCCACCGAACCATCGTGAAGTGCCCTGACTGGGCTGCATAGCTCAGAGGTGTCCGCTTCTCCATGCACTTTGAATTGACAGTTGCCCCAAGTTGGACTAAGTATTGAACGAATTCGAGTTGACCGCCTTCCGCTGCCCAGCTGAGTAGGGTACGTTCGTCGAAGTCTTTGAAATTCACATCTAACTTGCGACCAAGGGACTTCTCATGGACCAGAAGCATTTGCCAGGTTTCGAAGTCCCCCTTCTCAGCTGCGTAGCTCCATGCGGTGCGACAGTCGAGATCGGTTTCATCTCCGTTTGCTCCCAGTCTCAGGAGGGTTTGAACGCCCGATCTGAGACCATATTTGGCGCATAGGGGTAGTGCAGAGCCATTATTCGTAGATAAATTGTTCTGGAAGAGAGGTTCCTCGAGGAGATCTTTCAGCCGGCGGTTTGCCCGCAGAAGAGAGGCGATGTCGCAATCCTGTGATAGAAATGTGGTGATATGAAGAAGCAACTCATTGGGTAATCGAAGGATCGACATCAGAGCTAGGTGAGAATTGTAAACAAAGATTTGTTGCTTTTGTAGGCTTTCTAGGCATGTTTTTTTTGTTTGAAGGGAATTATATACTAGATCCGAGTCACTGCCCGGGACCTCGGAGATTCTGACTCAGCCTGAGACTATTAGGATGACTCATCCCCATTCCCCAGGCAGTTGCGGCCTAAGGCTTCGCTGGGAGTACATGGTAGCTACTCCAGAACTTAGTCTTCAAACCTCTTAGGTCTAATGCTACGACTTTCCTGTACGAGTGGTTTCGTCTCTTATTATATATATTCCCTAATGTATAGGAGCGTTTATATTCTACTAGACTAAAATTATGGACCAGCATTTCTCGATTGAGTAATATTGTTGCACTTAACATGAAGATCCATAAGAGATGTTTCGTACAGAAACCGACAATTCTATGCTTGGCTATCGAAATCAAATTCGGCTTCCAAGTTTGTCTTGGATTAATCCTCTTTATGAAGAATGTTGGCATATATATTCTGTCATCATTATCCTGACCGTCATGAACCATGAAAGATTGAGTAGCCGAGCATCACTCTAGAAGGCTCCAGCAAGAGTGGCGGGTTTATTACCTAAAGAGGAAATCTATAAGGCGTTCATATCGAGAGGGTTGCCCCACTTCTTGGGAGCCCTCTTGAATCGGCCAATTTTTCAAAGTTTCTTCTTTACTATTTCTTATTGACCTCTTTCTTCTAACCAGCAATTGAACACAAGGATCTCGAAGACTCCAGAACGACTTCAGATCCCCGAGGGTCAAACTCGCGTGATCAAGCACTTTGAAAAGAGGTATTGATATCTTATAATAGCAAGGCGGATACAAAGATTCTCACAGCTTCCAGTGCAATTAAGAGCCACAATGACGCTTAGACAAACCCCTGGGAGACTAATAAAAGTGACATGTGGGATAGAGGAAATCCTTCGCTCGCCTTAATTGATTTTATTAAGCAGAGAGAGAGGAGGCATTTTGAGTCCAATTTCAGATAGCAGCTGACGGAAAAGGGTTCTCGTACCTATAAGTTTCTGCTTATTCTACATATACACATAGACCTATGAGACTTACATATTTATAGGGATGCGGAAAGGGCTATGATATATTCATGTTTTCTCTATATGGTTTCGATGTTGTTGGACTCGAAATTTCTTCGAAGGGGGTGTCTATCGCAGAGGTGTACGCACGCAAAGAACTACAATCTCCACAAGCGTACGGTTCCGGGTCTACCAAGTCAAATAAGTATGAAAGAGGCTCAGTATCTTTCATTCAGGGCGATTTCTTCCAATCTTCCTCTACGAAAGGGGAGAAGTTCGACGTTATTTATGACGACACTGTAAGTCTGGAATGTCTAGGCCTCGGTATAAAACTAATTCCCTCTACAGTTCCTTTGTGCTCTTCATCCAACAATGCGTGCTCAGTGGGCTTCGCAGATTGCTGAGCTGTTGATTCCGGATGGTCTTCTGGTTTGTTTGGAGTTCCCCCTTTTCAAAGACTCCAGTCTTACGGGCCCTTCATGGCCATTGAAGGGCGTTCACTGGAATTTGTTAGCTGAGGGCGGTGATGAAATTTTGTATCCTCCCACGTCGGATCAACAGGTGAAAGGTGAAAATGGGGTCTTCCGAGAGGAAATGGTATATCAAGCCCGAGAGGTCGTATGAGAGCGGGAAAGGAACCGATGTGTTGAGCATTTACGCAAGGAAGTAGGCTCGAAACAAATTGGGCATCAATATAGAAATTTCGAAAATAGACGACCCACCCCCCTTCCCTCAGATACACCCGCTTTCTTTTCCAATGTCCCACTTTTATCACGCTATTTGGCTATAGAATGTCTCCTTGGGGGTTGTATAGTGATGTGCATGACTGTATAGTAGAATCTGAAACTTGATGATGGGAGAAATTGCGTGATAGTAAAACTACCCAATCTAGTAGGTCACAAATTCCAATATTAAAATTAGGATATAGAGAGCTGCGAAAAATGGCGCCGAAAATGACAGCCTCTGGCGCCAGAAACGGCGTCCTTTCCATCCGTAACTTCGGACAGCGAGCCGCTGCCATCGCCGCACCCAACCAGGACCTTTAGTCCTCCACATCTTGCCCTGTTGTTGACGCTCGACTCACTAGGTGTGGTTTCACTTAAGTTGATTATTGACGCGACAAGAAATTTCTATTTAATGTGTAATTTTTTGAATGGTACGCCTTCCTCATAGAGCTTTTGTCAGGTAGATTCTTCGGCCAATGTTTAATGATGCCATAGGATCCCGACACAGGGTATGTGTATCCCCAGTGGGTGACCACTCTTGACCTCCAACGTTACAGACAAGCTGGAGGATTTTTAGTCACGAGGAATAACAAGGGTTTGGAATTAGGTAACGCTTAACAGCTTGACGAAATAGTAAAAAAAAAAGATAATACTTTGGGCATGGATGTTCTATAAAGTTCTTTATTGGTTATTTCTAAATTCCTAGAGCTACCATCTGGAAAGAAGTCCGTTTATTTGCCTAGAGAGTAGATTGAGGCATTGATATTTATCACCGTAGGAGATGTAGGGCACGAGCCCACAAGCATAGTATATTTCTTTCATGGTCTGCTAGGCAAGTTGGTAGGTTCAAATGAGCATGCGTTGACAATTTAATAAACAAAAGAATGGACATAATAAGCCATCAAGAACTGTCTCTGGAGAATCCATAAAAGTACCACTGTAGTCTCTGTTTTTGCGTTCACTATCCTCTAACCATGGGCATTTCTCATGTGCTGCATGAGGTTGTCCGCACGATTGCATGGTACCTTATCACAGTCTTCAATGGGGCAAGGGTAAGCACCGGGAGAAAAGTGGACGTTTTTGAGATGACGAATCAATGAAGATTCGTGTTTAAACGAGCCGGAATAAAGACAACCATCCCATTTGCACCGAAAAGGTTGAGCTGGTGGGCGTTCCTGAGGTCTGTAAACAAACATAGTAAGTCAACACTGTCATGTATACTGATAATATAAATTGCGCCGTCGTAGAAAATATCAAAGGAATTCAGAAATGACGTACGGCTGGATTCTTCTGTTCTTCTTGATTCTATTTGGAAGACGAGCATGAGGCCGAGTTATGAGGACCCGGTGGTCGACTTCTGGATTGCACTTGATTTCCTCGCGGCTTGCTTGACCTGGGAAGACCATAGACTGAGCCCCAGGTGAGATGCGATCAGTGTGCGAGAATAAGGCTGCTGTGTTCCTGGGGAAATAATCAAGACCAGAGTTTGGAGTAGGGTTCTCGACGCCAGTCCAAATCGCATTGACGGCGTTTGTTGAAGATAGCGTATTCCAGTCACAATTTTCACCGGCAGTTGGCATAGCCTGGGGAGTCGAAACAGCATTCCAAGTCGTTGGTGATGCTGTTCTTGCATCCCCAGTCCACTTCCAATCACTGTTCGATGACATGGGTCTTTCTTGAGTCTGGGCTTGAGAAAAGTCCACCATGTGGTATTCATCATAGTTGACTTGATCACCCTGCCAGCTCATGTCGATCATCGACCAAGCCATGATCGAAGGAGATAAGCAAAATAGTAGGTTTTCAGAGGCAATGGGACTGATTAATAGAGTAACAATTGGCTGTGATCAGAGGACTTTCAGTTCTTGAGCTGGATAGTAGGTCTAACTTGGGAGACGAGATCATTTAAATAGTCAAGAACCCTTGAATATATCCAAGGCCCTCCAAGTATCATAGGCTTTGGGCCATTCAAGGGGCGTGGGAACGATCATGACGGAGTCGGTAGGATTTGAAAGTGGACAAATCAGAGTCTTCAATTTTAGGGCGCCATTAAGGTGCTTGGACTAACTGAACCCAAGGTCAAGCCTCCTGCCGAGCTGCTGAATTCGGCCACGGAGTAGCGCCCTTCCATTTCACAAAGTACAATAGCTGTGATGGATCTTGATTTCCAGGAGAACTTGAGAGCAAGCCAATAGGGATGATACAGCTGTACCAGAACTTGGAAAGGATCCAATGAAAGAACAGCATGTGGACTAAAGAATATGGCAAGTGACCAATCATAGATTGCTCGAAATGACTAGTGACCCACAAATCAATCAACAATCGACCCTGGTGTGGATGCGGGGTGGCGCACCATCCAAAGCCGAGACGAGGCAGACAGCCATCAGAAAAAGAAAACATGATGATTCGAAGGTTTTCTATAAAAGGCATTACCAGTACCGCCCATGGGATTTGTTGCCCAGTCCTCTTCATCACCAGACCTTCTGACAGTCACGATGGTCAACCCAGGATGGGACCTCTACAAGAGCGAGATCGAAAGGTTGTACATTCACGAGAACAAGACTCGTGCTGAAGTGATGAGGCTCATGGCAACAAAATACTCGTGGAATAAAAGTTAAGCTTTAGACACGGGGTTGACTTCTCCGCTTACGACGATATAGCGGGGCTGAGTACTCGAAGAGATTCAAAGAATGGTGATTGAGAAAAAATGACCAGCCGAGAAACGACCAATGGATAGCCAAGAGAATCGACAAAAGGAAGCGAGAAGATGACAAAGACAGCGAGGTCTTCGTCAATGGACTCCAGATCCATCCTACAAAGATCGCCAGGTCCAGCTATAGAAATGGCTTTCTGACCGAGTATTCACGACGTGGTAAGCTTCATGTTTGCACGCCATCTGAACGTGAAGCTGAATAAATTACAGGCCCTTCTCCAAGTACCCCCGAAGGCCATGTTGTGGCTACGCCCACATCAGCCGGTATACGGATTTTCTATAGTAATTTTCTACCGTGGATCCGATTCACGCGTCTGTTCCAACCTTCAGAAGATGATGGTAAGATAAATTATTGAAAGTTTCATGCGCTTGGCTAAAATTTTCTTCATACTCGCAGATAACTCCCCTTCTTCCGAACTCGCCTTAAACTCATCACGCAACGGCAAGGCAGTTGCTAGAGGCATGAATTTCGAGTTAATGCAGCACTTAAGCACCCTCATACCATGGACCAAACTTCAGCACCGCTTAAATATGCACAGCTCTTCCCGTACATCAGCCGCTCTGAGTATCCTCATGCCAGAGAAAGAGCCTGGTCAACATGATATCTTGTCAACAGCTCTGAGTACTTCAAGAGCAGGTAGTCAGGAGTGTCTGAGTGTAGTGCTCTACCTCATTTCAAACAATTTGACTTCGCGGAACTCTGAAGGTTTCTATGAGGCAATAGAACGAAACGACAAACTGGTCTTGAAAATCCTCAGCGATACTGGCTGGGATGATTTGGAGCATCTCAAGATTCTTCTTTCCGCTCGCGAGCCAACTGCCGAGTCCATCACCGAGAAATTGTTTGCTGCAGCAGTACGACAGCACAATTTCGACATTGTCCAAAACATGCTCCGTTCTGGCATGAATCCTAACGGGTTGATCGAGAACCTGATAGTAGAGTCGGAAGAAACCTTCTGTACCCCTTTGCAATATATCGCGGCAACTGATGAAAGTGCTCATGCTATCAAACTTTTCACGTCTCACAATGCCGATGTGAATTTCTCTGTCAACAATGATGGCAAAAATGCCCTATACTATGCCATTATCACAGAGAATGAGACTTCGATTCGTATACTACTGGCTCATGGGGCAACAGTGACACAGGAATGCGTTCGTTCAGCTACTGCTTTTAGGCCTGACGACATTAAGGATTTCAGGCTCATTGAAAACATCATAGACATCTATTTCGACCAAGATGTGGCAAGGGAAAGAGACTACACAAACACACTCAAACTAGCCGTGATGAGGAATAACGTGTCCATCGTTGAGCGTTTCCTCGCCAAAGGGGCTGATTTGAACGGACTGCTGCGTTCCTACTTCCCAAGTTGGTTATCTGAACACCAGACTACTTTATTGGGCTATGCAACCAATATCGGGAATATTGAAATCGTACGACTTTTGCTTCATGTGTCTGTTCGCAAAGATCCGTCGCTTCTTCGGCCGCCCTACATCTCCCCACTGGCCATAGCAGCTGGAAAGGGCTTCATTGATATCTGTGAACTTTTACTCAGCTCGGGTGCTGACAACCGGGCTGCTGACGAGGGTGAAAATACGCTACTTGAGCGCGCCGTTCCAAAAAATAACCTCGCTCTGTGTCAATTATTGATCAATCACGGTTTCAAGATCGACAGAGAGCCACGTGAAACTCAACCGTGCCCTTCGGCACTTATGATTGCTGTTCAGAAAAGGCTCGTGGATATCGTTAATCTGTTGATCAGCTCAAATGCTCGATTGAACGATGTCTTCGATATGGAGCCAGGTTCTATTCTTGCAGCAGCCGTCGAAGTTGGGGACGAGGCAATAATCAACAATCTGATATCTGTTGGCGCAAGATGGATAGGACTCGGAGTCAGCAGAATCTGCAATTTGCAAACTGCTATCTTTTTGCAGAACAATGGGTTTCTTTCGGAACTTGTGGACCACTCTGGTCCCAAGCTCCTAGCAGCGGCTATTTCGGCCCAAGATGATGGTCTGGCATGGTTCCTGCTCCATAACAATGCTCATCAGCAACGGAAGAAACCAACGCTTGTCGAGGAAACACCTCTGTTGGCTGCCCTTCAAGTTAACAACGTCGGCTTTGTGCTGGCTCTCCTTGAGCGTGGCGCTCAAGTGACAGATGATGCTCTCACAGAAGCTGTCAAAGACAATGTTGACCTTCTACCGACATTGCTTGCAGGGTTCACGGGAAGTGCCCCGACGGCTGTTTCAGCCGCGGTGCTGAACGCCTCAAGGATCGGTCTGGACTTACTTCGAGAAGCAAATGTTGCCCTGAAAGGAGTGCCTTGAATGTCCCATCATCGATGGGATATTACTGGCGTGCCGGACCCACAGCATTGTGGCCTCAAGTCTGTGCTTGAAATAGCAGCTTGGAAGGCTGATGACTTTATCTTCAAGTATATTTATGATTGGGCGTCTTCAGTACAGTTCAACTGGAGTCCAAAGACGGTAGCCCGTGCTCTAACACTTGCAATCTTTGAACAGAAGCATGATTATATAGCCGAGTTAATGCTTCTCGACGAAGGAGCACTGGTCGTGGGTGAACATGAAGACGAGTATCATAAAGCTGTTGAGCTTGCAGAGGAACATGGTCATTATGCCACGGCTAGACTCTTGAAATCATTCAAGGACTCGGTTGAATTGGCTTGACGTGGGGAAGATAAGTAGAAGCTATGGAGGATGGAAATTCATGTTGTGCTTGTGATGAATCTCGTCATGTAGAAGATGAAAACTCGCAGTAATGCCCAATCTGGAGCGTAGGTTCTCGACCAGTGATATACAGCAAGACCATAGAGGCTCTGAGGCGAGTACCTTGGGCACATTATATATTCTATAACTCTCTAGGGCTCCTACTGCCCTATGCCAAGGTTTATTAAAGACCGGAAATGGGAGAAGACTGGTAAACTGAAATTGTAGTAATCGTCTGGCTAGTGACTGCCACCTTCAAGCTATTCGTGAGGAGGTAGAGGATCTATCATTACTAAATATATGCTCTTTTTTTTACCAACGATATAGAATGGCCTTCCTCTTCACACGATTTGGATCAATGCAGGACTTGATAAACTGAGATTCGCGTTAAAAGGGATTCAGATTCTCTATTATTGGCTTCTTCAGGCATGACTAAACCTGTTGACAACCAGGTCTCTGTTGAAATGCCGTATAATAAGATGATCTTGCGAGAGAAATGAAGCAACTCAAGAAGAAAAAGATAAATGCTCACCGGGAATTACATCGGTTTGAACAGGCGATAACTGAGATTATGGCGTTATTCCAAGAATGAGATCAAGTAGAACAACATATGAGAGTCGGCGCCAACCTAGAAACGGTCAAAACTCACTACATCTAGTAAAATCACAGAACCCAGGTATTACAAGAACAAAACTTATAATTCGAAAATAAGATTCGAGCAACTATAAATCTTCAAACCGACAGATTCCCTTTTGACCCAAGACTCCAGAAAAGAAAGTAAAAGCAGAAAATATGATACAGGAACTAGACCAGGCAAGGTTGGGTTGGTCTTCTCTTCCTGGGGACATCTACTCGCTATCATCGCTGTCCTCAGCCTGCTTGGACTTTCGGCGCTCCTTCTTTTCCTTCTTCTCCTTCTTCTTGCGCTTGCGCTCGGCCTTCTCCTCGGCGGTCTCGCCATCGTGGCGCTTGCGCTTCTTCTTGTCATCGTCGGCATCGGCCTCGGCCTCGGTGTTGGGGGACTCAGCCTCCTCGGCAGGGGACTCGGCGGGGGCAGCGGCGGCAGCGGGCTGCTCCTCGGTGCCGTCAAGAGGGGCGTTGTAGTCCTTGTACTCGGACTTCCACTTGGCGGGGGTGGCCTCGTTGGCGCGGCCGTACTTGTCGAGCTTGCCGGCGGACTTGAGCTTCTTCTTCTCCAGGGCGATGGGGCCCAGACCCCAGCGGCGGGGGTACAGGTCACGCTCCATGATGCAGCGCTTGACCTTGGCGACGACACCGTGGTCGCAGGTGGTGAGCTCGACAGTGGACATCTGAGCGATACCAATGGCGATAGCCTCACCCTTGGTGGTCATGAGGACGACCTCCTCGTTGACCTCAATGCCAGACTCTGTAGATACAATTAGTTTTAGATCTCATGTTAAGAAAGGAAAGCATAAACCTACCGAAACGGAGCAGACCAGGAATCATCAGCTTGGCACCGTAGCAGACGGCGTTGACAGCGCTGTCCTTGACGACAATACGCTTGTAGGTGGTGAGCAGACTCTCCAGGGGCTTGATGACACGGCGGAGGTAAGTTTCGTCACGCTGGTTGTCGTACATCCACTGAGCGTCCAGAACGTCGTGGAGGGTAACCATGCCGCTCTCCTCGTTCATAGCACCACTGCGGACACGGCGGAGCTCCTGCATGTGAGCACCGACACCAAGGAGCAGACCCAGGTGAACACAGAGGGTACGGATATAGGTACCAGCCTCACAGCTGACCCAGAAGACACCGAGGTGGCGCTCATTGTCGAACTCGTACAGCTTGCTCTCGTGGATGGTACGGATACGGAGCTGACGCTTGACGGCAGAGATCAAGGGAGGACGCTGGAAGAGAGCACCAGTGAGGGTCTCGAGGGCGCGGCGGAACTGAGCCTCGCCACCGGGGATCTTGTCGTGCAGACGGATCACGCAAACGTACTCCTTACCGGCACCCTGCTGAGACTTGACCAGACGGGTGGCACGGTCAATGCAGACAATCAAGCAGCCAGTGACCTTGGGATCGAGAGTACCACTGTGACCAGTCTTCTCGGATCTATCATGAGGAAGTATGTCAGTATCGATTGACCTAGTGGACTTTTGGTGGAGACCGGCAGGGTGTAAGGAAGGATTTACCTGAGGATGCGCTTCATCCACGCGACAACCTCGTGGGAAGACGGGTTGGAGGGCTTGTCCAGGTTGATGACACCGGAGCTGATGTAGGACTTGAGGTCACGCTTCAGAGGAGAAGCACCGGCAGGGATAGGAGTGAAGTGACCGGTGCGAACGAGCACTGTAAAAGGGTTCAAGATCAGTTAGCCATGTTCAACGCCGGATTTTTCACTCCCTCGAAAAAAGTTTCACACGTACGCTTCTCGTAGTTCTTGAGCAAAAGAGGCCAGTCCTCGCTCGACAGAGTCGGGTTAACCGCCTCAGGCTTAATGGTGTAGTCCACCTCCATGTTGTTGACGGCGGCCATCCTGGTGGTTAGTATGCTGTTGAGGTCCAAAAATTTGTTCGACGGAACGAAATTTTGCGAGTGCGGCAGCTCCAGTGCCCGATCGGGTTAGCGCCCGCTTGATATCACGTGACTGTGGCTGGCAAGACTTTTCTATAGTTCCATTGGTTGAATGCAGAATTCCATGGCATTCGCACAATTTTACATGGAGAGGATGGACTTGAATGATAATGAGATTCTATACCGCTATGTGCTAAGGAAGAGTCGGTACGAGGTGATGCTAATTTATACAAAATTGGTGGGATCATGGGGAGAACCCGTCCTTAAGGATGTCATTCCCCAAGGAAAGACCCTAGAGAGGACACGAGAAGAGAAATAAAAGACTAAACTGTCTATGCTTGCTCAAGTCCTTCTTGACTGCATGGAGCGAATGCATTTATCCCAGTCTGCGTCCAGATCCCCAGCTACCCCAAGTCTCGCCGGCGTCCGTACCAGAGGTTCGACTCTGGGGGGCAGACGACGCGGATGGTTGGGGTGCATGATACGCCGTGCCATATCCACGATAACCAGCATTCGGGGTGTGCTTCCAGAAGAAACGCTGCACGAAGAGAGGAGTGAAGATGAAGTTTCGGCCACCTCCAAAGGTCGGGTAGAGGCGGGTGAGGAAGTCGTAGAGATGGGCACCGAGAATACCAGTGCATTCCAACAGCATTGAAGGCCAACCGCCACGAACCATGGTGATGCACAACATTGCGGCGGGCAAGTAAATCACCGGGATGTCAATGACGAAGAATCTCACACGAGTGCCTCGCTTATCCTGGGCAAAGGTCCAGACCAGGGCCATGATCAGGGCTAATTACGGGAGTTTAGCATCTGGCGCCTATACAGAATGCCCTCAATAAGGGGGCATCAAGGGGGGAAGGGCTTACCAGGGAGGAAAGAGCCATAGCCCATATAGAATCCTGCGGTAAGCTTCAAAAAGGTTAGCACGTTGGGCAATAATAGAGTGGGCTACCATTGGGAAGCAGAGTCGGAGTGGATAGTGGATGGAAAAGAATCAAAATGATATTTGGGAACGATAGATATAGGTAACAAGATGATGGATGATATGTAGAATGTAGGGCACCTTAACCACCGTTCGCGAATGGAATCACGACAGTTATCTCATAGGTAGTCCCACCAATCCCACACCGCATGCAGTACCATTGGATTTTTTGCGAATGAGGTACTGCACGGGATGCAGGGGTAATCTTCCTCGCTTCCAGGAACCGCTTCAGCTAGAATGTGGCTGGGCGGGCAGATAATGCGAGGTGACACAGGGCAATGAACGCAAGACAGAAAACAAAAAGCAATGACTCTACAGTAGCTGGCCATGGGGGCAAGCAAGTCACTTACCAGAATGACGGTGCTTACGAACAGGATGTAGATGAAAAAGTCACCAGGCTTGGAGAAGCGACCCGACTGACTCTCCAGGGCACTGCTGTAGCGCCATAGATTGTACAGATCGAAGACGAACTCCAAATCCCTTCCAGTCAGGAAGAAGCAAGTTGCCAATCGCCAGACCTGTGGAGGCAGTTGGAAGAAGATTTTGCTCGGGACGAAGAAAATGTATTTTCCAGTGATGAGCCTGCCCCAGAACAGGAGTGACTCAATCAGGGTCGCTGCCGTGAGTGTCCTGGGAGAGACACGTTAGTTTTCGCCCCGGGACCTGCCTTTGGGGGCGAGAACGACGAGCGTACCTGGACACGGGAGGTGCCCGCCAGAAAACATCCATCTCTGCCGATGGGGATCAGAGAGATGAGAAAGAGCTAGATGGTGGGTTAGAAGACCGTTCAAGAGCTCATGTCATTAAACCCGAAGGCTATGAGCTTTGAAGACGGGAATTGAGAGGTGTAAGAAGAAGGAAAGGAAAAGCGACGTGGAAGTGGGAAGAAATAAAAACGTGTGCAAACCCGCTACGGCGGTGAGTTTCTCCGATACCCGGGAATTCTTGGCGCGGCTCTTTGCGGCTCGCGGAAACGGAGACACGTCCGAGCTCTAGATGGAACTGTACTAGGCAGCAGACAAAACATTGACAAAACAATCTTGAAATGAATGAGAGATAACTCGAGAACCTCATCAAGATCAATCATTGTTTCTGTCTAGAGCTACAGGGGTTTTCAGTCATGTCGAAGCTACAAGTATATATAGATCGCACTATATTTTGGATCCTGCTTTCGGATGGAATGGACTGTTAAGATACATAACGAAGCAATAAATATACAAAGTGGTGACTAGCAATGTATTCATAGCCTCATACATAGTATCATGTTCAATTAATGGAAAATTAAACTCAAAATACAAAGCCATAGTGTTATAAGGTGCTATAAGAACTTAATGATATTGTAACCACTCTATTGAAGATAGACCTGGACCACCTTCAGACCTAATCATATGATGCAATGAGCATACCGCAAACCAGTCCATAGATAGATAAAAAATTAAAAAATTATGAAAGAGTGTATCATCAGGGTATCATCACAACCTATTTTACATCTACCATACACCACAAGTCCTCACAGTCCCCCTCACAGCAAGCCCACCCCTCGGCCCTTCAATCCAAACATCCCATTCTCCGCCCTTCCTAAGTTTCCCACAAACGGTTAAACTCTCATCGACAAACAGCGGCGCAAGATTCTTATATTCAATATGTTCAACCCGTAGACTTGAATCTTGGAAATGGCGCTCCAACACACTCAAAAGTAGTGTCAATGTCAACGGCCCGTGGACTAGAAGATTGCGATACCCTTCTTCGTTCTGGGTATAATTTTTATCGAGGTGGATGGAGTGTGCGTTGAACGTTAGCGCCGAGAAACGGAAGAGAAGGGATTTGTTAGGTGTTATTGAGTGTCGAAGTGTTGCGCCGGAGGGGGCTGTATAGAAGAAAAAGAGTTAGTTTATCCATAATATAGGCTGTTTAGTATAGAAGGAGAATATACACACCTTTCACTATCCGACCAGGCTCCCCAAATAGCGCCTGGTCCGCCTTGATCTCCGCCGCGCTCTTAGTCCGCATGAATATAAGGTCTCGGTTCTCAATCACCGACGCCTCGCCCGCGAGTGCCTCGTCTTCAGTCCATATGCGGCTCCTCGTTTGGGCCTCGTCTTCGCCTTCGGGTACTGTGCCTATGCGCCGCTCAATTCTCACAATCACTTTTTCGTCGCCCTCGCGGCCCTTTACGGATACATTGCGGATCGATTCGATGCACACGGCTCGCTGGCCGTCGAGCAATGGGCTCGCAGCCGGAAATCGCAGATTTCCACCAGCCCACAGCCTTCGATGGAAGGGATCTCCCGGTGTATGAAGGACGTCTGTGCCATCTGGGAGCAATTGCGACAAGGTTACTTGTGGCGGGAAGTAGATTAAGTGGTGGGCGAGTGGGAGTGGAGCTGGGTTCGTTATTGAAGGGAGAGTCATCCTTGGGTCTACGGGAGTAGACACGGTCTTCGGGAGGAGATCACATAATGAAAGATTGAGTAGGTGCGAGGGCTGTGGGTGCAAGTAGTCGTAGAACAAGGGGATTTTGCGCGTAGTTAGCTCCTGCTGTAGACGCTCCGAGAGGGAAGAGTAAGCGCGGGCTGTGTACCGCGCCGTAGCTCCCCCTCCTCGCACGAAGAGCAATGGCCGAGCTAGACACGTCGTCATCAGCAGGAAATGCAGAGCAAACAGCCAGAAATGCTGTCAACTCTCAGCGCGGGGAGATATGGAAGCTCAGATGGGCATCTCCGATAAACCTTCGATAAACCCTCGAGTTTGCCTTGTTTGTTAACAAACCCGCACGAGCATACCCTCACCGCTCGGCGCAGATCGCAATGCGTTGCTGGAGACCTGTAGTAGACTCAATTGCCCGCGTTGTTTGCGCCAGACGTGGTCTCTCCTGTCAAGCTCGTCCAGCATTCCTTCACAAAATGCCCGCCAATCGCTTGAAAGTGGCCTTCCTAGGCCCGCCGGCCTCGTTCTCGCATCAGGTACAGAGTCAACTCCAAATTCCCCCGCCAAGCTCATTCTCATTACCCCACATTATTGGCCGAATTGAGTTCGTCTCTAACAGTTGCTTTTTGTTCTTACAGGCCGCGGCCGAGTCCTTCGATAACACGGACGCTGAGTTACTTCCTCACGTCTCCTTCGCGGATGCCTTCACGGCTGTGCAGCAGCAAGTCGCCGACTACGCGGTGATCCCGTTCGAAAACTCGACCAATGGCTCCGTTGTGCAGACATTGGATTTACTTGCGGATCGTAACGCCCTTTACACGGACGTCGAGGTCTGTGGAGAGTACTACCTGACCGTGCACCATTGTCTGCTTGTGCGCAAGGGCACGTACCCATCCGGCTGGGCAGGCTACGACGGCTCCATCACAAAGCTATACACACACCCACAGGCCTGGGGCCAATGTGATAATTTGTTATCGCAACACTTCAAGGGCATCGAGAGACAAGATGTCTCGTCAACCTCCAAAGCCGCGGAGATCGTTTCGAAAGAGATGGGCGAGCACGCCGCAGCCATCGCCAGCAAATTCGCAGCCGAGCACCACGGCGTCGATATATTGAAAGAGAATATCGAGGATCGTGCCGATAATACGACCCGCTTCTTGATCTTCAGGAATACTCGTGTCGAGCGTCCTGCTCAACTTGAGTTCGAGCAACCTTCTACATCGACTGAAGCAACGACGCGGAAAACTTTGATCTCCTTTGCGATTGATCACTCCTCGCCGGGTGCTTTGGCGAATGCGTTGCTTATTTTCAAGGCTCATGGGTTGAACCTCACGAGTATCAATACGAGACCGAGCTTGAAGCGTGCTTGGCAATATATCTTCTTCGTCGAGTGTGGGCGAACACCCTCGGACGAGAATAAGGAGGCTGTTCTCAAAGCCTTGGATGATTTGCGTCACGCTACGGAGTTTTGTAGGGACTGGGGTTCTTGGAAGGACCAGCTCTGAGTGTGCAGCATTGCTATCTGTGTAGCTGTGACCAGTCGGTATGATTTCGGTTGTATATTTTTGGCATGATGTGATGATAAAAGGAGATCAGAGGGTAAAAAGCGTGCATGGATCTGAGATCTTTACATTTTGATAAAACAAATACACTTTTCGGGGCCACTTGAGTGGGCGAAAGACCTCGCAAGAAATTTCGGTTCTCACAATATGAAATGACCATACGGTCCTTAATTATTTGCTATACAGTAACAGAGCAAACCCTTAAACTACTCCAGCTACAAAAAGCAGAATGAAGTATGCTGAGCCAAACCAAGCCACATCATTTCAATCCAGGAACGTAATTAAGAGCAATCAAGTGTATTGGATTTAGTCTTTTTTAGAAATAACGAATGCGACAAACTAAAAGAACGAGGACCCGGATCAACCTTGAGGTCGACCCAGAACGACGGCGACAAATGGACCGAAGCAAGTAAACAATCACCCGCGCAATTGACCTTTTCCCTCTCAATCTGCGCTTATGCGCGGTACAGACAGGAGGCAAGGGGCGAGTGAATGTTGCAGAGAATCGCATCCAACCTTTCAAATTGCAATTTACACCACATGTTCGTCTCAGACACTGAGGTAACCTCAGTGAGCATGTCACGGAGCTTGGATGACCCTGTGGGGGGAGAGCGAGTTAGAAAATGACAGCGTTGATAGATGATAGAAGGAGAATTACTCACCTCTGAGCAACTTCACGGGGCTTGGAACGGGGTGGTTGATGGTATCCTTTACGGATTCTTGGGTTCCAGTCTCGGAGTCGCTTGCTTGATCCACGGGGCGAGCCGTCAGAAGACTCGCCTCGGGAGCTTCTGGCCGTTCATCCTCGCTCTCTGCGAGGTGGCCGAACCGTCAATCGTCGTAGAACTCGTCGTCGTCGCTATAATCCGCGAGCTGCTCAAAGTTGACCTTATAACGGAGAATGGCTCCGATACCACCGAAGCCCTTGACGAACTGGTTACCCTCACTGGACCGGTCCGACACGAACTCCAGCTCCGCACCAAAGTCCTTGTAGGCCTCCGCCAGCCACTCCAGGAAGGAGGACGACTCGATGACTTCCATCTCACCGCCAGTCTCCTTGTCCTGGAACATCTCACGGTTACCCTCCTGGGCCTTGGTGGTGTTCAGGATGACCTCCGAACCAGCGGAATCCTTCAGAACCCAGCGGGTGACGTCCAGGTTCTCGAAGACGATCAGAGTCTCGGCGGCACCGAGCTCCAGAGCCTTGAGGGTATCCTCGACACCGTAGCAAATCTTGCCGGTATCCTGGGAGATCTCCTCGAAGTACTTGCCGATCAGCTTCTTCTCCTGGATGAACTTGACGCTGCTCAGGGTCTCAGCTGCCAACTCGATGGCCTGGTTGAAACCGTTCTCGCCACCGTAGGACACATCGACAACCTTGATGACCTTGGACTGCAGACGCTGATCGAACATGTCGGATTGGTTCAGGTCGTTCTTGAAGTCGGCGGAACCAGCCAGGACGAGACCGGCGACGTTGACCTTGTCGTTGGTGATGTAGTTCTGAACAGCCAACTCGGCGATCTTACGAACGTAGTTGTGACGCTTTTCCTCACGAAGACGGGCGAAACGCAGCGCGGATTGACCACCACGACCCTATAAGTGAGAACAGGCAAAACGTAAGCGATTTTGAAGAGGCGAAGAAGCGTAAAAGTATAACGCCTGGAAACTGGGACCCTGCAGAGGAAAAAAAAGGGGATGCCTGGGATAAACTTACGTGCTTCTTGGGAAGATCGACGGACAGACGCTGCAGAATCTCACGAGTGTTACCACTGAGGGTACCGAAGAGCGCACCGTTACCATCCATGATGATGAAACCGAACTTCTGGTCCGACTCAAGCAGCTCGCTCAGGGCCTCGGTGTGGAACTTGTTGTCACAGAGGTAGAGCGAAGTGTTGATAGGCTTGAAGGGCTCAAAATCAATGTTAATCTTGCGCTCCTTTCCTTCCGCGGTGATAATTTCACCACAGTAGACGACCAGGCCATTGGGAGGGACCTTGTTGTACAACTTGAGACGCTGCTGAGTGGAGGTAATGGCCGAAAGGACGGACAGACGGTTCACACGAGACTTGATGTTGGAGGCAGTACCCTATTCGAGCGTTTAATTTCCGAAAATTTTCGGGGAAGTGGCGGGGGAGATCGGGGAACGGGGAATAGAGGAGGAGGGGGAAAGGCATACGTATTCTTCAGCCAACATCTTTGCGGCGCGAGAAATCTGATCCTTGGGGGCTGTATATGAGAGTTAGCGGGGGAAATGGTCTTTTTCCATCGGAAGGCCCAAATGACAGGCATTGACTAGAGAGACGTACGGATAATGAGCGAAATCATGGAGGTACCATTTCCGCGGGCAGATTCAAGACGCTTGATCAGCTTCTTGACCTTCCAGATCTCAATGTTCTTCTCGGCTTCACCGCCCTGTCCCTGCTGTTGGGAACTCATGATGGGCGAGGCGAAGGTGATCGGGGCGAGGAGAGAGTATCCGAGGCCTTGCCTATCGACGCCTAACCGGGGTCAAAATTGGAGAGACCCGAGGTAACAAAGGCAAGAGTCCTAATACCTGGAATTAAGAAAAGTGGCAAGTTAGTAAGGAAGTCAAGGATAAGTATGAACTACACAGAGAACTCACAAGTATATTGTAGTGGAGAGGACACACCTTTGACGTCGTTGCAAAATTCCTTTTCGCTGGGCGTGGGGTTTCGAGGGGCTCTGGGTGGGCTGAGGTAAGCCGCGTCCACGTTTTAGTTGGTCAGTTGGCGGTTCCGGTGGTTTCACGCTTTTCACTGGTTCAACTGGTTAACTGGTTAACTAAAAAGTAACTAAACTGACTAAACTGACCGAATGGGTTTAGTCTTGAGGATCGCCCTGAGTACAGTACCTGGATGTACCTAATCAATGTACCTAAGCTGTGTGATATGGTGTACAGTACAGAGTACTCTAATACTCTACACACACTCTTAATGCACCTGCATAACTACCGTTTCTTTTTTCTATTCTTATATTGTATATTGTATACAATTTCAGTCATTCACAATCTATTCTCCTATTCCATCCAGAAGGGTCCACTACTATTGCCCCCTCTTTTTTCCGTCAAATTCTTCCAAAGTTACCTAATAGACCGACCGATATCACCCAAGTACTAGGAACACACGCAGAATACTACTAGTACCCCATGTAGCTAGCTAACACTCATAGTCCTGCATAGTCATGTATCCCTATGCATCTCCAAATGAAAAATAAATTATTTCTCCCCTCAACTCCTAACGCCATTACATACTCGAAACTGTGGCGCGAGGTCAAAAAAGCGCTTATCAGCGCTGGGACGCTATCACCCCACACTACCAGACACTAACCGGAGCTTGGAGCTTCCTTCTCTAGTCTCCTCCGTTGCTTTCCTTTCCTTCTTATCTTTCCCATTTTCGTCCGATTTCTAGTCAAAAGGGCGCCTGTGCCGATTAAACTCATTCTGTGTTCTTTGGAAATCACAATCCACAGGTTCACGCCGAGACGGACCAGACCCATTCGGCTACGATTTCCGTCCCTGAGCCAAGCAAACGTCGTTGAATCTTCGCTTCGGAGTCCACGTGCCGCGATTGACTGGCGACTCTCCCGTTGCAACTACTGGGACCTCCTTCAAGAAACATCCAGGATACTGCCGGAGAATGGCGCCTGGAAATTCAACCGATCCTCGTGGAGAGCCCTCTCCCTTTGGCTCGTTGAGGATCCCGACGGCCGCCGCGTCAAACTCGTACGACCCTGGACACCTCGGCCATGGGAACCCTCTCGGTGAGGCGGAGCATTTAGGTAGAGAAAGGTATGTCTGAAACCCCCTTCTCTGGGTGAATTGATACCGTCGTGAATGTTTGCTAACGTCCGTGCTAGATCCTCCTCATTCTCGCGCATCCGCCAAGTCGGCGGGCCGAACAGTATCGATAACTTCGCTCGCTCGTGGCAAAGAGCTGCCTATTTCCCCGAAGTTATTCCTCGTCGCTCGTCTTTTGTTTTCGCAGAGTCAGACGACGAACTTGCCATTGCGACGGGTCTGGAGTATGGTTCCCGGAGCGACATCGAGCGGCCTCTACTGTCCGAGGACTCGGGGGGTGAAGACTCGGAGCAAGAGGACTTGAGTGCGCCAGGGCGTTCTAGGAAGAGTGTTCCGACTGCGGCTCTGCTGTCGTCGTCATTTGAGAGGAGTTTTGCGACTTCGTACGGAACTATTTCCTCGCGGGTTAGCGAGTCGACCCGCCGCAATGCGATCCAGTTCCACCGCGAGCAGCACCAGGTAATTGGAGATGGCACCGGGGATCCTGACCGGGAGCCGTTGATCCTCAAGCATGTCGAGCATGAGGACGGTACACACGAGGATATCATCATCGGGCAGTCCACCGTGCCTCAAACGGTCTTCAACTCGGTCAATGTGTTGATCGGTATTGGACTGCTGAGTCTGCCGTTGGCGTTGAAGCATTCGGGCTGGGTAATAGGACTGTCCTTCTTGATCTACTCGGCTGTGATTACCTCTTATACGGCCAAGATTTTGGCCAAGTGCTTGGATGTGGATAAGACTTTGGTTACGTATGCAGATCTCGCCTATATCAGCTTCGGACAGCATGCTCGTCTTGTGACGAGTATTCTGTTCTGCTTGGAGCTGCTCGGTGCATGTGTCGCTCTAGTGGTGTTGTTTGCAGACAGCTTATACGCACTGGTCCCTGGCCTAAGCATTCTACAGTGGAAGATTGTCTGCGGTCTGGTGTTGGTCCCGTTGAACTTTTTGCCCCTGCGGTTCCTCAGCGTGACTAGCATCCTGGGCATTATATCCTGCACATCTAGTAAGTTTCATCACATTGTGACAGATATGCAACACGAGTGGTGAAACATAGGCTAACGATGAATAGTCGTGATTCTTATCTGCGTCGATGGCTTGATTAAACCCGATAGTCCGGGCTCGCTGCGACAGCCTGCGAACACATACCTCTTTCCGGATAACTGGGCCACCGTTCCATTGAGTTTTGGTCTCATCATGTGTAAGAGGTTCTTTACCTTGTGTCTGATGACAGTAAGCTAATTCGAGAATATAGCCCCTTGGGGTGGACACGGCGTCTTTCCTAACATTTACCGCGACATGAGACACCCAAAGAAGTATGGGAAGAGTCTTTGGGCGACGTATATTTTCACGGTACGAAAATAACATTATCTTACCGAGGAATTCTAACGCTGACAAAATGGGAATGTGTAGTTCTCTCTTGATTGTTCTATGGCTATTATCGGCTGGCTTATGTTTGGAGATATCGTTCGTGATGAAATCACGGCCAACATCCTCACGGTGGATCTGTATCCACAAGCCTTTTCCGTTTGTATCATCGTCTTCATCGCGATTATCCCCCTGACCAAAGTGCCTCTAAAGTGAGTTTGACACTCGTCTTGATCTCAAGTCTCCATGGCTAACCGAAAATCCAGCGCCCGTCCTTTGGTAGCCACCTTTGAAGTCCTCTGTGGTGTGGGAATCGGACCCGTAACTGGTGACCGCCAGCGCGCAGAGACAATCCAGAAGCTAATCCGAGTAGCCGTGCGTGTTTTCACCGTGGCTCTGATCGTAGTTTTGGCCGTGGTCTTCCCCTCGTTTGACCGCATTATGGCCTTCCTCGGTTCATTCCTCTGCTTCACCATTTGCATCATCTTCCCCCTCGCATTCTACCTGAAGATCTTCGGGAATGAGATCAGCCGACGCGAGCGCATCCTCGATTGGTTCCTGCTCATCACGTCGACCATCCTGGCAGCAGTGGGAACCGTCTGGGCATTCCTGCCTCGCGAGATGATTTCAGAAGATTAACCGAATTTGACTCGGTTCATGAATGTTCGACGGCATTGATTTGTACCTTTTGTATATGCATGGCGTGATGCGGTGTGTTTATGATTGTATTGCGAGAATGATAATCATCGCAGAATGATGGCGAAATTATTGCGTTTAGCACCCGGGTTGAGCATCTCCTTTTTGAAACTTCGAGGTGATGATTCCCCCGTATAATTCCATAGTTGATAAATCAACTTGTTACTCCGCTTGGTTTGTACCAGATGGAATCCCAGACTGGATAGAATGTCGAGTAGTCTGTCCTCCGTCACGTAGCGTGAGTTATCCACGCATGCCACAGGCAAGACGAAAAAGAGGGTCGGGACAAAAGAGATGGAACATTGAGTCGTCAAGAATTCGACGCAGCGCTTAAGCATATCGCCCCGGCCAGTCGCATCCGGCACGTAATTCAGAACCAATGATAGACTGATAATATTAAAGCGCTCTGCATCCGAAGCTGGCAACGGCCGCTCCATAAAATCCTGCTGGAGAATACCCGGTTCCTGAGAATTCAGATCGATCCGACTAACATCCAACGACGGCGTCCTCGAACAAGCATTTTTCGTGCTCAATGCACCAACCTCGAGAACGCGCAATTTAGGTAAATCCGGTTTCCATTGATCCAGCTGAGGCTTGATCCAGTCGATGAGGAGTTTGCTGGAATCACCGCCTCGGTCCATGGATTGACCGAGCTTGCTGGCGATTTGATAGCTGTCGAGTCCGCCATTGGCTTGGATTTGAGCATCGATGCTGCTCACTTTGGCTGCATCGCCGGCCTTTTCAGCTTGAGCTCTGGCTTTGAGGAGTTGATGGTGAGATCGGATGAGATTGCGGGTTGCTTTGGCGGACAATGCAGCCTGTTTGGGTTTGACGGTTGGTGGTCGGCCTTTGGAGAGTAGGCTTGGCCTTTTAGATCGACTTTTGGGAGCCATTTGAATGGGGAGTAGTGTTGCAAGAGATGATTAAGGATGAAGTTCAAGAGGCATTATGGAGAAGAATGGTTGAATCTATAGTTGCGGGTCAGAGAATAATTTCCCCCATACCAGTAATGATTGGAGTATCGAAGTTCTTCATATTCTCCATCGCGAAACAAACCGACTTTCAAGAAAAAAAGCGGCCGATCGGCAGCGGTGGAGCCCCGCTGACTCAGCACTGCGAATGACTAAGCCTGGCCACCGCCCGAGATCACCTGACCCACACAGTGGTAGGGTTTTCGCTTAGCGAAGCCACTCCAAATTGTTCGAACTTCGACACTGCGACGACAATCACCACGACAGCGGACGACAGCCATGGCCCCTACCACCAAGCAAGGTACGTTCGAATGACCTCGCCTACTTGCATTCGACCACCCTGTGAATTCTGTGCGATCGAGAATTTGTGTTCCGGAGAAAGAGATGGACAAATCTTGTGCTTTCAAAAAAAACCCACCTCGTGGACGACACTGCGCAATAAGAGGTGGGAATTATTTATGGGAATTGCGGAAGACAATGATATATCGACTATACTCGACAACTTTGGCATTTGTTTCTGAACACTCCGGACCCATTTTCTCGACTGCACCGATTTACAATTTTCACAAACTTGATCACAATTTCGATATTTCAAGACATACCGAGAAACTGACCGGGTTTTTTTTCTTCTTCTACAGGCAATGCCTCCCGGGCTAACGCTGCCGCCAAGGCAGTCGTTAAGGGCTCTTCCGTACGTTCTCACACTTCCTCGATCTGATCATATCAGTCCATTTCCGATGTTGTGATATGGCTGTGATCAAATTTTCGACATACACTTCTCCACGAGACATCACTAACATGATCTTTTTGCGAATCTCTAGCTCCACAAGGCCCGCAAGGTCCGCACCTCGACCACCTTCCACCGCCCCAAGACCCTGCAGCTCTCGCGGTCCCCCAAGTACCCCCGTGTCTCGGTCCCCCGTGACCCCCGCATGGATGCTCACAACATCATCCTGTACCCCCTCAACACCGAGAGCGCCATGAAGAAGATCGAGGAGAACAACACCCTCGTCTTCATCGTCGATGTCAAGGCCAACAAGCGCCAGATCAAGCAGGCTCTTAAGAAGCTGTACGACGTTGACACCGTCAAGGTCAACACCCTCGTCCGGTATGGTTTCCCTCTACACAGCGAATAGGACATGATATGCGATATTTGTCTTGATCTGATCTACGAGAATTTTGTTGCTAACTCATTTTCTACAGCCCCGACGGCTCCAAGAAGGCTTTCGCCCGTCTCACGCCCGACGTCGATGCTCTGGACATTGCCGCCACCAAGCTGGCCATCGTCTAAAAGGGGAATAGGAAATTGATTTCTTTGGGTTTAGGCGAACTTTGTTTTCCACCGTGGTGATTCTCAATACCAGCCAGTTCCTTGGCTGTTATGTGCAGCAACGAGGGCTGAATGATACAAAAAAAGAAACATTTTCTTGACACGATTTAAACACTTGTTCCTTTTGTTTACGAGTTTGAGTATGAGATTGGTAGCAGTGAACTGCTGTTTCCTGTGTAGGCATTGAAGTAGGAATGACGTTGCAAATACTTGGTGCTATCTGTATCGTCTGAAGGTCACGTATATGGTGGAGTGCCTTTTCGATTGGAGAGTTACCATGTCTAGCCCGACTATAAGCATAATAGATCAGACATGTCGAGTGATCTTATCTGAACTTGATTCCATCTAAATTCAATCCCGAAGTCTCCAAGCACAAGACAATGGACAATGTCAAAGAACAAAAGTTATACACAAAGGATTCATTCACTTTGATTCTAGTATACAAGCGACTCATACATTCCCACCCCAACACCAGAGAAGAGATATCAACTTCTATAAACCCACCCAAACAGCCATGTGCAACCACAGTCTAGAAACAATTGTTGAACCATATCACAAGTCCAAATCCTCCCACCAACTGTTCTGCTGTCCGCAATGCAAAGTCATATCTTTCCGAAATGCGAGTCGTATTATTTTAACAAAGCCCCAGATCCAGACTACACTGGTATAGTCCAGACAGGACACAATCATGCCCAGCTCATGCCCAGCTCATATCCTTGAAAATAGGAGATATGAAGGAAGACATTTACTGGCCACGCATACTCCCCAACTTCTGCAGAATCAACATCTGCGAATCCATCCACCGATCAACACAGTTCGCAGCGCAGGACTCCTCGCTTCGGTCCAGGGTTCCGGATGTAAAGGTCTTGCCGGCCATGCACTTCTTGAAGCAGGTCTCGTTGAGGGAGTGGACGGCTGTAACGAGGGTGTAATTAGCAAGCGATTCCTCTCCCGGCTTGATATAACGAAGCAGCGGCGTCATTCTCTTTAGAACGGGGGTATGTATCCATGCTATCCGGGTGTAGTTCGTCCACTTACTCTGCTGGATGGTAGCCTTCTGCTGCTCGTTGGCCAGTTGCTGCTGGAGGTCAGCCTTGTCGGCATCGGTGAGCTTGGAGAGATCGAGGGAGGGGTCCATTGTAGCGGGTGGATGTGGAATGCGAAATGAAAATAGAGAAAGGAATAGGTATAGCGGGAGGTGGTCAAAGATAATAAATTCGAGGGATTGATAGTCCAGCTCTTTCGATCTCGGAAAGTTGCCCTGCGCACCGCAAAATCGAAGGCGGTCAGAACCGGCACAAAAATGACGCTTGCGCCCAAAGATTCCACCTCTTCTATCTTTCATCCGGGGAAACAGCTTACAGCTTACCTTAAGCACGTTACTTTCGTTTTGGAATAGACCTGCTCTATTCTCTCTTTTTTCTGCTTTTGATCTATCTATTTGGCTTCGCTCTTGTCTACGTTCTCGCAACTCACACACTCGCCACTATGCCTCCCATCCGCACTGCCCGCAATCGCAAACCCCCACCAGCGGGCTTCGATGACATAGAAGATACCCTGCTGGAATTCAGTAATAAGATGAAGGATGCTGAGAATGCGTCTCACGAGGGAAAGAAGAAGCACGAGGTTCTTTGGCCGATTTTCCAGATTAGCCACCAGCGTACGTCTTCCTGGTTTCCTGCGCAAGCGCGAAGGGACGAGACTATCGTTCTATCTATCCTTGGTTCAAGTTTGATGTTGATATGGATGCTAACCTTTTTTTTGTTGTGGTTACAGGCTCACGATACATTTACGACCTCTACTACGAAAAAGAAGCTATCTCAAAGCAACTCTACGACTGGCTATTGAAGAACAACTACGCCGACGCAAACCTAATCGCCAAGTGGAAGAAACAGGGTTACGAGAAGGTAAGCACAACCCTGGAACTTCTCTCTTCTCTTCTTTTTCTCTCCTCTCGTCTTTCATATCATAAGTTCCATCTAACTAACTCCCCCTCCTCAATCTAGCTCTGCTGTCTCCGCTGCGTCCAAACCAAAGAAACAAACTTCAACTCCACCTGTATCTGCCGCGTACCAAAGGCCCAGCTGAAAGAAGAACAGACAATTCAGTGCGTTAGCTGTGGTTGCCATGGTTGTGCGAGCAGCGATTAAGAAGCGCGAATAATCGATTCGACTCGAGACTACTTCGAGGGTTGGTGATCTGCATGGAGCTTGATATGGTTGCGGGCACTGGTTGAAAATGGTTTGGTTTGGGAGGCGTTTATGGGTCTTGCATGTCGTTTTCTTTCTTGTGTGTTCATTTTTACTTGTCGATGATATTTGACATTTTCTGTTTATTATGCGTTTCGGTTCAGTTGCATCGACTCGGTCAATCAGATACCCTTGAACATCAGAGATCAAACCTTCCAAGTAAGCCCAGAGAAACTACTCAGTGCAATAGAATCAAACTCTGTAGGAACGAGGATGCTCTACAAGAAAAAGTATTCAGACAAGTAATAAATTTCAAATTGCTAAACTAATCAATAGCGCCTCCGATGTATCCAGTCCAGCCCTAGTAGCTCCTTGATAGCATGTAAAACGAGTAACAGCCGATGAAACAAACAAAGAATAAATCCCAACCCCAATATCCCGAATCATGAAACATCGCTTGCTCATGTACATCTTGGCGTCGTCATTAATGTCGTAGTCAGGCCCATCTCGGGGCACAGTGGAATAAACAAAAAAACAAAAACAGGACAAGTCAGAACTGGCGCGTCTCGGCACAGCCTTCAAGAAACTCCCAGAAAAGGAAAAACCAACCACAGGCTATCGAAGCCTGGCGGTCGTCCTGAGGTCCATCTCAAAACTCCTTCAACCCAGAACGCAAACAAAGAGGGAATGACAGAAACAGGTAAGCCCACAAAGCATGACAGTATAGTAGGAGGGTCACAATAATGTCAGTGCATAGACACAAGGGTTATCCCAACCAGGACAGGGACGTATTAAACATCATAAACAGCTCAAACACCAATTTTGTCAAATCAAAACACAGACGACATGAGGGGGAATCAAACCGGGCTTCAGTTCCTGCCCGAGAGCGAGAAAAAAAAAAAAAAAAAGGTGGGAGAAATCAGACAATGACGGCGAGAGAACATAAAAACAATAGGGTCTTTAGAACATGGTAGAGTTGCTGCGGTTGCTCAAATGAGGCCGCGAATGAAGCGACTTGGGCTTCAAAAAGTCATCTTTGTTGGAACCACCAATCTTCTGGAATCCTTGCAACAGATCAACACCGTCTACCTCGGTGGGGCTGTCACTGGTTTCATCAAAGAGGTGGAAAGAGAAAAAGTCATCCTGGCTGGTATCACCAAGACGAGCTCCGTCCGCCACCTTAGACGGAGACTCGGGGAAGATGGACGACTTAGAGCGGGTGAGTGACGGCATGCTCAGTCGAGTGTTGATAGACGAGCTGCTAATGTCGAGGAGTGCATGGCTTCCAGAATCAATGCGTGCGCGCTTCACCGAGCGCTTCTCGGGAGAACCGAATGCAGCGGATGAGATGCACGCGTCTGCGCTTGCATCGGCAAAGACATCAAAGGTAGTGTGGAAGTGATCGGCCGGGGTCAAGGTCTCCTCATGGAGATTGAAGGCAGGACTCCACGGCAGTTCATCATCAGCGATACCCAAGTGCTTGATAGGCGAGTTGACCATTTGTTGAATCTTGCGACGGTGGTTGCGGAGGTTGGTATTAGGTGACACCGATGGCGGAGGCTTGGCTGGCTTCTTGAACTTGATAATAGGTGTCAAGGGTGGCGGAAGCATGCTCACATACTCGCCTCTAAGAGGGGAAGAGCCAACCAAAGTTCGGCTATCCTTCCGGGAAGCAGGCTGGCCAGGACTGATATCGTGGGAAGAGCTGCGAATGCGCGCAATCTCTTCCTCGGCACGGCCGCGCTTGATGCGTGGGGGCTCAATGTCCAGATCAGAGGTCAGGATGTGACTCGCCTTGTTAGGCCGCAGAGCGGAAGACTCCAAAGACGAGAAGTAACCACTGTCATTCATCGAAATGGACTTGCGCTTCCGTGGGCGCTGAGCTGGAGTAGGGCCGGCCTGGTGAGTTGGGGTAGGAGGAGTGCCTGGGCGAGAGAATCGAGGAGGGGCAATAGGAGGAGAGGATCGGATGGTCTGCAGTGGCGAAGAGCGAACCGGCGCGGCGCGTTGCACCACGGGATGGGGAACTTCATCGTCATCTTGCAATGCCGGGTCAGATGCTGGAAGAGTCGCGTCCGAGGATAGATCTTCATTTCGAGCCGGGACCTTGGGTGGGGGAGGCTGTCGCGTAGGCGGAGGTGGCACCATCCAGGTTGTGGTGGTCGCGGTTTGCGGTTGTGGAACGATTTCTCTCTGCGGAACGGCAGGGAGTGGAAGACTCGACATAGTGGCGCGTCGCACTTGCTTGTCCTTGAGGAATTGTGCCTCCATACCAGGCTCGATAGCCCAATAGTTACCCTTGCCAGGGTCATCCTTGGGCCGCTCTTGCTTGATGAAGGCTTTGTTGAGACTGAGGTTGTGTCGAATACTGTTCTGCCAGCCCGTGTCGCTGTTCTTGTAGTACGAGAACGTGTCTGAAATCCACTTGTAGATCTGAGCCAGTGTCAATCGTCGGTTGGGTGCGCGCAAGATGGACATGCCGATCAGAGTCGCGTAACTGTATGGCGGCTTGGTGCCGTCATCCTCGATCGTCGGCATTTGGTGTGGCTCGGGTAGTTGTTGAATAGGCGCGTCTTCGCACTTTTGCTTCTTGACAGGGCGCTCCTTCAGTGGAGCGGCTTCCATGAGGGTGCGCTTCATGGGGACCTTGGATTCATAAGACGGTTCCGGGAAATCGGCAAAGCTGCCATTAGCCGAGTCCTCGAGTGGGTAGTTCTCCTTGGGGGCCTCCGGGTTGACGCTAGAAAAGGTGGTGAAGAGAGCCGACTGCGGTGGCATCGGCATGGAGGACTGGGTGTAGATAGGGAAGGGCGGCTTCTTGGTAGGGGAGTCGGTGGTAAACATGGGAGGGTTTGGGGCGGTGATAGGAACGAAACCGAGTTTTCGCCCGGGATGTGAGCCCTGGGTGGACAATCCTTTGGTCGGTGATGGCCTGTGCGTGCCAGCAAGTGGAAGCAATGGGTTCTCAGTAATAGGCTGGAGTGGTAGCGGTGAGGGGTGAAGATGGGGCTGTGATTTGATCGAGGCTTGGGCTGAAGGAACCAATGCCGAGGGATAATTGTGCGCGCCGAGCGCAGGACGCGTCGATCCCATAGTCTAGATAGTCGGGAACGAGGCTAGGACGTCACCAGTCACCAAGAGGGACCATATGACGCGTCGATAAACAGTGTGGAGGGCGCGACAGCAACAGTGACAACACTGACAGCGGGGGACAACACAGCCGACGGGCAGTCTCGCCCAACGGGAAAAAGGCGAGACGAGGGAGGAGTGCAAGAGAATTCGAGTTGAACCAATGGTAGGCTACAAGAGAGAAAGGTCAAGTCAGGTAGCCTCAGGCTGTCATGCAGTGAGACTAGTTGTGATTGCAAGCGTTGGGCCACCAGGCGCTAACAATCGACACGTCCAATCTTGGAAGGCGAATCAGCGGATGATGGAGTCTCGCGAAGTGGGAATCACCACGAGAGGGTTCTGCTGTGAAGAAGGGTAGAAACCTCCGATGATCTGTCAACTGGCGATAATAGTGATCAGGATGATTAAGGGGGAAGACGAAGTGTCGAGGAGCGAGTTAGGTTGGAGAAAAGAAGTGGTGATGAGAGAGATGATGATGATGAGATGGAGAGTTGGTCGGGGAAAGGCAGCAGCGGGAGGGGGGTTTGAAAGAGGGAGAAGAGATCCTGGAAGTCGCGTCCTTTTGTCTCCCTTGAACAGGCCCTTTCCTTCGACCAAGTAGCGTGCAAGGGAAGACCAAGTGTAAGTGGGATCGGGACCTTTTCGAGGTGGGGGGTGGTGGAGGAGGAGGAGAGATAGTAGAAGGTGAGGGTGTCGAGAGAATACTGTACTGCCCAGTTGGACGATCCGTCAGGTATGGTATGGACGCGGTCGCGTCACGCGTCGTAGTATGGACAAGTGGATCTTCAGTACGGTAACCATGTGACAATACGAGTGTTCGGAGGGCGTACGAAGGGATTGGGGCTCCTTGCTCGCAGGCATTTCACAAGGCGCCGATCGAGAGCTAAACGGGAAGCTAGTGAGTGGCCCTTGGGTGTCTGGAGTTATGTGGCTCCCTCTGCTGGCCCTGCAGAAAAAAAGGGCTCCACTGTGATCAGAGCTGGACAAGAGATCCTACAGACTACAGAGGTACTATACAACTACTGTAGTCATATAGTATTCATTATGAGCTCCGATACGATGGGTCTATTCGATATAACTGCCAATAGTCTGTACTTTATATCCCCTGCTACACTACACCCTACATACACTTCCTAGTTCCTCCCACTCAAAAGTCTAGACTCACCCTCCCTCTCTCCCCATAATCCACCCATAGAGTATTCCCCAGCCCAACCATCCCATACTCCCACCCATAATCCATCCTCCACCCGTCATATTCCGGCTTCTATTCTTAACAGGCTCTCAATCCCGGCCACTCCATTGGGACCCCGTCCACTGGAATGCGCATGTAACTCTGAGACAGCGGTTGCGTCGGATCCATCCCTTGCTCTAGCCAACCTATGGGACTGGGCCCCGTCAACGCCCTGGCTGTTGAGGCTTGGCTTGGCCGTGAAGTCTATATGGCTCTGCGAGGAAGAAGCCAATTACTGGTCCAATAATACACGGACCTACTGGAGATCGCTCGAGGGGTAAATCGGGTGATCCGCATGTGCGTAAGCTCCGTGCCTGCAGCGATGATGATATCTTAAATCACATCCCACATGCAAGTGTAACTATTTTATAACTAGACTGCAGTATACTGTAGCACACGATAGTCTAGGTTATAGTAGTGAATATATTCAAACTGGCAAGAAATTGCCCTTGCTTTCTTCTTTTGGAGGATCATGTGAATTCATGTACAACGTACGGTGTAGATGCCCCTCTCAAACTTCATCCCTCAATCATGAAGGGAACGCATCTCTCGATCTATACTCTAATTAAAGGAAACTCAAAGGGGTCGGACATGGCATATAGAAATGAGAAAACGCCAGGCCCATGCAGAAAAAGAAAATCAACGACAGGACATAAATGCTTAAGCGCCCCCGAGTCCCTCGATGAAGAGCACCCGGGATAAATGCACACCAACTTTTCTCTATCACGAAAGCATTCCATCAAAAGCTGGGAAAAGCAAAACTGGGAAACATAGGGGAAAAGAAAACAGGCCCAAGGGATATCTCAAACGACAATGTGGGTTGCTCAACGACTCCTAGGACCTCTAATCCAAGAAGGTGAACATGCTAGTATGGATGATGTTAAGAGCGCGGTCGGCATCACGCTCTTCAATGACGCAGGAGATGTTGATTTCACTGGCACCTGAAGGAGAGGAAGAAAACCCGTCAGTTAGCTTTTCTTTCCTTTTGTCGAATGATTCGTACTTGTACATGGGAAGGGGGGAGGAGTGGAGGGGTTGGGAAGTTGGGATCGGCAACGAATGTCTTACCTTGTGAAATCATCTCAATGTTCACATTGTTCTCCCCCAGGGTAGTGAACATACGCCCGGCAACACCGATCATATTCTTCATCTGCTTGCCGACCAAGCTGAGAATGGCCATTTCAGGAATGATGTCTACCGTTCCGTACTTGGCCAAGTCATTCAGCGCTCCCTTCAGGTCATCATCGATGACCTGGTAGTCATCCCGGCCATTGCCATTGAGCAAAGGCATCTCCGAGTGAAGGGCCATCGACACGTGGACCTCACTGGTCGAGATCAGATCAATGGACAGACGCCACTTGTCCAGCACGGAGAAAATGCCCGCAAAGAAGCCGTGGGACAATGACCGCTTGTTCGAGTGTACGTTGATCACCAGGATCTTGTGTTTGATGGTCACGGCAGTCGGCCGCTTCGGCTTTTGCATGAAGCTCGGGCTCCGCGTGCGGAAGAGGCGGGGGTCGTGGCCGGGTGTGGTGCGCTCCAACTCGGCGGTGGAATCGGGGAAAATAACGGTGCCGCGGTTCTTGGGGTTCATCACGTTCTTGATGCGGATAGGGATCTTGGCGCGAATCACCTGCTCCATGGTGAAAGGGTGAATCACCTCGGATCCATAAAAGGTCAATTCGGCCGCTTCGGCGGGGGTGATAGCAGGAAGGAGTCGGGCCGTGGGGACCTTGCGTGGATCAGCCGTAAAGATACCGTCGACTTCCTTCCAGACCTGGAGTTCCTTGGCATGAGTTCCAACGGCGACGAGGGCAGCACAGAGATCGGTATAACCACGGCCGACCTGATCCAGCAGACCACCGGGGATGGTACCGAAGTAACCTGTGATCACAGGCACTCGGTGCCCGCAACCTGCGACCAGCTTGCCCAGAGCCGCTGCCAGGGAGTTGTAAAAGTCCTGATCGAGTCCGTGGGCGCCGATGGGGAAATCGATCACGTCGGCGAGATCAATGTATTGTGAGTCAACTCCACGATCTTGCAAGAACGCGGCCATGAGGCGGCAGCTAAGCTTCTCACCGGCGCTCATCACCTTGTCCACGCAACGAGCACTGATCTCCCCGAGGGTCTGGGCGGCCTCGAGGACCTTTAGCACTCGTTCGCATTCTTCACTAATATCGGCAACCACTTGGTCCCTTAGCTCCACTGATTGGATCTGTTCTTGGGCCACTTCGACATGCTCCAGCCGTACGGCCTCGACGAAGGTCTTATATTGTTGGGAGTGGGAGTTCTCTGCATCCCGGGCTGCCCGCAGTAACCTATATTCGCATGGAGTTAGGACGTGATCGGAGTTTGTCATTCGTATTGCACAACTTTCGAAGTCGAGAGAGCTTGTGGCAGGTGTTGTCGAGTATTCAAATGACTCACCGGTTGGTAGTGCCCTCTGCCTTTGTAGAACTGCTTCTTGCTGAGCATACAACAGCAACTCTGTTGTCAGCGAGGCTAGGTCTGTAACATATTGTAGTCGATGGTCAGCGTCTTGTGATTTTTGGATCAATTGAACCGATCGTCGAACGGGGGCGGGTGGAGGGGTAAACGTACTGGACCACCTGCTCGATAATGTTTAAAGCAAACTTGCCAACACTGGTGCCGCCAAACTTTTGTACGACCCAATTGCTATGCATGGCACCAAAGGCCGGACGGTCTGCTTCGAAGGAAGTCATGGCCAGAATTTCCAAGAACCGAGGACCAAGAACGAAGATAGATGGAAAATCACAACATGTAAAGAGAGAATTGGGGGAGGGGAAAGCGAAAGCGGAGGAGTGGGCCGGCTGCGGCGTTGCTCGTTTTTTTTTTTCTTTTGCGGTGACTCAACGGACTTTCCATTGACTTTTTTTTTTCGTCTCCGATTCTGCCGGCGAGTCCAGGCACGCGATGTCGGAGGAACCCCGCCAATGAATGACCGCCCAAGGGTCAGGACCAATGATAATCACCAATTACAATCACGCCATCGCCTGCCCCGCGATAACACCTGGGATAAAATGACGCACTGTTATTTCAAGGCTATGCTATTACACTACTACTGTAAGTAGATATGTTGTCACTTTACAGGTTATTTAGATTTCTCATACACTCTCCATAAATCAACCTATGTTCTTGAATCATAATCAGGGGTTTTGTTCATGACTAAGCCTCGGATCGGGGCAAATCTCTTTTCCTGTTGATCGCCACCCGGAAATGCCAAAAATGTATTCCAACTGTAGTAAATTTAGCTTTTCTTGGCGTGCCTTGTCTGCAAACAACCTTATCCATGTACAATTATTATATCCATCAAACAATATTAGTATCAAAAATCAATGATTCAATATTATTGAAAATTCAACACATCTATCATACTAAAGAAGTATTAAAGACTTTCAATAATATTCTCGTAAATTCTTGGAATCTTCAAAAAGCCGAAGAGTCGCCGAGGATTGGTGTGGTCAGTGCTCACAGTCAACACGGCCATACTTGCTAGCATAGCGATGGATATCATCCATCGAGCTACCTACAATAAACTATCTTCACTTCATTAGGTTTTAGTTGGTGATCGCGATTATAATAAATATATTTTAATACTCTATATAAATAAAGACAGCATCATCTAAGTAGTCATAGAAACTAGATCAAACAATGAGGCCTGTGTACTGTCACAATCTTAATATGTAGTAGCCAATATGTAGTAGCTATTGCTAGAGTACTAGGGATCGGCATATTAGTATATTAACTGTAGGAGTGATTGTCTAATACGCCCAACCGCAACCAACGTCTGGTGGCTTAGGCTCACGGCAGAGGCGTATCAACTTTTATCCAGAACAGCCAGGAAATATCAAGAATTGCAAGATCATATAATATCTGCCTTTTTCACACTTTCAGTCTTTGCAGGCCTGGCAGTAGCCCGTTGAAGCTCAATGGCCTGCTAGATTTGGAAGGGCAAACCTTGCCATAAACATGATGACCCTGGGGTTTCTTTGAGTTGCAGGCTGGAGGTAGATCCTACAGTATCTCAAATTGTACGGTAATAGGAAATTATCCCGCTTAATAAGACTCACCCCAGTTCCACTGAATGTTGTTGGATCATGCAGAGTTGGCCCGATATATATTTCCACCTGGATCACGTACTACACGTACGCAGTGCGACCGGGATGAAGATCTAAAGCCTATAAAGAGGAAAGCCCAAGATAAAAACACGCGAGGTAATCCCCATTAAATGGTGTATACAAACGATATCCGGTGGCTATGCCCGTGTACTTGATTGACTCATACTATGACGGGGCGGACGACTCAGCGACAGGGCCATATTTTGTTCCAAGTGGGTCTCATCCACAACTACCGCATTTCAGGCACCGCCCATCAAAAATCTGGAGATTTAAATATAGCCACTCCTCCAGATACATTGATCAGGATTACTCCAGGCTTCTTGTTGAGGTAATCAGCTGCGATTTCTTGGCATATCCATCGCCCTGCAAGTTCCCGACGTGGCTCTAGTGTTCTTGTCTTCAGCTGATCCCGCGCCTGACAACCATTCCAGCAAAACTGCCTCCCACGATAAAAGCGCAACTCAGAAATCATGGACAGCTCCAATCTCCTAACATGTCCATTCTGCCCCTTCTCAGATGCGGATGCCAGTTTCCTGGAGATGCACATTGATCACTGTCACCCAGAGAATGGGGCCCCGCAGACTTTCACGCCCGATCTGTATGGGCTAAAGGACACGCGATCTCCGTCACCGCTGCCGACAGATGACGACTCAACGGAGAAATATGTTGACTGTCCACATGGGTGTGGTGAGACTGTGACTGCAGCCGAGCTGTCAACGCACCTGGATCTCCATGTCGCGGAGGGTATTGCTTTCGACGACAGCGGGGTGGACTCGCCCCATTTCAATGCAGACTCCACAGGCCTCGATGATGAATACGACTCGCCACTTGATCGGGAAGACAAGCTTGATTTTCAAGGTGCTCTTTCAGGCGGCAAACGAGGCCAAGATCGTGACTGGGCACGCATGAATAATAGTACCAAACTAACTCGAGCAAAGAGCCCACCTCGGGCTCGTGGAACGGATGGCGCAATGCGACTTGGGGTATGCTACACTGCCATTTACCAGTAATCCAGGATATGTGCTAACTCCCCGACTAGCGTGCGGAACTGGGGCCCCATGCCCATGAAAAGAAGATGCCCTCATGGCTGAAGCACATGCTGGAAAAGGGTGGCCGAACCTCAAAGCAGACACATCTCACCACCGACGGGAAACTAGCCAGGCAGACAACAGTAGAGAACGAGACTGACAAACTCATCCCGGTTATTGCGAAGCTATGCGAACAAGACAAGACCGTCCAACGGGCTTTCCTTTGCAACCCCAAGGTTCGTCACATTTGCAAACTCTCCCGTGAAGGTGGATTCTGTGGGTATCGAAATATTCAGATGCTTGTGTCGTATATTACGAAGACGCAAAGTCTGGGACACACGTATTTCCCACATAGTGTACCCTCGATTCTGGATATCCAGGATTTGATCGAACAGGCTTGGGATATGGGATTCAACAGCACGGGTCGAACCGAGACGGGCGGTATCAAAGGGACACGGAAATTTATTGGAACACCCGAAGTCAGTTATGATAGGCCCATGATGGATTTTCGTCTGCTAATACTAATGTATCACAGGCACAAGCTCTGTTCCAAAGTCTTGGAATTCCGTAAGTGCTGCAATGGTCAGCTTGAAACCTATGAAACTAACATGATACAGCTGCGATGCTAGCAGTCTGGCTGCGAGCGAAGGAACTCCGGCACATGATAAACTCTACATGGAGGTAGCGAGCTACTTCCGATCCGTATGCTCTCTAGACGACGAGACAAAGAAAGTCTTCCAGACCGACCTCCCGCCTATCTATTTCCAACATCAAGGTACATTCGATCTCCTCGCCGAAGTGTCTTTTATGACCCATGTCTAATCGGAGTAGGCCACTCAATGACTATCGTGGGATTCGAGATCCGCGACGATAGCACCGCAAATCTACTTGTGTTTGATCCCATGTTCAAGACATCACCGGCGATGCAGCGTCTGATTGGCACATCCGCGAAGTGTGACAACCCGGTTCGTCTACTCAAGGCGTATCGGAGGGGAACCAAGTATTTGCAGAAGTATAAGCTATTTGAGCTTCTCAAGTGAGTAGATCAGATCAACTAAGGATCTCTGAATGATTTACTGACTTTGCGCAGATTAACCGGCTCGCCCGATACGACCTCGACGTGATAGCATAGCGTATTCCAGAGTATCTTTATGAAATACATAATACCTGAGCATGATATAATTAAAATTGCATCATTACTCAAGCATTCCCCATTTCTTGAAAACATACTCGCACATCCAAGATCATAGTATATAGAGTAAAGTATATCACCCGATAAGAGATAAGCGGAACCAACATTAATCCGAGATAATTTCATCCGGGGAACAAGCACTCTCTCACAATCAACCACCCCGCCAACAACAATTTCCTTTTTTTTCAAATTGCCCTTTTATAACAGGCCAAATACCTTACACAGCATGCGCTCCTCCCCAAACGTGATTATCACCGGCACCCCCGGCGTCGGCAAGACCGTACACTGCGAACAACTCGCCCAAGACACCGGACTCAAGCACTTGTCCGTCAATCAGATCGCCAAGGAGCGCGATTGCTTCGAAGAGTTTGACGAGGAGCGGAAGAGTTGGGTTGTTGACGAGGATAAGGTATGTCGCTCGTTATGCTTTCTTTATAGCTATGAAGGAGTTGCTGCGATGCGCTGTGTTCTTTCTTTTCCCCCTCATCTTTTTTTTTCTTGGTGGGGGGGGGGCGGGGTGTTACTATCGCTATCGCTGTCGCATTGTCGCGTCTTATGCTAATTAGTCCTCTTCGTCTAGCTACTCGATGCTATTGAAGATGAAGTGCTTCAAGGAGGATACCTGATTGATTGGCATGCTTGCGACCTCTTCCCCAAATCCTGGATTGATCTGGTCGTGGTTATTCGATGCCCAGAGACATCTATTCTGTACGACCGGTTGAGCTCAAGGTAAGTCGTTCTTTACACCTTCAATCAATCTATATACAATTCTAACACCAAATGCGCCGTTCCAGAGGCTACCACGAAGAAAAGCTACAAGAAAACCTTGACGCCGAGATCTTCGGCGTCCTATCCGAAGAAGCCCGCGAAGCCTTCGACGAAGAGATCGTCGTAGAACTCAACAGCGAAAAGGACGGCGACGTTGACAGCAACTGCGCCCGGATCGCAGAGTGGCTCGAGAACTGGAAGAAGCAACATGCTGAGGACGCCGAGTGAAACATGGTGGAAACATGCGATTTTTCGAAAATCGTTCTCTTTATTTCTGTGTCTGCGAGGGGGTCTCTCGTTTCTATCCGTTGTCCGAGGCGACTAGGGCGAGGGCTCGCTCTATATATATACCCATACCCGGCGCCCCTTACTGCCGGCCTTCTGCCAACCACTGCTGGAACTTGACCAGCGCCTTGTACCGGTGGGAAATCCGGTTCTGGAACGAGACGGGGCCAAGGGGCGTTAGTGACTTGATTTCTTGGAATATTTCTGCATGCCGGTGCCGGTGCTGGTACTGGTATAATCATAGAGTGCTTAAAAGCGCTTACCTTTTCTTCCTTGTCCATCTCTGCGTATGTTTGGCCGTCGTACTCGAAGATAGGATCCCAGCCTGGACAAATACGTTAGTATAACATGAATTGAGCGTAACCTTGCTGCTCCTTCTGTTCTTCTAGACTTGGTAGATACGCACCAAAGTTCGTTGGGCCGCGAGGCCGCACAATAGTACCCTGTAGCATCCCATTAGATCCAAACCCCTCATATCAACCCAATACAACAGAAAACATACCGCAGTCCGACCCTGGAAAATAAGAGGCTCCTCGCCAGGACCCCGACAAAACGCAAAAGTGCACACTGCCTCCGCACTGCGATCATCGAAACCATCAAGCATCTTGTTCAGACCCTCATGGCCCAGAGATTCCATGAACGATTTGCTAAACCACCATCAGTCAATACGTCGTCACCACCAGGAGTTGCTTTTCTCGCCATGCTAGAAGATATACTTACATGTATGGCCCCGGAAGACCCTTAAGAGCGTTGAATTCAAGCGCAGTATCCTCTGTCAGCGCGGGGCCATTGATCTAAGCACCTTGTATTAGCCAAATATCTTTTTTCATAATGCCTCACTGGCATGATTATTCAATTATTAGGTCATATTAGATTGACTTACCGCTTCAGCAGCACGGCGTGCCTTTTCCTTAGCGATCTCTTCGATGGTGCCTTGGATCTCGGGGACGTCTACGGCCTGATTGTCGACCTCGATGACGCTGCCGAGGATGGCGCGCACCTCGGTGAGCTTGTTCTTGTTTCCTGTGATGAAGTTGATCTTTGTTAAGGTCATGATGGCGGATTGGGGTGTGGGTTGGCGGGGTGAAGTGGTTGGATGTAGTGGTGTAGAAGACTTTCGCTGGATGCTCCACCGATAAACCAGCACTAAACGATCTCCCCCGCGACACCGCTTAACCTGCCGAGTCGAAGTGGGTAGATTAACTACAGAGCATGCAGACTATAATTTACTAGATTATAAATAAAACATCAATACATCGGACAAAGACTCTTTCATTTAATTTCTAGACAAGAAATTGCTTCACTGTATCAAATCAAGGTCGTGGGGTGAAAAGATGTCACACTGATCGTAATCCGTAGCTCACAGAACATTTCAAAGGAGAAACATGTCTAATATACACACAACAAACTACTCCTCCAACACCCCGTTATCTATCCCAAGCTTATCCTGCTGTGCAATCGCTTGCGCAGATACAATCTCAGCCAGCCGCTTCAATCGTGGCGTTTGGAGCCCTGTAAGAGTTGTAGTTAGCAAATGCGGAAGTAGAAAGGGAAAGAGCGCGTAATAGCATGCGAATCTCATATCGTCACTTACAAGATGGGGTATAGGTCTCCAAAGCGGTGATCACACGGGGCTCGGCAATCTCGTAGGGACCACTGTCCTCCATATCCACGGGAGTCAGGAGGAGCACGTCGCTCTTCTCGGTAACCCGAGAAGCAACGGCCTTCATGATCTCGCCATTGATGGGCTGTTCGTAGTCGGCAACCAGGTACTGGTTCAAGAGCTTCTGGATTTGGTTGGGGGAGAGCCTGGGAAGAAAGGTCAGTATATGGACAGCCATATTGTATGAGTAACTAGAACATCACTTACATCCAGCAGATATCTTGAATAATCTCGATATCGTTCAAGGTGGCCTTCTTCAGCTGAAGCAGCTTGGTCGCTTGCTATTCACATGTCAGCGTATATCCCTATTTCACAAACGTCAACGGTACGTACCATCAGGTGCTCCAACTGCAGCGTTCCCTCGGGCATATCATGGCTCTTGCACCACTCCTCAATCCGGGTAATGTTGTAGTTGATCTGGAGACCACGCTTCCACGACAAGAAGTTTCGCCGCATAAGAAGATCGTTGAATGCAGTGACACCCACCAGCTTCAGAAGCTCGGTGACGGTCTGCGTGATGATGGTGTCCTCAATGTAGAACGCCTTCATAGCCCGGTAGACTCCATTCAGAAGGCTCAGCAGGTTATCCATGCTGTAAGCCGGGTTGTTGTTCGAGGGCAGCAGCTTGCCGAGGAAGCGGTTGGTTTCGCTGGTCACGAAACCAGGCAGAGACTGGGACTCGATAATCGCGGGAACAATCATCTTGTACAGCTTCTTCTTCAACACCTTCATCCATGTGTGGTAGATGTTGAACTCCAAGCTCTCCAAGTCGTGCTTCACAATCTCCAGCAGACGGTCATATTCGTAGTTGTCCGTCTTCTGCGCCTCGTACCAATCCTCAGCCAGGAAGACAAACGATAGCATCTCGTGGACGTTGGAAAGCCAGAAGGCACCGGGGTTGATCGCATCCTCGCCATCGTGCTGCATAACCTCCTGCTGGATGGACTGCATCACGTTGGCCAAGAAACGCTCCGACTCCTTGACAAATCCATTGTTCCACATCTCCGAAGTAACCAGGTTGATCAAGTACGCAGGGAAGAGAACCTCCTTCTCGGTAGGAGGAGGAGTCGAGCTGGGCAGGGGAATCTTCAAGTTGCGGATCAGACCCATCGTAACCTCATCATTCAGATCATCCTCTGCAGCCAACAAATTCTCGAGTTCGGCCTCCACCGAGTCCAGACCCGGAGAGATGGCGGCAGTTGACCGAGCGATGGCAGGCCCGGGGATAGCCATAGAGACTGGGCGCGGGTTGAATGCACCACTGAAGCGATCCGTCCCAACCCTCTCTGCACCAGCACTGCGCCGTTGGGGCTTGGGCTTCTTGGACGAAACAAGGTTAATCAAACCGTTCGCGGGTGTAGGTGCGGCAGCGCCATTCTGCAGGTCGCCATTGACACCGTTGACAGGCACCGATCGCTTAGCGATTTCGAGCTCTTCCTCGAGCTCCGCAACCCGTTGACGGAGAACGGCTTTCTCGGCCTCGGCCTCAGCGTTCGCAATCTTGAGACGCTCCAATTCATCGCTCGTCACGCGGATCGTCTCGCGGGTGACCCGCTCCTCTTCTTGCATACGCTTAATGGTAGCCTGGTTCTCGGCCTGGGTCTGGGTCATCTTGCTCAACTCTTCCTCAACTGCTTCCAATCGAGCCGCAGTAATACCGGCCTGGTTGGCCTCTGCCTGCAGCTCCTTTGCACGTGCCTCAAGCGCGTTATGCCGGGCACGCCATGATTTCAGTTGGGTTTCGTAGTTGTCCAATTGCGAAGCCAAGGACTTGTTCTCGAGCTTCAGTGTCTGCAAGATCTGGGTAAGCTCCACGACCTTGTTCTCCAGCTTGTAAGAGATTTGCTTCAGATCGCGGGCCTCTTCGCGCAGAGTCTTGTAAGCCTTGCGAGCCTGCTTTCCTCTCCACAAGTTCTGGACAGTGATAACCTTTTGACGGTATTGTCGCCAGGCACGCAATTGACGCCACGAACGGAATGCACGCTGAATGACCTTGGCTGCGTTGCCATTGATAGAGTCCATGATGTTCCGACGGCAGAGGAAACCCTTCATCACAGACTGGAACAAAATGACATTGTTCCGAATGGACGTGTAGCTCTTCCTCTCCTTGGAACCACGCCAGACCCGCTGAATGGTGGTTGCAGCCTTGTTTCGGCGGATCTCCTGAGCGCGCTGGCGAGCCAGGAATCCTCGAATGAAGGCCTGAGTGGTGAGGATGGACTCACGAGCCTCCAGATAGCGGCGTCGGTAGTACTTGCAACGCAGGTTCTTCTGGATCATAATGGCACACTCGTTCAAGCGCGAAGTTCGCAGGTTCTCCAAAAAGGCAAGCATACCAGCCCGGAAGAAGATCTTAGTCAGACCAAGCTGGTACTTGTCCTGCTTCTGGTGGTTCGCATCACCGAGGGCCTTGCGCAAGATAGCATGACACATGTCTCGGATCTCAGACGTCCACTGCGAAGAATGGCAGAGCATGTAGTAACGAATGGCAAACTCTTCGTATGTCCAACGAGTGGGATAACCGGCCGTACTAATTCGGACAGTCTCCAAAACACCACAAGCTCGCAACTGGCTGAGAACCATGGGGCCCTCGAACTTCCAAGCCTCCTTGGCTTCGTTGGGCTTGATACAACGAATGTAGTGCACATCGGTAGAGTTGATAGTGTTCATCAGCTCAATGAGCGAGGACTTGAAGATTCCACCCAGAGTGGGTTTGCGGTTGACAGCGACACCAATACGACGTCCAGGCGCCGCAGCCACAGCCTTAGATGAAACCGCAGCCGAGTCCTTCTCGCGAACGGCGGCGGCAGTGTCCAAAATCTCCTTAATGAAGCTATTAGAGGAGTTGCGCAGCACCTCCATGTGCTCATCAGGAACGGTGTCTCGGTTCTTCTCGATGAAGCCATCTGACTCGTAGGTAACATCAACAGCATAGTGGCAAACGGTGAAAGCGGACTTGCCGAAGCGAGGTTTCTTGTAGAACTTTTGCTTATCGGCAGCGAAGTGGTGGTGGAGCTTCGTAACAAATTGCTCGTCGGATCCCATAGGAAGTCTGGATTCTTCGTCCAGAAGAGCCAAGACTCCAAGCTTGGCCTCGATCAGATCAATACAGGGCTGGTTGTCGGAGAAATCAATGAATGTCCAGTCAATCTCCTCTCGCACATATTCCTCCTGCTCGAGCTTGAACACGTGCTGGTTGAACTCCTGCTGCAACTTCTCGTTCGCGTAGTTGATACAGAACTGCTCAAAGGAGTTCTTGGCGAAGTGCTCGAAACCGTAGATATCAAGGACACCGATGAAGGTCTTGACTCGCTCAATAACCTCATCCTTGGCCAACCCACGGTTGATCGTGTCCACGAGCCAGTCGAACAGACTAGAGTAGATGAATTTGGCAACCGAGTCTCGAACCACGACAGCCTGCTGCTGGGTGAGGTTGGAAGTAATCTTCTCGCCACGAGTGATCAGCTGCTTCTTAACGATCCACTTGGCGAACTCATTGGCATCAATCCCGAGCATCTCGCAGACACGCACGAGGGATGGCTCCGATGGTGAAAGAGAGGAGTCTGTACGAGTGGCCGTGATCTTCACATTACCCAGGTGCAGCAGAGCCGCAAGGATACGGAAGATTTCAGTCTGGTGTCCTGTTGACACACCGATGGTGGCCAGAGACTTCCTCGTCGCATCAAACTCGGCCTTGTCGTCCACACCGTCGATGATTGGCGTACCACCCTGGTTGAGATATTCAAATTCCTCGACGGGCAACAGACCCAGGTCCTGCCTCTCCTCGTCGGTGGCACCGGCCACGAGCTGATAGAAGATATGGTAGTTCCGCTCCTTAAGCGGCTGGAACACAAGTCTAGATCGCTCAAGTAGGTATGTACGGATCTTTGCGCCAATGATGTTCGTGCGCTCGTCAAACATGATCTCAATGTACTTTCCGAACCGAGAGGAGTTATCGTTTCGGGTTGTCTTAGCGTTACCGAAGGCTTCCATCACTGGGTTGGTTGCCAGAATCTGCTCTTCGGTCTCGGTGGTGGCGTCTGCGCGACTCGTGCTGTATTTGCCGGGCTGGTCGGAGGACTCCCGAGTCGCAAAGTAACGCATAATATACTTGGCGCTCACGGTCTTACCAGCACCGGATTCACCGGAGACGACGATCGTTTGGTTCTTGCCATCGCGGAGCATGTCACTATACCCGGGAGAAACATCATGTCAGTAACCAATATTCGAGTATACAGACCCATCATGCGGAACGGGTAACTCTTACGCAAAAGCTTCCTCGGCGATAGCGAACAAGTGAGGTGCCTGAGAAGCGCGCTGTTTCCCGGCATAGACTTGGACCATCTGCGGGACATAGAGCGAGTCGACTCGGGCAAAGGGATTGGTCGCAATCAGCACGATACCACTGTAGGTGTAGATTTCTTTCTGGGCATAGCGGAGCTTGATAGCCTGGAGGACTGCATAGAGCTGTCAGTTGAAGCCACGGGAGCAGACATGATATCTCAAGTTGAAACCAACCTGCAGGCTCGTTCAGGTGGGACAGATTCGTCAAGTCCTCGCTCGCTTCCAACATAGCCGGGTTCATCAGGGGCGGTAGTTTCGAGTTGTTGTCGACCTGCAGCTCGGCCTGGGTGGTCTCGACAGTCTTGGTCTGTTTTCCCTCTCGCCTGGTCAGCCTTTCCCCATTTCTCCAGACTCGTCGACAGAACTCCTTCCAGTTCTCGCTGCTGCGGGGACCGAAACACGCACCTCGCCATTTTCCAACTCAAACACCAGCTGAACCTTATCTCCGTCCACCAGCTTCTCTTTCACCTCGGATGCGACCCAGCCCTCCGTCGGGTCGGGCTGCCAGGCCCGTGTCCCGACCTCGTAGATGTGCGCCATGACGAGATCTGATCAAGTGAGCGGGCTCAATTTGATCGCACAGGGGAGGAGGACGATGTGGCGTAGGGATATTCCGGAAGAATGTCGGTGTTGGTGGCACGGGTATCCAAATGGGGGGGATAGGGAAAAAAGGGCAAATCAATTCACAAATGAGCGGTCGAAAGACGGAGAGTCTCACGGCAACCCCTCATCCACTCATGATCCGAAAGAAAGGAAAAGAGAAAGAAAAGAGAGTCTCTAGAAAGCACGGGGGGTCAGAGTTTGGGGAGGGGGAAAGAAAAGCGCGTCGGAGTAGAGTGAACTAACAGCTGGCCCATTTAGCGAGCGACAGCCCCTGAAGGGAGCTTTCGGGACTAACTTGGGGGTGCCGCGCCACACCCCCACAACGTTCTGTCACCGCCCTTCTGTGCTCCCTGCACGGTAGAATTGACGATGATTTGATGAGAGAATTGTGCAGGGGTTGTTCCTATATAAATGAAGATGATAGTTTTGGATATAGTACTGTCTCACAGTGAAATATTGGGTATACAGCCCTAGCTAAACAGGTCTGTCTATATAATATATGTCGAATAATCAACACTAGGGGTACCTCTTTTGTACTCGATAGAGTAAGATATGGCCTAATAACTAAGTCCACAGACAAATCGAAGATTCATAAAGCATCAAAGATCGATCTGATAACCCCTTGAAACCTCGTATAGATTGTTCCGGAACTTTACCCCGGATTTGGATCTATAAGAAGCCTCCAGGTCCGGACCCACGCACGACATCATCGACAACGACATCATCGGTGGCCCTATTACGGGTTAGGTAGGGTATAGGTATATGGACTACGACAACAGGACTATACAGTCTGACTCTGTAGCAGGAATTAGGATTTTAAGCAACCATCAGTACCCATTCCTATTGCCTCCCCTTGTAGTCTTGTCTTGGCCAAAATCAAGTCATTACACACTGATTATGTCAATTGATTGGAGAAATATTAGGTAGACAGGTCAAGTTCACGCAGTGCAAAGAAGGGGGGACAAGAGCATCAGTGAGAGAGACAGAGAGAAAAAGGAAACATAGCAATAACGTCAATCACAAGGAATTCCATGAAGCATGTCAGTGAGCTGCTCCGCTCGATGGCGAGCCACTTTTTTATCCTGGGGAAGTTCTAGTTTTGCTTGCACTCGGCGGCCTCCTTCTTGGGCTTGGAGGAACCATCCTAAAGGAGAAAGTCAGCAACTTTGTAACGTTGGAAGGTTAGGTCTCCAAGGAAGCCGTCGTCTTACCTCTTCGTCCGAGTCATCATCCACATCCCGGTCAGATCCTCGCTCATCCTCATCATCGTCCTCGTCCTCATCCTCGTCGTCCTCATCTTCAAAGTCATCGGGGTCGATCTCCTCACCCAGCTCCTCGAACTGCAGAGCCTCGCCGGTGAACCAGTCGATCGCACGGGGAATCAGCTTCTCCTTGATATCCTCACCCAGCTGGTAGTCCAGCTCCAGACGCTCCTCGATGTCGCTAGCAATGGACTCGTCATCATCATCCTCGACGGGTGGTTGAGGCGGGGAGAAGAAGTTGAAGAAGGACTCGGTGGGCACACTGATCTTGACAACGCGGGTCTGCTTGGTGTCTGTGGGAGGGCGGAGCAGAAGAATTAGTCTCATGATCATCGAAAGCATGCGGGGAGGGGCACGTAGTATAAGGTGGGAAAGGGTTTGCCCGCAAAAAGAATCTCAAAACTTACTCTTGTTGCGCTGCTTCTTGCTCTCCAGGCGGAGAGTCAGATCCTTATCATCCTTCCAGTCAATCTTGGAGCCCTCGGCGTGATCGTAGATGAAGTCGCCACCGTAGCCGCTCTCATCCTTGTAGTAGTAGGTCTTGGCGATGGTCTTGTTGGTGAAGAACTCGTTCTCGGCGAACTCGAAGATGAGGCGGAATCCAGGTTGGTCGAGGTACTCCATGCGAATGTCGGTGAGCGACTTGAGGGCCTCCTCGTCGCGCTCGGTGATCATCTCGGCGAGCGAGATCTGGTTCTTCATGGCAGAGAGCCAGAACTCGGGGATACCGTTCGTGGGCTCACCCTCCTCCTTGGTCTCCTCCTCGGCCTCCTTGGTCTCCTCCTCATCTTCCTCCTCGTCCTCCTTTCCGGCCTCGACCTCTTCCTCGGTAGGCTCGACACCACCGTTCACGATGGTGGCACGGCGCTCGTACAGAGGGGTGAATTTGCCAAAGTACTTCTTCTCGAGCTCCAGAATCTCCTCCTGGAGTTGAGCCTCCAGCTTGGAGTGCTCCTTCTGGATGCCCTTAAGACCGGCCACACGGCGGCGGACGACCGGGGGAAGGGACTCGATGTAGCCGGATGAGCGGCCGACTAGCTGACCAAGCTTGCCCTGGATCATGTTGATCAGAGCCGGGTTCCGGGCAAAGAGAGAGGCGGCCGCCGCGGTATCCAAGGGTTCTGTTCGAAACAGCGGTCAGGAACGCGATCGTAGAATGAGGGGGGTCCGGTAATTTTTTGTTTAAAATAACCCAGCTACCTACCTTCCTTGATGCTGGACACACCAGGCTGCTGAGCGTGAGATGAGATGGGAGCATTGTTGGCCGGCGTGTTTTGCGGGGTTCTGAAATTTTCGGGAGCTGGATTAGTTGTTGTTTTTTTTCTTCCCTCCTTCGCCGATAAGCAGGCACCAGAGGGATAGAGAAAATACTTACGGAGCAACCGGGAAGTCGGGCTTCTTATTCCTGATGGGCTCAGACATGATGACGGGAGTGGTTGTGTTAGGGGGGGGGAGGTAGAAGGAGGAGAGGTTGGAGAAGGAAGGGAGGGGAAGAATTTGATACGGGCGTTTTGAGAGGGGGCAACCTGAGAAGATGGTGGGATTAGGTGGGAATCCTTAGCGCCGGTGGCCGGAGGGGCCCTTGGCGGGACGCGCTTCTTGGTTGAGGGCAACTCTCGCGCTCCCAACAAAGTTCTGGAACGTCCTGACGAACTTGCTTAGCCTGTCCTACATAATACACCATAGGGACGACTATATCATAGGTCGGTCATAGGATGACTGATAATGTTGCATATGTATTCTCCATTTTTGCTGTTTCAACTATACAGAGTGGACCAGCAAAATACTGAGGCCTATTATGTCTATATCCAAATCCCCTCTCGGTGGCGTCTTTGACCAGATAAAATCACTCGGGCAAAAGGGGGGCAAAACGGACATGAAAAGCAAAAATAAAAATTACCAGTCAAATCCCCTTGTCCCTTGTTTGCTGGTCACGATGCAAAAGTGGATACAGGAGTACCAGTATGTACCCAATACACTATTCGTAGGTTACGGCGGTCCAGATCAGAGGCTCAGCCATTCCGGCCTCTGAACCATCCCACGCTGGTCCATCGACCCGTCAATCTTTGATCTTTTTATATTTAGAAACATGGTTCGGCTCTGGTCAATTAACTTGGTGGATACGGGAGTTTATAGACGTCCATTGATTAATGACTCGGTTTGGAAATCATATATTCGAACAGCCTATTGGTATGGAACCTACAGTAGTTAGACTCTATAGAAAAATCTGGGTGGTGAAACTGGTTGCCCTGTTGATGTATATATATCTAGACGGCGTATCATGGTAGGGTTCAACAAGGCAAATTCTCCGACTTTACTAAAAATGAAGATATGTAGTATCGACATATATATTTCAAACCACGTAGTTCATGAATATATCTACCCTGCAAAAATCCATCAAATGTCAATTAGCGGTTCTCCTACTGGTTGTAAAATGAAAAATGTCAAGGCCCGGAGGACTTCCGGATGGTCGCCTGAGGCCAGACATTGGCTTATCGGGTCACATGGAGATAAGGGCGTGTCACTAGAGGTCGGGGAAATCGCCTCCCCTCGCTGGTCCCGATGAGCTTCCCCACGGTCTTCAACTCTGTCGCATGTGGAATTTTCGAGCTACTGGGTGGCGTGGTTATGTCTTTACTGACGGCAGAACCATCCAATAACCATCCGTGAAGCTCAGTAGGTGTCACTTGGCCGGACCTTGATTGCCGAAACCCTACCACACGCGATCAACTCCGCACCGAACCCAGATACCGGAAAACAGAAACCCAGTGACTGGAATTTCAACACCATGGCCAGTCCCCCGCAGTCCCCGATGGGGACAGGTCCTATGGATCTCTCTATGCCTCGACCAAGCCGCCGGCGGGACTCCTTGAGGAGCAGGTTGTAGACCCTGGTCAATATGATATGAATCGCGATTGCTGATCGTATTCCTAGTGTGAGTGTGGTGTCCGACGTCGAGATGGCCCGAAACGAGGTATGTAACTCTACTATCTCCAAGAATTTAGTCACTCAATTGACGATCGCTGCGTCAGGTCTTCGACGGCCCTATCTCCGAAAGTATCCCTTCAAGCGTGGTCTCATTCTCGCATCGCCGTGCCCGAGCTGGATCCACGGTGAGTTTTACTTATTTCCAGGATGAAGAGGTCTTTGCAGAATGGTCCAATGAAGATGCGGTGGACGTGGACAGCGATCTGGAGGTAGCATCGCCAGATGGTCTGGATGGAGCAGATCTCGAGTCCCACCGAGGCTCTTTCGTCTCCAAGAGACTGTCCCGAGACTCGGTCGAGCATCCTCTGCTCTCTCGGTATCTATCGGCCAGCTCATATGGTCGGGACCGAAGGACGGGCGGTAGACTGAATCAGAAAGTGTATATCGCTTCGGAGGATCTTACAGCCGTCTTTGCTGGGTTTTCGACGAGCCCAACCGGTTATGCCGTTTATCTAACCTTGTGCATCCTCACTGGCGGACTCGCTTATCTGCTATTCCGATGGCTTCCCCGCTGGCGAGTCAGACTGATCGGAAAGGCAACACAACTGGCAAAATGTCAATGGATTGCAATCGAAGTGAGAAACTTCTCTCGACTCCTCCTACCATGACATTGCTTTGCTAACTTCCAAGTAGGACCAATGGAATCAGTTCACAATTCACAAGATTGATAATCAGTCTTACGGGCGCCCATTGTCAACGGTATTTGTAGACCCACCGGGGCATGTCTACGATGAAGACACCGACCCAACGATGGTAAATCTACGGTTCCTTGATTACAGGCATATGCGTTTCTGCTATCATCCACTTGAAGACAAGTTTGCCCTGATCAGTGGCTGGAAGGATCCATCTTGGACCAATGCGAAGGTCATGCGAGGGGGTCTTGATGCCGATGAGCGGGATAGCAGGGAGCAGATCTTCGGCCAGAATGTCATTGATATTCAGCAGAAGACTGTTCCCCAACTATTGGTCGATGAGGTATGTAAAGTCGGGTCGAATAATAGACACGAACGTATTTTCTAACCCCACCCTCAATCAGGCCTTTCATCCATTCTACATGTTCCAGGTAGCCAGTCTGTTGCTCTGGTCCATGGATGAGTATTACTACTACGCCGTTTGTATTTTCCTTATTTCTGTTTTCAGCATTGGAACCACCGTGTTGGAGACGAGATCGGTATGTTTTTATGTCTGCCCGGAAATCAACTTCTACTAGCTGACCTGTTATATAGACTATGCGCCGCCTGAGAGAGATTTCCCTGTTCGACTGTGATGTGCGTGTTCTAAGAAACGGATTTTGTAGGTTAATCTTGATATACATCGTTGCACAACGGGGTTATGCTAATTATCTTTCTCTACCATAGGGAGATCTGTTTCCTCCCAGGATCTGGTTCCAGGAGATGTCTTTGAGTTCTCTGATCCTTCATTGAACCAAGTTCCATGCGATTGCATATTATTGTCAGGCGACTGTATCGTGAACGAAAGCATGCTTACTGGTGGGTAGCTTTTGTCGCACTCTTATCGCAACAGGAATCTCTAACAGACAAATAGGCGAATCGGTTCCTGTGTCCAAGATCCCCCTCACCGACGAGGCTCTCAAATACCTCGATCTTAGTGCACCTTCCATTCATCCCAATGTTGCCAAGCATTTCCTCTTCAGCGGAACGAAGGTCATTCGCGCTCGGCGACCTCAGAATGTGGATGATGACGAAGCTGTTGCGTTAGCAGTCGTTGTGAGAACAGGGTTCTTGACGACCAAGGGTGCATTGGTTCGCTCAATGCTTTTCCCGAAACCTTCGGGCTTCAAATTCTACCGAGATTCTTTTCGCTATATTGCCGTAATGGGAGTGGTCGCTCTTCTTGGCTTCATTGCGTCCTTCATCAACTTCGTCCGACTTGGTGTAAGTCTACGATCTCAAAGAGGAAGTGCCACTATTCAGTCACTAACAAACGACAGCTTGCCTGGCATCTGATTATTGTCCGAGCTCTTGATTTGATTACAATCGTCGTTCCACCTGCGCTCCCTGCGACTCTGACCATTGGCACGAATTTTGCCCTTTCGCGTCTGAAGAAGCAGTCAATTTTTTGTATCAGCCCGCAAAAGTGAGTGGCATTCTGGAAACGTCCCAACCACGTATCTCTTTACTAAAACGCTTGCGATTTAGGGTCAATGTTGGCGGAAAACTCGACGTCGTCTGTTTCGACAAGACTGGCACACTCACGGAGGATGGGCTAGACGTTCTCGGTGCGCGAACGGTTGGCGAAAACCATAGGTTGGTCCTTGTTTCGGCAAGTGTTCTATCAGCAATGGCTAATATCGTCTAGGTTCTCCGAACTTTTGTCCGAAACATCTTCCGGCATTTTAACTCCTCCACCAAATGCGAATTCCCCCTTCGATCTTGAAAAGCAGCGCAAGATTATCTACACCATGGCAACTTGTCACTCTCTTCGAGTTGTGGATGGCGAACTACTTGGCGATCCTCTCGATGTAAAGATGTTCCAATTCACTGGATGGTCATACGAGGAGGGTGGTGGTCACCCTTCTGAGCAGACAAGCCCTAAATTCGACAACATCGTTCCATCTGTTGCGAAGCCCCCGGTAACTCATGGGGGCGATAGCCAACCGAATGGGCCAAATGTAAGTTGTGCATACCCTCTGAAGCCTCGGTATAATGTGTCGCTGATCCTTTTCTCCCACTGTAGATTCCCGTCGAACTCGGAGTCCTTCGAAACTTTGAATTCGTTTCGCACCTCCGCCGTGCCAGTGTGGTTGTCAGACAGTTTGGAGACAATGGCGTAAACTTCTTTGTTAAAGGCGCACCCGAAAGTATCAAGGACATCTGCATACCCGAGTCCCGTACGTATCATCTATCCTTCTACTATTACCGGGATTGAAGTCACTTACTCGTTACTGCAGTTCCTTCCGATTATGACGAGCTGTTGAATTACTACACTCACAAGGGATACCGTGTGATTGCCTGTGCCACCAGATACGAGCGCAAGCTCAGCTGGATGAAGGTACAAAAGTTGACACGTACCGAAGCTGAAAGCAACTTGGAATTCGCTGGCTTCATCATCTTTGAGAACAAGCTGAAGAGCACTACCACCCAGGTAATTTCTGAGCTCAACCAGGCTGGTATTCGCAATGTCATGTGCACAGGCGACAACATTTTGACTGCGGTCAGTGTTGCTCGCGAATGCAAGATGATTGGGCCTAGCGAACAGTGTTTCATCCCACATTTTGTTGAAGGTAATCCCAATTATCGACTGATTTATGAACTGTCTGGGACTAACAAACTTTAAAGAACCCGGCCTCGTTACCAAGACTTCTCTTTGCTGGGAAAGTGTGGACGATCCAGATCTCACCCTCGACCCGAGAACGCTTCTGGTATGAAATATCTCCTCGATTATGATAGCCACCGACTAATTTCCTCCTAGCCCACAGAGACCACTTCAGAAACTGATGTATCCATTCCTGGAATTGCCTTGAACGAGCGTAATTACTGTATTGCGGTCACTGGTGATGTGTTCCGCTGGATGATTGATTTCGAAAACGAGGATGTGCTCAACAGGGTAAGTTGGTCCAATTTTCCACAGACTTATATTAAGACTGTCTAACCACCATGCTCTAAATTCTAGATGCTGGTCATTGGTAAAGTGTTTGCCCGGATGTCACCAGACGAAAAGCATGAACTTGTCGAGAAGCTTCAGTCCATCGATTACTGTTGTGGCTTCTGCGGAGACGGTGCGAATGACTGTGGTGCTCTGAAAGCCGCAGATGTTGGCATTTCTCTGTCAGATGCTGAGGCCTCCGTTGCTGCGCCTTTCACCAGCCGGCAATTCGACATTTCTTGCGTTCCAAAATTGATCCGGTAAGTTTTAAGCATCCAATTCCTCGGGGCCAGCGGACTGACTGTTATGTAAAGTGAGGGACGAGCTGCCTTGGTGACCAGCTTCTGCTGTTTCAAGTTCATGAGTCTTTATTCAGCCATTCAGTTCTCCACCGTCAGCTTCCTCTATACATCGGGGTCCAATCTTGGCGACTTCCAGGTGAGTCCACGACCAGTCTTATCAGGACTAGATGTACAGTCTCCTCTAGAAGGTTGCTGACTCGTCACATAGTTCTTATTCATCGACTTGGCTCTCATCATGCCCATTGCCATTTTCAGTAAGTCCTCAAGCTATCTCATTCCGCTTTCATTTCCACACAAGCTGACAGTCATGTAGTGGGCTGGACTGGTCCATATCCTACCCTTTCTCGCAAACGGCCCACGGCGGATCTTGTCTCACGAAAGGTCCTTACGCCCTTATTGGGACAGATTATCCTGGTTGTCCTCGGCCAGTTGGCTATTTTCAAAACCGTCCAATTGCAGCCTTGGTAAGTAGACGATTTAAGCCATGTTAAAGTGTCGTGGTTACTGACTCCATGCCATCCAGGTATCTACCTCCTCAGCTCGACGTAGAGAAAAGCAACATTGTGAACTCGCAAAATACGGCGCTGTTCCTGTTCTCCTGCTTCCAGTACATCCTGACCAGCGTTGTCCTCAGCGTTGGCCCGCCGTTCCGGCAGCCAATGACCCAAAATGGTGAGTACTACCCATATACTTATTCCAAAGGACATTACTAACGGCTGTCTTCGTGATAAGCTCCTTACTTGTGTACCATTATCATTGATCTTGGCATTGCGGGCTACATGCTCTTCCGCCCCTCCGAGTGGGTTACGAGCGTGATGGAATTGACCTTCATGTCGGATGGCTTCCGCAGCTGGGTTGTGGCATTGGCACTTGGGGCATTTGCGATTGCATTGACGGCCGAGATGATTGCTTTCCCTCGTCTGGCTCGCATCATTGGCCACATCCGCGCTCGCCTGCAGCCCAACTACCGCAAAAAGCGCCGCCAGTACAAGGTTCTATTGGAGCAGATGCGCCTGTGATATCTGGGGCGGTCACATGGCATTGGAACTGTACTTGTAATGAAAAAGTGGAATATAGATAGATAGAGCGGTTCTCTTTTTGCACTCTATCAGTGTCGCATTGTCTCCGAACGGAAATGGTATAATACATTTCAACTGACCCCGGTCAAGCCCCACCTAGACCAAGGACTCTCCCAGATGAAAATAAAAGCATGATAGAGCGCTCTAATGGATCGAGCCCGATTTCAACAGAATTGCGCATGGTATTGTGGAAAGACGGAATGGTTTCTAGGCACACAGTCCGTCGTCTAGTGGTCCCATGGGTGCTTCCAGCCCAGGAGAGCAGGGCCGTCCTTCTTGGCGCGGTACATGAGCTATATGCCGGGTTTCAGGGTTAGTGTTTCCGTATATTTGAGGATCGAGCGGAATTGAGAGTCATACGAAGAACCACATGCTGGCGCCCAGGGCCGTGGCCGTGAAGCGGTAGAGCGGTCGGACCGGGTGGATGTGAATCGGGTGGTGGGCCTTGCCTGCCATGACTGAACGAATTGGGTCAGTCTAATTGAGTCATTATCTGAAGGGATTCGGGATCTCTCACTGTGTGTCGTGCAAGTGGTTGCTACACGAACGAGGGCAGATTGCTGGGGAAGAGAGACGAGAAGCGGGTCGTCGGCGGAGGTTCAACTCATCCAATCACGTGATCAGTGACGGCACGCGGCCGTTTTCCGGTCCCTTCGAGTCGCGCACTTTTTTTGGAGCTCGTTGCCTCTTGGACAACTTCATTTTCTACGGATTGGGGTGCCTTGGAATTTACGGCCCTCGTATAACTCACCGTTGTCTCAGAGATCCTATCCCAGCCACCGCTGCCTACGTCTGCAACAGCCTTGTTGACCGAGGCCCTTGAACAGCCCGTCCTGAACGACGCCGCATCACACCTCCCGCGATGTGAAGACCTGGTGCTTGCCTCTTTCTCTCCCTCCGGAATTTTAGCACTGTCTGCTACGAACTCGACCTCGTGAAATTTCTATAAGCACCTCTCTCCTTCACCTCCCTACGAGACAAACTCTACGACTCAAACGACTGCCATTCACGAATTCCCTCTACTAGCCCACGCTTGCCGACTCCAAGAAAGACGATTGACGATTCGAGCCACCGAACGCATATTTTTTTTACTGATATCGGCGCATATTACGACTTGCGATCACTCCGAACTCTGTTCTTGTTGGTCGTATCACGGCCGTCGGGGACAAGATGTCTATTGCTCCACTCGAGAAGGACAGCGAGGGCGAGCCTCGGTTTCCTGGCTGTTCAAACATTCGGGACTTTGAATTCATCGGCAAGCTTGGCGAGGGAACTTTCGGGTATGTCTCCGGCAGAGATTCTTTCAAGCAACAAATTTGTTGACCAGCGAGCAGTGAGGTCTACAAAGCGAGGTCAAAAAAGGATAACTCGATTGTGGCCCTGAAGAAGATTCTTATGCACCATGAGAAGGAAGGGGTAAGTGATGCGCTTGTCCTGTCTTCCTGGCAGTCACTGATCCTTATGTTTTACAGTTTCCCATTACAGCGATCCGTGAGATCAAACTCTTAAAAGCTCTTTCACATGTCAATATCTTGCAACTCAAGGAGATGGCAGTTGAACGGAGCAAGGGTAAGATCATACTCTGTATTTTATCCGTCAAGTCAAGTCTCTGACCACGGCTCCAGGCGAGGGACGAAAGAAGCCCAGCATGTACATGGTCACCCCGTACATGGAACATGACCTATCAGGTCTCTTGGAAAATCCCGCCGTCCACTTCACTGAGCCTCAGATCAAGTGTTATTTGTACCAATTGCTAGAAGGCTTGCGATACTTGCATGCGGTACGAACTCCTTCAAGATCTCAACTATAAGACCATTGAACTGACATCGAACGCACAGAATCAAATTCTGCACCGAGACATGAAAGGTGTGTGATAATGGAGGTCACCGATTTCGGAACTCAGCTAATATAGCACCTCGTGCTAGCTGCCAATCTATTGATTAGCAATGGCGGCATCCTCCAGATTGCCGATTTTGGTCTCGCACGACCCTTCGATGAGCCTCCTCCACAAGCCGGAAAAGGTGGCGGAGACGCGAAAAGGGAATACACTGCCCTGGTCGTCACGCGATGGTACCGTCCACCGGAGTTGCTACTGCAACTTCGTCGGTATACATCTGCGATTGACATGTGGGGAGTTGGGTACGCTTATTTTGCTTTGCTTCCGTTCTTTGTACAGCTACTGATCCTTGCAGGTGCGTCTTTGGTGAGATGTTCAAGGGAAAGCCGATTCTCTCTGGTAGCAGTGATTTGAATCAAACTCAGCTCATCTTCTCCTTGGTGGGAACGCCTACCGAGGAGAACATGCCTGGATGGAGCTCCCTTCCAGGATGTGACGGCGTGAAGAGCTTTGGTCATAAACCTGGCAACCTTTCACAGGTATTCAAGGAGTAAGTAGTTCTCGAGCATGCAACGACGCCCCTGTGTCTTTAAGAGGATATAGACTAACTCCATAATAGCCAAAGCCCCGTAGCCGTCTCGCTCCTGACGGAGCTTCTCAAGCTGGACTGGCGCAAACGAATCAATGCCATCGATGCGTTGAAACACCCATACTTCACCACACCTCCCCTCCCCGCAAAGCCTGGTGAGATCCCCCACTACCAGGATTCTCACGAGCTGGACCGAAAGAAATTCCGCGACCAGCGCGCCCCGATGCCTCCAGCTCCAGCAATGGGCTCCACCGATCCCAACTCCAATGGAGGATGGACCGGACCCGGATCTCGGCCAGACTCCCGCAACAGCAATCACAGTCGGATTCCGGGAGCCGCCCGCGGTGGTCGACCCAACGGGCCCCAGGGTGTTCCCCACCGGCGTGGACCCTTCCCGCCTCAACGAGAGAGCGGGCTTCCTCCGCGTCCGCCCTCTGCGGCTCCTCCGCCGTGGGAGGGATCACAGAGCGGTCGGTCAGACGGACGAGATGACCAGCGCCGAGATCGGTTCAATCAGGGCCAGGGTCGTCCCGGTGGTAGAATCCCTCAGAGCAACCACCATCATGACTCGTACGTCCCTAGCTACGGGGGTAATTCTCAGGATCGTGGGCGAGAATCTGGCGATTACAATTCTCGATCGAATCAAGATTGGCGCGGAGGAAATCAACGTGACTATCGCCGGGAACCTCCTCGGAGGAGAAGCCGCAGTCCTGGCTATAGAGACCCGGCCCGAGGCTGAAGATGTTCACACTTTGAGCCTTTGGTTTCGTCTACCTATTCCTTCTATCTCTCTCTACCTCCATTCTTCCGCACCCCCATACCCTCACCACCCTTCCCTATCCTCCTCCTTATCTCCGATAGACTCGATTGAGGAGTCGGTCTTTCGTGACAACCACTAGGGCCCGCAACAAGACGAGGCCTTACACCCCCAAGGCTAGCGAGGGAAAATGAATGAATGCATTCTTCATGACTAGCCTGCATAGTATCATGCCCTCGTATGCCTCGATCCTGAAATACACAAATCAACCCCGTTTCATGTTATGACTTTTATCTAACCTCCAATAAACAAAAATGATCAGTCCATGACCCTATATCATACAAACTAGTAGTGCCTCAGAAATGGAATCCTCTCCAATGAAATTCGAACATCTTGCACCACACCCTACAAGCTACGCCAAAGAAACGTCGTAAACATTGTAAATGGGATCAAGTAATATATGAAGCATTCCAAAAGCATGCAAGACTTTCCTTTCAAAACTTTTGATCTAGCCACTTGTAAATTTTGGTCGCATGAATTCAAAAAACGACACCGTCGCCGGAACAAAATATATAGGAAAAAAGAAAGAAAGAAACAAAAAGGTATTTGCAAAGAACATTCCTTGAGGGACCTCGTTGAAAGGGTCCCTCGCCTTAAAATCGTGAGATTTGAATCACCTAGATTCCAAACATGTCAAGTTGATTACAATAGCGCGTTTTGGGATGCGCTGTCTAGTACAGAATGCGGGTCATGATGCGAGCTGTAGGCGGTTGTTAGTATGAGGGAACAGAGGAGGTAGGCTCGGGAGGGGGATCTTACAAGAAAGGCTCTCGAGGCTCTGGTACAGTTCCTTGATTTGCGTGGAGTTGACATCGCTAATATCAGCCATCAAATAGGCAACCTGTTGATATTTAGTTAGCGGCTGACTTCTCCTGAAACCTTCTCCTTTCTGCGAGATATGGATACTTACGTCGCCTCTGCTATCGGTCATCTGCTTGTCGACGTTGTGGTCACCAAGGATTTCGTTGACTATACAAAGATGTCAGTTTTTTGCTTGAGGGGTCTCGAGGAGCACGGGGATGAGCTTACCCTTGCGCAACACACCGGGGATGTTCTTGTGAATGTAAACAACCTATATAACAAGTCAGATATCTTTGTACTCTCAAGTTCGGCGAACAACCGAGCGGAGCTCCATGGTTGCAGATAATCAAAACTTACCCGAGCGTGGCTGGGCTCATCAATGGTCAAAGAACGGAGGGCAACCTCGGGCAAGTTGACAGCACCCAGGGTGGAACCCTCGTTGACGTAACGGGTCAGAGCTGTGGCAACCTCGACACCAATGGCACTCTGGGCCTCCTCGGTGGAACCTCCAATGTGAGGGGTCAGGATCAAGTTCTTCAGCGAGCGCAGATCGGCACCCCAGGTGTTCAGATCGTTGTTGAAGTAGTCACCGTTGCCAGCGGGCTCGTTGGGGTACACGTCAAGAGCGGCACCGGCAACCTTGCCGCTACGCATGGCCTCAATGAGGGCGGGGATATCAACGACGGTACCACGGCTAGCGTTGATCAAGTAGCTGCCGGGCTTCATCTGCTCGAACTGCTTCTGACCGATCATGCCCTTGGTCTCGGGAAGCTCGGGAACGTGGCAGGTGATGAAATCGGCCTCGCCGAGGAGTTCCTCCAAAGTGTTGACCTGGCGGGCGGTACCCAGAGCCATGAGGTTGAGAACGTCGTAGAAGATGACAGACATGCCCATAGACTCTGCCAATACTGACAGCTGAGCACCAATGTGACCGTATCCGACAATACCTGTATAAAAGAAATCGTCAGTCTCGAACGAGCGGATGATAACCGGGATCTCTTTCAAAGCATGGATTCGGAGGCACCCAAGCTGAATGTCAAAAGAGTCCACATACCCAGAGTCTTTCCACGAATCTCCCAGCACTTGTTGCTGACCTTGTTCCAGGTTCCATTGTGCATTTCGTTGGAGCGGTCACCCAATTGGCGAGCAAGGCAAATGATCTCGCCAATGACCAGCTCGGCGACACTGCGGGAGTTGCTGAAAGGAGAGTTGAAGACGGCAATACCGTGTTCGGCGGCATACTGGAGGTCGACCTGGTTGGTACCAATGCAGAAGCATCCGATGACGATCAAGTTCTTGGCCTCCTTGAGGACTCGCGCAGAGAGCTTGGTCTTGGAGCGGATACCGATCACATGAACGTCACTGCGCAGAGGGTGAGTAGGAATTTCTTTTGGACCTGAGACTTCTGGGTAGTATCAATGAGGACTTACCGAATCTTCTCAATCAGCTGGTCCTCGGGAAGAGAAGACTTGAGGAATTCCACTTGGTAGCCCTGCTGCTTCAGAATATCACGGCCAGCCTGGTTGACATTCTCCAGAAGCAAGACCTTGATGTCCTCGGTGGCAAAGGGCTTCAAGTGCTTCGCATTGACCAGAGGGACCGTCCGCGTCAGGGCAGAGCTGTGGCTAGAGGGAGAGTGGAAGGAGGCAGAGGGGGAGGTCGAAAAGTACTGGGCCTGAGCAGCCAGGTCGTCAGCGCGAGGACGAATATCTCTTGCCGACGTCATATCGTAGGTGTGAAGGATAGGCGGAGGAATCAACTGAGGTTGTTGGAGAATTGAAGGGATGGAGGGGGTTTAACAGAGAAGGTAAGTTAAAAAGATGGAGATGACGAAGAATAATAATTGAGCTATGAATCACCGTCCAGTCAGCCCACCAAATTAGCTAAGCCCGTCAAAGTTGGGTCGACTCCGGAATCGGACCGTCACAAAAGCAGCAATTCCTTTAGGCCAATGGGCAAGTTCGGTTAGAATTCGGCGATTCGGGGTTTGCGTTGATTAATTGGATCAATTTCTTTTTCTATGTTAATTTTTTTTTCTGCTCTTCAGTCCGGTCCCCGCCCGTGAGTCACGAATGTCGTGATGTCGTGATTGATGGAGGGGCAATCGCGGGGCGGATCTTTTTTTTCTTTTTCTTTTTCTTTTTCTTTTTGCCGCCAGGCTATACAAAGTCTATACAGAGTAATACTACTCGAAGTACTTGATTGGAGTATTAGTGAAGATACAAACAATCGTTGAAGTAATTCAATTGAGTAAGAAAATGAGCTTATTATTTTCGATACCAAGTAAACTTTGCACTGTGCAGCAAACTACGTGATTATGTCATCGACTCTAACCGGCAAGCCGAAGAAAAAGAGTGCAGAATACGCTAGACTACTATAGTCCTGTATGTACAACTCTGTGCACTAAGAGTACAGATGTATAGTAGTGGGGCATGGCGATCAACACGTTCGATTCGGATTAATTGCGGAGCGGAGTGAAGACCATACTCCGTGCTTTCGAGTATACACTATATGCAGTATGCATATACTGTAGTACTAACTAGAAGTACCTACATCTGGTATGCTATTTGTCACGTAATTACTATAATTCAGTACCATATCTATCAATGCGCAGACATACATGAGCTTTTACATGTTCATTTCCATGGTATCATTTGACGCTCGAGTAATGAATTTTTGGGAGGGGAAAAATGTATTTCTTTGCAGCCTATCCCTTCGCCCTTTAGACCTTCAGGTCCTGCATCTTCTTAACAGCATCCTCAGCGCCGGCTGCGGGCTTGTTGGACTGCTTCTTGGCCTTTTGCTGCGAAGTGGAGCTCTTGGGAAGCTCCTTGACGTAAGGAAGGAACTCTGGCGCACCGGGGATGTACTTGCGCAGAACCTCGGGGACCTCGATACCCTATTAACTCGGGTTAGCATCAATATGTTCAAATAGGTATCTTGCTAAGGGGAAGACAAGGAAGAGAGTAATATTTGCTGCTGCCACTTACGTCTTCTCTCTGGTAGTTCTCCAGAATACAGCACAGAGTGCGCTCGGTGGCACACAGGGTAGCGTTCAGGGCGTGCACGTAGGTCTTCTTCAAGTCGGTCGCCTTCTTGACACCGAAACGGATCTCCAGGGCACGAGACTGGTAGTCAAGGCAGTTGGAGCACGACACGAGCTCCTTGTACTCCTGCTGGAATGGGAACCAAGCCTCCAAGTCGTACTTCTTGGAAGCGGCGTTGTTCAAGGCACCGGAAACGATAGCCACGACGTGGTAGGGGAGCTTCAGGGACTGGTAGAACTCCTCGGAAGTGGCCATCATGTCCTCAAAGGCTTGCCAAGAATCCTCCGGCTTGGTGAGGACAAACTGCTCGATCTATTTACTGGGTGTTAGAAGCTGAGGTATAACGAGACGAAGGATCGTGAACTAACCTTCTCGAATTGGTGAACACGGAAGATACCCCAGGCATCCTTTCCGTGGGCACCAGCTTCCTTTCGGTAGCATGTGCTGTATCCGGCATACCTATATGTAACACCCTCGTCAGTTCTCAAGACCAGGCCAGGGAAAGAAGCAAAATAGTAGCTCTTACTTAATGGGGAGGTCCTTCTCCTGCAGCCACTCGCTGTCGTGCAGCGCGGACAAGGGCTGCTCTGAAGTAGCAATGAGGTACTTGTCCGTAGACTTGTCATCGCTCTCTGTGACCTTGTACAACTCCTCGTCGAATTGCTCAAGCTGGGCCGTCTTGGCCATGAGGTCCTTCAGCATGAACTGAGGGGGTTGGTTGGGGGTGTATCCCTTGTTGAAGAGGAACTCCAGGCCGTAGTTCACGAGGGCGAGGTTAAGGAACAAGCCATATCCAGTCAAGCAGTATCCTCGGTGGCCGACGATCTTGACACCACGCTCCGGGTCATATCCATCAAGGCGAGTCAGAACCTCGTGGTGAGAAAGGCAGTTGGGGCGTTCCATGACAGCATCGGTAGGGGTCCAGGTCTTGATAACCTCGTTGTTATCCTATAGAAGATTTGTGGGTCAGTCTGGGCACAAATCCGCTATTCAGTAGACATCCTGATGAGCATTTACCTCGTTGTTGCTAACGGGCACGGAGTCGTGAACGTAGTTTCCGATAGTGCGAATCTTGCGGTCACGCTCCAATTCCTTCTGGGCAGCAGCTTCTTCAGCGGCCTTCTTCTGCTTCTCCAATTCTTCCTTCTGCGCCATCAGTTCGCTCGCATCCTCCTTGTTCTGTAGAAGCAGACTGTATGAGCAATTGTCTTTTTGGCCGACTCTTTCGCCCGAAAGGGTAGGAGGAATGATCGACGCCGCAGATAGGAGGACAGTACCTTCTTCTTCATTCCAATTTGCTTGAGCAGCGGGTTCAGCTGCGAGCCAAACTGGGTCACCTCATAACGAGCTGGAAAGAACGAGGTTAGCGACCTGGCAGACTCCCTGTTATAAACGTGCGCAAACCTACCTCTCCGAGCCTCCTCGTACAACGCGATCACTTCATCGACAGCTTCCTCGGGAGCGAAGCGCTTGCGCTGGCTTTCCTTGATCTTGTTCGGGTTACCGCCGCGCTCGGCGATGAAGTCATTGAGGTCGAGCATGGTTGCAGAGCGAGGGGGAGAATCGAGGACTTGAGTGAGTCAAAAGGCCGTTCAGTTGTGGAGGGGTAAAATCCCAAAGTGCGCGCCCGCGGGGCATTACTTAATCCAGTCGCCCAACGTTTCAGGTCCCTTAAGAAGACTACTACCAACATATAAAAAGATCTAGGTCTTATCCTAGTGTATGAAAGGATGGAAATTCCATGTAAAAGCCTGCGTGGCCATTTGATTATTCTATGCTCGTTGAGTACCCAAAATCCAGATTCCCTCGCCCGTAAAAGTACGTAAAGAAAGTCAAAAAACCAGAAGAATTAAAAAAAAACCATGATCCATGCAACCAAGCCTGAACATGCCACAAAATCCAGAAAGACACAGAGAAAGCAACCTTGAATAAACCACCCCGACAGAAAAACAGTAGTGATTGGGAGATGGAAGTGGTCTGTTAGGTTGATCCCACTTTGCAAGCGAAGCATCCAAGTCACGCCGATGAAGTGAAAACAGCAAATGAGAAAAACATCAAAGGAATATTCAAAGCCCGTCACAGCTCAGACTAGAGCCCAAGGAATATGCTGGGTGGAATTCATCATCCCAGGACGAATTGGGTTAGGAGGAGGCAGCATTGTCGGATCTCATTGCGATCATTTCGAGACCCGCAGGTGTATCAGAGCTTCCTCTCTCCGCTTTTCCACTGTCACGAATTGAAAGATGATGATCAGTGTGTGGAATGCCGGGATTACATCACCGTGCATTTGTTGTTCCCAGCGGGTTGTGATGGGTTTTGAGACTTCTCGATCTCTCCGATGATTAGATCGAATGCTTTGGCGACATTGAAGTCGAGGAAAGCACTGGCCTCGGTGAAACCACAGCTGAACTCTTCTGCCAGTTGTCGGCCCTCATCGACAGTCACCTGTCGTTGATCCCCCTTCAGATCGCTCTTGTTTCCCACCAGAACTAATGGTACTTGGTCGGCGCCCTAATAGAAAGCAAAGGGTTAGCAAAGACCTAGGTTGAGTGAGCACACATCAAGGGGGCATAGGGGGTATTACCAGGTGATTCAGGATCTTATCTCGAATAACCCTCACCATGTCAAAGGACTGGCGTGACGTGACTGAGTACACAATGATATAGCCGTGAATGCCGATGAAATGTTTCGAATTCAAGATACTATACTCGTCCTGTAATAAGGGCAAAGGAAAGCGGTCAGCAAAGTTACATATGCAGGTCATGTCAAAGGAGTTGCCTACCTGTCCTGCGGTATCTACGATCTCGGTTGCATAGTCCTGGCCGTTGTGCTTGATAATCCGGCTGAAGGTATTCTCGATTGTGGGGTAGTAGCTTTCCACGAAATGTTGTTCAACAAAGCGAACCGTGAGCGAAGACTTGCCTGATAGTCAAGGGAGACATGTTAGACGACAGCGATACGAAGATGGGGCATCCAGATTCCGGGACGATGAGGAGACTACATACCCACGGAGCGGCTGCCGACGATCGCGATCTTTCTCTGCTTAGGAGCAGCGGGCATCTTGAGGGAAGGGCAGCGGAGTGTGCTGCACCAGGACTGGGGGTGGGGGAATGGATTGGGTAGGATGAGAAGGAACAATTGAAGATGGCTAGTCAAGTAGAATTGGAGAATGAGGGCTTGGTGAGAAAGGAGGAGTGTGGTCACTGCGGTCGCGGGTGGCAAAGTTCCATGAAGCAACATGGAGCTCCAACTGCAAACGCTGCAAACAGCTGATTAGATATCTCACGCCATCTCTAAGCCGAAGTATACAAGGAAAAAGAAAATTCAAGTACAGTGGCTTAAAAGGAAAGAAACCTGTGATGTAATCTCCACATCTGACCTACATGACTACCAAAAGAAATACGTGAAAATTATTCCAGAGGAGTGAGAGTATCGCTGATTCAACCTCCCAAGGGTATCATTCATAAAATGCCTATTATGTTCCGTGCCGCCCACCCGATTCCTGGTAAACCCCAAAACGATGACCAACCCATCTATGTACATCAGATCCAGACCGGACGGACCAAAGTATCGCCCAGCCTCTAATTATTCCCCCTGATCATTCGTTATCAATGCGCTGAATCTCATTGATAAGGTCTTGAAGCCGGACCAAGAACCCACTGGCCTCCCTATTTGCTTGGGCAGAGTGTAGCTCTTGTTCAATCTTTTGGTGGTACTGCAAGAACTCGTTCACAGTCGACATGATGACTGTTAATCCATTGGGATGAAGGGACTCCTTGATTCGCATGCGGGCGCCTGTGTGTAGGCAAAGCGCCTGGAGAAGAACAGCCAAGTAACCCACGGCGACATTGTGATGTACCTCCAAAACCGAATGAGCCTGGAAGAGCGTTGGTTAGCTATCATGTCGAGTCGGTACGAGAACCGAACGAGGTCATACCTTAGATGTCGAATCAACATGAGCCAAGAAGAGGCGTAAGAGCCGATCAAGAATGGATTCTGCAGCACTACCAGAATCGAGGAACATCGTGCGCGATGCCTCACTCTGTTCGACCAGATTAATCAGAGCCCCCAGGGCTAGAATCACGGTATCGAGAGAGTTGTTCTCCTGTGCAAGAGTATCCTCGGTCAGGTCACCAAATCTGGCTATCGCAATCGTGGCTAGCTCTTCAATCATGGCTGCTGTTGCAAACTTGTCACAAAGCGTTGGGTTGCTATTGGTTGTGTTCAAGACCACGCGAAGGTAGAGTGTCTGGACCTGCTGGCGTATTGAACTGGCTTCGTTATCCAGTCGAAGCAAGCTGTGCATGCCAGAGAGAATACCCAGGGCATCGCGCTGATCTTCTTGAGCGGGATCTCCGGACGTGATGTGAACCTCGAGAATTGATAACCCTAATATCAATACATGTAACCTCTCCGCATCATTCGTCGGCTTCTCTTCAAGATGTGAGCTTTCGGACAAGAGAATTTTCACAAGTTGACTCAACACAGGCGAAGGCAGACTGTCAGGTATTTCCCCCTTGGCCTGGAATGCCGATATTGTCACCTTCAAACAGTGCAGTGCCAAGATACACGGAGAGAGTGTCAGTACGGATGCATCGGAAAACAAGGCTGCGTGAATTCGGGGTGCGATGTTTTGCACCGATCTTTGGGCAGCCTTGGACAAGTTGCTGTCTCGAGCGCGGACAACCGCGCATAGGTCATCCTGGTTTCCAAAAAGAGAGGGCGGTATGTGAATTAACTTTGACCAGGCTGCAGCTGCAAAAACATAGGGCAAAGATCGACCTGATGAAGCTAATCCAAACACACATAGAGCTAGTGAAGCAGAGACTGTGTCGATATTCTTAGAGAGGCAGTCGACCAGCCTTCTGTCAAAGTTGCACTCGACGAATTGACGTGCTTGTTTTGAGTCGAGCAACTTGTCACAGAGCTGGACGAAGGAATTGCATCGACCAGACACTGACACGTGGGGGTCTTCAATGTCCTCAAAGATGGACTCAACTGCACCCCGGTAACGGGCATTCCCTCCAGCCCGACGAAGCTCATGAATACTTCTAACAGATCCGTCATCATTGTTCACCTCCTCAATTTCAAAGAGGCGAGCACGGGGAAGGTCATCAAATCTCCGGGTTTGAGACGTTGACAGGCCATCTTGCTCAAGAGCACCTGCCATGTTCTGTCCAGGCAAGTCATCTGTCAGGCAAAGATCGTCCAAAAACGAACGTTGGCGGGCATATGTGACTCGAGTGCCGGTTAGATGCGGTGAAACTGCGACAGTAGATTCCTGGCTTCGATCTGTAGCCTGACTGTCCACGCGCGTGCTTTGTGGAGGTAATGCCTTTGGTCGGCTAGGGCTGTGCGGTGTAAAAGGAGAGGGTGGCTGGCTAACAGCTGCAATGCTAGGTGACGCATCCGCCAATTGTCCTCGTGTACCCAGTGAGTCAATTAGCCTTCTTCGTGTGGGTGTCATGTTTCCACCGCGAGTGCTTGCATGCGCTTGGAAGCTCGGGGATTCCGGCTGCTCCATTATCGGGCTAGATAGTATGCCTCCACCTGGGGCTTGTTCGGCCTTAGAATGGCTCGATTGTCCACTCGTGTCGAGAGGGGGAAGAGAAGTCGGTTCAGTCTTTTGAAACGCACTTATTGGCAGGGTTCCGACGGGCTTTCTCGATATTTTAGTTGATATCTTGTCACTCTGCTGTGACCGGGCGCCTCCACGGCCTGACACGTGTCGTGTTGCGCGAGGCGAATCAACCTTGCGAGGGGAAATCGCGGGGTTCAATTTGATCGAATTATCCTGTGATCCACCTTTTGCTTCGAAATCAAGCGGAGGTTGCACGGCGGGAGAATTGCGGGAATATGAGGCGCTCCCGTTCGTATCAACACCATACCGCCGGCGCTTCCGCCGCGCAGCTAGGTCCAGGTCCTCTTCATCTGATGATGGAAGGTCATAGATGCTATCATTTTCAGCTGTGCGCAACGCCCCCGAGACCTCTGCCGATTGCACCGTCTCCGAAGGACTTGCTTGTTTGTTCCGGTGCTCGCTTGCAGACTTTGGATTCGTTGTTGAATGCGATGTGCGCATCTTACCCGGGGGGTCTAATGACTCCTTAGTTGCCGAGGCGGTTATTGTGCGAGGTTGATTTCTGGTGGAAGAGCCATAAGTCACAAGACGCCGACTTCGCGAGCGCGTATGCTCCATCTTTGCGGTCTAGAGGCGGTTGTGGACGTTTCGCGATTCATTCGAGGAAGGAAAGGGACGCGGGGACGGCGAGCACGGCGTTCACTGTAATGGAAAAGGTCGAAGTCGAATCCCTTAATGAGATCCCTCGGGATAAGTTCGCGCTAAGGAGAAAGTCATTCTGAGAAGTGGATGTAGTCGCAAGCGAGGGCAGGCAGGTAACGGCAGGTCAGCTCATCCCAGAGGGTAGGCGAGTAGCTGCGAACGGCCCGAACCAATCAGGAACACGGGCGCGGTTAGATGGTCGCTTGGGAATGGCCTGTAGGTAATCGCGCAAAGGATATAACAATCGCGCCTGGGTTCGTGAGATTTGGTATTGTGTTGGAGATGGTAGATGTAGTAAAGGACAGAAGGGGGTTACGAGGGCTTATTCAGCGGGGAATGATGCAACGGAAAGAGGAGGTTGGATGCACGATAAGGTCTAAGCTCCCGACAAGTGCGGAGGACCAGCCCTCCTCTGCAGGACGATACGAGATAAGAGAAAAAGTCCATCCCCGCTTCCTCCGCCCATCCTTCCTCCTCGCGTGCTCCTCATATGGGCGAGGTTCCCCTCCTTGACTAACATCGTTCTCCTCTTTACTTTACCCCATCATTTAAATCACCCTTCAACTCACTTTCTTATCTCTCCTCCCTTCCCCCCCAATGGCGAGCAAAGAAACCGTTCCGTCTCCTGCCCAGGGAGTCGGTCCCATCTACCGTCCAGATGGCGAGAAACCCACTGCTACGGTTTCCAAGGAGGTGTCCTACGAGAATGTTCATGTGCTTGCACAGACCCCTCAACTGATTGCCCTCTTGACGTATGAGAAATTCTCCTGCTTGATACGTGACCAGGATCGCTAACTAGCTAACGCACCCACAGCATGATCAGAGACAAGCGGACAGCACGTGCCGACTTCATCTTCTATTCCAATCGAATTATTCGACTTCTGGTGGAAGAAGGACTGAATCACCTTCCCGTGGTTGAGCAGTCCGTCACGACTCCAGTCGGCCGGGCTTATCTGGGTGTCAAATTCGAAGGAAAGATCTGCGGTGTCTCGATCATGAGAGCGGGAGAAGCTATGGAGCAAGGCCTGAGGGACTGTTGCCGATCTGTCCGCATTGGAAAGATCCTGATTCAACGCGATGAGGAGACTTGCATGCCCAAGCTTTTCTACGACAAGCTTCCTGCCGATATTGCTGATCGCTGGGTTCTTCTCCTGGATCCCATGTTCGCAACCGGTACGTATAGCCCGTCCTTCGTAAGACTTTACTCACACTGCTTTACAGGAGGTTCGGCAACATTGGCCGTAGAGGTATTGAAGGAACGGGGAGTTCCTGAGCACCGGATCTTGTTCCTGAACTTGATCGCAAGCCCCTCGGGCGTTGCCGAATTTGCGGAGAGATTCCCTAAACTCCGCGTAGTCACTTCATTCATTGACCAGGGGCTTGATGACAAGAAGTATGAATCCCTTCCAATCTTTTATGGTAGCTGAATCGATAACTGACCCGGTCAATAGGTATATCATCCCTGGCCTGGGTGACTTTGGTGACAGATATTACACCCTCTAGACTTCACTGACTTCACCTTGCAAAAGTCAGTGCAGAGGCGCAAAGAATCCGGTCCCTTGTCGGTTAGGCATATTCCGAGGGCCGCTCAGGGATGGGAAGAAGGTCAGAAGTATGTACGACCCATCATGCGGTGTACTGCCCCCTAAACGGACTCGGGAGGCCCAACCTTAAGTTTGCTTGTTTCACAGAGCAGCATCTTCAACGAGGGGGAACACCCTGGAGCACACGCAACGACAGAGCCCAACGTAGTAAACGAATATTCATTTTGTTTTGAAGGATTCTACCGTAGTTGGATCTGGAAGAAAAGAAAAAAAAGGTCGTCGAATTGATACCATGAATATGCGCCGTTCGCCCCTTCCCGCCGTAACCAAATCAATAGTCATCGTCGTCCTCGTAGGCATCTCCATGCCCGGCATTGGCCAGAGCATCCGACTTGCTATTACCTACCGATCCCACAGCTCCGTCATACTGGTTGGCAGTGTCCTTGGCCACGGCGTCGCAAGCATCCACCCAGTCGGAGTACACGTCCACGGCGGCAGACAAATCTGATGGAATTACCAGGATTGATGAGAAGGTGCGCGCAATAATGATGAGCAAGGCGACTCACAGTTGATTCCGGTTTGGAACTTCTGACCGCAGACCTTGCAAGAAAGGTCACCCAAACCCAGTTTCTTATCGAGTTTGACGATGACCGAGTTCTCGTGGTTGCAGAAGAGGCAAGCGAAGGTAGTTGCAAGAGGTTCCCGCTATCGTCAATGGTTTAGCTTCCGTGGTCATCAGGAATGGAATGAGATGAATTTGAAATGCAGGAGTGAGTCTCGCACCTTTCGGGGCCCTTGGGGCGTTCTGCTTGACTTCTTGCGCTTTCCCTGTTGAGGTAAATCGGTCATTAGCGTTCTACTCGCGAGATCCTGAGTAGAAGGGGAATGAAGTTCGTGTGGTTAATAGTCCAAGCAGCAGATAGCAAACAAGCCATGGCTAGACATATCAAGACGTACCATTCTCGTGGCGTGGATAGAGAGACGACTCGAGAGCGGGGAATTGAAATGGTCAGAGTCGCAAAAAGGATGGTTTCGTCCGCGGAGAGAGCCTTGCAGTGAGGGGGTGGCTCGTGCGGAGATTGGGAAGGCGGAAGAACGGGTCTTCCGTGTAGCCCCATGAACATCAGCAATACATACTTCATAGCAGCATTCAATAAATGGTAATATTCAGGATCATATGTGAAGCATTGTTATGATCAAGTATCTATATTGACTTGGATAGACGTCAACTTCTCTTGTTCTATTTCTGCTTGGTGGAATTCTACAACGTGACTATGTAGATCGGGTCATCGGCATGGTCTATGTATGGGTGACCAGTTCATGGCGGAGGACTTGGGTATTGATATTATTTGACATGGGGATTTTTCAATTGGCAAACCATAAATCATCCATTTCTGGGTAGTATTTTCCACGTTGATCTACAAGAAACGTTAGCGATTATGAGTAATTTACTGCAGTCAATACTATTAATAATTTTGTACCGACTAACCTACACTACGGTACAGTAGTAAGTAGTAAGTACTACGACGAGGGACTGTATGGCAAGGCCTTCCGAAGAGTTAATTCGAAGCAGGCGACTGACGAGATTGCCAGCAGTGTAAGCGGGATTATATAATCAGGTGGGTCGGACCTCAGGGCTGGAGAGGGCCCAGTGTGTATCACGTGGGTACCCGTTATGTCAGCAGTAGGGCCCGCGTTGGCTCGCTTAGCCGAGTTTTCTGTGGGTTTTGGTTTTCCAACCCTCCCGTCGACTAGTGCAGCGTGAATCTCGAAACCCTCCGAGCGCCGTGGTGCGATACCCTTCGTCTGTCTTTTTTACAACACTCAGATAGACCCGACTCGCAAACATGGCTGTTGGAAAGTATGCGCATTCGTCCCCATTGCTCATTGGCACCGTTTCTCTTCACCTTGGATCTGGACATATTATCCAAATTCCCTTCGCTCCCAGTCTAATCATCAACGTCGAACGAATGGGCTAACCCGTCTCTCGCCTTCCAGGAACAAGCGCCTGTCGAAGGGCAAGAAGGGTATCAAGAAGAGAACCGTCGACCCCTTCACCCGTAAGGACGAGTACTCTGTCAAGGTTGGTCCAGTCCCATCAACGATTTCCAATTCGAGTGACACCGCTGACCGTTTTTCTCCCTCATCAGGCCCCCTCGACCTTCCAGACCCGCGAGTATGATTCTCCCTGCTATCTCCCTCTCTTTCTGAGTCGATCTTCGCTCCGCTATGGAACCTGGTTTACTAACGGATATTTCTCCTGAAGTGTCGGCAAGACCCTCGTCAACCGCACCAGCGGTCTGAAGAACGCCAACGACTCCCTGAAGGGCCGTATCTTCGAGGTCTCCCTCGCCGACCTCCAGAACGATGAGGACCACTCCTTCCGCAAGGTCAAGCTCCGCGTCGACGAGATCCAGGGCAAGAACTGCCTGACCAACTTCCACGGTCTGGACTTCACCACCGACAAGCTGCGCTCTCTGGTCCGCAAGTGGCAGTCTTTGATCGAGGCCAACATCACCGTGAAGACCACTGACGACTACCTCCTCCGCCTGTTCGCCATTGCCTTCACCAAGAGACGCCCCAACCAGATCAAGAAGACCACCTACGCCCGCTCGTCTCAAATTCGCGCCATCCGCAAGAAGATGACCGAGATCATTCAGCGTGAGGCCGCCAGCTGCACTCTGTCGCAGCTCACCCACAAGCTCATCCCCGAGGTTATTGGCCGTGAGATCGAGAAGTCCACCCAGGGCATCTACCCCCTCCAGAACGTAAGTCGCTCTTCTCAGACTCAGTTATGCCCATTGGGGCATTGCATGTCTTGTGTTTGTTTCAATCTCTAATCATGTAAATATTTTACAGGTCCACATCCGCAAGGTCAAGCTCCTCAAGTCCCCCAAGTTCGACCTGGGTGCTCTGCTTGCCCTCCACGGCGAGTCTGCTACTGATGACAAGGGCCAGAAGGTTGAGCGGGAGTTCAAGGAGCAGGTCCTTGAGACTGTTTAAGGGTGTTTTGATCTTGAAGGGGTGTCAAATACTGGTCAACCATGGCAATTGTTGTCTTCTGATCATAGGAAAACAAAAAAAGTTCATGACATGTATGACAGATTTTGCATCACCCGCACGGGGGTTCGGTTGTCCCGGTAGGTGACCAGTCAAACCAGGACAGCCAAAAATTCAAATTAGTTTGCAACGATTCGACTCTTTTTCTTCTTGTGTATTCTACATTGAAACTCACGTAGTAAACCATCGACCTCTTTCTTTTCTAAGCGACAACCAAGTGTGGTTTCGATTCCGTGCCCCTTTTCAAGGATGACACTGGTTAAACTCCCAAGAATGATAATCTCTTTAGGCCCTCGATTACTTTTAAGTTCGCTGGTCTCCTTGTTTCTTTCCTTTTTCCCCACATCAGCCGCACGGCTCATTTATAGGTGGTTTAGCCTGACATGAATCAGAGGCCTTAGCTTGAGCTAATATGTGTGGGGTTAGCAAGCGTACTATTACTCAGTGTGTTCATGTATCCCCAATCCCATCAATGCCGTCAGACTGTAAAAGCTTTCCTAGAGCATGCTCAACTCCAGTAAGAATTTACTCTGTCTACAAAAGCTGGCTACAGTACAGATGGTAATACACCCTCGAAGAAAAAATCAAGTAATTACACTACCTCTGTCTACAAATTTTCATAATTCCTGGAACTTAAGATGTAACGCCTTTCTCCCATGACGGTTTACGAATGATATAAACTTCAATGCTAAATTCTACAGGCAATAAACAGGTATACATAGTCCTGCTATGCAGAGATCTCTGTTCATTTCCTCTTCCCTTACTTACTTTTAACGTTGAAATACGACTGTGCTATGTTTCGGTGCCAGTTTCTGTAACTAGACTATGATAACTACTAGTATCAACGGTGAAAAGGATCGAATAATTACGTGGCACCACCATCCTAATCGATAGATTTTGGCACAAATCTCATCGTTCAACCTACTGATAAGTTCGCCCAGAAGCATTGCTGAAACTGGTTTGCTAGACTCTATCATTTAAATATGGCTCGACCAAATGATTTTTCGTATTTACGGAAATCTAGATAGGTCTAACCCTAACTAGGTTATGTAATTAGCAGAATTAGATTATGCGAAGACAATATACATACTATTATCGTGTATACACAAGTAGTAGTCTGGTATTAGAGAATGTACAGTGGTATAGAGCCGGATTCAAGTTGTAGTATACCTAATCAGGATTAGTGACTGTAATTGGACTCCACTCTTTAAAGCTTGGCACTGCACTCGTATGTTACTATTCGAACCTTCTACCTTTCTTTCTCTTCTAATTCTCGCTTAGGTTGGATTCTTTGATTGAAATTGCCCGCCCTTTCAGACCCCCTTGCTCAAAACTCATCTACCACTTAGTATAGCTACCTGTTGGCGAAGTTATCATGATACCTCTCCATACCCGGTATCTACAACGGTTGATTACTCCGCCGCCTAGTAGGCACTACATAAGGTTATATCACCTTAGGTACGTTGAATCCCTCATTATCAGCAATTTTCGTCTCTACTCTCTTGCTACATCTGCGCCCCCTCTGCCATACTCACGGACTCCCGCCCCCTAATACTGCGTCGTCTCCAAAGTTGTCATATGATAAAGGACAATGTCGAGGCGGGCGTCGGATCTCCTATGACTGTTGGCAAGTTTCTGTGTCATCTAATAGAGGACATAACTCAAATGGTGGTAATGCAAATCAACTACCCGATCTCTATCACTAGAATAGAGTATGCTAATCTTCCTACGCTAACTCAATAGGCCATTACTCGCGAAATATCTGAGCCATCCATTAGCAAGTGGCACGGGGAACTTCCCTTGAGAATATTGGATTCCATATACTTTCCCACAGGACCCAGGAGGTGAGTCTCCAAGAAATTAAAGGACCAAGGCTTTTCATATGCATACTAACCTGAGATTAAGAGTATTTATATGGAGAATGGCAGCGGTGGCTTTATGAGCGATCTGACCTCTGTCAGAGGGGATTTTTAGTAAGACATCAGAGCATTGTCCAATCTGATTATCTTTTAAGGCCATATTTATTGACAGCCATCACCTTCTCCAATGTAGGGTGAACTTTAGGAATCAGTAGTTTATATCTAGTTATCTAGCCTTCGCGAACTGTAACGCGGCCCTCCAAATTTGTTAAGACTGGGTATGGACGATACATGATATTATCATCGAATCTTGTGGCTGCTATCGTCGGTGAACTAAGTGCTATTTCTCCCGAACATAGATCAACTGGCTAACCGTGACATCTGGTATCTAGCCTAGAGGTATCATAAGTAATGGTTAACTGGTGAAGTCTTTGTTTTTAATGGAAGTTTAAATTGTAAACACTCTGATGGGATTGTGATCTTTTTGTATGCGGAAAACTCTACATCGTTCCTAGTGCAAAAAACGAGATTCTTTAATATCCAGAATACAATCCTTGATAATATCGTCTCCAAGACCATGGTTGCTGGTGATGATAAGGACTTATTGGATAACAGGGGTTTTAGCATGATTTGCATCTAGCAGCAGCGAGTTCGTGAACGGACAAAATATCCCGGTAATAAAGCAGATTCAGTGCCTACTTACTATGTCGGCAACAACTACTTTACGCGACGACGCCTAAAGTTACGACGCTGGCTTCTCCATGATTATGGACGTTAAGACTATGGGTACAAAGAGCAATGGTATCACCGATGACATGCTATTTTTGAATATAATCCTAAAAAACGAAGCTGACATCTCATCGATCGCCTGTTTTCCTTTTGGGATCTATGGTATCAAAGACACGTTAACTGTTCCCGTGGGCAATCTGATTATTGGACAAGTATGGTCTCAGATCATGGCTATACGAAAGCAGCCGGGTATGGTTAATGTATCTTTTGGTCTTGTCGAGAGTGCCCCTAGACCGAAGCTGGCTGCTAGGTACGCCCAATTTACCCGAACCACCACGACCCGGGGAGATCCTTTGCAACCCGACTCTTGTACACTTTGCGGCCCGGCCCATTATTATTATTCAATTCTTCCATCCTCGCACCCTAAAACCCCTATTTTGCAGTTAAATATCCTGCACAGACCCCCAGGGCCGAAGGATCCGGAATACTGGTAAAGCCCGCTACGATCCCCCCCCCTCTAGGGCCTACCCACTATTCGTGAAATCGGTTCCCTGATATTGTCCGCTTTAACTTGGTCGATTCGAAAACATAAATAACAACCTGTCCCTGGAACTATGAAATGCTGAAATTGTGGACCATGATCTCACAGCTCGTCACATTGATTATTGGCTGGCTGGCATATCAAACTAAGTCAAAGAATTTTACACCTCAGGATCCACCCACCATGCTTCAGGAAGTGAACAGTCGATATATCACCCCTCAAGATTGCTCTCCACAAGATCCACAGTTCTAGTTATATTATGGGACTAGGCCTGGCGCGATAGTCCAAGGATGGCCCTCACAAGGCGGGATCTATACGCTTCAGGTATCTAGCAGAGTAGAGATAGATTTCCTGGAATTGGACCCATTTAACAGCACGCTGTATCCAACCAATTCCGATCCTGAATGGCAACCAAAAGATAATAAGCACCACTGTGATCTAGTGAGTAATAATAATATTTTTTGTTGGAACGGTATTCTAATCTTCAACAGTGCGACGTCTTGGCCTAACATGTTGGGCCAAGTGAAAACGTATAGGGCCTAAGTTAGATATCAGTTACCCCCGATAAAAGAGCAAATGATTATATTCGGGTTGGTTAGACATCTGACGATGGGGTGTGGGTTTGGAAGACAACAAGAATAGACGCGAGCGAGAAAGGTAGAGCATAGCTGCAAAATGTCCGTATTATGCAGGAACGTTACGCGATGATTAAAGAGCTAGGATAAACGTTCTACACCGACCCGAAGGATTACACTTTCTTGATCTTCGTTAAAGAAAATTTATTTAATTCTCGCCTACGTAGCAGTATACTACCTCTGATTTCTTTCATGCAACGCGTATTACTAGGTAGTACTGATTCAGTATTTCAGAGCGAACAGTATCGCATTAAGCCCTTTAACTTCTTGGATTTCAATTTTCTGTTTGACCCTAAGATTTTTTTTTGTAGCGTAATAATATTAGTAGCTCTTAGTCGTTCCCCCGAGACTCGGAATCAACGGAAGCCAGCTTACAGAATACGCTACTATAGGTATTTGAAATCACGATGATAGTGTCATCGACACCAGCGTAAGGAAGCAGGAAAAGGAGATCTGAATCGATTGTCTCTATCTAGACAAGATGATAAAGACAGACCCAGAGAAGAAGAAGGAAAAGGAAGAAGAGAAAGACCTAAATAGGTCTACAAGATAAAGAATAAAGCGTCGGTCCTAGAAAGAACCACTAAACCTGTAGAGTAATCTATATAGGTATAAACGGGAGGACGTATGACTAAACGACTGAGTAGTCGAGGTTAATAGGGTCGAGTCATCACACGATCAGGGTCTTTAGCCGCCTATTATGTGGTGCTTTTAGTGGCGAATAGAATGATACACGTAAATAGTAAATAGCCCTAATTAGCGCCTTCGAGAAAGCTAATATTAAGCTAACTTACGTGTCTTGTCTGGTTAGTAGAATGCTTATGTAGACTAGTACCAGCAAGTCAAAAGCTTCACTGCTTAGCGGATACGTCTCGTAAAACATCATTGAGTGGTTACTCAAAGCGAGATATCATCTAGTTAATAAACTTAGCATTGCCCCCGGGCGATACTTCGGCGCCTCCCGGGAACTAAGCGTCTCTGTCCTATCCGTCGATCTTAGTTCCATTTTAGTTCTCCGTTAGTTCCAATCTACTGACAATCTAGTTTACGACGGGGCTATTTCTTTACACTAGACACTCTGAAACATTACCTTAGATCTAATAAGCAAAGTGAAGGGACCGGCGAAGATACCATAGGGTTAGACTCACGGGCTAGTGTTCGAGATTGTTGAGCATCGGGGGCAAATCATTCCTTATGCAGTTTATCTAGCCACCGCTTTCTGGGCATCACCTATAGGTATAGTCGTCTCCTCGTTTCGTATAAGGGCATTAGACTGATAACCCCTATCCACGAAACGGCGCGTATGAGCCGGCTGAAGCTCTCGGTACTTTATAGTACCTACAGAAAAGGAAGTATAAATATTGGGCTCTATACCTTTAAAGGAGTATGTTATACTTAGTCAGAGTCTTGGTACTACAAGGAATCTACTCCTAGCCGTAGTCTTGGGTACTTTACTTTCGGCCCTAGACGGAGTCGTAGTATCTACTAACTTCGACTCTTAGATCTAAGGGTGCCCGCAGTCTTGCTTTTCTACTGGTCTTTAAATAAGTGCCTAGACTTCTTACCACTCTTTCAATCGCCTCGATCTTTATCTATCCCTATCTTATTTAGCTTTAACATTCATAATGACTTAGATAAAAATTAAACTATTAAAGCCTATACTACCGGTAAAGGTTCTAAAAATAGTACTATATCCTCTACATACTCTTCTATATTATTAATTAATTAATATTCTTAGACCCGACCTAACTTCCTTTATATATAGGTATTATATAGAGATTTATAATCTTACCTTTCTAGCGGTAGATATAGGAGAAAGATAGTAGTAGAACCTACTAACTAAACTATTAGTAAGAGGTAGTAGCTACTAGGTAGTAAGCTCCGCGCCAAAGCCTAAGGCCTAAGGATTTAGGCTATATAGCTAGCTAGTTAGCTAAGCTATATTAGGTAAAGATAGGCCTAAAAAATTAGGCTACTTAGGCTACTAAGTCCTATTACCTATATATAAGAAGGGAAATAGTATAGATATAGTAAATAAATTAAATAAACTAGATAAAGGAAATAGGCTAAACGAAGGAAGGAAAATTACTAGAATCCCTATAGTCTCTGAGTCTCCTAGTTATAGGGGATCTATCTATATAGTCTTTCTTCCTCTTTAATATTACTAATCTCTAGTAATTACTATAAGCTAGAAATCTACTACGCCCTTAAGATAATTAATCCCTATTATTAATTATTAAATCTATTAAATTCTATTAAATCACTATATTACTATAAAGATAACTACTTATAGGGTAGAAAGCCTGTTAATTAGGTAAGGTTAGAAGTACCTAGTGAAATTCGTGGTAAGACTGTGTCTTAAAGAGTCCTGAAACCCTACTCCTTAAGTATTAATTTAAATATAGTATCTTTAGTGTAAATAGGAAATAAACACGAAGTAAGGGGGATACACTACCGAAAGGCTACTATATAGCTAACTTATTATATATACCGTAACTATAATCTATATATAGCGTGGCTATTACGTATCGCCCCTAGGGATATATCGGTTAATCGCTAGAAGGTTACTACCTTAGTAGAACGCTCGGCCCTACGCGCCTAAGGTACTATTAACATTATGATATTATATAGTCATGTGACTACTTACTAAGCCCTTTTCCTTCCGATAAACTAACTATATCATTATTTTCCTACGTGAAACCTATCGGATTGATCTTTAACGATCTTATATTAATTATATACTCGTATTAAATTACCTACCTAGGCAGGAGACTATTTAACACTCTACTTTCTTACTATTTTATATAATCTTTTACTATGTTTCCTAAGATATAAATACTACCCTATTTCTTAGCTAAATTAAATTAAGTTTATTATACCTTATAATCTCTCTTCTAGATCGGTGGTACTCTTCTATAATTATAGTACTTCTTCTTTATAGAAGTATACACGATCGATAGACTTATAACTATATATTTAGATACTATATTAAGTATTTACTAATCCTTATATATACTATTATCTTATATATATAACTATAACTTTATAGTTACTACCTAAAGTCTAATAGTTATAAGCCCGACGCCTCACTATTTAACTAATTTAATCTTCTCTTACTTTATTCTCACTCTCGCTTTACTACTTATATAGAAGCGATAGATTTAACTACTCTATAAGCTACCTAGCTTAACTACCTATTAAAATCTTACGTATACTAAGTTCCCTAGATTACTATAGTTAAAGACTATATAATTATATACGATTTATAGAAATACGCTAATCCAGACTAAGCTACTCTATCTACCCTACCCTAGGAACTAATTAAACTATAGCTATCTAATACTATTAGAAAGCCTACTAATACTTTTATATCTAATCTTCCTTATAAGTAACTAATTAGACTCACTAACCTTATATCTAACTAATTAGCTATCTATAAGATACTACTAAGTAAATATAAATCGTTAAGATTAGACTATCTTTACTATCTTCTATCTATCGAATCTCTTAAGTAAGATATTCGATCTTCTCTTATACTAGAAGAACGTTAAATCGTTAATAGCCTATTAGTATATAAAGCTATAGTAAAACTACGTACTATCTTTACCCTATCTAACTAATTAAAGAATCGTTAAATCCTACGCGATTAGGATAAGCTAAAATGATAAGCTCTACTAAGTAAATTATTATAGCTACTTATATAGGGTTAAAAGTAGCTAATTAGCTAATCGGAAGATAAGAAAATAGTAATTACCTACTTCTAAGACTATCTATCTCTAGTATACGATTTCCTAGAGATAATTTAATCTAGTAACTAAGGATTCTATATCTTCTAGTATAATACGATCCTATAGGGTCTAAAGAGATCTACCCTAACTAAACTAGTTAATTAATTCGTCGATTAATACTAACTATCTACTACTAATAGTAGTAGAAAACGATCTATCGCCTATATAATCTATTAAGGATATTAACCTAACGAATTAGATAAAGAAAGACCTATATAATTAACTAGAAGAAGAAAGTACCTTTATAGAGATATATCTAACTCTAGTAACCACGATTTTAAGATATATCGCTATATAAATCCTAAGGTAAGACCTAGGGGATAGTAACCTAACCTAGAGATCTAAGACTAATTTAAAAAGCGATATAATAAATCTAGAGGATTTAAGATAGCCTATTAATATATAATTCGATATTACTAACTAGCTAATTTAGCTAATTTAACTACTAGAGACGCTTTCTCTACCTATATACTAAAATAATAGATTAAGACTCTCTTTCGAGAGGAAGATAGTATTACGATAAGTATAATTAGGATTCCTACTAAGAAAAACGATACTTAGTACTATAATACCGGAGTATTAATTTATATTATAAATAATAGGGACCTACTATTAAACTATAGGCCTATTATATCCTCTATTATAGTTAGAAATACCGAAACTACTATCCTTAGTTATAGTAAACTATCTATTAAACTATTAGAATCTCTTAATAAAACTACTTTTCCTTTAAAATAAGTTACCTATTATCCTAGATTCTATATTAACCTAATCTCTATAGAATAAGCTATTAGTATAGGTATCTATCTAAATAGTAAGGATTACCTACTAAAAGAAAAGGATAGAATACCTATATATAAGCTTAATATAAAATTAGGTATCTACCTAATTCGATAGAATAATTTAGTTATTAATCGACTAACTACTACTAATTACGCTTATATTTTATCTATCTCTTACTTATCTCTTAGTTCTATCTTACACGATTAAGTTATACCTCTTACTAAGTAATTTAGTAAGATTACCCTATCTTCTTTATATACTAAGAAGTACTTAGATAGGATAATTAATCTATAGTATAGATAA